GACAATACATATTATAAACTATCATAATCTGCAGAGGAAAAATGAAAATATTACTATGGGAGAGGTAATTATTTCATTACCATGGAGTGAATTCTTGCCATTGTTAGGAACCAATTTGTAACAACAGTTCCATTTCAAAGTAAATTGGAGATTTTCCAATTCTCTTGGCAAACACGTTCCAACAATACTTCCAAAAAGTAGGTGTTATCATTCTGCAAAATAAACCCTTGTCAATGGAAATCGAAAAGGGATATCAAAATGATTATTTTACATGTTTTTTTTGAAGAGACTCGCCTTAATATTCTTCCAATTGACTCAAAACCAAGAACAATATCCAGCATAATTACTGAATGAAAGGAGAAATTAAAGATTCTTTAATACATTGAAATGTAATAATAATATAATATAAAGAACCAAAGCCAGAGAGAGAGAGAATGTAGAACATTTTTATCAGGAAGAACAATAGAAAGCATAGTGGGCACCAAATTTTAGTGAACTTGACTGAGAAATTTCTCTCTTCAATTTCATATATTAGCTTTATTTTCTGATGACGTCTGCTGCTTCACAGGCCATTGTTATTGAAACACAAAGCCACCAAAGAAACAACAAGAAGATCTCCATGCCATTTTTTTCTTCTGATAAGGTATTTAATTGTACGAATGATCAGAGTACTCACAATTAGCATTATTATATATAGGGAGCAGAACTGAAGGGATAGGATTTACTGGTAAGATTTTAATTTGGATTAAGGACTTGAAAAAGTATGTTAAAAAAAACCTATTTTAGCTATGACTTGTTTATTCTGTTTTATGTTTTATTTCTTTTTAATGACTGAAGTAAACAGTCTGTCATAGGTAATTTTTGAATTATCCAATAACCTATTAAACTCGAAAGAAATAATTGAAAGATTAAATTCATTAGATTAAATTATGTAATGCTATTTTAACTTTGGTGAGAATATTGCTCTGCAATTAGAAAAATTTTTCATTTCATTGCCAATACAGAACTATCTGATCATCGTACAGTGAGTCAAACTCGCGCCTTTATGTTACATGCGATTTTTACCTGGACTTAGTTTAAGATTTTTTTTTTATTTACCAAATATGGCCGTTATTCAATAACATAAACGTGGTGAACCAATTTTCAGGGTTGATTTCTGTAAGATTATAATAAATTGATCATTTGCTGTTGCTTGATATTAAGATTTCCTTTTATGTTATCGGATTAGAATGAAGAAATATTACATATTTATAATTTATATATTACTATATATATATATTATCTATAATTATTTATATATATTATTTATCTATAAATCTATATCATATATTAATTCGAAGCCAATTATAAGTCTCTGAAATTTTTAAAGCAATACGACCATTTTTTTAAAAATAAAAGATAGGACATTCATACATTTTCAAGAAATTAGTACACACTTAAATTAAGTAACTATATAATATTTCAAATAAATAAACAATAATTTAATCAAAATCATAAACTAAAATATAAAATACTTAATTCAATAACACAAAGCAAATTCAAAAACAAAAAAATTCCTCATAGTAATAAAAAAAATAGTGGTTGTTGTTTGTGTAAGGAGTAGTTCATATTACCAGGAGCTAGTTTCACGGACATTGACACGAGATACAGGATATAGGGATTACGACCCAATTTTTTTAAAAAGTAGGAGTCCATACTGCTTTAAGGACACATACATTAAAGAAGTAATACATTAATAATATTTCAAATAAATTAACATCATCAGCATTAAATAAAAAAAAATTCTTTAATTTTATTATTTCAAGTAGTAATGTGTAGTTAAATTCTCAAACATTATTTATCCGATTAGTTTCGCAAAAATCATATATAGTAGTGTGTAATACTTTTTTTATGCTAAGTCTACCATACATAACTTTTGTTATTTCATATCTTTATTGAAAAAATTCGACATGGTTCTCTGAAAAAACATATCTATGCATCGCAACTTTTCAGTATATCTTACCATCGCACTTTTCACATATCTCAATAAGATAAATTTTATCATTTTTTATAAATATTACATATTTTTTATTAATTGTTATAAAAATATGTATTCATTCTTTTATAATTTAACCTACGGCATCGTACGGATATATAAGGCGAACAAATAATTTATATTTCAGATAATATTCATATAAGGAGGAAAAAAAAACTAAATTCATTTTATTATATAATTTTACTATTTTTTATTAATGTTATAAAATATTATTTCATCTTTTAATATTACCCTACGCATCGTACGGATTATAAGGGAAAAAAATAATTATATTTTCAGATAATATCATATAGGAGGAAAAAAAACTAAATTAATATTAATAAGTAAAAACTTTTTTTTTTTTTTGAATAAGAAAGAAATATAAGGGAAAAGAATTCCCATAATTTTCTCTTCAAATTAAAAGAAAAATAAAAAACTAAAAAATAAATTTGTAGAGAAAAATTGATTTTATTTTTCTTTTATATTAAAAAAATAAGTAACAAAATTTTTCCCAAAAAAAAACGTAGTCCCTTCTTATTTTTTCTGATTATTTATTAATAAAAAAGATACAAAAATAAATTAAAAAACACTTCATAACGCGATACGGGAATGTACGCGATTCGATACTTTTTTTAAAAATAGGAGATTAAAAATAAGTATAATAGAATAATATTTCAAATAAATAAATAATCATTTATAATAAATCATAAACATAAAATAAAAAAATCCTTAATTTATTATTTCAATATAATTAGTTCAATTCTCAAAATTATTATCATTATTGAAAAATATATTAACAGTGTGTGTGCATTTTTTGATACAAGTCATACTAGGGGTGTCAAAATGGATCACGACACGCAAACACGATTCGCCTAACACTCAAAATAAATGGGTTGGAGTTGAGGTTAAATGAATTCGTGTCATAAACGAGTCACCCATTTACAACACGAATATAAATGTGTTGTGTCCCGGGTTGACACACAGGTTAAGTAAGTGACCCGTTTATTTAAGAGTAAAGAGGTAATTTTAGTGTTAGATATAAATACTTCAACTAAACCTTATCTAAATTTTATTGTTGTATTACTTTTTTATTTTAATTATGAATCTTGAAGAATTTATGCATTTTACGTGCGAAAATTTATTTTCAAATATGATAGGAGTTAAATAGGTTAAAAGTTAAAAATACTATAAGCAAATTAAGTGAATCATATATAGATCAACACATCCACTTAATCTATTTATGATATTAAGCGGGTTACACAAGTTGTATATGGGTCAACACGACCCATTTAACTTATTTATAGTATTAAGCGGGTTAAATATGTCGTGTTAGTGTCAATTGTCTAATTTTCGTGTTGTGTTTGTATCGAAGTTATAAGAAATTATTTCATTTTTTAATATTACTACGCGCATCGCGTGGGTTCTGACACTAGTAAAATAAAAGGAGAAAATAGTAAAAAAAAAAAATTTTTCTCTTGATATTTTCCTTTTTCTTTTTTGGATGGGAGAAAAATAGTTATATTTTTCCTTATGTTGGAAGCTATAAATTTACAATTTAATTTTATTATTCTATATTTGTAGACGTATAATAAGGAAGGGTACTACTAGATATTATATATGAATATTTAGAGAGATTACATATCTCTAATATTTCGATACATATTTTCTTTTCATAATTATTTTCTTTTTTATTCCCAAAATGGGGAAATCACTCTCCCTCTTTATTTTTCTCAACTATTTGTTATTGTTAGGGATGTAATTATAAATATATTTCACTTTTGTTGGAGTCAATTGTGATTTAATTGTTAAGTTTCAGATTAAGCAGTAATTTGTCATTTTGAGCTGTAACTTGTAAATGGTTGCTGATGAGCTGCTGAGTATTGCTGAATTGTTATTCATGCACAACAGTTGACTTTTGACTAATCAATAAATTTGAACTTTTTTTTTTTTTAGAGAAGACCCTCTTATTGTAAAACCTGTAATTAATATCAATGTCACATATCTTGGTTATACTTATTTTAAAATATAAATAATTATTAAATATTATTAAAAAATATAATTTATTTATATAATATAGTTATGGTCATTTTACATTTTATCAACTAACATTCGTTAATTAACAACTATTAGCCATTACCTACGTGTCAAAACCAACTAACTACCAACAGCTACCAGATACCATAAGTAGCTAAGTCAAAAAGGATTTACACTGAAACTGATATCAACTTCAATGGTAATTAAAAAAAGAAAAATACAGTATCTACAGTCATTAGATATATACAACAAACATATTCATATAAGATAAAGAAAAAATTATTCTGGTACTTACATAAAACTCTATTGAATGTATTGTAAATGACCTATTGAAATTTACAGAAGGCGCAAGCGTTTCAGATACCTCCATGAAAGTAATGCTGAATGGCTAGGCTCCATGAGCAACCTTGATGAAGACATCCTCTAACGTGGTATCGGAGAGACCCCAAGCGAAAACTGGGAATCTGCTTTTTGCAATCTCAACTGCATGAAATACCTCTGCAATTTTGACTTCATGTTTTGCAATCTCAAACTTCTGTGTTCCAGAAGTGTGATATGTCCTTTCGGCATTAGGGGAGAGTTTCTGCACCATGTTCACCACCTCTTCCTCGTGTTCCGAAGATGTTGTCATTGTGAACACATAAGAACCACCATATCTACCTTTCAGCTGTTCATAAACAGAAAATTGTAATAAGACACCCGAAGGCACTTGGGTTGCTCAAGTTTTAGTCAGCATCGAACAGAAGAAGGCAGTTCATGCCATGGACTAACGAATGTCATAAAAGTTAAAACAGAATTTAGTTTGACTCCAAAGAGAATCTTATATTAAGTTTCTGGAAATTAGTTTGAATATGGAAAACAATACATAGTGAAAAAACGAGGGCAGAGGAAAACATGTCATATGTGCACAATGCATGCATGTGTGTTTACATATAAAAGCTTATGTAAACAGCACCAGAACCACAAATTGGAAACAAATGGAATATATAGGTACTTTGCCATTTAGCTTATAGCACGCTGCTATCTTTGCACCGTCCTTGCGATATACCAGTAAGTAACTCAAGCAACTTACTTTTTCATATCTTATGTAAAAGGAAAAAGAATTCAGATTTAACAAAATAAGGGAATGAAGTTTAATAATAAAGAATTTAAAGAAGTGAAAAACATGCCCATTGTGGCAATCCATATACAAATAGTAAACAGAATTACTAAGTAAAAACATTACTTCAACATTAACTTATTACTTACCTCTTTTGGATTTCCTATGCACCGCAAGCTGCCATCAACAAAAATCCCTAATCGATCACACAAGGCCTCTGCCTCTTCCATTGAATGTGCTGGAAAACATGAAACAAATATAATTAATGACAAGGGCCGAAATTCTTTCTGCCACTAACAGAGTACCAAAACTTGAGATTGGGAAAGAATGAGTACTGGTGAGAATAATTGCCGAGTGTTGCTTTGCATGCTTCACTACATTCCACAAATTGCTTCTCGAAGCTGGATCTAATCCAGTACTGGGTTCATCCATGTAGACAACCTTGCAAATTTGCAGTTATTGTGGCATAAGATGCATTAAGGAATTTTGTTATCCAAAGCCAAAGGATTCTAGTGGAAAAGAATTTTTAAAAGAGATTGCAACTTACCTTAGGTTCCCCAATCAATGATATTGCAACACTAAGCCTCCTTTTCATGCCTCCACTATATTTCCCAGCTTGTTTGTCAGCAACCCCACCATTACACAAGTTGACACTCCTGAGAGATTCTTCTACAGCCTATAGCAAGCAGAATGTGAACAGAAAAGTGAAACTCAAAGATCCGATCCCCTTAGCTTAGCTAGTCAGCAGTGTGAGTATGAGTATGATCAACCTCAGTGCTGATTATATCATTCTCTCTCTCCAACCCAAAGTTAATATATTGCACAATTCACCCATACGATCCATAGATTTCCTTAAAATTGCATCCTATGTTTGTCTAGAATCTAGTTATGGCCTTCTGCTTCATCTCTGTCTATCCAGGCATCCATGTGTGCTTTAGCTTCTTTGTATGTCAAAATTTCTAACCTTGCCTATCAGATTTTCTGCATAACTTTTGTACAATTCATATATACCAGAGCAATTTTTATGCTTTGAGATTAGGAGGAAGCACAAGGACTATAAACTTCCCAATTTTCCAATTGAAATCCTGTTGGTCTCTTGCAGCTACTAATTGGTTAAAGAAAGCACTGCTTTTAAATCAAAATCTAAGAGCAAAAAGGAAATGCCTTACTTGTTTCAAGGCAGAACCTTTTAGGTTCTTAAGTCTTCCATAAAACAGTAAGTGCTCCCTTGCCGTCAAAGTTTCCCAGAGCAGGCTAAAATTTGTCAAGAAGCACCGAAAATATATTACAAATCGGCCGGTTTTGAAGTTCAGGGTGAAAATGAATTGTCTGAAGATTTTAACAAGGATTTTAGCTTACTCGTGCTGAGGGCATACACCCATACTGGTATAAATCCATTCCATATGAGTCTGTATGTCCAAACCCTGAACACATGCTGTTCCCGAGGTTGGCTTAGTGAGCCCAATCATCTGAACAGCAGAACAAAAGAACAAATGTTATACAAGCATTTTAAAATTAATGAATCTAATTTTGAAAGAAAATTATCAAGCCGAAAATTATATCTGCATCAGTCGGATAGAAACTCAGGACTATGGAGAAGCAACGTGAAGTACAAAGGAGAGGTCAAATGTAAATATCTGTGTCCACTTTATGTGAAAAAAGGCTTGGAAAGAGTGACCGTAACCCAGGTCACTCACCCCGAAATTCTTCTTTTGCGAGATCAACAATTTACAAAGTGACGCTTAGTACCATCTCTTGAACATTTGTCAGTTCCAGTACAGAACAAGAAAGTATAAAATATTGGAAAACCTATCATATTTTGGCCTGTCCTAACCAGTTCCACAGTAATCCATACTTCTAAAAAAACTAGCGAGACATTTTTGCTATTAGGGAACTGGTATAATTTAGATGCTAGAAAACCAAAAAGAACTTTATACCCACCATACTAATGAAAGAGGTCTTCCCAGCACCATTAGGACCGAGCATACCAAAACACTCCCCTGGAGACAATGCAAGAGATAATCCTCTCACGGCCAGTTTCGCAGGGTTTCCATCCCTTCCAGGGTACACTTTTTTCAGGTTGTCACAGATGATTGCATGACTTGTGCTTGGCTCCAGCAATAACTGCTCGACCTTCTCCCTCTGTTTAGAAAAAAAAGTATAGTTTTTAATAAATATATTGTCAGATTAACATTTAAATATGACTGACACTGCAGAACTGGTGGCAAAATTTTCTTGAAAAAAAGAAAGAAAAAAAATAGTAAATTTTGAAAAAGTCAGAAGTAAGATTAATGCTACAGCTCTGTTGCGATTAAAGGCAGAGATAGAATCAAAGTAGTTTGGTATACAATTACTGATGCAACCACATTAATCATTATGCATTTCAAAACTGAAACAGAAAAAAAAGTTAAGCATCCAGTACTGTAAGAAAAAAAATTATGAATGCAAAAGAACTTATGGAAGTATTGTTAATAGCCTGATAACATATATACAAGCGCATAGTTAATAATGAAACCAGATATAAGAAAAATGTTACCTCCTGAATGACATCAGGTTTATCCATATCAACAAAAACTTTCGATTCCTGCCTTCGCAAACTAGGCTTCCGAAGAGAAGATGGATGTTTCTTCCCGAACTTTTCAATGAAAAAGAGAAAACTTTTCCCACTTCCAGATGATGCAACTTGATCCATATAGTATGCAAAAAAAAGTATGACTAACCACTCAACAAGCATGATAATCAAGACCTCTCTCATTCCGTTTTTGCTATCACTCAAATTTTCCCAGTGCATCCCGTCAGTCCCCATTGCATTCCCTGTGAAAGAATATAGTGAAAACTCGTATAAACCTCGAACCAGAGAGAAACCAGGATATAACTCCATCAAAATGATCCATCCTCCTGCAACAAAGAGTAAAATCAAGATGGTTACATCTGGTGAAAAAATAATGCATACATACCCTACAGAAACATTGAAACTGGCAATCTAAAGCAAAAATGTTGGAAAATTATGCAAGCCAATGATACAGTAGATACGCTCGAATAACCCCTTCTTTCTCATAATGAGAATGTTTATAAGCCTATTCCAGTCTGGTCCGGTATGGATGAACTTATAATCATGGAATTGACTTGATTATCATAGATTTCTTAAATTCAATCAAACTCATTTGAACCCTCCAAAAAATTTGTTAAAGAGCTGGATAATTAGTTACTGCTCTGATCAAGTGGCATAAATCCAAACATATACCATGATTCGCATGCATGCCATCAGTTATCTTAAAAAATTAGCAGTAGAAAAATAAGAAAATGGAGAAAGAAAAAAAAATCCTAAAAAGTATAAATTGCATAACTCCAATAAATAAAAAAAAAATCCTAAAAAGTATAAATTGCATAACTCCAATAAATGTCCTAGTCCTACTTACTCGGGAATGATGAGTCTTCAACAAAGTTTTGGAAAAGGAAGCCACCTAAGAGCCCAGTTCCAAAGACGCATATGTAGCCCACAACTGTAACCATCAAAGTCCAACCATAAAAGGTAAGAAACCGACTAATATTTTGAAATATAAATATTGAATAGAAAAGAAAATTTAATAGCTAGCAGCAAACCTGTAGCAGTCTTAACATTTGAAAAGAATGCAGCAAGGAGAAAGGCCAAGGAGATTTGCAAGTTAATATATATAAAGAAAAAGACAAATTGAATGCTGTAGTCATTCAGTGTGAAGAATTTCAATCCTGCAATTTAAATTTGTTAGTAACTTAAAGCAAAAGCAACAAAGAAAGCATATAAGTGGGACGATTACCTATAACTGAGCCAAATACCACGAAAACCAACATATACATGAAAGAAATGGAAAGAAAATATGAATAAGAAATCATCCAATAAGGCCCATCACCAAGTCCATGCATTTTCATCATAATCCTCAATTTTTGCTGTTTCTCGTATACTAATGATGATAGCACCACCTACATAAAAGAAAAAACATAGAGATTGCAGAACTTGAAAAATATTACAAGTTAGTGGAAATTAGCATCAAGGATGAAATAAAGAATAAGGACACACTCAAACCATTAAGTTTCAAATAAAATTTGTAAAATGCAGCTCCAAATTAACTTTTCTTTTCTAAACATCGTTAGCTGGAATACAGGTCATGCAGCTATCATCAGTGGAACAATTGCAAACTATGACCAAATAGATGTCCAATTGCGGAACACATCCAACTGGATACAATTTATGTTCCCTCTCGGGTTTCAGCTCAAAGGACTGGGATTGGACATTTGGCTGGTTTGGTTCAAACTGAACCACCAAACCAAATTTACTGAATTTTCATTGAAAGAAATCAAACCAAACCAAAATTCATTATGAACCGAACCAAATTGGCTTGGTTCAATTTGCTCGTCTTTGATCAGTTTTCCTTTGGTTTTTCAGATTCTTCAAACCGAACTGAACTGAAAAAATTTCAGTTTTTCCTCAATCAACTGAAAATAAAATCGGGTAGAAAAACATTGAACTGAACCAAAACCGGTTTGGTTCAGTTTTCGGTTAACCAAACTGTTTGTCCAGCCCTACAATAGACAGGAAAACCTTAAAATGAAAATTCAGTAGTTAAACAAAAGAAACTTGTGTTAATTTTGCAACAAAAGATTTGTTGTGATCACATGTAACAATCCTTGTGGTATTGACCCTTCCAATGCTAATGAACAGAAATTGACATGCTTACAGGGAAAAGCTGCAGAATAACCCATGTAAAGAAGAGTGTCCCAAGAAGAGATGCAAGATCCACATTGATCCTGCTGGCTGCTTTAGGCATTTCTTTGACAAACTCAAATAGCATTTTCGTACCAGGTCCTTGCAAAAACTGAAGGTATGCATTTGATACCTGTAAACAAAATAACAAATCTTAGGTTAGATTACAGTTTAATTTGAATGATGGAAGGCAAGTACAATAAGTTAAAAAAAAAAAAAAAAAAATCTAATTATAGTTAAAAAATAAAAAAAATAAATGAATAACGAGAAAAAGATCTTCTTATAATATGATAAATCCTTCACTGAAGTATTTATTGAAACTCTTCGAATCTGCATTTATCCTGATCTAATACACATATTCTACAAAATAAAAAAAAAAAAAAAAAAAGAGGAACACAGAAATATAAGAATCTTTCGTTATAATAATGATAATCCTTCATGAATTATTATTGAAACTCTTCGAATTCGCATTTTACCCGATCTTATGATACACAATTCTACAGAAACAAATATGAAGCAAGGTTCATGAATTTAAACATACAATCCAATAAGCAATCAAGAGTCTACAATAAGTCAGTGCAGAATACTGAAATAGAAAAGTAAAACATAATGAAGCAATCAGAAGGAAAAGAAAAAGCAATCTACTCAAGAAAGACTGCTAAGGAAACTAGCCTACTCCAGAATGCAAAAGAGTGTCAGGCACCCAATAGATAGCAACTTGCAATGTTTTTCCTTTTGGTCTATTAATCTTGCAGAACTTTTGGACATATAAAAGCTCCCAGTGCCACAGTTCTCAAGGACCCAAAAAAGAATAACAAATATGAAAACTAGAAAACTCTTTACCCATTATGTATGCAAATTCAAAATACGTACAAGATTAACTGATCGCGGAACCCGCAGAAAGTTAAATTGACCTTCAATATCACCATCCTTGTAGGTTGAATTGTACCATATGCTCACATTAAAAATACTATCATTAGAGTTTAAGAAATCATAGGCTGCAAAAGATTAAATTTGTTAGAAACCCTCATACATACATTCACACAAAATAATTGCATCAGAATCAGGAAGAGCAACCTGCAAGTATCTCATTGATCTTTCTTTCCGAATTCCCTCTGCGGTATCCTTTGTATAGCTGCTCATTTACCTCAGAAGAACTATTGCGCCATAAGTGTAGATCTTGAACACATGCTGCCTCTGTATTTAAGACAAGAAATGAAAAATAAAATGAAAAACAAAATGTTACATGATTGGAGAACTAAAAGGGATGGAAAAATGAGCCAGCTACACAATAGTTATTATGCTGCAGATGCGGATTCTTAATCCAGCCAATAAGTCACAGCTTGTATGACTTCAAAAAAGTAAAGAAGGCAAGCAATGCCATTGCACCTTGTAGATTAAGTAGCACAACCAAGCCAGTAATGTTTGCCTCCAATAATATAATTTGCATGATAAGTTTACTGCAGAAACTACGCAAATTTTACTAGTAAGGTAATAAACTTCTACCTTTTTGAAATTCAATGACTGACTGAACAGAAATAGAGAATGTTGAGTTTGAAGTGCATTGACTCTGAACATAATAGAGAGGAGAATCCTCAATGAAAACTGGTTCAAGAAAATTGTCTCGTTTTGGCTCTGTATCTGAACCCTGAAGCATTTTGAGAAGTCAAACTAGAGAACAACCTACTTTCAAAAAAATTATTTATAAAAGTGAAGCTGAATGCTAAGTGGAACAAAATGCAAAGAGAGAGACAAACAACTTACGAATACATTGTTGGCTAAACTATCCACAAAGTTTGAAGGATTCAGAGTGAAAGAATTTGGGAACATATTCGCAGCCCAAACTGTATAGAAAAGCAAAAATTCACAATTAAGTTTAACATAAAACTGACCTTTTCATTTTCAATTTCCCAGCAGGTCTGAAAAAGCAGAACTGGAGAACTAAAAGTAAGATGCACACAAAATGAAAATGGGAAACAGAATCATGCAGGGAAGCAAGAAAGAGTGCAAAAAAAAAACACACACGCACACATGCACGCACGCACTGATGTTGAGACAAAGAAAGAAATATACTTTCTCCAAGTGATTGATTTTTTCCAGTGAAAAGTACAGTTACAGGACAGGACCCTGTCTGCCTGCATGACTCATCTGGCAAGTCCATCATTGGGATAACATCAGATCTGACTGCACGATACTGGGGAGCTGGAATTTGTAATAGGGGAGGCCATTGTGGGGGGTTTGGTATGGGACAAGTGGCTACTTGATCCAAAGTCGAGTATTGTAAACCACAAACTTTCTCGGGTACTCCATCTCCATTTGTATCAACATTAGCACATCCGCAAGTCCTACTAGCCTTGTTGAATTCATGGTCAACCAAACGTTGAGTGATAACAAGTAGTAGGCAGAGGACAAATGGAAACATAATGAGCCTGCAATTTGTCTTAACATTTCGTTTCTGGGGAAAAAAGTATAAAAAGAAAAGGAAAAAGATAAAGAAGTTTAATATTCTTATGTCACAGAATTTCATAATATGAATAAAGCCTCAATGAAATTGAAATTAATTAAAAACTAAAAGGAAAGGATAATTTGCAGTAAATATAAGGAATAAGCAAATTGATTATTCCAACTCTAAAATCATAATAATCCAATACAACAACCAAGCTCAAGGGATGGGCACATTCAAATCAAAACTCTGCCCCATTAATTATTGGAGCTACTGACCAAAGAATTTGACTAACAACTTAAAAAAAAAAGGAAAAGTAAAAAACAAGAAAAAAAAACGAACAAATCCTTGATCAACTACCAAAGTGAGGTATTATAATAAAGTCTCCGGATTTACAGCCAGAGAACCGACATTAGAAGCGGAAATAAACGACATAAACAAGTATATACGCGTGGAGAGAATGAGAGAGAAGGAGAACCTGATAAGTTAAGTTCTTCCTAAGCAAAGCATCAGCTTGAGTCCAGAAATTCGCAGGGCCATGTGACGGGTCCGCCATGGATGTACTAAGCTAGTACAGCAATATGCTCAGATATAAATTACCGTTGAAGTTTCCCGCCAGAAGTGGAAGATACGTTTTTTTTACTCCTTTTTCAATTGCGCAATTGTTCGTTTTTAGTTATAATTGGAATGGATGGCAATTACAACTGAATACTCTCTGCCATTTTCTCCGCTGTGGATTTTGTTTCCGTTTGGCTTTAGTACAAGTAAGCGATCAAATGAGGCAGACGTCCGCCATTTTTAAGTGCTTCATTTGCTAAGTGAAGTGACCAATTTACCCTTGACATTTTTTTAACATTATTTTTTATATATATGTAAATGTCTGTAGTACCCTTACCTTGTCCTCACAAATTGCCAATCGCTTTAGTGGAAGACCCAAAACGTCCTTACGGTTGGTCTAAAATCACAAACGTATCCTTTCGCGCTTGTTTCCCCTTCTTTTCTGTGAGTTAGTTAGTGTGGATGTTGACATGGAATGAAAACGAATTTTTTTTTTTTTAAATTAGGATATTTTTACTATTTACTATAAAAAAACAAATTACAAATACTTTTTAAAATTTTTATCATGATTGACTTGGTCTAAATTATAAATGGATCTTCTATCAAAAAATAAAATAAATAAATAAATAGATCCATAAATCAAATATAGGTAAGTTTTAATTCTTATAGTACGAGGTGTGAATAACAAAAATGAAAAAAAAATAAATTGATCCGTGAATTATATTTATGATTTCACGAATTGGTCCTTAGATAATCTCTTTTAATCCATAGTTAATTAAGAAATTATTTCCTCCTACCTTATTTACTATTTCCGTTAACTTTAGACCTCTTGGTTTAGAAGAAATGATAAAAATATTAATAAAATCATAATTTTTAAAAATTTCATAATTAATATTAAAAATAGAGATTTTTCCTATATTCATTTATTTATAATTCATACAACGATTTATTGTTTTTTTATTAAAAAAAATATATGACGCCACCCTTTGATTTAAACAGATTTATACACTCACCACCTCCACTTTATGTTTACGTGCGAGTGGCCTCACCACCACTTTATACTTCCTTGTTTGGCTGCAACTCTGGGTGGCCACGTCAAAGGGGTGTTTCATCACCTTACTCTCATGGTAGATTTATGAGCCTTTCGTGTTTAGTAGAAATTAAAACAACGAATTCAGAAAGTTGGATATATTTTATATATTTCACCAAGAATTTTGTCATTTTAAATTTTTTTCATATTAACTTTCTTTAGTTAAAATACTTGCCTTTTGAGTTGCAGAAATAACAACTCAGTGTATTTATTATTTTAATTCATTTTCTTAAAACTAAACAAATAAAACAATAATTATATAATTTTAACGGATTTTCAAGAATAATGGTATTTGTAAAAATTTCAGTTACTAAATCTCAATTTAAATTGTAAAATATATATATATATATATATATGGTGGGAGACTCAATGCTGATTGGATCCACCTTGGTGACTGTGTCGTATTATATAGTTAGATTTGCACATGAAATGTCAAAAAAAAAAAAAATCATACGTAATCTAAATTTTAGAAAATTTATGATTTTTAAGTAAGCATCCAAAGTCAATGACCCATCTTAATTAATTAAATGGAATAATAATATTATAATAAAAATGTTATACAGAAGTTTAATTAAGTCTACAAGTATGGAATTGCATGGAAAGATAATATATGGTCACAAGCAATTAAGCATATGCCTTTTTCTAAATGTCCCTTTCTAGTTTCTTGGAAGACAAGGCATCCTCAAAATGGTTGTCGAATTGAAATGTTTACTTGGAAATGTCTATAAACCTTAATAATATTCAACAATAATATTATTAACAAGGTCCATGCATTATTATTTTTTGCCTAATAATATTCTCTTTTCCCATTTTGAATAGACAGCAATATTATTTGTATATTATAATTATAAATATGTCAGCTTCATCCTAATTCCTAAGGCATATAAATGTATAGCTGTAATGAGAAAATGCTGAATGGCTAGGCCCCATTAGCTACCTTGATGAAGACATCCTCCAAGGTGGTATCAGACAGACCCCAAGCAAAAACTGGGAATCTGCTTTTTGCAGTCTCAACTGCGTCAAATACATCTGCAATTCTGACCTCATTTTTCGGCATTTCAAACTTCTGTGTTCCGGAAGTGTAGTATATCCTTTCAGCATTGGGGGAGAGTTGTTGCACCATGTTCGCTACCTGTTGCTCGTGATCCAAAGACGTTGTCATTGTAAATACATAAGATCCACCATATCTAGCCTTCAGCTGCCATGAACCATACAAACATCAAACTAAATTGTAAAAGCCATATCTAAAATAAATAATAAGAACAAGAAAAAGAACAAATAACATCAGCATAGACTCGTGCTTGTGCAGCTCGAGTCTAGTCAGTAGCATTTATGCTATATATTGTATCTTTGCTCAGATGAAGGCATTTCAAGCCATATATATATGTATATCAAGCTCAAGAAGTAAACTTAAAGTTTTGTAGTAGAAATTTAACTTTCAAAAATACAAAATTTATGGCACAATGTCAAGGCATACTGGCATGGCATACAAATCATTTAGTAGCTTAAGAAAACAAGTACTTCGTAAAATAAGGGTATCCCCATGAGAAAGAAGTGTACAAAAAATCTCCAAGTACCAGAATAAATTTTACAGGAAATTTACCTCTCTCGGGGTTCCTATGCACTGGAAGCTGCCATCTACAAAAACTCCTAATCGATCACACAAGGCTTCTGCCTCTTCCATAGAATGAGCTAAAAGCATGAAAACAAGCATCCTTAATTACAAGGGATACAAAATAATTAAGCACACAAATTGAAAGGGAAAGAGAGAAAGAGAGAGTACTGGTTAGAATAATTGCTCTATCCTGCTTTGCACACTTAATAATATTCCATAAGTTTCTTCTTGAAGCTGGATCCAAACCAGTACTGGGTTCATCCATATAAACAACCTTGCAAATTGTTGAGAATAATCATGACAAACTGCATTGAAGCAGAACTGCTATCCAAAGGTTTCATGCAGCAATATAAGTTCATTACTACATACTTTGGGATTTCCAATGAGTGATATGGCAACACTAAGCCTCCTCTTCATGCCTCCACTATATTTCCCAGCATGTTTATCAGCAATCCCATCATTAAATAGATTGACACTCTTGAGAGATTCATTCACTGCCTGCAGCAAAATAGAATGTTTAGCACAGTAAAGAGAAACAAAAATTTATCCCATTAAGCAGGACCAGCAAACTAGATTTACGCTCATTTTTCGAACAGAAAATGACATTCTAATAACAATCCAAGAAAGTCAAGATGGCAATAACTCACTTTTTTCAAGGCAGAACCTTTAAGATTCTTAAGTCTGCCATAAAATAGTAAGTGCTCCCTTCCTGTCAGGGATTCCCAGAGAAAGCTAAAATTTGGCCAGAGAAAGTAAAACAGGCAATTATTAAAAGTCATGTTTAAGCTGAGGATGAAGATGTATTCTTGAAGGAAAGAATGAGAATATTAGCTTACTCATCTTGTGGGCAAACGCCCATGCTGGTATAAATCCAATCGATTTGAGTTTGCAAGTTCAAATCCCAAACATATGCCGTCCCCGAGGTAGGCTTTGTGAGCCCAATCATCTAATTCAGAGAATAAAATCTTAAATTACAGCACCAAACTACTAATTTGATTCTGAATTTGCAAGCAGATTCTTAGAAAATAAAATTTAAAAATTTCTGCGTCAAGCAGTCCTTCCAATAATAAATTCAAGCAGGACATTATAGCAACTACAGAAGACAGAGGAAGCATTAATAATGACTTCAAGTTGAGTGCGTCACTTATACAAAAAACACAAGAAGTGATTGCCAGGATAGAAATTTCAGCAGGAGTAACTTATACCTCTCCCGAATGTTTACTATGTTCCAATGCAGCCAAAATAGGTGCAAATTCTTGAAAACAATGGCATTTTCTCATCATATGTTAAGAGTTATTAACAGAAGCCTTCACAATATCCACATGACAGGGGAAGTTAATGGAATGTCTAAAGTTATGCATGTTAGAACTCGGGAAATGAATGAATAATTTTATACGGACCATGCTAATGAAAGAGGTCTTCCCTGCGCCATTGGGACCTAGCATACCAAAGCACTCCCCTGGAGGCAAAGCAAGAGATAATCCCCTAACAGCAATTTTATCAGGGTTTCCATCCCTTCCTGGATACACCTTTTTGAGGTCGTCACAAATGATTGTATGATTTGTGCTTGGCTCCAGAAGTAACTGCTCAACCTTCTCCCTCTGCATAAGAAGAAAAAAGGAAAGGAAAAAAAAAAATAAAACACTAGTTAAAAAAAAGTAAGCGAAATAAGTGAAAAAATATCTGGCAAAGAATTAACACTAATGCAAGAGCTCCGCAATAGTTAGAGACAAAGGATTAAAACCACCACCCCAAAACATCATATTCATTAATAGTGCAACCACATTTTCCATGAGCCACGTCAAAAATGAAGAGAAGATAAACATCTGCTGTTTCACAAAAAAGGAACAATAAATGACAATGTGACAAAAGATTTTAGTTTATAGGAACTAGGTCTGGAGGTTGAATTTAGGTGTTCATCTATAGGCTTATTTGCAAGGTTGCTTTGATTTTTAATAGGGATTTTGTTGTCAATGATAATTTTTTTGGTCCCAATTTCCTAAAGATTGATGATATAAATTCAAGATATTTAATATATACGGAAACATATGCATCAATTAACATGCCGAGTCAGCAATCTCTATTCAGTAAGGAACTCATGTTTTCAGAGTTCTCTTACCAGAGGTACCTGATGCTTCTCCATGACCTGAGGCTAGTTTTGTTAGTTATGGTGCTAACACGACAATTTTTAATAAAAAATAATATATCAAAACTTCGCCTTTTTCTATCTCAACCTACAAATTTCCTCACAAATTTGAGCAACATGAACTGCCCTAGCAAGTGCACTAGGCAGAACAGGACTTGGCCACTGCATGAATGCCAAGTACAGAAGTCAAATAAGTAAACTATACCTCCTGGTGGATGTCAGGTTTATCCATATTAACAACAACTTTAGATCCCTGCGTTCGCAAACTGCGCTTCCGAACTGATGCCTGGCGCTTCTTCCCAAAGTTTTGCAAGCAAAACAGAGGATTTTTCCCACTTCCAGATGATAAACATTGATCCATATAATATGCGACAAAAAGAACCACGAACCACTCAACAAACATGATAAAGAAGAGCTCTATCATCCCATTTCTTACATCATTTAAATTCTCCCACTGCATCCCTTCACCTGCAGCATATTCTGAGAACTCATATAACCCACGATATAGAGAGAAACCAGGGTATAACTCCAATGCAATCAACCAGGTTCCTGAAACAAAAGCAAATAAATCCCATAATGAGCAAATCTGGTGCAGAAGTATGAACATTATAGTAAACAGAACCTAGGCAACCTCCAGCAAGAACTGTGGATAATAATGCTTTATAAACTACCAACAAAGAAATGTTACATGGCGCACAGAAGATGTAACACTAGTTTCTAAAATTCAATCAAACAAATTCAATCATAACCCTCCTCACATCTATCAGAATGTCAGAGAATGAAGCTACTGCAAAATATAGTGACATTAAACCTAAACTTTTGGTCTCAATTCCCAAGGATGCCACAGTTTTCTTGAAAACCCATGAGAGAAGAAGAAGAAAGGGAATGATTCCTGAATTTCAAAAGAAACCAACGAAGTTGTAGACGCTTCTCTTTTCCAAACTCTTCGACTTACTTGGGAATGATAAATCTTCAAGAATTCCTTGAAAAAGAAAGCCACCTAGCAGTCCGGTTCCAAAGATGTAAATGTAGCCGACAACTGCAACCATCAAGGACAAGGGAACTAGTTAACATTAAAATTAAACAACAACAAACAAATAAATCAAATAACTGACATCAAACCTGTAGCAGTCCTAACATGTGAAAAGAATGCAGCAACCAGAAAGGCCACAGAAATTTGCAGATTTATGTAGATGAAATAGAAGACAAATTGGATGCTGTAGTCATTCAGTTTGAACATTTTCAACCCTGCAATTAAAGTGCATTAGTAAGTAGAAGCAAAAGCCAAAAGAAAAAAAGGAAAGCATTTTTCATGGGCTTATTACCTGTAAATGAGCCACAAATCACAATAAGTAACATGTATATCAAAGATATGGTAAGAAAATACAGATAAGATATGAGCCAATAAGGTCCATCATGAAGACCATGCATTTTCATCATGATCCTCAGTTTTTGCTGTTTCTCATAGACCACGGATGTGAACGCCACCTACACAGCAATGTGAAGTATAAAAGATTAAATTACTATTTTTTTTTTTTTTTTTTTTTTTACGCAATGTGAGTATAAAAGATTTAAATTACTATTTTTTTTTTTTTTTTTTTTTTTTTTTTTTTTTTTTTTTTTTTTTTTTTTTTTTTTTTTTTTTTTTTTTTTTTTTTTGTAAAGAAACTACCTAAGAAAGAGCTAACACTAATTCCATCTTATGGACTTACAAAGTTGAAGAATATAATTCAGCATGCAGGCCAAAGTCAGGAAGCTAGTCTAAAGCATTCAGCTCTGAATGAAACGTGCAAAAAGCAACTTCCAGTCAAGTTTACCTTTTCTAAGGGATGCAGGTCAAGTGAAGTAAGCATCAATCTTATAATTTCTCACTATGACCAAACATATGTCCAGTTAGTGAATATAGTCCAATTAGGCAACAATTCAAACACGGTATATTCTTTTGAAGTATCTGTTCATAGAATATCTTTGCACTTTTGCATAGCAGCAACCTATAAACCTATGGAGGTATCCACATCAAAAAACTGATTGTCATTTCCAAAATATTTTTTTAAAAAAATCAAAGGTGTTTTTTCAATAAAAAGGATAACAGACTTACTTTATTTCTTGAACAATAGGCTTATCATTTTCATATAAGACACTTTTTACATACTTTACTAGTAAGGGCCAATAAAATAATTGTGGTTTGACTGATGAAGTTGGCCTTGATTCAAAGGATGGCAAAAAACATAAGTTTCAAGAAGATCAAAGTTAACAACCAATGGTTCACAAACTTACAAGGAATAGCAGTAGAATAACCCAAGTAAAGAAAAGAGGATAGTAACTTGATATATCAAAATTTCTTCGGGTGGCAGGTTTAGGCATTTCCTTGACAAACTCAAATAGCACCTTTTTACCTAACCCATGCATAATCTGAATGTAAGCATTTGATACCTATAAACAAAGTATTGTAACAGTTAGTGTCTATTACAGCACAATATAAAGTATGAATGATAAAAGGTCAGAAAGCAAGCAAATAAGCAATCAGAAAAGGGCGTATAGAAAAAATAGAATTCTATAACAGTTAATTTGAATGATGCAAAGAAAGGGAGAGAATAAATTAAATTAAACAAAAGCATAAATAGTAAGAAAATTATGTTATATATTTTAATCATAAAACTAACTTTGTCAATAGACTTCCTAAATGGAACATGCTTCACATAAAATATAAATAAACGGACTTCAAATATAAAACAAAAATGAGATGGGCATTTGTATACTTATGCAAACAACATTTACATATTTTACACGAAATGAAAATTCACAGTGCAATGATTCTCAAGAGTAAAACCCAAAAACCTAATGAATACCAGGCTAATATAGCAATTACGAATAAATAAATATATACCATATTCACTAAGCATGGAACCCTCAGCAAAGTGGTTTCTCCAGAACGACCAGAACCAGCACCAACAGTGAAATCTCCATAGTTCATTGGATCGTACCAAATACTCACATTAAAAATCTTCCGGTCACTGTTTAAGAAATCATAGGCTGCAGAAAAAGATAAACATATCAGTATTCCTTAAACATAGTGATATTACAACCACACAAAAATTAATATCATATTGCCACCTGCAAGTATCTGACTGTTCTCTTTGTATATCTCTTCATTTATCTCAGAGGAACTACTGTGCCATGGAGTTAGAGCTTCAACACAAATTGCCTCTATTTTCAAATAACATGTGAGTAAGCAAAGAGTCAGCATGTCAAAAAGTATGTGTATATACTATTTTCACACATATATACAATGTGAGTAAGCAAAGAAGTCAGCATGTCAAAAAGTATGTGTAAGTATATATATATATAATAATATATATTATATATATATATTTACGAATAGCTGTGGAGGATGAATTAATGCACAGTTTATTTCTGTATTCATGCTGGTGCGTTGGCAGGCTTTGCTTCATGCCACAATGTCACAATTGCTCACTTCAGAAAGTATGGCATTAAATTAAGAAAGGTAGAATTGTCCATTTCACATCTTTTGGAGCGAATATATGTTTTTCCAGAACCAGTCTCACTTGAGGCTGTATGACGCTTCTCAATTCACAGTGTTGGTTTTTAAATTCGACCGGGTATTTTTACTAAGTCTATTACTCTTTTTCCTGAATTTTATTTTATAAATTTCTATTTGGCCAATACATTCATATTACTAATAATGATGAAAAAATGAATTCAAAATTTCTAATCATCAGACTCCTCTCTTCATGATGAAGCCAATCATTACTCTTGCACATATATATATTACGAATAGCTGTGGAGGATGAATTATGCAACAGTTATCATGCTGTGCGTTGGCAGGCTTGCTCATCCACAATGTCACAATTGCTCAACTTCAGAAAGTATGGCAGTTAAAAAGAAAGGTAGAATTGTCCATTCACATCTTTTGGACGATATAGTTTTTTCCAGAACCAGTCATACACTTGAGGCTGTAGACCTCTCAATTCACAGTGTTGGTTCTATTGATCGGGTATTTTACTAAGTTCTATTCTCTTTTCCTGATTTTATTTTATAAATTTCTATTTGGCCATACATTATATTACTAATAATGATAAAATGAATTCAAAATTTTCTAATCATCAGATCCTCTCTTTCATGATGAAGCAAATCATTACTTCAGAGGTACACATGTGAATATGGTCGCATATGATATAAATTAGATGTCAGCAGCTCTTATACTTTTTCACAAGCAAACTTGATTCTTCATGATATTTGCGTACACTATTCTCACAAATATCTCCATGTTCATATCAGAACAAAATCAATCCAAATGTTTACAGCTGAAAACATAATAAAGTGATATAGAGTCCTACATTTTACTGCAAGAACTTCAGGATATCTTGAAGAAAAGACCCTGTGAGTGATAAAATAATACCCTTTTCGATTGGAATAAATGAATCTGGAAGAAAAAAGGACAATGTGGAGTTCGGCCTGCATTTGCTTTGAACATAAAAGAGAGAAGAAGCATCGCTAGTGAAGGCATAATCAATAAAAAGATCAGGTTCTAGCGCTCTTTCTGTACCCTGTAACATTTAAAAAAGTCAAGTTAGCAAGCAAAAGCCTAATACTTAATAATAGTGAAAACACTAAAACCAAACAAGTATAGGAGAAAATACAAAGAAAGAGGGATAAATAAACAACTTACCAACACAATCTTGGCTAAACTATCCATGATATTGGAAGAACCATGAATATCAATAGGACTTGTGAACATACTCCCAGCCAAAACTATATAAAAATTAATCAGAGAAAGACAGATATATACTTATATACATGTACATATATAGAGAGGGAGATATATATACTTTTTGCAAGAGACTTGTTATTTCCAGTGATAAGCATAGTTACAGGACACTTGGGATGAACGCATGACTCTGTATACGTAGTAGAATTGGATCTATATTCACGAACGAAACCAGGGGGAATATGCAACAAGGGAGGCCATTTTAGGGGACTAAGAAAGGGACAATCCTCCGCGTCATCCCAGTCCTTCGTGTATTGCAAACCACAGACTTTCTCACGTCTCCCATCTCCATTTATATCAACGGAAGCACAACCACACGTGCTTCCAATTTTGCTCATTTCGGAGTCAATATAATGTTGAATTGTAGCCAGCATGGCAAACACTATAACTGGAACGCAAATCAGTATGCAATTTGAACAAGGCTTTCGTTTCTGTTAAAAACAAAAACAATGAAATCAAAAACCAATTGAACAAAACAATGAACCCGTAATCTAAAATCAAAATGCGGAGATGGAGAAAGACCTGATAGGTTAAGTTCTTCCTGAACAAAGCATCGGCCTGAGTCCAGGAACTTGCAGGACGAAGAGATGCGTCCGCCATTGATGTCTTAACCGTTAAGCGAGGATTTTGAAACCGTTAAATACCCGCCAAAAATGGAAATGCCAATTCTTTAATCTACTGTGTAAGTCTTTCACTGTTGATACTGAATCTAAGTAAAAGCTCGAGTGTTCCACTTTTTAAATGTTTCGTCATAAGCAGGAAATTGCATTGGCCACTGAACTCAGTGATAGTGAAGTGTCAAATGACCTGTTTGCCCCTTTTATCTCCTAAATTTTCGTGATTTGGTACTTCGTTTTACGATGTTGCGCGTAAGGAAAGCAGAAGTTTGGTAACAAAATCTGCTGATTGATGAGATTAAGTTAAGGAATCAAATTAATTAATATTGTGAAATTTCCACTGGACAAATGTTGACACTACCCTTCATCCGTTGACCGTTTCACTGTCTGGAACTGGAACTAGAGTGGAAATGAAATTTCGAAAACGCCCTTCTGATCCATGTTTTCTTGTTTTTGGTTAATGGTTCTTTTAATCATATCATCTGTTAAATTAAATTTTATTTTTGTAAAAGTAATGAATTTTAATTGAATAATATCAAAATAAATCCTAAGAAATATAAGTTTAAATAATAAAAAGAACTAACAGATAATTGAATCAGCATAAAATGAATTATGCAAACATGCGTGCAAACAAAATAAAGACTATATAAAAATGTTCAGTCAGTAGTTTCTTGGAAGACAAGAAGAAAATGCCTAGAGCCAATTGTTCAAAGGGAGAAATGTAAGAAACATAGCATTTGGTCAAAGGTACTGACATGGACAATGAACTTAGATTTTTTTTTTTTTTTAAATAATAGTATTCTCAGACAAAAATGAAACTGTCAACCTGTGGAAGGATCTTGGTATTTGAACAGTCATTTTACCAAAACAAAATGTGAACATTGAATTATTCAAAAGATTAAGCAGCAAGAAAATCCAAAATGTGCTGATGGAGACTCATCCTGTTTTGAAAATTTAAAATTTTGATTTTGTTTGTTACAAATGAATCCCATAAAATTTTATACTTCAAATTATGAAATATTTAAGAGGTTAATTAATAATAAGAGATTTGGTAAACTATTTAAACAATTATGCAAAACTAATCACAAGATTAAAATATTATTCCTTAAGAACCAAGTAAAACAAGAGTAGAGTTCTTCATTCATTATAATAATGTCCAAAGAGTTTGACCTCAGGTTATTTAAAACAGTAATTGTACAGTGAACATCTGAGCATGTTCAAAGTAATCACAAAAACATCTTATAATTGTTATTATACTCTGTAATTGCAAGGTAGGTCAGATGTTTGACCATCTCATAGATTAAAGAAACAGAGGGAAGATATAAACATAGATTAAAGAGCTGCTGATTCAGTTTTTAGCATTATAGTAATGAGACATAGACCAAATTACAATGGTGAAATAGATATATGTGTTTCAGAGTTTTATAATTTTTTATCATTCTTCGAATATAATAGGCCAGAAGTAACTGATGCATCATTATCTCATCAGAATATATCATGTGGTTAAACTTGAGTCAAGTTATTCAACTCAGTAAATACCTAATATAGAATGTTGGACCAACTAGCATGCACATAAAATTAAGATATATGTCATATTTGTCTTATTATAATATTCAAATTAGAGAAATGGGTGTCCTAAACTCTTTGAGCTTTGTTTGGTTTGCAGAATGGAATAGAAGAAGAATGCCCAATGAAATAATTATTTTTCCACTCTTCATAAAGTTCAAGTTTTCATAAATTTGAGAAATATTTGTTACACAAAATAAATGATTACATATTTCAGATTTTCAACCAAACTTAAGGTTTTAAGATTTCTATAGCACAAAATGCCTTTCCACATCTAAATTTGAACTAAAACCATTATATTCCTTCCTGTTCCATGCTATCTCACGATGTAAATAAGACCATTCTGTTATTTGAACAAAATTCTGCAGCACAGTCTCCAAAAGTTTTAATTGGATGAAACAACAGTAATCATCCATCCTTTATAGCTGAGCATCATCTGGATTCTAGTTTAGATTCTAAATTTTAACCAAACCAAGCAGACTGCAAAGCCAATTCATCAACAATTCTACTGACCTCATCAATTGCAGGATGGGAAGTGTCACCAACTAAAAACCTATGCACTTGATTTTCCAACTCTATCCAACTATATGCAGCTATTTTCTGCACTTTCTTATCCTTCATTAAGTTTCGCACTTCCAAAGCTTCTTGCCATCTCCCCACACTGGCGTATATGTTAGAAAGTTGGACATAGTTTCCAGAATTCTCAGGCTCTAGCTCCATTAACTTCTTAACAGAGAGCTCAGCAAGCTCTACATTCAAGTGTGTTCTAGAAGCACCCAATAACGTTCCCCAAATTACAACATTAGGCGGAATTTCCATGCTACGTATGAACTCGTAGGCTTCTTTTAGTCTTCCTAATCTACAATAGAGGTCTACAATACATGCACAATGTTCTATTTTTGGTGTGATTCCATGATTTAATTTCATGCCTTCAAAAAACTCGACACCTAATTCAATAAGTCCAGCATGAGTGCAGGCTGTTAACAACCCAACAAAAGTTATGTCATTTGGCTTCACATCATCAACTTTTTTCATTTTCTGGTAAAGAGATATTGCATCCATTGCGAAGCCATTAACAGCTAGACCTACAATCATCGAGTTCCAACTAACAATATCTTTTTCAGACATCTTATCAAAAACTTCATGAGCTTTTCTTATATTTCCAAATCTTGAATACATACTCACTAATGCTGAAGCCACATAGACATTAGAGAACAAATCTTGGCTCTCTACGTAAGTTCCAATTTGGTTACCAATCTCAACTGAGCCTAGTTGTGCACAAGCAGATAACACACTAACAAGTGTGACATCATTAGGTTTAATTTGATCACTCCTCATCCATTCAAAAAGCTCTAACACCTCAATTGATCTCCCATTTTGAGCATAACCAGTAATCATTGCGCTCCATGCAACAATATCTCTCCTATCCATCCTATCAAACTCTTGCCGAGCTTCATCAACGGCTCCACACTTCACATACATCTCTAATATTGCGGTTGAAACAATCACATTCATGCACATATTATTATCATCAATATAATTCTTAATTCTTAATCCCATCTCTAGATCTCCAAGCTTAGCACATATGGAAAGCAGAGTCACCAAAGTAATTTCATTAGGAAAATATTTTTCAGCCTGCATTCTTTCAAAAATCTTCAAACTCTCGTAAAGATGCCCATTGTTTGCATAACAAGAAATCATGGCATTCCACGAAACAATACTTCTTTCTGTCATTGAATCAAACAACTGCCGTGCGGCTACAATATCACCAGCCCTCGAATACCCAGAAATCAGACAGTTATAAGCAATTGGATCCTTCACCGACATCCCATCAAAAATCTTCCTTGCAGAACCCAGCTCACCAACCTTGGAATAAAAATCCATCATTGCAGTTTGAAAATAAACATTACAATGAATCCCGTTATTTAAAACCAAAGCGTGAACCTGTTTCCCCACATCAACCGCCAGCAATGAAAAGCATGCTTTAATAACAGGCGGAGCAGTAAAACAAGTCAACCGTACATTCTTATGGTGCATTGAAACAAATGCTTTTACAGCTTCAATATGCATAGAAAGTTTAGTGTAAGTAGAGATAAGAGAATTGTAAAGAAATTGATCTGGGTGAGAAATTTGATCGAACACTTGTCGTGCATAGTCAATGACAGATAAATTTAGCAAACTTTTGAATAGAATTGGAGCAAGAGTGGGATGTTTTGTGATTATGAGAGAGTGTATTTGCTTTAACTGATTTATGCGTAGTGGCGAGTGAAGCAAAGTAATCAAATTTCGCTCCATGTAGACATGTAAAATGCGTACAGACACGAACACTTGGTAGATCTAGCCGTTGACAATCCAGAGTACAGTGCTGGCGGGAATTTCAGTTTTAGCGATAATATAAATATGGATTCGGCTCATGTGTTGAACAGCCTCTGTAGACTGTAATTGATGAGGCATTAAAAAATATTGAATTATCTATCAACAAATATTACGATGGGTAGTTAGGCTCTTCTCCTTCAAATGAATTAGAATATTCTCATAAATTAAATAAATACATACGAGGACTAATAAATAATTATTTATTATGCAAAGACCGGGTGTTGTATTCTCAAATTGTCAACTTCTTGTATATACTTTGTGTTCTTCTGTTATGAATAGTTTCATGTTTGGTTTGGTTGTTGGGGAATTTAAAGCAATTCTCCTTCGTCGGAACGATATTATTATTTTTTAGATCAGAAGGCAAGTCAATTTATGAGTTCATTTTCTAACATCGGTATGCTGGTCTCAAAATTCCCTGATGATTGTAGTAAATAAATACCTTATATAAATTATTTAATTTAATAGTAATTTATTTGATATTTTGTAAAAATTATTAAACCATAACCATATAATAAGTCAGAAAAAATTTTTGAACACACAAAATCAGCATTTCCATGCTCCCACTTTATAGCTTTCAATAAAGAGAAAAGTTCAGGAAGAGGAGGAGATGTGTTTGTTTGTGCTCCTCATCTTTTTGCTGATAAATATATTTACTCCATTATTGCTCTAAAAAGTTATAATCAACCAAATCCATGTCTGGCTGCTGAGTCAGGCAGATAGATTTAACTTTTTAGCTGAAGCTCGAAGTGGAAAGTTTCACGTAGCAGGGAAAGGGAAGTGGAAGTGGAAGTGGAAGTGAAGGTCCCCTCACCCACTAAATCCTAATCCTGTCCACCGTAAAGACACCAGGCAATATTGTTAGCGATAGATGTAGCTAATTCAGCTCAAGTATTGCCCTTCGCCGGTGTAACTTTCACGTTTAACGCGATTTGGATTTTGAAAGGACTATCCTGCCCTTCGCCTAGTACCGTCTAATTGACCAAAGTACCCATTCCATTTCCTTCCTTATTTCTGTTCTCTTCTATCTATACAAACGAAGAAGAAAAGGAAAAGTTGAAATTCTCTTTTCAGTATTTCACGCCAGGAATAATCTAATCATGTCGTTTTGATGATTCATTTTGATATACATTGTTATTTGAAATCAACTTAAATTTAAAATTTGAGTTTTAAACGAAAAATAATGCAAAATATAAATACAGTCACTCAATCACTTCAAAAAAAAAAAATTCTCTCTTTATTTTTATAACAATCAGTCAAAACTTAAAACAAAACTAATTATCCGGGTCAGGGGTTAGGATTTTTTTTTTTTTAATTTTTTTGTCTGCTGGTCATCCTGAAAGTTTTTTAACGCGGTGGACTCATCAAATCCCATTAAACATTAATATTAAATAATCCATGTAATTAACTTCCTTGATTACGCTCTATGATTAAATAAATTAACTCTTTCAAGTAAACTCATATCCACACGCAACAATTCTCACAGTCACACTCAGTGCCGTAAATTTACTCAACTTCTCGTTCCCATTATACCCTTGCATTCCCACTTCTAGTGGCACACGCCGTGACTTCCTGGAAATTCAAGCCCAATTATATCTTCATCGACATTACGATTTTGCCCCCCTATATAAGAAACGAACCATGAACCGCGCTTTTTTAAGCTCTGAGAAATCACAGTAAACCAAGGCAAACCAGTGAGAATGGAGCTAAGGAGAGGAGTTCCTCTGTTTTACCAGCAATTCAAAGCTTTATTAAAGAAGAATCTGTTACTTTCATGGCGAAATAAAACCGCTACGTTTATTCAGCTCTTCGCGTCCTTTTTCTTCATTTTGCTCCTTTTCTGCATTGACAAAGGCACACAAGCTAGTACCTCCCATACGACGGCGTACAAGACAGTGCTTGATCCTAAGGCTCTTGTATCGCCGCCGATCCCTCCCTGCGAGCAGAAGTTCTTCGTTAAGAGGCCGTGTTTCGACTTTGTATGGAGCGGAAACCATAGCGTTAGATTGAATCGTATAGTTAGTTCAATCATGGCTAATAATCCTGGCAGGAAGATCCCATCCAGTAAGGTAAATTTCATATGATTATTGATATTAGATTTTTTTTTTTTTTTTTTTGAGGCACACAAGCTAGTACCTCCCATACGACGGCGTACAAGACAGTGCTTGATCCTAAGGCTCTTGTAATCGCCGCCGATCCCTCCCTGCGAGCAGAAGTTCTCCTTCGTTAAGAGCCGTGTTTTCGACTTTTGTAATGGACTGGAAAACCATAGCGTTGATGAATCGTATAGTTAGTTTAATCTATGGCTAATAATCCTGGCAAGGATCGGAAGATCCTCATCCAGTAAGGTAAATTTCATATGATTATTGATATTAGATTTTTGTTGTTTTTTTTTTTTTGGTAATAAAATGTAGTAGGAAAATTTCTAATAAATTCAAGTGAGAAATGAGATATGAGAGCTGTAGTGGGTAATAATAATCAACTATCATGGCTGAAAGGAAAGTTATAAATTGGAACGGATATCGAATTTAGAACTTTTGATATGATATAGTGGTTATGGCGGGCTTTGTTTGTGGTGGTCTAGTGTCAGTTTTGAGAGTTTTTGCTTTTAATTTTTTTTAATATTAGATAAAACGAAGGAAGTGGAAGTTAAATATCTCGTCTTTTCGCAGCAGTTAAGACGTAGTAAAAATTGTTGATTTTCTTGTTCCTTGACAATGAAAAATTGGATCAAATAAAGGAAAGCTGAAAAATTAATTGAAAATTTTGAATTGTTTTATAGTTCAATTTCTGAATTTTTTTTTTTTTTTTTTTGGTATAAATGTCAGTAGAAAATTTATAAATTCAAGTGAGAAATGAGATTATGAGAAGCTGTAGTGTAATAATAATCAACTATCATGGTGAAAGGAAGTATAATTGGACGGATATGATTTAGAATTTTGATATGATATAGTGGTTATGGCGGCTTGTTTGTGTGCTAGTGTCAGTTTTATTTTTGCTTTTTAATTTTTTTATTATTAGAAAACGAAGGAAAGTGAAGTTAAATTATCTCGTCTTCGCAGAAGTTAAGAGTGTAAAATTTTGATTTTCTTGTTCCTTTGCAATGAAATTGGATCAAATAAGGGATAGCTGAAAAATTAATTGAAATTTTGATTGTTATATTCAATTTCTGAGAAATGATGTTTTGATGGAGAGAGATGAAGAAAATGTGTACTGCTGTTAGACGTTATTTAATTATCTGAATCAAGTTGGTTTTGATTGGTTGCACCTTTGAGCATTATGGAGCTTTATATCATCTTTCAAGTTCGAGAACTGGTTTTGTTATTATGTCACTAAACAATTTAAATTTCACATAATTCATTTTGGTTTTTGTTTGTTTAGAAGCTAGCTGAAGATAAAGAATCTAGAAAAAAAAATAAAAAAATGAAAATTTTTTTCTCTGTAGACTGAAGAATCCTGTTTGCCTTCCGCGTGCAGGTTAAATCATTCAGAACAACAGAGGATGTGGATGCTTGGCTTTTGAATAATCCTATGCATTGCCCAGGAGCTCTACATTTTAAAGAAATAAATGCTACTGTTATCAGCTATGGTATACAGACTAATTCCACCCCAGTTAGAGATCGTGGGTATTTTGAAGATCCCACATTCAAATTTCAAATCCCACTTCAAATTGCGGCAGAGCGTGAAATTGCTCGGCATATCATTGGAGGTGTGAAATATTGGTTCGTGTATTTTTTGCAGAATTATGGCATGCATGAATCTTATCCTCTTCTTTTGGATTCAATGATTACATAAATAGTAATTTGTATCTCTAGATATTCAGGTTGACACAGAGGCTTGTTTGGTAAAATTTAATTCCATAAAATTTTGTGAAATTCATTTGGAATTCCATGTCTTCACGTTTTATATAAATGAACATTTTCATTTCTCTCTTATGAATTCAATTTTATAGGTTTCATTATGAATAAAACCAAATTATTAGTATCTGTAAAGAAACTCTTTCAGATTCATTTATATGAAAATAATCAGTTAAAAGAATTTGTTTGTTCTCTTTTGGCAAAATGTCGATATATATTCAGTGTCTCTTGTTTCATTTGATAAATATATTCTTTTATTTTGTTATTTTTGATATTCAGATCCAAATTTTAGCTGGGTTGTCGGACTTAAGGAATTTCCACACCCTGCAAAAGACGGTTTCTCCGTAATGTCTACCATAGCACCATCTTTCCTACTTGCATTTGCCATGTTTGGATTTGCGATGCAAATTGGATCATTGGTGGTAGAGAAGGAGCTCAAACTTCGCCAGGTAATGCTATGCTCATTGGACTAGGACTAGAAGGTTGGCTGCCCCCAAACTCTCATAGATTCCTTTCCTCTCCCATTGTTCCAAGTCGTAATCTACAGACTACAACTTTAACTATTAAGCTGTCCCTTCGGTAACCTGAATTCTTTATGTTCTTGACTGTGTTATTTATTTATTTATTTATTATCTGCTTCCGCAGGCAATGAGTATGACCGGGCTTTATGAATCCACATATTGGTTCTCATGGATCATATGGGAGGGAATACTCACACTAGTTTCATCAATTCTCCTCATTCTCTTTGGAAAGGCGTTTCAGTTTGACTTCTTCAATAAAAACAACTTTGCAGTTGTGTTTCTTGTGTTTTATCTTTTCCAACTTAACATGGTACTACTTCTATCTTCCTTGCACTTCGTTGACAAAGTTTATGCTTATTTATGTTAACCCTTTTCTATTTTTTTCCTTTCACATTTGAGGGCAGACTGGTTTTGCCTTTATGCTGTCAAGTTTCATCAGCAAGTCATCTTCAGCCACAACAGTTGGTTTCTCTGTGTTTATTGTTGGCTTTTTTACTCAGGCAAGATTCTCTACTATGTGTAACTAAGAAATGTTTTCAAATCCAGACTGAACATCCCCATTGGATTTGGATAGCCCGAAATCTGAAGATATTGTTGTAGCTGACACATATCACCCTGAGATCTTTGAGGGAGATACTCGGTTGGCATGGTGATCAAAAGCTATAAATAGCTATAAAAAATCAGTTTTCAGGAAGGGTCTGGTTCTGTGGGGTAAAATAGAGTCATTTCATTATCTAATTTGATCTCTTTACTGGCATCGTTAACCTCTTCCTCTCATGACATTAATAATCGTCTTAATTTTTTAATTTTTTAGTGATGATTTTTATTTCTATTAATTTTTTAATTTTTTTAGTGATGATTTTTATTTATAATAGCAAATCAGAGTAAAGCTAATTTTCATCACAAATAGTTTATATAAATTTGTTTCTTATATCATTATAGTCACTAGTATCCATGCTTTTGTATTTATTAGTTTACATAAACATGTTTGTTATATCATCATGCATTGATGTATCAACCTTCAGTTTTAAGCTAAGAGCTATCAGTTCCAATGAAATAATAGTTATCTTTTTTTCGCTGCAGCTTGTTACAGTATTTGGATTTCCATATGACATCAAAGTCTCTAATATTGCACGATATATCTGGTCATTATTCCCGCCCAATCTTCTTGCAGTAGCCGTAGATGCTCTTGCTGAGGCAACTGCCACTCCTGAAGATGTTGGGATTAGCTGGAGTGGACGGAAGCGGTGTGCAGATGATGCAGATGACGATGCAGGAGATGAGTGTGTAATATCAATTGTAAGTGAAACTTTTTAAGTTCATTTTGTACTTTTTTTTTCTTTTATGTACACTTTGCTTATTGTTATTCAAGTTGATTTGTAATTTGTTTATTGTTGACAGAATGATGTTTACATTTGGCTTGTGGCTACGTCCTTTGTCTGGTTTGTTTTGGCAATCTACTTCGATAATATAATTCCAAATGCCAATGGTGTGAGAAAATCTATTTTTTATTTCTTACAGCCTGGATATTGGACAGGGAAGGGTGGAAATAAGGTGGAAGGTGAGCCAGCTTTGAGTTCAATCTGCCACTCGTATATTTTGTTGGCATCCTGACTCTGTTTTCCCCTCTCCTCTGTCATAGAGGGTCACCTTTGTAGTTGCATGGGTTCAGTTCCAAGACAAGAGTATGTTACTCCAGAAGATGAGGATGTTCTTGAGGAGGAAAACATCGTTAAACAAGATGTAACAGAGGGCACAGTCAATCAAAATGTTGCAGTTCAGGTACGTGGACTTGTAAAGACATATGCTGGGACAATGACGATTGGTTGCTGCAAGTGCAAGAAGACTTCACCTTACCATGCTCTCAAGGCAAGTAACATCTTTTCAACTCTAGAATCAGGCTAGATTAACAAGGCACAATATGTCCCTCTATTCCCTTTTTTTTCATATATACTCTTTTAGCTCTCTTAATTTTTTTTGTTCTGGATGCTGCTTAAGCAGGGCCTATGGATGAACTTTGCCAAGGATCAGTTATTCTGCCTTCTTGGACCAAATGGTGCTGGAAAAACTACAGTTATCAATTGTTTGACCGGGGTAACACCGGTGACTAGTGGAGATGGTAAAGTGCTCATTTTTTTTCCATGTTCATCTAACATTGGAAACAGGGATAATAAAGTTATGAATGTTTAACAGCTTTGATTTATGGATATTCCATTCGAAGCGCTGTTGGCATGTCAAACATTCGAAGTATCATAGGAGTTTGTCCCCAGGTAAAACTTCTCTATTTATGTGTGTGCAAGCATGTGTACATTTGTGAGTTTTGCCATGCGTGTGCAAATGTGTTTTGTCTTTGCAGTTTCTTTTCTCTTTCTTTGTGTGTGTCCCTGGGCATACCTGTGGATACTAACTTTTGCAGCTTTTCACAGTTTGACATCCTTTGGGATGCATTGTCTGGTGAAGAGCACCTCCATCTCTTTGCCAGTATTAAAGGGCTGCCCCCAGATACAATCAATTCGGTATGTGAGAAAAGACATCTTGACGTTTTCTTTCTAATAGTATTTTGAAGCTAATTGTGCTTGAATTAAGTATGCTTAGCAGTTATCTGTACTTCTGTGCTTGATGACCCACTCAACCCTGATTGACTTATAAAGAATCTTTTTGGTTAAGTACAGGCTGCTCAGGAGTCATTAGCAAAGGTGAGACTTACCGAGTCAGCTAAAGTGAGAACTAGGAGCTATAGTGGAGGAATGAGACGCAGGCTCAGTGTTGCAATATCGCTCATCGGAGACCCAAAATTAATCATCCTTGATGAACCAGTATGAACAATGCAATATTTTGAATCATGCCGGCACATTTGATCTATTTTTGCGAATGATTTTCTTTTGTTTATTTTCAATTTCTAATCTGCAGACTACTGGTATGGATCCAATATCGAGAAGGCATGTCTGGGATATAATACAGGATGCAAAGAAAGGCCGATCCATTGTTCTAACAACTCATTCAATGGAAGAAGCTGACATTCTGAGTGATCGCATAGGAATTATGGCCAAGGGTAGGCTCCGATGCATTGGGAACTCAATCAGGTTGAAGTCAAGGTTTGGGACTGGTTTTGTTACTAATGTGAGCTTCATTGAAAACGCTACTGCACAGTCTCCTCCGAATGCAACTGTGGACCATACCAATCAGCATGAGGATGTAAAGCAGTTTTTCAAAGATGTATGTGGAGTGAATGATATATTTATTTCAAATACGCTGATGCACAATCTCCTCCCAACGATAAATTGAAATTTTTCTGTGCTAACATCTGTTTTGGTTAATCTTGACAGCATTTGGATGTATTGCCAGCAGAAGAGACTAAATCCTTCCTGACTTTCATCATTCCTCATGAGAAAGAGAAGCTATTAACGGTGCATATTTTTGAAATTCCTACATTGTTCTATAATTATTGTGATAGTATTGCCTTCATGATTGAATATGCCACTCTGTGTTATACACACACACACACACACACATATAGGCTGATGCAAGAAATTGTCGTGCACAAATGCTATACTGGTGAATAGCAAATTTCTATTCCTTTTTTGCCATTTATAACTTCTTTTTTGGCATTTAAATTTTAAACAGAAATTTTTTACGGAGCTAGAAGACAGACAACAAGAATTCCGTATAGCAGACATCCAAATTGGCCTCACCACGCTCGAAGAAGTTTTCTTAAATATTGCCAAGCAAGCAGAGCTAGAAAGTGCTGCAGCCGAAGGGAGATTGGTTACTTTGTCCTTAACATCTGGAGTCTCGGTTGAGGTAAGCGCAATTTATATGGAATTATTGTATTCTAACTCATAAAAAGGAAAAAATAAAATCATTCATTCATTTTTTTTTTTTTTTTTCCTTTTGTTGCTTCAATTGATATGCAGATACCTGTAGGAGCAAGATTTGTTGGGATTCCAGGAACAGAATCTCCAGAGAATCCTAGAGGTAACATGGTTGAAGTATACTGGGAGCAAGATGATTCTGGTTCTCTCTGCATTTCTGGTCATTCTGCTGAAATGGCTGTGCCTCCTGATGCTCAGCCATTGATTTCTGCAGCACCACCTTCTGACAGAAATCTCCGACGCGGGAGACGACCGGTTTATGGAGTTGTGATCAACCCCAATCAATTTGGTACTGCTAATTCCTAATGATGCAGTTATGAACTCGTATTTATGATATTTTATAATTTTGTACAGCATTTCAATGGTTCAAAATAATTTTTTTTTTTTCGCCGTTTTACGGTCAACATAGAGAAAGAGTCGATCGCGGTCATATGCCAAATATGATATATCCCCAACCAAAAAAATAAAAAAAAAATAATAATACACTTTCTCTTAAAATATAAATCATTTTTAAGTGTTTATTTTATTGTAAAAATATGAGTCGTTTTGATTATTTTAAAAAGTAATAAATGAAAATTTTAAGTTATTTGTAGTTTGAGATAAATAGTAATTTAGTCAAATGTTATTAGTTTTATTATAATTTGAGAGGTAAAATTATAAAATTTGATAAAGCTAAATTTTAACTTCCCTGTACAAAAACTAAAAATGATCAACTTTAATAAAGCTAAACCACAGCACTGAAAAAATGTGTTAAAATTTTTAAGTTACGAACTACTTCAAATCAATAATTGAAGCCAAAATAGATGTCAACTCGTTGGTCCACGTGGAAAACGGAAAATCTCATACAAAATAGTAAGTTGGGGGGTCTCATATTCGTGAGCAAAGACTAAATTGTATTTGAATTAACTTATATAATATGTAGATAAACGTTTTAACTTGCAAAGCTTCACATTTATTCAGCTATTTTCAAAAATGCTAAAAAGGCACTTATCAAGGTCAGCCATAAGAATTGAGATAGAGCATTCTATATCTGAAATCAGAAAGAGGATTAATGCTCAATCTATTCCTTGAACTTGATTATAATATACAATTTGTACAAAAATTAATTTTTGTACAATTGAACTTGTACCAAAAGAATAAAGTGCTTAATTTTTTAAAACAAACTCTTTCTGTATATATATAGTTTTGACTAATAAAAAATTACTTAAAAATTTAAAATTAGAAAATAAAAATTATTTAAAAATATAACTAATTATAAAAATTTTCAGTATTTGATTTAAAAATTTATATTTATTATCATTATATTTGATTTAAATCAACATATAATTAATTTTTTAATCATATTTGATTTATATTAAATAATTTATTTTTTTTTTTAATATAAACTGAGCAATTTGTACTTTTGATATAAGTTTAAGATGTGATTTATACAAAAAGTTAATTTTTGAATAAACTATACATTTGGTTGCCCGAATTGAGGGGGCAAATTCCTTAGAAAAATGATAAATGAATAGATCCAGAGTTCGATAAGTAAGGTAAATTAAAATGAGTAGTGTTTAATTACAATGCGACCAGCCAAATATCATGCCAAAACCAAACAAATTTTAGAACTCATGTGATTGTAGTCGCACAACAAATATTCAAAACCTATGATGTACATTCACTCACAAACGGATATCCACTGCAGGGAGGAAAATCTAGAAGATTCGGGAACCCACGCGCCCCTCCAACTATAGACCAAGTTCTTAGTTTTACAACATAATCTTACACCACAGAAACAAAAACAAAAACTGCAGATGAAATCAGAACTCAGTTATTTTCAGTGCTAATTCCTTGAAACGCAGAGGCTCCGAAACATCACCTTCTCCATTCAGCCTGGATCGGTTTTGCTGCAAAATCAATAAAGAGCGCAATTATATAATAACAAATACAAGGTCCATAACTTTGAAACATCTAATTAGTTTTTTTTTTTTTTTTTTTTTTTTTTTTTTTTACACGCACATGAAAACAAACAAAAAATGCAGATGAAATCAGAACTCAGTTATTTTCAGTGCTAATTCCTTGGAAACGCAAGAGGCTCCGAAACATCACCTTCTCCATTCAGCCTGGATCGGTTTTTGCTGCAAAATCAAATAAAGAGCGCAATTATACATAATAACAAATACAAGGTCCATGAACTTTGAAACATTCTAATTAGTTTTTTTTTTTTTTTTTTTTTTTTTTTTGTTTTTTTTTTTTTTTTTTTTTAATGTCAGTAAAGCATTTTTTTTTTTTTTTTTTTTTTTTTTTTTTTATGTTCAAGTAAAGCATATATTCAATTACTTATTAGAATGGAGAGATACTAGTTAATGTCAGATAACAACAATGCAAGCTGTTTAGGAGACCTGAACTTTCATGATAATTTATATCCCATGAACAAGAAAAGGGGAAAGGAGGAAGAGACAATCAGAGCATAGTACTGGGAGATGCAAATCATTTGAACAAGGAACGGACAACTTCAAAAATAGTCATCCTCCCCAAGTGAAATAATTCACTAAAACTAAACTACCTACAGAAATTATTTTGCTATAAAATAAAATGCGTTCAAGGACACAAATCATGATAGTGTAAAAAATAAACAAGAATTCTTATATAATGGCAAGTGAACTTTTCATACCATTTCCTTCTTTTGATGATAATCTGTCACTTTTACTCCCTCCTTTGCCACCAGAATGAACTGTTCGTGTCCTTGGTGACTGTGAGCTGATTTTGCTATTTGATGGAAGAGAATGGCGTCGGGCAGGGGTATTTTTCTCGGCCCCATCTTGGCTAAACCTTGGGGAACCTTGTGCTCTCAACTTTGCCTTTGCAGATTCTGTTGCTGCCATATAGCTTGGAAGTGCTGGACTACTCTGTAATCCATTCTCTGCACGTTCTTGCTTTACTAGATTCGAAGCTTTTTTGCTGATTTTATGATTCTCGTTGCTCGATGGATCTTCCTTATGGTTCAACTCCCCATTTGTAACAAGAGTATTCTCATCTTTATCACCACTCTCGACTGAAGGCTTCGATTCAACCACTGTTAGATCACAATTTAATTCTGGTGTTTCATTCATTTCCAATGTATTCAGAGTGGTTTCTACATCAGGCACTTTCAACGCTGTCAAGGTTGGCTCAGTCTTCACCACTTCAGGTAGTTTGGGTGTTGTCACAGTTGTCTCTTTCTTTATCTTATCCCCTGGATTGTTCATATTCTGTCCCAAATGGTGATCACCAGAAGCACCTGATACCTTTTCCATACTCTGTTTTGGCTTCTCAAATTCAACCTCTGACTGAGCAGTGTTTTCTACTACAGGGTTGTGAACTTTTCTCAAATTACGTTTTACCTTTTCAAGTTCATTTTGTGGATCTTCCTGCACTGTATCAGCTGGATGATTTGATACCTTTCTAAGATTACGCTTGGGTTTCTCATTTTCAGTGGCTTGTACTGACGTATTATCAATATTTGCAGCAGGGATCCTCCGAACACTGCGCCTTGGCCGGCCAGTTTCAGCTTCTGATATTAGACCATTACCCTGCTTTCTCTGAGGTTTTGAGTAAGGAATTTTCTTTGGTTGGGGAATTGGTTTCCAGAAGCGAGATGCTGACCAACGTTCTAACCAGTTCAAAACTGAATTTGGTTCCGTTGGATCATAATAGAGGCGCAAAGGCATCACAGTAGGTGAGGAAGCCACAAGCTGAAAGAAACAATCTCAGAAGATACTAAATGGATAAAAAATAAATTAAAAATCCACAAAAGCTTTCTAATTGATAATAAGTCAAACTGCTAAACTCCCATACCCCATATGTCAAGAATGCCATCTATGATATGAGTAAAGTCACAGGTAGCACACAGAACCCAGTTCTGTGGCCAATGCAACCTTGTCAAATGACTTGAGGGGGGAAAAAAAAAAAGCAAACAAAAAACAAATGCTTCTATAATAATCTCCACAACTTATCATTTGGGAAACTAGTTTGGATAACTAGAGGTTTTCCCAAGTGGACAACTTCATCATGTCATAGAAGCTAGAAAGGTTAGGTCTCAATTTGATTATGTTCTAAATTCTCACTCTTCAACTAATATAAAAACTCAATACATAAAATAAGATTACTTCTAAAGCCTTGACATGAGTTGCTCAAGAGATTCTGTGCAAAATTTCCTTGTGCAATATTCTATATACTACGAGCAGATAGAACATATGAGAGGCTTATTGTCTCGAAAAATAAGTTGCATTGAACATAAAAAAAAAAAAAAAAAAAAAAAAAAAAAAAAAAAAAAAAAAATTTGAAACATAAAAAAAAAAAAAAAAAAAAAAAAAAAAAAAAAAAAAAAAAAAAATCATAACAAGAGACCCAAATTGAGGTTCATCTTCCAAAAATTACAAATGAGTTTATGGCATCTTTCATTTAATTGCTTTTAACAAAAAGAATTTAAAAAACCCATCTATCCCAACAGGCATGAAATTGCAAGAACCATACCTTGCGAACCAAAAAATTTGCTGATACCTTGCCCTCTGGATTAGAGCAAAAAAAAAAAAAAAAAAAAAAAAAAAAAAAAAAAAAAAAAAAAAATCATAACAGAGACCAAATTGAGTTCATCTTCAAAAATTACAAATCGTTATGGCACTTCATTAATTGCTTTTATCCAAAAGATTAAAAAACCATCTCCATTCCCACAGGCATGAAATTGCAAGAACCATACCTTGCGAACCAAAAAATTTGCTGATAGCCTTGCCCTCTGGATAGAAACATTAGCTCCATCATACTCCCCCAACTTGCTTTCCTAATTGACAAAATATCAAAAAGAGATTAAGCAATGGACAGCAAAATATACATCACCAGCTAGTTTCACCATGTGGTTAAGACAGCCTTATTCAACAAGAGAAAAGTGATGGGATAGTTTTTTTTTTTTATACAGAAACAAAATTTGAAGTTTTCTAATGCAATATTCTGGGTATCAGATCAGCTTGCTTAGGCATTTTTAATCAGTACAATTTACCATAAGGCAAACAACAGATGAAAGAAACTACCCAGAGAAAGGACTATGAATCTCTCTTTTCACAAGCATACACCCATAGGAATACAATTCAATATCATTCTACCATGAAGATGACAATATATACTAAAATAATGTTACCAAAATATGCAACAAACAGAACCAAAAAATCAAAATTGTGAAGTCCAAGTAACAGAATAGAAACGAGAAAAAATGCTCCAAATAACATACAGTAGGAAAGTTAAAGCATGATTAATCATTGTCTATAGTGATGATTGCTCGAGAAATTACCAGAGGCTTCAGTGTGCTGCATCTTTTAAGAATTTCCCGCCCAATATTTGTATTCCTAACTTCTACTCCTCGAGCAAGTGCCTGCAGCTTGACAATTCCCAGCACACAGCATAAAGTGGCCACAGCTTGTCTCCTGACCAAGTGCCCACGGATAAGCGCCTGGAGCCTTATTATGCCTTTAAGGGCCCGAAATGCCCGACGAGCCTTGACATAATAACCTTAGTCAGTGTTTGCATTACCTATACTGAAAATGATCCAATCTGCGTTTGTCTTATGCAAAAGCAAATAACAAGACTACTATTACAAGTTCAGTTGACTAGAATGACAAACGAATTATTTTTGACGGATAGGACACCTCCCTCATGCATGACTGTTGATAATAGTCATGCATAAAAGTTTTTCTTCTGCTGGGGGCTCTAATGGAGAGATGCCAGACAAATAATTCCATTACTCTAAAATCTTATGAATCCACAAGAGCACCACACTGGATCAGATGGCAAAAGGTATTTCACTGTCTAAAGAGCAAGAGCAGGGAAGTAGGTCAAATTTAAAGCAAAGGAATAGTGAGACGCAATTAATACCAATTGGCAGGGTAGTGCATTTCCAACAGGAATGATAAATGAAATGAGCAAAACCAAACTGTACCAATTTATAACTAGTGATTGCAAAGCAGCAATCTTGTCTGTCCTAGGGAGATACCAGTGTTTAAGAAACAGACATCAACCTCACAAAAGCTCTCAAAAAGGAAAGCCTTATAACCAAAACCTTGAGCAGGATAAAAAATTGAACAAGTTTACCATCAGTCAATAATCTAAGAGTAGTACTACTTCCAGCAAGAGAAGATTACCAGGTAACCCCTAAACGCAGCTTGTGCCAGTGTTGCAGCTTCCTCTTGCCTTATTTTCTCAGCATCAGTTAAAGCAGTTTCGAGCATAAGCTCTTGTACATTTGAATTTGCTTCTTGATTTCCTGGTAATGATATTCCCCCATTATTTGGTAAGTCTACAGTCTCCCGGTTCTCAAGTTCTAACTGTCTTTCAGAGCGAACTGTAGCAACAGGGGTTGGATGTGAGATCACAAGAGGAGCTGAAATTGCATCACCCCCTGATGCCTTGGCAGCAACCAATAGATCTTTCTCATTCGCAGTTCTCTGTACATAACAATCAGAGTTAAATAATACAATCTGATCCTAGTAATAATTTGACACTCGATCAGTAGCTCCAAAGTAAATGGACAAATTGCACTAAGTCCGCTATGACCAAGCCTATCCTGTCTTCAAAAAGGAAAAAAAAGAAAGAAAAATAAAATGAAAAGAATAAACTACCAAGTCAGCTAATGATCATTTTATATGAATATTTTAAAGGGAAAATACAATCATCAAACACCATTTAACTACCATAAACTACTGTATTTCAGTTATAATTCCAAATGGACCTTGTTGAAAGCCATAGCCTAGAAAGAACTTTGGCTGCACGCTAAATAACAAATGTTGCATAGGTAGCTTAAGGCACATTTCTACCATCAGAAGTGCAACACTCGTATTTATGATGTCTTAACTCAATAGTAAAACTGGCGCGGGATTGGAAGTCGAACTCTATAAATATCAAGATAGGAGAGTAAAAGGCAAAAACTAAAATGCAATGCGGCTTAATGTGAGGCTTAAGTTCTACAGGTTCAATGCTCCACACTGCAGTCTTTCAAGTGTATGCTCTGGGAATTGCAATAATTAAGTTTGTTTACCACCAAGTAATTAGTTTATCCAAAATGGTAACCTTACCTCCCTCGCTTTAGCAGTATTAGATTTGGAAGACTTCTTTCCGAAGAGTACAGTCTTGATCCATCTTCCTGGTGATTTGCCCATTGCTGGATAAATGATAACCACAGATTTCCGAACCCCAGTTCCTGCATTTTCCAATATATTAACAGTTTAACCATGAATAAACCCCACAAACTAAAGAATATTAATATTTCATGGCAACATGTAAAATGCCTAAAACCAAATCTGGTAATGCGTTAATTTACATCAGTTCACTTTTTGGGCCCAATCAACTGTAACATGATTTCCCTAACAACAAAGTTTAACAAGCAAATTACAGAGTCAAAAAAAAAAAAAAAAAAGCCAAAGCCCTTTTCCCCCTTGTAATTGTTTTGGCTTATTGGAATAGCAAAAACTTGAGATATAGCTATTTTCCACATAGAATTTTTCCTTCGGAAAGCCTTGGATATAAGCCTGTAGCTTCTGCCAATCGCAGCCACTACAAACTGTGAGCTAAAAAACAATTCAAATGCCCACTGAAAAACGAACAAAAGCACTCAAAAAAAGAAATGCAAATCCAGAAATTTAATTGAAGATCCCTAGAACAAAGATCTAGTCTAATTAAGAAATTACTCAAAATATAGCAAGCTGCATCTATCATAGAACTAAGCAACAGCACTGTACAGAATCCGGAAGGATTAAAAAGGCAACAATGGGTTCGATTTAGACCAGATCTGCAACATACCTGAAAAATGTGCTTCTTAAAAGCCACAAATCTACCTACCATTCCTACATCAGAACATGAGCATACAACAAAATTAATCACCAAAAATTTAAAATTTAGGTATGTGAAGAAGATGATAGAAAAATACAAGTGATATATAAGAAAAGGGAGAGAGAGAGAGAGAGAGAGAGGTACCATGAGTGAGTGCGCTTGCAAACGAAGGAAATGTGTTGATCTAAAGCGACATCGATTTTCCTTTTGCCTTTGCTTTGCGTAGCTTGCTCTCTCTCTCTCTCTCTCTGTTCAGTTTACTCTATACTGGTACTGGTAGAGCTAAAAAATATATCTACGGAATTTTAAAAAGAATTTGTAAAAAAAAACGTTTTTGATCCTCTGTAGTCGCGCTCGTTTTAATGTATAATGTTCGTTACTGACTGTCATGTAGGCTATACCACTAGATTCGCCAACCAGATTATTATTATTGTTGCTTAAATTGACACAAAAGCAGCACAACAGAGCGTACCGTGATCTTGAGCACAGGGGAAAGTGACCAAAATTAAAAGCGGTTGTGTCGGGAAGTATCAAAATATAGTTACTCACTTACTTCGGGAACAAGTGTCCAGCTTCTTTATTCCGACGCATAGATGAAATTACGCGTGTACCCTCTCTACAGTTACTATAGTCCTACGCTAGAAGAAGCGCGTGGAATATCCAAGGCGTGGAAAAGTGACGGCAGTGTTAATCGACAGAGAGGTGCCGGAGCGTGAAATAGGTAGAGAAGAAGGGGCGGTGGAGAAGGGAGAAGGGAGAAGGGAGAAGGGAGTTGGGTGGTGCATGCGCGCCACGCTGGAGTGGGAGTAGTGTTGCCTGGTGCGGCGAGGGGGAGGTCATTCAGTACTGCCAACTAGAGAGTAGAAAGAAAGAATCACAGAAGCCTCAGCTTAATACTTATATCTATTTTTTCATTTTTCATTTTGAAAATAAATATTATTTTCTCTCTCCCCGATTAAATTTCCCAATTTTTCATTTTATACAAGAATTAAAAAATAATTAAATCATCTTAATTCTAAAAAAACAAGAATAATTAATTAAATTATCATTTACTCCATGTTCATTTCATCAACATAACATCCAATTCAACAATACCAATACGCACTCTAATAGTAAATACATATATAATCTGATAATTTAATATAGGTGAACATAATTTTATATAGATATTTTGATATGATATAATTAAAATAAAATAATTAATATTATTTTAATTTTCTAAAAATATCATAACTAACATAATTAATTAATCCATTTGATATGAACAAAACATAAATGTTCTGTGATTGAAGTTTCACTAATATCTAACTCTCTTTGCTTGCAACATTTATTACTTTCAAAAATTTTTTGCTATTTTCATATGCTTCCAGACAAGCATAAACTGTTGTTGTCTGAATAAAAGGTAAGCTATTAATTACTCCCATAGACTTATCCAAAACAACAAATATTTCATTCTAATGTAAGAAAAATTATTTTTCACTTTGCTATCAATTTGTTCAACTATTTCTCTTCTCAAAAAAAAAAAAAATTCAACTATTTCTCAAAAGAAAAAAAAATCAGTTATCATTTTAGCATTTGATAAAATAAAATACTGAATATTCAATTTGAGATTAAAAAACTAACCACTAATCTTGCTTGTAATGTCAAAATCAGATTTCAAAATTTGGGGGCAAAAAGTAAACATAAAAGATAAAAAATTTAAATTAGTAATAATATGATTAAATTTTAACTTTTAATTTATTGTAATTATAATTATATTTAAATCAAATCAAACCAAATCGAAAATATATTTATATAAGTGGGGTATAATTTTAAGATAACTTAATAATAATAATAATAATAATAATAAGGTACTAAAGGTGATAAGTTCTAATGCACTTGGGAAGACCGGTAACTTTTCAATGGCCTAATAATACCATTAATAAACAGAATAAAACTATCAGATTATCATTATGCCAAAGGCAGTGTAATGATAACTTGTGTGGATTGGTGCATGTATTGCTATGCGTTGGCTGCTGAGTGGGTGGTGGAGATATTTCGACAGCTTGACCTTAATATTTTTCTTAATTGAGTATTTTTCATTGTTTATTATAGTTTGAATTTTTTATAAACTACTATTCCACGTTTGATTTGTACGAATCTTCTAAATTAATTATGAGCATCGCTATATGCGTGGAATTAAACTTATTTAGATTGAGTTTATGGCTTCACCTATGGATCTTATCAATAAAAATAAAAATTTTTAATATAGTTTATCATTATTTCCTCAATAAATAATTAGACATATCTTTGCTATAATAAAAAAATTATTTTTCATTAATTTAATCCGTGAGAGAGACTCGTAAACTGGATTTAGATAAGTCACTTCCATATGCACGTGTATAAATTATTTTAGTGGTTAGATAAAAAATATTGCAATTGAAAAAAAAATGTTAGTGATAAATGAGTATAATGTGCCTAGTATTCATATTAGCTTAGGTGCCGATTGTTTTTGATTAAATTTTTTGTTTTTCGTTTTTTTTTTTTTTTTTTTTTTATATGCATTGAAAAAAAAATGTTAGTGATAAATAGATAATAATGTGCCTAGTATTCCATATTAGCTTTAGGTGCCGATTGTTTTTGATTAAATTTTTTGTTTTTCAGTTTTTTTTTTTTTTTTTTTTTTTTAAAAGAAATCTGCTTGTTTAACTTTTTTTTTTCTTGAGAAACTGTTTTGAAAATTAAAAATTAATATTTTTATGAAACCACAATAATGGTGTACAGAATTGTGTTTCTGTTTTAATTATACATTTCTCATTTTTTTTATAAGAATTTATCTTTCATAAAATTATTGTTGTCGTTGTTTGTTATTATTCTATTATTTTCTTTATTTATATAAATCTAATGTCAATCTTTATTTATCCAAAATAATACAAACATATTTTTTTTTTCTCTATTCAAAATTCGCTTTTTTTTTTCCTCTCTTAATCTATTTAGTAATTAATTTTTATATTTATTATTATATACTCCGTCCTAATAAATCTTAATGTCCATTTCGTATTATTATATTTGGGCAATTATGTTTTATATTCAAACATAATTTTATTCAACATAATAATCAATAGTTACTATAACATTGAAATTTTAAAATTAAATTGTAAAATATTTTTAATTATTTCATCTGAAACTTTGGATTTCCAGAAAATTTATTATCAATTGAAGTCTTTAATGACATAATAAGAGAGATTTGATAATTGAAATAATTTTTCACATTGTGAACCAAAAAAAAAAAAATAAATAAATTTTAGAAAAAAAAATAATTTTCAAAAAATAAATAATCAAAAACTAAAACCCGTTTCATGTTTCTAATAAACAAAAAAACTCAAAACAAACAACTCTAACATACGGGGCCTTAATATTCATCTTAGTAATTCACATAAGTAGTAATTCCATTGTTTTTCTAAAGCATTTAAAAAGAAGTATCAAACTTGAATTTTTAAAAATCTCAAGTTAAAATATAAGCAGTTTCCATGAAAATGGGGAAGCAACATAAAAATATTTGTCAATAAAAAAAAATTTAATTGGCAAGACAAAGAAAAGGTATGAGTAATGTCTGAACATATATACCTTTGCCTCCAATCAAGAGTATGAATCTTGTTGCACAGTGCTAATCAATTAATTGCTTCAAAATTGAGCAATACAATTTTTGTTTTTTTAATATTTGTATCTTCAAGATTCCATCCATTTGTGTCTTTTCTATTTTAGGATCATAAAAGACACACAAACCATGATCCGTTTTGTCTCTCTTAGTGATTTCTTCTGCTTTGACAATGACTTTGAACTTAGTTTTAAATACAAACTATGCCTAAGATAATAATAATAATAATATCTCAGGTTGGGAGTTTGATTTCTACTTTTTTTTTTTTTTTTCAATTTGTGTGGGATTTGATGGATGGAGCATCAAATCTCTTGGCCTTTTATCACGTGTGAAGTGGGACTCACTTTTCTATTTGTAATGCATTATAAAGTTTACTCTTCATCTAGATTTCCCCTTTTCCTCTATGATTGGAGATGGAAGTATGGGCTCAAATGCCTAATTGCCACCATTACAAGTTACATGCTTGATCTTATCTTAGTAATTGCCAATTGGGTATTCTTTTTTTTTAGGAATAAAAAATCAGGATTAAATGTCTGGTCGACAATATTGAATATTTTAAAATGATAGTTGTTTAATTAGCTGAGTTCGAATGAAGAAAAAAACAATTCCTGTGATTGTCAAAAAATTTTAATTAAAAGCTAAACGCTAAATGTTAAAATATTTAACGTTTCATAAAAAACTCACTCAACTTGTAAAAACTATTATACAAATTATGTTACCGAATACTGTAATTAATAATAAAAAAGAATTTTTACTTGATCAAAACTTTAAAAGCTAATTCAAAAACTGTTACCGAATAAAGCTTAAGGTATTATTGAAATCAGTGATTGATGCAAAAAAAAATTTCTAAGATTAATGAAAATTTTAAAAAGAAAACAGAGATCAATTGCATAATAAATTTAATTTTGCGAGATAAAAGGATTAAAAAAAAGTCAAGATCAATTAACTACTGTTTTTGTATAGATAGATCTGCTACCGATTTTGATAAGTTGATGGCAACCCATTGTATTGAGATGTTTTTAGGAAGAACTAAGAAATTATCAGTGATTATGTTGATACCAACCACACCCACCCACCTACTCCAGCTACCATCAACACATTCGAGAGGGAGGAAAAAAAACAGAAAGGGCATAATCACTAACGGTAAAATGTTATAATTTTCCTCAAAGTCGTATATATAATAATTTATTGAATTATTATTTCTACTGCATTTGCCGTTAATAATATCATTGATTAGTTTTGTTCCAAAAAAAAAAAAAAAAAATCACTAATCAAGGGAATGTAAATTGGGAAATCATATCTTCATAAAAAAAAAAAAAAAAAATCACTAATCAAGGGAATGTAAATTGGGAAATCATATCTTCATTATCCATAGAGCTGATGTGTCATATGCTAGTTTAAGTCCTCTTACTCCTGCATTTACCAATGCATTCTATTTAATAAGATTTTTCTTTTTTTCTTTTTTTTTTTTTTAAGGGAATGATAGAATTTTATCCATTAAGGAAATTTCTATCTTCTACGATCATAGCTGAAACACCAACAAGATTCTTGTTCTAAACTTGAAGATAAGCGTAAGCATTTACAACTCCTACAAGAGCATGAGCTGCAGATTAGCTTGCCGTCTAATTCAAGCAACACTAACGTTGTTATGTAACGAACATAGTACCGCACAATCAACAATAATACAATCTCATTCGGTTTCATGGGCAGGGGACCTGCCAAGAGCATTACACACCTCCTATGCATCCAATTCAGTCATAACATTAGAGAAGTTTCTCTGTTTTATCCCAGGTCTCGAAAACCCAAAGTTTCTATTATTCTTGAATAGTATATACTATGACCTCAATTATATGATTTTAGAACAAAAAGAATCTTCATATTTTTAGTTAATAATAAAATTTAAATTAGTTAATTTTATTTTAATAATACTCTTTTAATTTATGAATTTTATTTTCAGACCAAATAATGTAATGCAAAATTCAAAATATTTCACTCGATCATGATTTTTATATTTTAATAACCAAAAACCAATCAATTTGTTTAGCATGCTTTTCTAGTTTTGCATATAACTTTGGATAAAATAGAATAAAACCAATTAATAAGGAAAGATAGATTTCATCTTTATCAATTAATAATGATTTCATGACTAATTTTGAAGGTCTAACTTAATGCGTCATTTTTATCCGCATCTCTCATTTTAATTTATAAATCGATGAAATAGGAGTATAAATAAGTAGGGATAAATTCTCATGCTTGAAAACTAGTATAATAACAACCGGCTCGAGTCATACTATGAGCCATTGAGTTTGTTTGTTTCGGAACCTAATGAATATTAATTTCATATTTCGGAACCCAATGAATATTAATTTTAAACAACAAGATAAAATATTCTTACAATCATCGATAAACAAGACCAAAAGAAGAACAATTGATAGATGATCAACGTAAAAACTAGCAATACGTGTGTATATAATATTGTGTGTTATGTACACAATATGCTTTAACACAATACTTCTTCCATTTATGCCCAAATATAAATGCCCTATAGAATTTTTTTTAGAAAAGAAAATTAATTTAATGTTTAGATAAAGTTACTTAATATATATTCTCTATAATTACCCTTCTTTTGGTTTTTATTTGATATGGAGATAATATTTCAGACATTTCTCCCAAAAAAAAAAAAAAAAAAAAAAAATATTTCAGACATTTCTCGCCAAAAAAAAAAAAAAAAAAAACACACTTTCAGACATTATCTAGCCCAGTGCATTAATGCTGTGTAAAAAAAAAAAAAAAAAAAAAAAAAACACACTTTCAGACATTATCTAGCCCAGTGCATTAATGCTGTGTAAAATGGTCCACACATTTAATTCATGGCAGCCCATTAAAGGCCCACAAAAACTCAACAGTTGGTCAAGGGCCCAAAGTACAAAGAGAATCCTTGTCACATCTCCAACCGCAAAAGCACCGAACGAGCAGTTTCAACGGCTCATGATTTTGAATTTCAAATTTCGAAAACTGAAATTTTCCTTGATTCATTGATCAGCGTTTTTTGTGGGGTAAAAATATATATGGGCCCCTATTAACGCGCCCGGCCGTTCAAACTCTCAACCAATCTTTTCTTATTTCTCATCTTCAACCGTTCATTTTCACTTCCTGTCACTACCTGCCACGAGTTTAATAATTCCATGTGTCGAAATAAGGGAGCGAGTAGTTAATTAAAGAGGATTCAGGTGGAGAGTGTGAAAAAACAGTGAATTGAAATTTGAGTTCCCGCCCAATCGACAAGTATCAAAAGGGAAAAAAGAGAAGCTGTTAATTTTGTCGTTTAAGGTTAAAACACAGTCATTATAAGGTTGGCTCTGTCTCTGATTGGGTTGTGCTATTGTTGTGGTGGTTGAGTTCCTCTAAAACGAACAAAAAGATACTCTTATTCTCTATCACTTAAAAAGAAAGATCAATTATGGAAGAAACTGTTAAAGAGCAACAGCCTGTAGTTGTTCCTGGTATGCATAGCTTCTGTTATCTTTTTCTTTTGTTTTTTTTTTTTTCGAATATTGGTTTGATTTCTGATTTTTTTTTTTTTTGTGGAACGTTTTTGTTGGGGTTCAGGGAAATCAAAATTAAGATACCCACTAAGATCAGCAACGAAAGCCAAAGAGGAGAAGCAGCCGGTGGCTGAATTGTCGAACTCCTCTGCTTCCAAGAGGTACCTAATTCTTCTTCATTTTTATTTTTTTTTTCTTTAGGGTTGGGAACTCAAAAGGATGTGCAGAATATGATATGGTGGAAAGTGGATAATTTTATCGTGTTAAGTAAATTGCAGAGAAATTGAATTAATAATTTGGTATTTGGGTTATGATGTAATAGCATAATTTCACTCAACAAATTTACAGACCAATTTTGCACAATCACGTCTCTGTATTTCAAGCGGTTAAATTTGATCTGATAATTTAATGAATGATAGCAGAGACAGAATTTTAGACAGTGAACATATCATATTTATACAGAGAGTATGTGTTTGTTTCATTTCCATTGTTTACTAGGAAGAATTCTGTTTCCATTGTTTTTGAAGTTTTAAACTTGAAATTGGATTTCATATGTTGTGTAAGAGTTGCAGCCAGTCAACTTGCTTCTTCATTGCCTTCGTTTTGAATTTCTTTTTGTTTTTCCATTTTAAGGGTTAGGCCTGCATCAAGTGTAAGTAAAAGTGTGGGTATCCTTGATCTGTCTAGCAAGGAAAAATCTGCTAAGCCACCAAGAAGGCTGTCTATTCCTACCAAGTCAGGAGTCACTACAGCTGCTAAATCAACTGGAAACATTACCCCAATATCTGAGACCAGAACAAAGAGAACTACTAATGTTCAGGGGAGAAGTGAGACTCCTCTTTCTGATGTTTCTAGAACATCAAACAGGAAAAAGTTCAATATGCTGGCTTCTTCTTCTTATTGGCTATCTCAAATTAAGCTATCTGAATCTGCTGCTAAGCACTCCATTTCAATTGGTTTTTTCAAGCTTGCTCTAGAAGCTGGATGTGAGGTATGTGCCAATTCCTGTCTCCTACACTCAATAATTCTAATGCCAATAATCTAGCAATCTGAATGACTTTTTCTATTGTATTTTTTATTGGAAGTATTTACTTTACAAAGAATTTGAAAGAGTTGTGTTCAATTGTACAAATTCATGAAATATTCTGCATACATCTTCTTTTTTGCTGTATAGCGCAAATTCTGTTTAAATTGGCAATTGTTGGATAAGCTGATAATTGAGGTTTGGATATTGTTTTTGACATACAAATGTGGTAAATCAGCCTCTTCAACGGATGAGGGATGAGCTTAAATCATATGTGCGCCGCCATGAACTCGGCGAAATGGAAGAATCATTGAAAGAACTGTTTGAGAGGTATAATATTGGAGAAAATCAAGAGCAGGTGCAGGTTTCTGAATCCTGTTCTCAAGTTCCTGAAGAGGGAACTCGATCATCTGATGACGAAGTTCACAGCTCTTCTTCTACAATAGGGACTAGAAAACTGAGGCCTAGGTCTCTAAATGCTGATGCTGCTCAAGTTCCCACTGTTACAGAACCAGCCAAGAAAGAAATTACTAAGAAGAATACTACTGCTGCATCTAGGGCTAGAGGATCTCTGAACAAGAATAGAGTGAATTCGAGATCTGTTTCAGACTCTGCTGGTGGCAAGTTACAAAAGAAACAGCAGAAGCCAAGTAAGCAAGAAACTACCAAGGAGAAAAACAAGATCAATAAGCAAGGAAAGAAATCTGCATCTGAAGAAGGTAAGATACAAATTCACAATCTTTTTCCTGAATATATTTATTTTTACTTGGTTTAAGCTAATGGGTAGCTTCCATTAGCAGCAGGTTCAACCAGCCCTTCATCTGCTTCCACTAGTCCTGAAGAAAACAAAGAAAATGTGGTAATCCTGTTTTTCTTTTCTGGAAGTCAGTATTTAAGATTAATTTCTGGAGTTTCAACTTTTCCGCTTGTACTGAATTCAATTTTTTTATTTGTGTTTTAGAATCAGCCGGCGATGGAAGAAATCAATCTGACAGAAGTCATCAGTTAGGCAATTCTGTAGCAAAATGTTGAACCATATCATTCTTGTTCTCTTTGTGGGTTTGTCTTCAGTGTTTTCTGAAGTGGGGATTTTCCTTTGTATAGATAGAAAAAGTTGAAGGTGAAGGTGTTGGTAATGGTGTGAAAGCAAAGACTTATATTGTGTTTTCAGAAGTTTGTGTTTTCAAAACATGGCATTGATGTCTAGAATTATAAAAATTTATATTTCGTCATACATATTGTATTTAATGAATTTTAACTTATTTTTGGCTTAATATTATCCATCTTCAGGATAAATTTCTTGTACAACAAAATGCTTGTATTACTTGAAGTAAATCATATTCTGATTGCCCAAAACCTTGTGCACCTTCATGGCTTATTCATTTGTGCAATGCCTAAATGCATAGGTATGTTTTTGTTTTTTTCCTTAAAAGTACATGGCGTATTTATGCATTTAAGTTTTGTATAATTACTGAAATTAAATTGATCCTCAACCAATCAACCAGCGTTCAAACTAGCCTACCATTGACATGCATATTATGCCATTAAGTCGTTCTCTTCTCATGATTTATTCATATCACTTGAATTTTTAATCAAATTTGGGATTCTATCCGTATTTTATTTTATTTTTAATTTAACCATTTGGTGTCTAAAATTTATTAATTCGATTAATTCGAATTCGTGCTGAGCAGGCCAGGTAAGCCCATAAAGGGCCAAAGCACCGCCTCTAAATGTCTAAAGGAATTTTATACTCATCCCTAGAGAGGCGTGTGGTACCCATATCTAAAGTTTTAGATGTTTTTTCAAAAAAATAAACTGTTAGATTATTAAATTTGAAAATATGTAAAATAATGCACTTGATTTGCAAGTTAATCAAATTTACTTTTTAAGTAAAAAGTAAAAAGCAGAATAGTATTTAATTTGACTTTTAAGTTACCAAATCTACATTATATTATCATAAAAAAATGCTTACAAGGACGTTTAGCTTAGCTGTTCTTAAATTTTGACTTAAAATGTATTTTTTTAACTCAATTAATTTAAAAATAAGTACATAATTGCAAATAATTTTTAAATATATGGAACATTATAATTAGTTTGAAAGTAAATTTTTTTAAAATAAAGAAAATATTGTTAGTGAGAGTCTTTTGCTTATTTTTAAGTAGATTTTTGAACTTATGTTGAAAAGCAATTTTATTTTCGGATTTAAATTTCATAAAAATATATTTAGATAAATAAAAATCGATTTAAAAATTCAATTTGATTAGCCATAATCCCAACACAACGACCGTCCCTGTTGTTTCTATCCATAATCCCAACCCAGCCACCGTCTATATTGTCTCTATTGCCACTGTCATCGCCAGCATTACCGCTGAATTAATGATCAAAATCCTTGCAAAATAATTTCTCATCCAATCAGAATCCCTTGTACCAGCCGTCGTGATTCGTAAAAAATTAAAAGGGCCGCAAAGAAAAATGTACTTGGTTGTATTGTATCTTTCTTTCATTCTTCTAATTTCATTGAAGATGAGCTATCTCATGCCGTGACCATTATAAAGATCGAGTGACATCAATAAAAAGACCACGGGCATGCAGAGAGAAAAGTAACCATAGTTATTAGTTAATTTAACTAAACCATAGTTAACTAGACTAAGAGACTATACTTTAGAATTTAATTATTTTTCTTCTACCAGGTAGGAGAAAAACCAAGTTACAGATTAAGATACAGTTGACAATAGGAAAAAATGAAGAGATTATTAGGCCCCATATAAAAACTTTCGTCCTTGATTCTCACATGCAATTAAGTCGGATCAGAGCAAAACAAACCAACTATGACTTCAAACTTGGCAACTCCATGCATCCAGTCAATCAAGTGCCTAATAAAATTAATTTGGTATCTTTCTTCCAGCAAGATATATAATTACTGGATTTTCTACCAGCTGCAATCAAACCAGTCAACTATTTTTTATATTGAAGCACAAAAGTTTTATAACAATTCAATGCAATTCGGTAGACAATTTCTATTTTACACGAAGCTTAAAGACACGCAACAGGGTAAAGTCACATTAAAGCAGAGACAAAGAAACCCCAATAATCATACAATTGGACAGGACGCCAAAGGTACAGGGTAAAAGTTGGTAATCTCACAGGATGGTTGATTTTTAATGGCCGTGCTACTGTCACATGCCTCCAGAGCTTCATATAGATTCGGACAGAACTAAGTTTAATCAGCTGTCCAGCTCTGCTCCACAATTTCCCTAACTCTTCGGTTGTACTCGCGCTTGTTTTCACTAAACATCCGAGCAGCTTCTGAATTTGCTGGAGAATTGGGGTTGGGGTCACAGAGCAATGACTGCAATAAGCCCCATATATAGCATCAGTCATCAAGTAGAACATTGGGCAATGAAATCGGGAAAAATGAAAACAGAGATAACTACAAGCAGCACCTCTAAATTTTTGGTAGTTATTAAAATTTTGAAATTGAACCTTGGTACTTTAAAACAATAAAAGCTCAACCATGAACTTTCTAAAGTTTGGCAATTAATACTCACACCAAGTCTTCTTACAAATTGTAAATCCATTTTGCCATAATTTTCCCTTTTTTTTTAAAAAAAAAAAAAGAGATTCAAATGATACTAATAAAAGTAGAAAATATTTTTTTTGCATTCAATTCACACAAACAATAACTGGCATATTATTAAGAATATACAACCTAATATCCAAAAACTTATCACAAAATACTTAGGCAGTTTCTTAGTACATTCTGAGACTAATTAAAGTTAGAAATTCGGGCATTTAGAACCCAAAACCAATTTTGCCAACAGAAAAGATGGGTCCAAAGAAATTTCAAAAAAAAGAAAAAGAAAAAAAAAAAAAAGGCCAGACAGTATTGTAATCTGAAGTAAAGGTTAGTGATCCTATTTTAATGTTTCACAATAATGGGATTCAATGCATAAGCCCAAATTTTAGAGTGGTAAAAGCAATTATCCAAAAACAAAAACAATTCAGAAACTCTATATTATAATTTGTGACCAGTGTCATAGCAACTCTACTAGAAAAAAAACAAAAGAGAAATGCATATTTGATGTTTTTGGAAACAAATTCTCTGGTACTTATTGAATTCAAGACCTGCCCCTTCTCATTGTTAAAGAAGTGGCATCTCAATTATTTATGTTCAATCCAAGACCTCAGCCTTTCAGTTCTCACCCCTCTTTCCCTCTTTAAAGTTGTAATTGAAATGCAGATGTGTATTGTGCTGAAGTGTAAAGAAGCTGGCTCATATATACAATATATGCAGAAAAATTGCAAGTCTTATTCATGACAATACTTAGACCAACCAATATGAATAAAGCATTAGACAATACCTGTATAGAGGTAAGTATAGCTGCCACATCATATATAGGACTCCACTGATTTTGTAAAATATCCAAACAGATACTTCCGTCTGCATAAACTGATGAAATTCAAAATAACAAGCTCAGTGAGGAATTATAGCTGGAATAAGACTAAATTGTAGTGTGAACAGAAAATATAATAATTCCACCAGACTTACTGTTTGGATGGAACATTCGAGAAACAAATCGCACTGTTGGTGGTTTGTTTGGATAATCCTCGGTAAACTGTAGAGTCAACTTGAACGTGCCTGTGGAGCTCAAAAAGATACTCTCATTCATGTGCATTGCAATTGTTATGAAAGATATGTACTGTTGCACATTGCAATAAAAAATATCCAAAGTAAAAAAAGGGCAACTGCGGTGGAAACATAAAAGTCTTTTTCAAAACAGAAGTGAACTTCATTTCAAATTGGGCTGAAAATACCATACAAGCATACAAGTTCATGAATCAGGTGGACATTAAAAAGGTAATTTTTTATAATATAAACAACATGTAAGGCAAGGAGTTGCTTGACATCACCTCAGGCACAAACAGAAGTTTGAAATGTAATATCAAGAAAAAACTTGCAAAGGTCAAATAGTTTTTAATCATAGCTCTTTCTTGCTTTTATATTATAGACAATCACCTCAGAACACAAGAAGTTGAAATATAAATATACAAGAAAAAAACTTGACAGATCAAATAAGTTTAATATATATCATTAGACATAAAATATATACATGACTAAAAATTAATAAAAAATAAAATAATAATAAACTAAAATAATAAAAATAAAAATAATATTAATATAATAACTTCATGCTTATTTAAACTTATGAAAGGAAAATAAACTTGGGTCCAAAATATATAACTTCATGCTTATTTAAACTTATGAAAGGAAAATAACTTGGTCAAATTAGAAAAGTCTAGCGGGCAAAACCTACATGCAAAGTCTATACTCTACATGCGCACAGAGACATGGATACAAATGCCACACTAACATTAAATCTAACACTTGAGTTTAACTTGTATGAGGGTTCACAAAGCTTAATATTGATAGGTAAAGTAGCTAATCTGGATTTCTCACTTCCTAATTGTAAGGAACATTTAACTTTTATGCCTTAAGATTCTATGCAATGGAGACAAGTCTACAAGAGGAACAAAGGACTTCCCATGACAGATTCTACTAGCAGCAGGTGCTCAATGGCTTATCTGGTTACCTCTTTGTAAATGCACAGCATATTTAACTTCCATGCCATCATGTTATATGCAAGAAACTAAAGTAAACATGAGTATGCGAGCCTTTCATGCACATTTGCTACCACAAATTCACCTTTAACAAATCATATTGGCATTAACAACAAAAGAGTTTCTGGCATGCAAAATTGAACAGAAGAACAGTCAGGCCTCATTAGGAAACAATAATGTCACAGAACTAATGGCAAAGCCAATTGACTTCAAGATTTACCAGCACCAACATCCTCCATTCATACTAGGCCACTGGGATATATACTTAACGGTAGTTAGCTCATCTGAAAGAATCATGCATGATAAGCAAAGAGTTTTAAAATGTTCTAAGCAGTCTATTTCTTTATCAACTTCATGGATGTGATTTATATACAGGCAAGACAATAATTCAACTTCATTGGAGGAGGACAAAAAGGTTTAAGAAAAAGAACAGGTAATTGATTTATGATTAGAAATGATAAATCCAAACACACATGAAAACCACAATTTTGTGACTGAAGGATTCACTGATTTCTAGTGTTTATAAGGGAAAAGAATACCCAAATTTGATACAAATGTTATGCTTCAGGATGTCCCAGAAGCAAGGTAAGCAAACCAGCTTATTCTAAAATCCTCCATATGCGTCACAATAAGCCTAAACATGCTCCAAAGTTTTCTAACTAACAACCGCAGAAAGCCTTTTCCCTTTAGAAAATCAAATAGTTCCGTCCATATTGCAAGAGAGTTTCATCACAACAAATCAAACGGACCAACCATTAAAACCTCTGTCTACCTACCAAAATAAATTAGGCAGGCCTCATCCATAAAAAAGGAGCATGTAGAGATTAGAGAACTTTAAAACACAAGATGAAATTCTATGGGATAGTAAAATATTACAAATTGCAAAAAATTAAGCACAACCATGCTGCACGATAATATGAGTTCACCCTTTTGGCACATCCATTCTTTACGCACAAGCTTTAGGGCAAGTATTACTCACCTCCATCCCAGGGAGTATCATCAGGACTGAAATCCAAACAACAATTGCAAAATTCAGTAGTAGTTTAATATGTCATAGATATTCAAAGAAATTAGAAAAGAAATGAACTGGATATGCTAATAAACTAACTCACCCAAAAATCACAGCATTCCAAAGCATTATGTTGTTGTCTTGGGGTGCTCCACTAATCCCAGCAGGTGGGTCTTGCTGCAACCTCTTAAAATCTCTCATCAATCTCTTTCTTGCAGGAGTCGACATCGCCGCTACCTACAAGTGAATTCCAAAACAAATTATATTGCTAATTTACATAGAAAAACCAATAATAGCCAATGGGCACTTCAAGGCACATATCTACCGGCATGCACAGCAGCACATGAGTAATACCCGGCATGTAGTCTATAGCTAGGAAAAACTCTTAGATTTACTTTTCTTCAAATCTCATTTTAGACAGCACCGATTAAACAGAATTTACTAGCATCAAGCACATATAAACATTTCAAAACTAATATAAAGTGATAATCAAATTTCATTTCCACATATCAATACGAAATGGATAATTTCACACAGTAATCTACTAGTCTATCACCCGGATTCTAATTTCAAAGGAACCAAACAACCCGATAAAAAAAAACAGAAAGCTAGGGTTTACACTTCATGGTCGACCAAACAAATAATTCAGATCTTCTAATTTCTAAGCAGATCTAAAAATAAACTACAAGAAAGCAGATAAAAAAAAACAAGAGAAGCAGAATTAAGCTATGATAAATCACAAACCTGTTAAAGAAGATGCGACGAGACAGAAGAGAGGCAGCCAACAGCTAGGGTTTAGAATTGAGGTTCGATTCAATTGAATTATATATATATATAGGTAGAAGAATCCAAAAGAAAGTGATCAAAATCAAGAGTATGAGTGGAGAGGAACAAAAGAAGAGAGAATATAGAGAGAGAGAATCTTCTATTCAAGAGAGAGATGAAAAAGGAAAAAGAACAAAAACAAAGGGGGTGAGAAGGAAGGAGCGAACTCGGTTTTATTTAATGGGGTTGTGTTGTGGTTGGCTGTGGTGGCGGCTGGCGAGACGTCCTGTCCCCACTTTCTCCCTGTTATTTATCTATTTCTTTTATATACCGTATGGTATTAATTTTTTATCAAAAGATACGGTTTGGTATTAATCTATACTATATATAAATACATGAATAAGAAAAATAAATAAATTTTCAATATCGCTTTTACTGAAATTTAAAATATTTTAAAATAATCTTAGTTTTAATTAACTAAAAATTATTTTTTATACCAACAAATGTTTGAATGAATGGATTGACACTCTTTTTCCTTAAATGGGGTCAAGGGTTTCAATCCTCATTAATAGTAAACATTCGCTGAAAGCATTTTATTTCTTCTTGAGTCTAATTGGTTCAAGCAGACTTTAGTTCTAGACACTGTGCTTGAGATACCCGTGGTTAAAAAAAAAAAAGAAAAATTATATTTTATTATTTGATCAGATATAATTTTTTAAAAATTATTTTTAATAAATAAATATATATAATAAAAAAGAAAAATGATTGTATAAAAAATGGTGGGTTTATTTGAACATGATATAACCTTTCTTTTATGTAATTTTTTTATTACTTAATTAATTTTTTTATTTATTTTAAATTTGCAACTTAGAACAACAGATATAGGCATGGCCACTAGTTCGGTTCGAACCAGAATCAAACCGTATTGTAGACGAACCAGAATCGACGGTTTAAAATTTTAAACCAAAACCGGCAGTTCAAGGGCCGGTTAAGATTCATACAAATGTTGAAATATGAACTGGAACTGGCGGTTTTGGTTCGATTCAAATTGAAAATTTTCTATTTTTATTTCAAAATGATAATCATTTAGTCTATTTTATGCGTCTCTAGAAATTTTAATAATATTATACTACATGATATACTTTACTTTAGAACTTTTTTTAAAAAATACACTTTACTTTGAAAGTTAAAAATTTAAAAAGTAAAATGGTAAAAAAAATAGAAATATTTAGTCTAAACTTATATTATTTTTAACTTTTTTTTTACCCTTTTAAATTATTTGCGAAGTTTAAAACTACATTCTTTTGAAGCATTTTTCAAAATTTCTTTTAAATATTGCGAAGTTTAAACTACATTCTTTTATTTTGAAGCATTTTTCAAAAATTTTCTTATAAATTTATTTATTTACATAACATTTAAAATAAAATTAAAGTGATAATTTTATTTGATTATTTGTAAAATTAATTAATATTTTGTAAAATTAATTAATTTTATTCCTACATGAGTATAAGCATTCTAAAATTTATTTAAAATAAAATTTATCAATATTTTTTAAACTCATATGAATATGTACGAAAGAAAGATGAAACATTAAAACCAATTTAAAAAAAAGAAAAAAAAATATATATATATCGCCGAAAACCGTAAACAGAACCACGTCGGAACTGGCCAGAACCGGGACCGGACCGAAACTAACGGTTCAAGAGCCAGTTCAGGTTCAACATTTTAAAAAATTTGAACCGTCGGTTCCATGAACAGGAACCGGCGGTTCAATGAACTGACCATGCCTAAACAAACAAACAAAATACTTGAATAATTTCATTGACCAACGAATATTGGATTCTAATTTCATTTATTGACTTGACTTTTTTTTTTTTATCCAACAAAATCAAATTTAATTAAATTATAGCATTTTCAGGGTTCTTTTTGAAATTTAAATTGATAATTTTTTAAATATAATTTATTTTTATTATAAGTTAAGTTCTTAAAAGAGTTTTATTAAAAATTTATTATTATATATTTTTTTATAAAAATTATTATTTATTATTTTTTTATTATTAAATTAATTTATAACTACTATCATTTTAATTTAACAAGAGATTTATACGCGTAAAGCATATTCCTTCTTATACTTTTTATATTCCTTCTTATCCTTTTTATTTGGATTTACAGGTAAGTGCGTCTTTTCAGTGAAAAATTTCCAAAAGTGCGTCTTTTCAATGAAAAATTTCCAAAAAACGAAAGGGAGAATCGGTCCGGTTCAAAACAGAAAAGAAAACAATAAAACCCAAAACCAACTTTAAAAATCAAAACCATCTGTAATGTATATACCTTATGCAAGCTTTAATTTCAACACTTAACTGCATTGGATGTGATCAGTTCATAGAACTTCATTGGCATAGTCCAAACCAGAACTTTTCATTCTTCTACGCAAGATATGGGAACGCCAGCCCAACCTCAGGCTTTGGTTCAAGTGGACCAGCGGCTGTTTCTGTATGGTTCTTGTAAGGTGGAAGATTTTTCTCTGCACTCCAGGTTTAGATTCAATGGGTGGCTTGGGTATAGTTCCTGAAGTTGTGGAGTTTTTCCTACCCTTTCTCTTAATTTTCAATAATAAAATCTTATTTTTCTTTGTTGTTCAAACAAAAAAAAAAAAAAAAAATTTTTTCTTTGTTGTTTCAAACAAAAAAAAAAAAAAAAAGAGGGACTATCATATTATTGTTGATCTGGATTATTGCATTATACTCCATATCATCAGGAAATTCTTGCTACAAATAATATAAAAAAAAAAAAAAAAAAAAAAGAGACTATTACATATTATTGTTGATCTGGATATTGCATTATACTCATATTCATCAGGAAATTCTTGCTACAAATAATATAGATGAATAATTAGAAGTCAGAACCACTCATGTTAAAGACATATATAGGTAAGTCTTACTGTATTTAGTCTTGCAAGAAATAATTAACAAATTAAAAAAAAAAAAAAAGTCGTCTACAAATATATGTACTCACCTAAAAATTAAAACCTTATTCAACTACATATATTTCCCTTTGCTTCCGGACGCAATGTTCCATCTATCCAAAAAATAATAATCTTTGTTGATCTTACATTGTTATTACAGCCTATATATATAAGCACTAAATAAAATTCGAAAAAAAAAAACATTAACTAATTAATTTCAGTGGTCTCTGTTGTCACCGGGAGATGAAGACGCACTCTTAGGAGAAGAGAAGGGAAGTGAAGGTGGCAAAAACATCAAATTTCCAGGTTGTGAGTTTCCTGATGTCGTTCTGTTCAAGTAACTTGTCGCACATGCATTATTACTTTTAGCGGCTCCTGACGATGCATAACCACTAGCCACCGGAAAGTTCTCACCCCACTTCAACTTCTGTGCCAAGTTATCACCACTGCCCAGATTGGCGCCGCCGTTGCCATTGGCAGTGCCAATTATAGAAGTGATAGCAGCTGCCAAAGCAGATTGGAAAGATGGGTCTGTTGCGATTGCCTTACTTGCAGCAGCTATAGTATCTGGTAATGGCGGTTGTTGAGGAGTTGTACTGATTAGGGTTTTCTTTTGCATGTAGGGTTGCAAATGGTTGTTTAAAGATCCTGGTTGGTTATTTCTGTTGTAGGGTTGAAGAGAAGTAGTACTCGTTCCATAGCTAAGAAATCCATTTCCCCAATTCATCAGGTGAGAGTCAGACGAACTGAAGTTAAGAGTACCAGGAGTAGCGAATTTTGGAAACGGAGAATAACTCGAAGAAAATGATCTGTTAACAGAAGATGAAGACGCATTTGAAGAAGTTAGGTCTAAAGTGATTGTTGGATGTGAAGGTGATGGTGAAAGAGAAGAGTTGTGCATGTAGAATTGTTTTGAATTTGAGGTGTCGGATAGATAAAAATTCAGTCCATGAAGACCAGCAGGAATAGTACTGGTGTTTGCTTGAGAACTAGATGTTAGAGAGCCGGATAATAGCATTGAAGCAGCTGCGGAAGTTGTGGAAGCCATAGCTGTAGCTGAAAGAGGAAGTGGGTGGTTGTGCGTTCCTTCATAGGTGGTGATTAAGATTGACATATCTTCTGCACATCTTTGAACCTAAAATATATAAGCGTAAAATTATCATCAGTTACAAATAGTAACAAAATACAAAGGATAAATACATGATGAATTGTAAACACTCAGAAGGTAGCAATTTGCTACGAACTGCCGGCGTGAATCCAGATTCATCGGCCAGTGGGGTTCTGATGCGAGATGGTTTAAGACCAAAAAAGAAAAACAATAAATAAATGACGAATTATAAATTAATTTGTACCTGTTTTCTCACTGGGCAAGTTGGTGCAACAGTGCAACGATAGTATGCTCTTGGGCATGGATTTCCTTTTGCAATTTTCTGTCCATATTTCCTCCACTGGCATCCATCATTCATCTATATGTAAACAAAGGGAGAGACTGATTTCATAAAATAAATATTTTCGCCTTTAAGTTTTTATATTAAAGTTAATAATAATGATTAATGTGAATAATTAACTATTCCAATAATAATGTGAACTTGATATTGTGGAATGATTACTAACCGTTGGAGTATCACATTTAGCTCTGACACAAACCCGAGCTTTCTTGAGAGGGTTTTGTTGCACCACTTCATCTTCTCCACTTGGCATTGTCTTGGGAACCTTATTAGAAGGCCAAGTCTCTTCAGCTTCTTCCTTATGTGATTCTAAGCTATTCACAGGGCTTGGTTTTGGCAAATTGATTGCCTGAGATTTGGACAATTCAAACTTGCATTCCAATCCAAGAGACAAACATTCATTGTTATTATTATCTTTCTCAACTTCTTTATAATTCAAAGTTTTGCTCTTTCCATCCTTTTTGGAGTCATTATTACTTGAAACCCTCCCTAGGGTTAGGGAAATAAACTCAGGTTCTTCAACTGCATGTTGGTAATTATTATTATCAACTGTAGACATATAAGATCTCTTTGTTTCCTGATCTTGTTGAATAATGTCATGGAATTTCATCTGAAGAGCCTGATAATCTTTCATCATTTGACCTAGGGACATTTTCAGCCTTTGATTTTCTTCTCTCACTACATCCATTTCAGCTCTTGCTGATTCAAGCCAACTATCCTGTTCAAAAAAAAAAAATTTTTTTTTTTAGAAAAAAAAAAGGCAACTAAAATGTAAATATTATAATTAAGTTAAATATTTTACATATTTTTACATATTTATATGAATTTCACTCTATTTAGGGCTGAAGTATTATAGGAAAAAAAATTTGATTATTAGTTTGATTGCTAGATTGATGATTAATTTTTTGATGTTCAGCGAAAACCAAGAATATATTTCAATATCAACTAGCTAATAAAGTGTTTAATATATTTATTCATAACGTAAAATGTTAAGTATTTAAATTCTTTGGTTTTTGCGCAATTATCTTCACATTTTTTTTTAAAATGAGATTAATTTCGTTTCAGGTTATGTGGTTATCTTTTTTTACAAAAACTTTTACATGGATTGATTCTCTAACTTTGTAAAAGCCGTTGCTATATACGTTTTTCAGGTTATGTGGTTATTCTTTTTTTTACAAAAAACTTTTACATGGGATTGATCTCTAAACTTTGTTAAAAAAAAGCCGTGCTATATATAATATATATATATTATATAATATATAAAAAAGAAATGATTTAAATTGTTAAAGACATTTGATTAAAAAAAAAAAACACGATATATATATAAAAAGAAATGATTTAAATTGTAGACATTTGATTTAAAGAAAAAAAAAACACGAAAAAAGAGTTTCTTATTAACCTGATGGAAAGAAAGAAAAAATCTCATTTTTAACAGGATTTCTTGCTATATCTATGAATTGTATTGAAGACATTGAAAATCCCTTCTTTTTTCTAAATGAAGATATATATAATTATTCATACTTCACATAAAATATCAAAAACATGCTTCTTACTAACCTGCTCCTTTAGGCTTGAAGAAGATGGTCCTGAATCGAATTCCATGATGCACCTTTCCTTATTATTAGTTGCAACAACTACCTGTTTAAGGAAAATCAACTAATTAAAGGGAAAAAAAAAAAAAGAAAAGCCAGTAAATTAATACTATAATCAAAGGAAAAAAAAAGGGTTTTGCTTAGAACTGACACTATAAAAATCTTATTTGTAAATAAGAATATTAATATCAAAGTCACCTATATTTATTAGCACATGATAAGGGTCAACAGATCCCTACAAATCAAACTATATAGTGTTGACCAAAAATGAAAAAGTTAGAGAGCTAAGTCAATTTATATGACTTTCAGACCTCGTAAATTCATTATATTCACTGTGAAAGATCTTAATTAGCCATCCTAATCATTATTTATTTTGTGGGAAACAGTCATTCTCTTAGCATAAATTGGACAACTGCAGATGTTTTGGAATTATATCAAATAAAAATTGTACAATTTTTGATTCTATAAAAAGATAAATACATTACTTTCCCTATGGATAATAAAGCCATGTACTTCCAATTAACTAGTTGAGGATGAGCATTTATTTTAACAATGACTTCTGGTTGTTGCAGATCCAATCAATATTAATTGAAGATTATATCTTTAATTAATCTTGTTCTGTCAATTTTTACCATATAATTAATTAATTAATGTGCAAAGAGAACTGCAATACTCCAGAATTGTTACCTGCTTGGTCAAGCTTAAATCTTTATTTTGTTCTGATAAAGATGATTTCAGATCTTCATTCTCATGGTATGCTCTCTTCCTTCCATTCTGAATTCAAGTATATATGTATATATTTATATAATTAAAAAATTTTGAAAAAGCAATTACATATACATATATTAAGCTTAAACTTGATTAGTTATTAAGAATCAAATTTATATTTATACATGTATATAACACATAAAACAAGATCTAATAAAAAATATCACGAAATGAATCCGATAACTAAACCGATATATATATATATATATATATATGTGTGTGTGTGTGTGTGTTTTTGAAAAGGAAAGAAAACAAAAAAAAAAAGCATACAAACACCAAAATCTTCTTTGTTGTGGGATAATAATTTAGATTAACAGGATAATTATAGATCCAAAATCTTTTTAATGCTTCATTTAAACCCATGAAGAAGATTAAAGTTTTTACCTTATTATTAACAATCTCTTCTCTTGAAGAACTGTCATGATCGTGATGATCAGTAGCAGTAGAATCAGCTGGCCTCTGTTCCTTGATCAGGCCTCCATGGCTGGATCTTCTAATAACGTCCTCCATAACCCTTTTGGTCTCTTCTTGATACTTTTTCTTTCAATTCATATGCCGTCTTTCCGTAATACCTTACCTTCTTATATATAAAGAGCATGCAGTATTTGACTGGTTTTTAATAAATTCAAACTCAAGCTCTTACCAGAAAACAGAAATAAAAAAAATAAAATAAAAATGTCAACACCTCAATCCAATTGCACTAAAGAAAGAGCGCTACACCTAATATTATATGCAGACTTTTAATATTATAAAACATAACTAGAAGAAATCAACTTCAACGATAATATATGTGTGTACATATATACACACACAAACAAAAAAAATATAAAATAATTTAAATGTAGGCTCTCTTGTTTCGGAAAATAACTTCTGAATTTCATGATTTTTGAATGTTTGGAAAATATCAGTCAAAAAAATATTTTTCTGATCAAAAATAAAACTAATTAGTAATTTTAAAGGAAAATAACTTCCTTTTTATCAAGGGAAAAAACAATTTGAAGATGTTGAAAAATTTTATTTTAATCTTATAAACACATTAAAATTAATTCATTAATTACTGGTAGCCATCATTATTAGCAGTGGTGGAGCTAGGATAAAGACTAAAGAAATGAAATTTTATTTTTCAAGAGTTAGCAAGGGCAAAATTTAAAAAAAAAAAACATTAAAATTAATTCATTAATTACTGGTAGCCATCATTATTAGCAGTGGTGGAGCTAGGATAAAGACTAAAGAAATGAAATTTTATTTTTCAAGAGTTAGCAAGGGCAAAATTTAAAAAAAAAAAAGTGTATTATTTTAAAAGATCAAATTTTAAAATTCTAAAATTTAGAGAGCAAATTTAATTATTTTTTTAAGAGGGCAGGGTACCCCGGACACCCTTTCTCTCTCTCAATGATTATAAGTCACAACTAATTAATCACCATTACATGTCATAGCCATTATCCGCGACCACTAGATCACCGGAGACTAGTTATCATAATTTATCATTTTTATGTATTTTTGCATATTTAATGAAAAAAAATTTGAAAATATGAAATTTCTATAATTCTAAATATTTTTGGTAAAATGTTAGTTAAACGAATAACATTTATTAAGACAATTAACACTAATAAAACCACTCATTTTATCAAATAGACCCTAAAAAAAAAAAATACGTGTTGTACGTAAGAGTGTGCAAAACTATTGACCAAACCGAAAATTAAATTGACCTATTTCAGTTTGGTTCGATCAGCTTATTAAAGGAAATTCATTTATTAAGTTAGTCGTTTTGAATTGAAGCCATTATTTAGTACGGGTCGATTTTATAAAAATTAATCAGTTGAACTTAGAATCGAATCGACATGACAAAACTAATCAAAACCGACCGAACCAATTAGTTTAATTCAGATGCTAATGTTGGGTCAATTCAATTTAATCTGTCATCCATAAACTACGATTTTCATTTTTTTGATATTAATCGATTTGAACTGAATAAATCGTTTGAACTAAACCAATCGTTTGCTCACCCTTATTCAGTGTGTGAGCAGAATAATTCATTTTTTAACGTATTAGCTGCTTAGAGAGGTTTGCACCGCAAAGGGCGAACCCACCTAATAGTTTGCTAGAAGGAATGAAGCTTCGTACTAGAATACAAAAGTCACAAAGGCATTGTTAGATTGTCAAAATTTTGGGCATATTTCGTGTTACCGAGGGTGACTAGAGTTTCTCCGCAAACGCCAAAAGCCAAAAGGGGTTGCAGTGACTTTGAAAGCCAAACATTGGGTGGAGAATGAATGTTATTGGTCCGTGCATTCACCTTCTATCACTAACCAAACTTGGAAAGCTCGGATTGATTGATGGAAGTGTGAATCTAACTAGCTAGTATCAGCGTTAAGTGAATTCTAATTAGGAATAATCCTCCGTTAAATTAAGCTAATTTTGATTTATAATTTATTAAAATTATAAAAAATAATAGTTTTAAAGTGATAATTAATGAATTAAATCTTCAAGATACTCAAATGATAAAAAGAATTCCTTTGTATTTGTCAAAAAGCCAAATCACATGGTTTTATTTTTTAAAATTTTCTTTGAAAAAAAAAATTAAAAGAACATAGATATATTCCTCTTGTTTGGACGAAACTATTTAAAGAGAATGTTTAATTCTAAAAAACCAAAAGAAAAATTGAGAATAAATATATATTTATAGGAAGAAGGTTCTTTGAAACAATATCAATATTGATTCTTCTAAATTTAAATTGAATAAGACCGGCATTCTCATGCATCAAAAAAATAATATATGCCCACATTATTGCATAAATATTTTTATTTATAATATGCATTGATCTTATAATTTTTATTTATTTATTTATAAGAGCTAGAAAAATATTATGAATTACACAATAATAATAGTCATTTTCTTTAAATAATAATCATTAAATTGGTAATAATCTTTGTGATCGAGAGAGAACTCAATTCCAACCAATCAGATAATAATTCCACTCACAATCAACATAACGAAAAATGATTTTTTTTATTGAAATGAATGTATTTCTAACGATGCATTAAGAAAAAAATCATAAAACTACTTATGAAAAATCATAATGATGTATTTCTAACTATTCGGGTTTAAGTAAGTCTAATCCTCGAATCAAATCTAATTGGCTGTTTTGCTAATTTTGTTTGTATTACTTAGGAAAATCATACAACTACTTATGAAAAATCAAAATATTGGAAAAATCATATTGCTTGTTTGGAAATCCATTGAATTTTCCTTCTATTATCATTCTTTCTTTCAACATGAATGTGGAGTCAATTTCCTAATGAAAAAATGTTTCGAAAACGACAATGACAAGCAACCGTACGTCATTAATTTATATATATATATTAAATTAGTATAATCAACAATTCTACAGAATTAACAAAACCTATTAGAAAGCTATTCTACTGCGTTTAAAAATTAATTAAATATATTAATATAACAATTTCAATATTGATTTATTTATATGTTATTTATTGACTTAATTATAATATCTAATGATTGCTGTTATTCAAAATATTGAAAAATGGAATTACTTGGTTCCTTCCTTGTTTCATTTCCACTGACGGGAAGATAATTTGCAAGGAAATAAACGATTAATTGTCGTTTTAATTAAATTTTGAATTCTAATTGTCTTTTGATTAAATTTTTTTCCCCTGAAATTTCATTATAATCACTAATTAGTTCCATAAACGTGAAACATGTTAAGTAGCTTTGCTTGTTCAAACAAACCAACCATCACTTTTCTTGCTTTAATATATACATCGAGTCTGTTTGACAAAGTTAGCTGCTTTGGCAATTGTTAGCTGTTTTAGTAGCGTTTTTAACTGTTTTAATAGTTTTTCATGAAATGCTAAAAGTTAAACATTACATGAGTTAATTTTTACAAAACGCTATCTTTACCTCTAAAAGTTAATTCAAACGATATATTATCGAATAATATAAAGATTAGCATTTAGTATTTTAACCAGTCAAAATGCTAAAAGCTACTTAAAAAATTATCACCGAACACTGCCATCAACAACAATATATACATCAACAGCAATAACGCTTCAATTTAATGAATGATTTTTATAAAGCTAGCAATAGTTCCAAAATAAGCTACGAAAATACAATTTAGTGTATATATGGTTTACGAATGATTTTCTCAAATAATAGGAGATTCATCAATAAATTTTGACTCGGCAATAATTAAATTATTAAAATTATATTATATTACGAAATTTATTGCAAAAATAGGTCGGTTCAATTGCCTGGTAAATAACTTATCAGTCTTCCCAAATTTTTGAGTGTGACTATATAATTAATTGGTAGTAAGTATTTATTCGTATAACGAGGGAAACTCTTTTTCTTTGTAGTAAATTATATTTGCTTTCATATCTAAAATATAAAAATACGGTGTATTAATTGTGGTCCGTTAAAAAATACAACGTTTTCAATGGATATTTAGTTCATCCATAAAGAAAAAATTCATGTTCCGAGTTAAGAAAGAGGTATCTCAACCTCCTTTGATATACACATATACATGCATATAGTAATTTCTTAATCATAAATGGTAGTGTTAATGTTGTTAACATCATATGACCCAAAATTTAGGTCTTAAATAAATATCAAAACTCTCTTTTCAATTTCAAAGAATTATGTTTGGCATTTGACATTGATCAGCTGGCACCGGCTTTATCGTGTAAATTTGTTGGACTATAAATAAATAAATAACTATATATAGGCTTTATCGTGGTAAATTTGTTGGACTATAAATAAAAAATAACTATTATAATATAAATATATATAAAATAATATATATATAATATAAGGAAGAAAATATATATAGGAAGAAAATAATTATATACGAGAAGAAAATGATATGAAAGAATGAGTCAATTTGGAAATTCTATACTGGTAAAGTCATTGTAGCATGTGGAGATGAGCTTTCAAGTTTCAACCATTTTGTCAAATTCAAAGAGAGGGAGCCACTTGATGGATTTACAAACTTAATTTATTGGAAAACCCTAATTGAATCTGATTCCTAATTACTTGAATATAATAATCCAAGAGTTTTAGTCATTGGACTCATTAATTAATTAATTAATTAATTAACTCGCATTAATATACATTTATACACTATCGTCATATTATATTTCATACACAGAAAAAAAAAATCATAATTTAACCAAATTAAAGTAATTGATTTTTAATAATCCTTTGAAAATTTCCGAACTAACCTGAAAAAGAAATGCTAGTATGACAACACCTTGATTTTATTTAAAGTCACCAATATGCTTAATTAACTACTAGGTCAATGCTTTGCATAGGTTTGTACTTCGTTCTCTTAATTAGTTGTGATAATTTATAATTATAATAATTAAGCTATATCTTATTGTCTTAATTATAGATTGTATATAACAAATTGCCGAGTTTATTATTAATTTCAAAATCATGATGATCTAACAGAACTCTTTTTAAAAGATTATGCGTGATTACTTGGTTTCCAAGCAGTCATTACAAATTAATAATAGTTCCATAAAATTTTCATTAATTAATAAAATGGAAAAAACCTTAATAATGAATTAATTAACTAAAGAGAAGAATTAAGATTTTACTAATTATTTTATTGAACTAGGTTAATATTTGAATGGAAAATTGGGACAAGTAACCCTAATTAGGATTTGGGGTTTTCCTTTTTTTTTTTTTTTTTTTTTTTCTGTTTTTTTTTTTTTTTTTTTTTTTTGGCATTATCAAATTAATTATTGCCAATAAAATCCAATAATCATTATGGTTATGTATTAATAAATGTTATTTTGGATTTTAGGTTAAGGAAAAAATGAATTGTCACATGTAGTTAAACTCTCAGTGAAATATTATCTTTTCATATATCCAAATAGTTACGTATAAGTACGACAATAATATTGATTGAGGTGGTAAGCGACATCAATTCCGTAAAGATGATAGCACAAGTTTGATTACTGAAAAACACACTTATAAATGACGCCGAGTGAGATTAAATCTTCTGGTTATAAAAAAAAAAAAAAAAAAAAAAAAAAAAAAAAAATGCTATCAGGTAATGATAAAAATTAGCTGGTGTAGTATTAAGTTGAGTTGGGTTGCAAAGTCATAATTGAATGTGTCTTCAACTTCAACATGTTGAATTGGTTATCAATACGTATAAACTGTTATCCTCTCTGGCCGTAATTCATGGACTTGTCAATACTGATTTTTATTTTTTATTTTTTATAATTTGAATTTGAATTCCATCATAGTTGAAATTTAATCAATTAAATGAGGTCATAAAAAAAAATAAAACTTATATATAAATCCCTAAATTATAATGATAATGACGTATAAATCCTTCCGTCCAAAGAGTCTGTTGATATTATTTGTAGAGTACTTTTTAAATTTAAATAACATCGAATTTGATTAATAACGAATAAAAATCACTAATTGAACTAATGCTATTAATTACTGTATAAATTCATTATTGATTAAGAAAATTTAGATTATGAGTTGACTAATAATATATAATTTCAAATTTCACCCCTTTTTTTTTAGAATAAAGTAATAGTAATAATAAGTAGTTAAATACATATATAATTACATATACACATGAAAGGATAATATTATTTTTATTTTTTGAGTTGAAAATGAAAGAGAGAGAAAAGGGAGAAAAAAAAAAAAAGGTTTCGAGTCAATGACTTGAATCTGGGAAAGAAAGACAAAGCTTTTGTGATGAAGTCAATATACAGCTTAATTCCCACTATATATTGCTTTTGTTTGTATTAGACTAATTAATTGAAGATTAACTATTAATTACTAACACAGTTAATCTGAATAGAAAGAACTCAAATCCCTTAAGTAAGAGATTCAGTATTCAATCGATTTATTATGAATGTAAAAAATTTCCGTATTATGTGAAAATAGTTAATTTTATCGAACATACTCTTAGTTTAATAGACATAAGAAAGTGGTATATATATTAGCCGTCTCACTACCTCTACTATCGTATATTATTATATATATATTTGCTTGGTGCAAGCTTTTTTATTCAGCGTTGAACCTTACGTTGTAAATATGTAAATATTCAAAATAGACTTTGTAAACTTACAATGAGTCCCAATGTTCTTTTCATATCCAATATGGATACCTCTTTTAATCTCTTTTTTCTGCTATTAGGATATATATAGGTGGTGCAAGCTCTCAATCGTCAAGCTTGAACTACGTTTAAATATGTAAATATAAAACATAGACTTGTAACTACCAAGTCAATGTTTTCATATCAAATGGATACCCTTAATCCTTTTTTGTATAGGATAAACGTGTTAATTTGATAAGTCTTTTGGCTTTTACTCCCACTAAAAAATTAATAATAGTCATGTGGAGTGTTACTCTTGTCACGTAGTTGATCACGTGATTTCAACATATTAAGCCTTCTAACGAATAAAAAAATGGTATACAGGAGAGGTTAAAAAGAATTGTAGCCCATGGGCCAAGGCCCAAGCAATAAGATAGGGTTTCTGGTTTCCACGTAAATGTCAATAATACATAATAACATTTGATTGGATAGAAGGACATGATTGATTATATCGAAAATGAGTGTCCTGATTTGATTGGATTCAATTTTTATAGACGAAATCTTCATCATGGATATTGTTCTTTATACCTATATAACGACACCGTATTGGTTACACCTCTGCAGTCTGAGCAAACAGACAAACAAAACGCTCATGTGCGTGACTGGACCTGAGTTATTGGGAAGCGAGATGGCAGCAGCAAAATTTACTAAAGGGAGATGCCAGTAATTGATGAAAATGACGAGAGGATATGTTTCTTTATTTGTTTGTTAAGATTTAGTATTAGAACTGCAAGTGCAAGTAAGTTCTAATAATACTAATAACAAGAGGAATATAGATAAATCAGAGGATCGCGCTATTCTATTCAGTGTTCACCACCCATCGTCATGTATAGATTGGTGGGTTGCAGAGGATTGAGAACCCAGAAGGGTATAAGTTGGCTCAGTTCATTCAATCTTTCAAGGTATGATATTTTCTTCATCTGATATACCTGGTTTTTATTTAATCTGAAAATTAATGGAAGTTTTTTATGTGGGGAGTTCTTTAAATTTTTACGTTTTTATTGACGGAGGCACTTCCGTAACCTGTGTTTGGATTGTTTGGCTACTGGGAATTGGTGAGGAATAAAGGAAGGATAGAGAAAATGGAAGAAAATAGATAGATATGCCCATCGCACACATCATTTACAATTCAGCTTCTTAATAGATGGTCTCAGGCTTACTTCTTTAGCAACAAATTGCTGATTCATAACTATTATTCTGACGGTCCCCAATTTATTTTTTCCCTCATATTATAAGAAATCTTGTATTGAAGAATGAAGAGGAGAAAACAATATGGTGATTGACGTTTCCTCAGTTTCTTGAAGTTCCTTCAAAACTTTCCTGTTTATTATAGCTTTATTATCTGATAATTAAATTCACTTGCTTTTTTTTTTAAAGCAGAACTGTTCATTCTTTGCCTTTTGCAACAGTAGAGGTTGAAGAGATATCAGGTTCTCAGCCCGCGGAAGTACACAACTTGGGTAGGCATTATTGTGGTTGCATTTGTTGCTTACTGATGATTCTTTGGTCCTTGTTGTTACTTTTTTTTTTTTTTTTTTTTTTGGCATTATTGTGGTTGCATTTTGTTGCTTACTGACTTGATTCTTTTGCGTCTTGTTGTTACCTTTTTTTTTTTTTATTTTTAGTTTACAAAATAAGTTCTTCACGCGGAATGTTTATCTTTTTTTATCATTAATAAAATTGATGAATATTGGGGTAAATGAACGATTGGAAGATTAATCTCCTCCCTCTTTATGTAAATTTTAAATTTTAATTTTTAATTTATATGGGATTGAAGTTCAAGAAGCCTTCCAAACAGTACAGGCCCCTATGAAGCATACAGATTTTGCCTGATCAGTTTTGAGGATTGAACTTGCAAGTTTCTAATCACCTTTCAACCAAACAGATGTACTGCATTGGAACAATAGAACATCTTTTATTTTAGTGCAGGAAAATGTTATTCCGCTACAAGATTAGTATCTTCAGATGGAAACACCGACTTGTGGATCCTTGAAATGGTGAGGAGCCTAGTTCATTAAGGGTATGTTGATGTAGATTGAAAACAAGAAATAAAACAGGTACATCTTTCTATATAAATTTATTTTGTTCCCGAAAAGTTGGGCATGTCGACATTATCACACTAGTTAACCTGGCGTTCGTGTTCGCGCGCAGTTTGCGTGGTGTGTAGTAGTTTATAGAGTTCATGTATTGGGCATAGATAATTAGAAATACATATTTTTCTTTCTCCCTGTGTGACTTTTAAGCAATACCTTTCAGTCATTTTCTTCTTTTCATTTCCCGAATATTCATTTGTGGACACTCCACAGTCCAATCCCAATTTCAAGGTTTATATAAACTTCTTTAATGTCAAAATTACTCCTGAACTAAACTGTGACTAACCTGTTTTGGCTAATCATGCAGCCATTTTGTGGAAAGTCTTGTCCAGAGTGCCCCAAGGCATGGGCTGCATTATTTTTTTTTTTTTTTTTTTTTTAGTTACAAGAATAAGTTTTCAGCGAATGCTTTATCTTTTTTATATAATAAAATTGTGAAATTGGGTAAATTGAAGATTGAAATTAATCTCCTCCCTCTTTTTTATTGTAAATTTTAAATTTTAATTTTTAATTTATATTGGATTGAAGTCAAGAAGCCTCCAAAAGTACAGGCCTCTATGAAGCATACCAAGATTTTGCTGATCAGTTTGAGATTGAACTTGCAGTTTCTAATCACTTACAACCAACAGATGTTTGAACATAGAACATCTTTTATTTTTAGTGCAGGGAAAATGGATAGGATCTTCAAGATGGAACACGATTGTGGATCCTTTAAATGGAGAGCCATTCATTAAGGTTGCTGATGTAGATGAAACAGAAATAAAGGTACATCTTTCTATATAAAGAAGATTGGGCATGTCACTTTCCCAGTTAAATTGGTTTCCCCATTGGGTGAGAGTCTGTAGCATGTTGTGGGCAAGAAAAGAAACATTTTTTTCTCCTTGTGCTTTAAGCAATACCTTTCAGTCATTTTCTCTTTTCATTTCCCTATTCCATAATGGGACTAGTCCACAATTTCAGGTTTTTAAATTCTTATGTCAAAATACCTGAACTAAACTGTGCTAACTGTTTGGCTAATCATGCAGCCATTTGTGGAAAGCTTGTCCAAGTGCCCCAAGCATGGGCTGCATAATCCTTTTAAATCACCAGAGAGGTGTGTGTTGCTTTTTTACCTGTCCTGTTAACTTTGCTCCCTCTTTGTGTCCTTTTGGTTTTTCAACTTTGCCAAATTGTTGCCATTGGATTCTGATATGATTATATAGTGAATTCATTTTCCATTCTCTACATTAACTCATGATATGTTTTGATTGTTATGTTTTGCAGGTATCTTTTATATGGAGACATTTCCGCGAAGGCAGGCCATATGCTTTCCCTGCCAAAGGTAACGTGTCCTGAGTGCAGGAACAATGTCTTCTTAAATTGAAACTTTCAAATTTTCTTGTTGCACTATTTTGATTGTTAAATAATGGATTTTTTTTCCCAAAAATTTCAGGTTTCCAATTTCTTCACTAGGCTAATACAAAGGGTTGCTCCAAAAAGTTATCAGCAAGCTCTTGGTGAAGTTCAAGTTACTCAAAAATTTTTGCAGAATTTTTCTGGTGATCAGGTAAATCAAGTCACTCCATTCATGATTGGTGTGGAATTACTTAAAGTAGACAATTTTTTAGTTTGAATGAACTGACATCGTATTTATCAAAAACTAAAATTCTCTGTGTACATATGACTGGCTTTTCCTGTGTTAAAGGAATATGTCCTTGACCTAAACATCAGCTATATCCATTTTCTGTTAGGACAAATTATGGATTCTTTAAATGTCTCTCTTAATTTTTTTCACTTGCATATGGACAGGTTCGTTTCTTGGCAAGATCTTTTGCAATTCCTGGAAATCATCTTGGACAGCAAAGTCATGGTTTCCGATGGCCTTATGGTCCTGTAAGTACTGAAAAAGTGGTGTTTCAATTAATTATAAATTTTGAAATCTTTTTTACAAGGAAAAAGTTCACCAGTAAAAAGAAGTTCTCTTCGGTCTTCTGAAGAGCCTTCGATTTCCATTTAAGCAAGCAGGAAGGTGTCTTCTAATGAATATGATGGTGTACGGTAGACTGGTTCTGAGCAATTTTGTGTTCATTGGAGCTCTTTGCTTATTTCTTTTACAGATTGAAAATATAAGATGATTCTTCAATATTGAAGCTAAAATTGGAGGAATAAAAAGAACAATAATGCTACCATTTGCTTCAATACACTGTCTTTATATGCTGAGTTTTAGTTTCCTTTTATTTGTCGAGTTAAATGTCTACCATTTGTGTAAATCATTCTATGCGTGCAATATCTCTTCTTTGATAATTGGATTTTTTAGTGAATAATTGGATAAAAAAAAAATGTGTAAACCATTTGTAAGTTTTTTAGTGAATAATTGGATTTTTTAAACTCTTCTTTGATAAAAAAAAAAAAAATAATAAATAAATAAAATTAAAAAAAAAAAAAAACTAATATTAAACATGGTCATGATATTATTATATATCTATCTAAAAGATTTGTATGCAGGTTGCTATTATTACTCCCTTCAATTTCCCATTAGAGATTCCAGTACTTCAGTTGATGGGTGCACTATACATGGGCAACAAACCCGTTCTTAAAGTTGATGACAAGGTATGCTAGTGCAAATTGTTTTGGGTACTGTAATTGGTAAGGATTCTATTTTCATTGGTGTTATATGAGTTATTTCGCAAGAAAATTTTTTGCATGCTTCAGTGGTAGACAAGTGAATTAAATGCTGAAAACTATGAATTTATTCTTGAGAAAACATTTGACGGTGTAAAAAAAAAATTTAGGATATTATTTAGAATTATGTAATTTGTTTTCTTAAGAAATCACCAACAATGTTATATATGTTTGATGGAGTTGAGAGAGAGAGAGAGATGGTGATGACACACACATGTGGTACACAAGCCAGTGTATAGATCTTTAAAAGATTTGATGGCTTCTAAATTTCTTGAGCTGATTTGATTTTATAGCCAGCTTTCATTTTTACTGTTTAACCAAACCTCTTTTAAGTTGAATTCTCTCCCTGCCTGCATTTTGAGGTTTTTTCAGAAGATCACTGCTTGATGATGAAAATGTCTAACAGGTGTGCATTGTTATGGAGCAAATGATGCGACTTCTTCACTATTGTGGGTTACCAGAGGAAGATGTGGACTTCATAAATTCTGATGGGAAAACAATGAACAAGCTATTGGTGGAGGTTCGTTTTGCTGGATTTTGACCTTTTACACTCATTCCAGTAGTTAGTATAAATAGTGTTTGAGATGTAACATTGAGAGATTGTTGATTGCATTGCAATTTTGTCTTTTTATACGTGGTTGACCTTTGCTGCATTCTTTTTTACTTTAGTGTGTGGGATTATTAGTTTACCTATTTATGTCAAAGTTAATCTTTTTTTTTTAAGCAAATTGCACTTTTTTCTTCTGCCTTTACCCTTCTATGCTTTTTGCATAAATGGAATTCACTTGTTTCATATGGAATCTATGGTGGTAGTTGGGAAGGATGGCTATGATGATTGGAGGGGCTAATTATACAAATAACATTATTAATAGCAACTGTGGTACTAATATAATTGGCACAATGGATGTGAATATGTATGAGTGAGGATAATCACAATAATAGTCACTTCATAGACAATAAATTTTTTTTGAAAAAAATATCTTCTTCTTTGTAGGCAAATCCCCGTATGACCCTTTTTACTGGCAGCTCAAGAGTTGCAGATAAATTGGCTGTTGACTTGAAGGGTTGTATTAAATTGGAAGATGCAGGGTTTGACTGGAAAATTTTAGGGCCTGATGTAAATGAGGTAACTGTAATTTCTTCCTGTTATTTCTTTCATTTAATTATATTTTGTGATTCTGGACTGTTGTTGAATCGCCATTTCTTTTTTGGTTTCTGAATGGCAGGTTGATTATGTTGCTTGGGTTTGTGACCAGGATGCCTATGCATGCAGTGGTCAGAAGTGTTCTGCACAGTCAATTCTGTTCATGCATGAGGTTAGCTGTCTCAGTTGTAGGTTTCTTTATTCGTCTAGTATGCTATTATTAGTATGAAACATTTATGCAAAGCTCAAAGGTTGAGGAGATAATTGTCTCTCTTGCTAATCTGTCTTTTCTTTTGATTTTTGGTAGTGTTGGTCTAGCTAGCATAATTCAATTGGCTTGTTGATTTGGTTTTTCCTTTCTTCTTGTTAATGTTCTTTCATCCTACTTCAGAACTGGTCAGGTACTTCCCTTATATCTAAAATGAAGGATCTTGCAGAGAGAAGAAAATTAGAAGATCTAACTATTGGCCCTGTTCTCACAGTAAGTATAGATAGTAATACTGGGATGATGTTTTCAGTTTGTCCTATGGCTTTCTGTTGTCTATCCTTTTATTTTCAGCACAAGATTCTTTGATAATTGCATCGAAGCTTATTTTTTGTGCTTGAAGTAATGTTTCTTTTAAATCATACTCTAGAAAACTTTATCTTGATTTTCATTTTGTCATTGCAGTTTACAACTGAAGCAATGGTAGAACACATGCATAAATTACTTAAACTACCTGGTTCAAAACTACTATTTGGTGGCAAACCTCTGGAGAATCATTCCATTCCATCCATATATGGTGCTCTACAACCAACAGCTGTATATGTTCCCATTGAAGAAATTTTAAAAGAGACCAACTATGAGCTTGTAACGCGGGAGATATTTGGACCATTCCAGGTGAAGGAGAAAAAGAAAACTTAATCGTTATTTGGAAAGTATCCAATGATTTCTATTTCCCACTATGGATGCTTAATCCTACTAGACATATTCTTACTTCATACTTATGGGATGCATTATGTTAATCTAAATACTTCTATCATGCGAATAAATTTTTTTTAAGAACTGGAAGATGAATTCTACTAACACAAGCTGAGTTATTTTCTTCTAGATTGTTACTGATTACAAAAAAGACCAACTCCCACTAGTTCTGGAAGCTCTGGAAAGGATGCATGCACATTTAACAGCTGCAGTGGTTTCAAATGATCCTCTATTTCTACAGGCAAGACTATAAAGCCCCTCTTTCTCTGTCTGACTCTATATTTGGAATTCTTACAGCGTCTTTAATGTTATTCTACTCCTATGTAATTTTGTAGTTACATTTGACCACTTGGGTGATTGGAGGTCACTCTCTTGTATCAACTATTTGCTTTGGTGTCTCTTGAAACACATTTTGCTTTCTGCAATATGAATTGAACCTGAAATCTTTCAACTGATGTTGTTCATGGAAGTCTCCTGGAATTTTAACCAATCTACTATATCCCCAATGACTTTAAATGGATTGAGGTTTCAATTTGCTAATATATAATAAGTGGATTTGCAGGAAGTCATTGGGAAATCAGTGAATGGGACTACATATGCCGGATTAAGAGCAAGAACAACTGGTGCTCCTCAGAATCATTGGTATGAACCAAATCGGACATATATTTTATGTTGCATGAGAAAGTTGTCAACTCCTGACTAATATAAAAGTACAATGTTATAAACAGGTTTGGACCAGCAGGAGACCCAAGAGGTGCAGGGATTGGGACACCAGAAGCAATAAAACTAGTCTGGTCTTGCCATAGAGAAATAATATATGATTTTGGTCCTCTGCCAAAGCATTGGGAAATTCCACCATCTACATGAGGAGCGAAGTTGACCGAAAAGATACAGTTTCCTGCGCGTATTCAGTGGAGGCTCTCTGTTTTGCAAGTGTTGAGGGAATTTTGAAAAAATAAATAGAAATATAGTATTGACCTCTTGAACATGTTGCTACTGGCTTTAGTTCTGAAATAAAATGAAAAGAAATGGTGTTATAGACCCAGTTTTCACTTTCACATCGCTTAATAACGCCATTGTATGTGAAACCCACGTAAATATGCATGAATGAAAGTGCAAGACTGTTGCTTTCATAGAAGTAAAATCAAGAGCAGACTTGCAGAATCTGGACCAAATTACCAAAACAAAAATAGCATTGGACCCTTGAAAATGTTCGTTGGATTCTATTTTCTATAAGGGGCTGCCATCTGATATAATCCAGAAAAAAAAAAAAAATGCTAAAGGATGCAACAAAAAGAGTCTGAAAAACAAAAAAACTCCCTAAAAGTTTATGCACATAGCTAGTTTTTCAGGTGTACCATCAAAATTTTTTTAGAAGTGATAGTAGTTCATGTATGAAACTCCTCCTAATTTGTTATGTAGATTCTCAAAAACTTACTAGCCTAAGAATAATATTCCTGAAAGGTAAAAGGGAGTACACCTTAAAATCGCTAAAACAGATAACTGCCAATATCTTGAATTGAAGGAAGGGAAGTAAGCAACTTTTCATTTGTTAAGGGATCTACCGTTTACGAGTTGGTTCGGTCAAATCTTAAACGGGCCAGGCCTAATCATAAAACAAGATCCAATTTCATTAGTTAAAGCCCACTTGATCAGAAGGCCCAAAATGGCCTCAGACCTGGAAATTATTTAAAATTTTTATTACTTGAGATTAAAAATGAAACAGAACCAGTAGGCAAATAAACCCCTTAAACCCTAGCGCCCAAATTGCAGCTGTAACGGACTGCTGCTCGTCGCTTTCTCCATCAGTCGCTTATCTTGATTTTCAGGTTTGCTTATTTATAATCGCGGTGTTTGTTTTTTGTTTTTCCTCTTTCTTTTGATGCGAGACATTGGATATTTTTGAACAGAGCATTTTCCTTTTTGAAGGGTTCTATTTATTATCTTATCGAGCAACTGTAATAGTTTATGATGGAATGTGTTACCTTGTGAAATTCGTAGCCAAATGAATAAGATGGAGGCGGAGTGTGTAATTGTCTTTTGGGGTTGATTTTTTTTTTTTTTTAATATTGAAATAAACTTGGTTAAGCTTTTGTTTGGTGTGTAAATGAATGAGCTTTATTTGTTTGAGATGTCTTTTATTATGATGCTTACATTATAACTATTGCCGCTTCTACAGGTGTTAGCAATCTTGCCATGTCTTTGCTTGAGGTGATCACAAACGCTTCAGCTAGGTCTGAACAAGTTGCAACACAATCCGAATATCCAATAATTTTAAACGCAGATGATACTTTTCTTAAATTGAAGCCGGAACTTGAAAGTGTGGATCCTACATCACTTGCTGTTCCGGTTAGCGGATGGAAACTCTCGCAAACTGATGCTCAACTCATTGAATCAGGCAAAAAATTCTACACTAAGCTGAAGCGAAAGCTCAAAGACACCAATAATTTCAATAAGGATGAATTTGTTGGAATTTTGATTACATTCCTTGAGAAACTTGGAGAGAAGTTTGGGATTTCAGTTGGGGTTGATTCCTCAGATGATGGTTATACTCAGATCTTGGTTGAGAAGGTGGGGTTCTTAATGAGTCAAAATGTGGGCGGTTTAGTTTTGGAAGCATGTATTAATTTAGAGATCTGGGATTTGGTGGAGGCCTTGATTCTTAAAGGGATTGTTCACCATTCTCATTATTCAAATTTGGTTACAAGTCTTGCAATGAAAAAGAGGTCAGATTTACTTTGTCTGAGTATTAAACATGCTTCGGATCTTGGATTGACTGAGGTACTTTGTATTTTGAAATATTTTCTTTGTCCATCGAAGGAAGCGTATGACAGTATGGTGAATGTGAGGAAGGAATGGGAGAGCCAAGCATTGTTAGCTGTTGAAAAGGTGAGAGACAAAAATCTCTCAGATAAGAAATCACATTTAGCTAAGGACGCTTCAGTTTTGCTTATGCTTGCACATGATGGGTTCTCAACGACTGAGCTTTGTTTGCATTATCTGTTTGCATCATCGCATGTTGATGAAGTTATTTTCGCATCTTCAATTGGTAAATTGAATGGTAAAGAGATGATGAGATTGATTAAATATCTTGGTAAATGGTTGAAGAAATATGAAATGTTTCCTCAGGCATGTCCATGTCCTAAGGCTTCATCTCTGCTGGGATTGGAAGCTTGTGATTGGGTTCCTAAACTTGAAGACATTGTTAAATGTCTCAGTTTGGTACTTGACGAAAACTTCACTTCGCTGGTATTGCATCCAGAGTTTCATGAAGAGCTGACATCAATTGAGGAATTGGTTGGTTCTTTAGCTAAAGAAGCCAAAATTTGTTCTTCTATTTCAATTGTAATTGAGAATTTGAATACTGCAGCTGAAGTTGAAAAGAATTAGGAGTTATCACCAATGGTTTGTTTATAATTCATGTTGCATCTGCAAATTTTGGTCTAATCTTATAAGGATTGTACCTGTGATCGAGGCGCAGGGTTATGGTCAATGTCCATTCAATAACTTCTTATGATTTTGACCAGGTGGCTAGCTTTATTCAGATATGTCTACCGAAGCACAAAGTTGTGACCTAGTAAAATATGGTCTTTGCTAATTTGTTTTTCACCTTTTTACCTATAATATTTGTTCTGATTTCCAGTATCTCTTTGGCATGTATTTTTAATTTTTTTAGAATTACTATAAGGTTCTATTAATCTTTAATACTGATGTTTGTAGCATCGTTTTAAACGCGTCTGGTATTGTAGGGATTATAATCATCTCATTTTCAGTAACAGCCAGGTAGAGCCTAATAGCTCCATTATTAGTTCATTTTGGCACTTGTTAGTGGTTCCTATTTGGGAGATCATAACAAATATTATTTAGTTGTTTCATTATGAAGTAGTGTAAAGGCTATATCATATAGAAATGAACGTCGAGCTCAAATAGTTTCCTGCAATAAATTAAATCGACACTCTCTCTCAGTAGAAATATTTTCTTCTTTTTTGGGAATAATTCGATGATCCAGAATACATAATACAAGCACATTTAGAAGGTCAAGAATTTAGATCCTGCCACTTTAAACTGCAGAAAAATGAAAATTGAACGAGCGTAGGACACAAATATGGAGACTGCAAGAAACTTTCAGAACTATCATCGTGAAAAACCTATGCTACGTACCACCAATTCAGTAAATTCACTGCCAGCCCATATTTTCTTCAAACTTTGACTAACATCTAATGCTAAGAGCAAAATTAGTACATCTTGCGTTCTCTGTTTGATTTTTCTTAACATTGTGTTTGGTCAAAAGTGCACAAGGCTTGAGATACTGCAAACGACAACATATACTCAACCTAAACTTCTCATCACCCTCATCAAAATCCTTCTGTAAGTGCAAAGACTCGGCCAGCTAAAGATGGTGGCAATCTAGAAACAGCTTCTTGGATTTCCTGATAAACACAAGTGCAAATAATGATCTTTAGTTTGTGAAAAAAAGACCACGCAATACAACATTATATTACTATAACTGAAAAACCTCCATATTGTGAATCACATTCTCCCAAAGATCAAAATCTCATACATCTCATATGTTTAGATGAGATGCCTTGTTGGGAATGGGTAGGGAGAAAATGGCAAACCCAAGGGCAAAAAAAATTAAATTTCCTAAGATCATGTTACATATTATCACTAAAAATCAAGAGTTGGCAAACAGGCTGTAATTTCAACAGATCAGAATTGAGTATCAAACGACATTAAATGGAACATGGTAAGCTTCCAAACTAGTACGTGACCACAGCATCTCATTCTTCCTCCTCCTTTTCTTGTTTTAATTTTGTTTGGGTACATGAAAAGTTCTTAAAGGAGAGGGGCTCATGCTACCACTGAACCAGTAGCCAAAGTACCTTTTTTATCTTTTATTTTATTCCTTATGAGTAGGTAACGTTATAACACTCCAGCAAAAAGCAGTGAGCTTTCAGAAAAATACCTCTACTCTATAACGAGCTGAAAAATGAATCAGAAGTATAGCTTTGTTCTGAAATCTGTCTGCATAATTAACTATCTGAAAGATTTCATCCATCCATATAGCAGAGAAACAGTTATGAAGTGTGAAAACATCAGTGAAAGCATACGATAATTGAAAGCCTTATGTAAAGACATAAATTCATAATTTTTTGTATACTTCCTTTGAGTATTGAGCATGTGTTCTCTCCACATCGATGTGGGTCCACATGCAGGGTCTACTTTTCTGATAAAGGAATGGCGAATTTTACCTCAGATAGATGAGTGTGCCCATAATCTCGTGCATGCTCTACTTTCACTGTGTCTTCAACAAAAGTGCTCTGTCCAAACAGGGGGAGGGTGAGTTCATAAAATATCAACAACAGAAATTTTGGCAAATGAAAGTATATATCAATTGCCAGTGCGTCAAAACAATATCCTCATCCATGCTATTTACTTTCCTTTTCAGTTGACAAACTAGATGTAATTAATCTCTCTTAAATTCCTGATTCTATACCTAAGGGAGCAGATTGTCTGCATTAAAGGGGCAAATAAACAATGTTACTAACAAGTAAGTGTACGTTGTAAACTAACTTGGGATAAATCAATTAGTCAATTGTTACAAACCCCCCCCCCCCCCCCTTATTCACCTCTTACCCCTATAAATTATTTTGTTTCCTTGATTTCCCCAGCTAATCTCTTTTGTGCATTGTATTTTTAATGTTTTTTTAGAATTACTATAAAGGTTCTATGTAATCTTCTCGTGGCAGCCTGGTCACTAGAGTTAGATTCAGTTTAATTATTTGAGCTCCGCAGAGCTCTCCTCATTCCGTATGCTCTCCAAAGAAAGTGTGATCGTTAATCTTCTCATCCTTATATGCTCATCCCTGTAGTACGAGATCATACTTCTACTGATAGTCCTCCTTCATCTCGAATTGTGCGACTCTCGTGGGTGGGCCACCGCGTTCCTAGGCTGGTTCCCCCTCAGTTTGGGGATTCTCATAAACAACGAATCACTCCCACATTCTCTAGTGTGTTCTGTCAATTGCTTTATGTCACCCCTCTGTGCCGCTGCTTCTATACTGTTGAATCGTCTCTCCTCGGTACTTCAGACTCATGCAACGTATATAAGCAACGTTACCGGACGCTCCAAACGTTCCTGCCATAAATTAAATCGACACGCCTGCGTACCTCGCCCGCACGCTTATCGGAGCATGACTCATCGTTATCTCATATGTAATATCCTTCGTCGCGTCGCGCGCTGACTAGTCATCCTGAACAATCCATCCCTCGGAATGCACATTGATACCTCAAGGCCTCATTAATACTCAGCAATATTAAGGTAATAATGCGTGAAGAATCTTGCCCATGCTTATAACCCCTCGCCCTAGCGCACACAAATCTCTGAATGGCATAAATACACATGTCCACCGCCACAACCGAAGAACCTCCGAGCGAACTGCACGTTCGCTACGTCGTAGGAACCATACCAAATTGACTGCGGAGTTGATCTGCACAAAGGAACCCTTCTTCCCCGCTAGACTGTACATCACTCAGATGATTCAATCACTCCATTCTTGCGGAAACAACACCCATTACCTCTCCCTGGCTGACCGATTCTAGCTATAACTCCTACGCAAAATCACTTCTCTCATCCATAAATCCCCGCTTGCCACTGTGTCGCTACAAACTGCCAAAGCGCCATATTTTCTTCAAACTTTGCGACTAACATCTCTACATGCTACAGCATAAATCAGTACATCTTGGCGTCTCATGATTTGATTCTTGTACTCATTCGGTGTCGTGTTGGCAACGCTCTAAGAAAGCGTGACAAGAGCCTTTGAATCGCCACTGAGACGGTAGCCTTCGCCAATACCACCGGACCAACAGCGCTACTCATCGATCAATCCATGAACCGCGTATATCCTATTCGTGCATGCCATCGAAAATCTCGTGCCGTCGTACAAGTGCGCCTCTGAAGTATAGCGGACTTCGCCCAGCTGAACGTGATGCTGGCAATCTACAGCCAGTGAAACAGCTCTCTGCCGCTGGTCACTTTTCCTGGGTAAACATCTAAGTTGCACACCAAGAAATAGCATTCGATCTCTCTTCAGTCTGCGGCCGTCTGAAAACAAACAGACCAGTGCTGGCCAATACCCGCTCACACTGATACCCATACATATCCCTTCTATCGTGATCTCACTATCGTAATACACCTTGGAAAAAACCGTTCCATGGTTGGTGCACTATGCCACATCTCCGTCGCCCAAAAAAGTAACGAATCTACAAAACATTCTCATACGGCATGCTCTCGAGTATGTGTATCTATGCACTGAAACCTGCTTCGGTTCGTGGAGATTGTGTCAGCCCGGCGTCGAGGCGTATAGGAACGTAGAGTTAATGGGCTACCAATCGAGCCGTTAATTCGCGTGCCGATAAGAAAACGTATCAAACTATCAGAAGTTCTTCCGTCGCGAGACATGTCATCTGTAATGCGCAGACAATAGCTTATCCCTCATACACCATTTCAAGCGGTTAGCGTCGGATACAGGCTGTAATTGGGCGAAACGAGCGAGCGACGTTCCCAGAAATGCAGCCTCATCAAACACCGACCACTTAATGGACGTACGCTAGTCGGCTATAGCTTCCAAAGTTATGACTGTGATCCACCACTGCTCAGCATCAGTCAATTCTTCCCTGCCTCCTTTTCTTGGCGTCTGACATTCTTTAGTCCATCTTCGCTGGCGTATCTATATCGGAAATCTGTAACAAGGTATCTCATGTCTATCCACTCGCCAATCCCCATGAATACGGTCCAAAATGCTAACGACTTTTTTATCTTATTTTACTTACGCCACACTTATGAGTAAAATTGTGTTAACGATATAGACCGTGTGTTCAACACCCTCCAGCAAGATGATAAGAGTGTGAGCTTTTTCAGAAAAAGTTACCCTTTACCCTCATATTAATCTCTAAGTGCCCTGAATAATATGAATTCCAGAAGTAATGAAGCATTCTGCTTCTGAAAACTCTCGTCAAATGCGCACTGAGTGTAACTATCTGAAAGACTGTACGACTTCCAGTGCACAGTATACGCAGGAGGAAACCAGTTATGAAGTGGTGAAAACATTCCAGTGAAAAGCATCCTCGATAATGATAACGCTTATGTAAAACGCCTCCTCAGATGCCTGATCTTCATCTCGTATATAAGCTCCATCCTGACGCCTACTTCCTCCCTCCTGCTTGTGCTCTGTCCAGCACCGCTTTCTTCTCCCACCATCGCGACCTGTGCGAGGAGTCTTGTGCGCGTCTACGGCGCGTGCATGGCCTTCACTGTTTCGTGAAAAAGGAATGTCTCTTCTCAGGATAGAATGAAAGTGTGCCCCATAAGTCTCCGTGCCATGCGCTCTTACTTCACTGTCGTCTTCAAACAAAAGTGCTCTGCTCCAAAAGGGGCGAGGAGTGAGGTTCATAAAAGATATTTCAAACCAACAGAATATTTGGTCAAATGAATTGTATGTATATTATCACATGCCCAGGTGCGTCTCAAACACAATTACTCCTTCCATCCAGTGCATATTACTTCCTTTTCCAGTTTGACAAACCTAGTGTATTATTAATCTCTCTTAAATTCCTTGATTCCTTATTACCTTAAGGAGAGGCATGTTATTCGTCTGCATTTAATTTGAATGGTACTGGGCAGAATACAACCAACTGTCACTAACAAGGTCAAGTGTACCGTTGCTTCGATTTGTAAACTAAAAACTTGGGATAAGATCAATTAGTACCAGATTCGTTAATAACCAGTACCCCCCCTCTCGCAAGCCTCCCCATTTTACCCTTCTTCCTCCTCTCCTCTCTCCCTCCTCCATCAGATTAAAATTTAAGAAAGAAGGCTTAAAAAAAAAAAAGGGCCCCAACTCCCTGCTCTGCTGCACCCAGAGGTGCCACAACTCACTACCCAAAAGGGCACCGCTGGTTGACAACGAATCAAGATCATCAGAAAAGGTCCAGCCCTAATAAAAGGCATATATGGTATGAGGACAACAAATATGAATAGAAGATATAAGCCCAAGGAGTATTCTCTTTCACCGCGTCCCACCCATGTGTATCTCCAGAATTCCTTTCCCTTCTAGAATACTATCACTATATGTAAAGATATTCATTCCAATTCAATGCAATGTCTGAACAATGTTTGTACTATCAATCTCCTGCTGGGAGAAGGCAAAGTGGTGGCTGCAGGCGACTCGCCCAGATAAATATACACCAGAAAATAAGTGTGCCCCCCCCAGGAAATTTTTTTCTGGTATATCTGCTCCAATCACACCCAGATATCTGCAGCATGCTTGGCACGATGCACACAAGCCACGCACATAATTAGTTGATCGCATATAGATTATAATAGATAAAGCAACAAGAAGATGTCGAACACGTATTTGCACAATGTTTTACTAAGTGAGTGCTACAAAGCATCATTTCTCTCTCAATAAATATGCAAATAATTCTCTATAGATCGTTGAAGTATGGCGATAATTCATACAATAAATTTTGGGAATCATTCTCTGCCTTCAGATCGAAAAAAAAAAAAAAAAAAAAACCCAACTCCCTGCGCGCACAGGGGTGCCTCCCGGGACCGCTGTCTGAAAGAATAAGAGCCAGAAAAGTCACCTATAGGCTATATGATAGGCAACAAAATGAAGATATAAGCAAAGGGATTCACCTCCATGACAAGAATCCTTGCCCTCAAAACATCACTATTGGTTTCATCAATTATGAAGTCTGACATTGTATCACCCGTAAAAGCAATTTCAGGTGCAGTTACAGTGTTCGTAATCTGCCAATAAACAGATTGAAATCTTGAGATGCACAAGCAGAATAATCAATTAGGAAGGAGATAGAAAAAAGCAACAAAATCAAACAGATTTGAAATGTTTACAATGATGTACAAAGATATTCCAAAAAGCAAAACCTAAATCTGAAGTTATTGCATAATTCACAAAATTTTGGTGAATCATTCTCTGCCTTCAGATGAAGTGCAAAGAGGCTTGCTGTTATAAAATACCTTTGTTCAGTCGGTCTTATAAGTTGTAAAACCAACAAGTTACCTCTGTGTAAACCTCTAAAATTGAGGGGAAATAAAATTGGCTATCAGAAAATTTGCGATTACAAAGAATAGCAATTGTGAGGTTACAAACAAAAACAAAGACATGCGAAAACACACTTCCCAAAAGTTATGGTTATGACTGTCAAACAGACCTCCACACCTGATGCCTTCAAGTTCTTAATCTCATTCCCAGAAAGGCCAAAGTATTCTTGCTTAAGTTTCTGCTTTATAGAGTAAACTACATAACCCTGCAAAATATCAATTTGAATGCCAAGTGATAACTTAATACATTGCAAAGTAGGTTTTAAAAAAAAAGAGAGATTAAAAAGGAAAATCGATTCAACTAATCAAGTTTACCTGGCTTTTTAATACATGATATGTCCTGAATGCTTTTACTTTAAGGTCCTTTCTCATATAAAACTCTTCTCCTGCAATATCAAGTAGAATGAACTCAGGAGTAAATACTGCTAAGATGAAATACTACAAAAGCCCAAAATATACATTTAAGGAAATCAAAATTACCCACATCCAGACCAACCAGAGTATGATTTAGTTCTGACCCATCCAGTTTTCTATGCACTTCAAAGAGTTCTTGCACAGTTTCTTTGATCGAAGTTGGCACAATAATTGTTGGAGGCTTCATTTTGTACAACCCACGTGTTGCAACATACATGGGCAATCCTCCCTGAAAAGTAAACACAGAAAGCCACCTTTCAAAAAAAATTTTTGAAATGCTTTTCTTTTTCCCCATTTGCAGTCTATTTCAGTTTAACAAGCAAATGAAACAGTAGTGAACATACTGAGTACAAAATTGCTTCTCCAAATACTTTAAAGATGATTAATTCAGTATTTATTTGCATCAACAACCTAAATTGACTTAGTCATATAACCACTTACTCAATGCATAACTATAATTTAATCCATTATCTTCAGCAATAAAATAAAATAAAATTTAAAAAAAAAAAAACCATAAAACTGTGAGCGGAAATCACAAACAAAGTATCCTTTCTAATCCAATTAAACAAACTTTGATCTCTAATTTTTCACTAAATTGAAATTACAAATTTTAATCCCTTTCTTAACCATATTTTAAAAAACAAAACCAATCAATCAAATCATAAACTCAAACAAAACTAACTTCTCAAATTCGTAATTGGTCTCAATGTGTACGAAAACCAAACAAATTTCTCCAATAAAAATGCTGAAAAAGAGTACTATTCTCTGCAAGAAGGAAAGTAACTCACAATGTGATCCATATGGGCATGGGATATGAAGAGGAAATCCTGGGAGAGAGCGCGCTGTGGGCAACGGCCAATATCGAAAGCCAAGTTGAGAGAAGGGAATATAATGCAAGTTTCATGGCCTCCGATGGACAGTCCCTCTACTGGGTAACCTTCAATTGTCAGTACTGACTTCTTCGCTTCTCTTTTGTCCTTCAGAGTAGAATCCGGATTAGATTTTTCTTGTTTCGAAGTCATTGAATTGGATTTTCTAGGTCAAGAATCAGAGGAGAAGAAAGGAAATTGTCAAGAAGTGAAATGAGGCTGAGGTTTCAAACAGAGTGGTGTTTGGGTTTTACCTACGGTTGTAAATGGTGAAGTTTGAAGCTTTTATGCCTGGCACGATGTATTTATTTTTTCTAATATTAATTTTTATTTATTTAAAATTAAAAGTTTTATTGTTTATCATAAAAAATTATGTAATTTTTATTTGTGTTTGGATTTTTTTTTTTTTTTTTTTTTCTAATATTAATTTTTTATTTATTTTTAAAATTAAAAGTTTTATGTATCATAAAAATAAATTACTGTAATCTTATTTTACCTTTTGTGTCTATTTGGATTTTTTTATTTTTTTTCTCTTTTTCTAAAATCATTTTGCACATCTAATTTTTTTTTTTTTTTTTTCTAAATATTTGCAATCTAACTGTCTGATACAATTACCGAAATTTTTCACTGAAAAATCAAAGTGAACTATTTTATTCAATTACTTTATGTTATTTAATTTTGTAGACTATTACCCTTTTTATTTATTTTTTATTTTAATATTATTTTGAAATTGAACAAAAAATAGAAAGAATTTTTTAGACTTTTTATTAGAGAGAGATATAAAACAACGAAAACTTAAAACAAATAAAATAAAAGAGATAGAATTAAATAAATGTTTATATTCGATGTCATTCATTAAGTTGTTCATTTTAATTTTTAGATTAAAATGCATTTGATTGTAACTTTTTCAATAGTTAAGACATTCAATTGCATACTTTTTATATTCAAACACCAAAATATAAAAATTAGAAATAAATATAAGAAAAAGTTACTTATTACGTTATATATATATATATATATATAGAAAGTGAAGTAACTGCATATGTATAAAAGCAAGTCACACTTGGAAATGCAAAAAAAAAAAATGTTGAAATTAAAGTTAGTTATGTGGCTGCATTTCGTAGCGCAACTCACATGGAGAAAGAAATAATTATTTGTTGCTTGCTAGCCAAATTGATGGAGTCTTGTTTTCTCAAATTTTGGAGAGAGATTTTGAATGATTTGGCGTAAAATGAAAATATAAAAGGAAAATAAGGTTATTTTTTATTTTTTATTATGTATTAACGGTAAAAATGGACTTTTTGAATGGAAAAAACTATTAGTTAATGTGTTAGAATATATAAACTTTAAAAAACTATTCTTATGAAGCAGTTGTATTTCAATATACACAAGAACGTAATAATGATTTTATCTAAATATAATTAACCTAGAGAAAATAATATTCATTCTATTTTTTTTTTTTTTTTTTAATTATGAAGGCCAATACGTTTATTTCAGATTATACCACGGAAGAACGTAATAATGATTTTATCTAAATATAATTAACCTAGAGAAAATAATATCATTCTATTTTCTTTTTTGTCTTTTTTAAAACAAGCGTAAAGCAAAGGGTAGATAAAAGACTAGATCACAATCGGTTGGAACAGTCCGAACGGTAATGTCTCCCCCCTTTTTTTTTTTTTTTTTTTAACAAGTAAAGCAAAGGGGAGATCAAGCTAGATCACATCGTTGGACAGCGAAGGTAATGTTCCCGCCAAAATCAATGGCATGTCATATAATTAGTGGTGTAAAAAAATGGGTTCGCCAGGTTTGATGCTTAATAGATTAATATGAAAATGTTCCGTTTACTATTCGTGTAAAATATTTAAGTACGAATTCAATACAAAAATTAAAAATTAAACGAATAATACGAATATAATACTTGTAACCCCTTAATTAAATTGATTATATATAAGTGAAAAAAACTTAATCAAAATTTAATTAAATATATCATATACAAATAAAAAATACGACACGCAGAACACATATGACCTATATAATTCGCTTAATATATGTATTATATATGAAATTATATTTTTATCTTTAATAAACAAATTAGAAGAATCAATTTTTAACAAAATCCATTTAAACTATGTCGTATATTAGTCACCCATTGATTATAAGAATACATTTAAACTTAATTCTAAATTATTTAAATTTTGTGTTAAGGCCAACATGCAGGCTTAATCGTGTTACCATGTCATAATCCATTTTGACCCTACGACTTAGAGTACTGAATTTACCGTATCCATAGTCTTCTACGATTGATTTGTTTGTCTTCCTTCAGGCTTCAGTGGCTCAACAGAAGCAATCGTCTCAACTCTCGACGGTAATTGATTATAGTCTTTCTATAATATTCAGCAATCTTGTTTGAAGCCTTTTGTTTTAGTTCTAAGTTCCATACGGTAATTAATTCTCTTGCTTTTGTTTAGGATTTTGTCATATTGGTGATTTATCTTGATCTCTGTCTAATGTGTATTCAAAGCAAGCTAACCTAATCTAGATTACGTGTACCTTGCAAATCTTTCTTTCATGTCTGCCATACATACCAGAATAGCTAAGCTTAGTCACAATTTTCTATGGCATTTCTTTTTCTCTTCATGTTCTGCTTTTGCTTTTGTTCTTAGATTTGGTTTCTATCACTTATTTGTTATTTTGTGGAACCTATTTGAACAAGGGCAAGAGAACCTCTGCCCCAGTCAAAAAAAAAAAAAAAAAAAGGGAGTCCCAAAAAAAAAAAAAAAAAAAAGGGTAGACGGCTGCCTGAGTCTCTATATCTTTCTCCAATTGTAAAAAGCTCGGTTTTTACTCCTGCCTAAACGTTTTCAGTAAAAAAAAAAAAAAAAAAAAAGGGTAGACGGCTGCCTGAGTCCTCTATATCTTCTCATTGTAAAAAGCTCGGTTTACTCCTGCTAAACCGTTTCAGTGCCAGTTCCTTTGTTCCCCTGGTAGCCTGTTCCACTTTCAGTTTTGTTTGAAGGTAAGCCAATCACCGAAGAAATGAAAGAAGGACTTGCTTCGGGAAATGAACTTCAAGTAGAAGCAGCAAGCACTCTTTCTAACTCGATTCTAAGACTTAGTAATTCCTATGTTTTTTTTTTCTAAGACACGATTTTGATACACGATGGGCATTTGAAAAAGATAAATTGTTCAATAGGATTTGTGCTTAAAATTAGATTTATGTTTACATTCTTATGAATTTTCCTAAATTGGGCAATTACTTTTTGTGAATAGAGAACTTACCTAAATTATGGACTCCGGTTCTCTGATATGCCAACCCAAGAAGCCAAAGCTGAATGATGGAGATGGAAGTGGTAGAAGTATAAAAGACTTACCTGATTCAATTCTTAACCACATCTTAGCCTTCCTTCCAATTAAAGATGCTTTCAGAACAGGCGCATTGTCAAAAAAGTGGCAGTACAGGTGGACATCAATTTCTAATCTTCACTTTCGAGAAAAAGGATTGTTTTAGTAAGGAATGGTTCATGAATTCTGTGGAAAGAGTGCTTCTTCTTCACAATTTATCTTGCATCAATTCATTCTCTCTCAAATGTTCTGTGCTTCATGATGCATTTCGTGTTAAGTCATGGGTAACTGCTGCTGCAAAGGATGGAATCCAAAAGTTGTCGCTTCACATGAGTAAAATATAAAAAGAATTTATATTGCCATATTACTTATTCATTGTCCATCATTAGAAGTGCTACAGCTGCAAATGAGATATCTCTCAAGATTCCTTCTTCCTTTGGTCGTTCGGAATGATGTTATTTTTTTGGATGAAGACTCAACCCAGAAATTATTTTCTGGTTCTGCACTTGAGGAGTAACTATTAAAAATTGTAACTGGGATAATCTAATTTCTGTTAGTATTTCTGCCCCTAAACTCCGGAGCTTGAGCATATCTGAATCAGGGGAACAGAATTGGAGAAATGATTGTGATGTCCTGATTTTTGGAACACGTCTTGAAGTGTTCAAATATTTTGGTAAATGTTCCAACTATTATACTTTAGACGGCATTTCCTCTGTAGTTGAGGCATGTATTCATGTTTACAACTGGGTTTTGGGATCAGAACGAGATGCCGATCAGGTAAATAAGCTACTTAGTGCACTTCCTAATGCGAAAAGCATGAGCCTATCTAGTGGAACTATTAAGGTGTGCTTGTCTTTATTTTATATGATCTTCAATTTCTTGTATATTCTGTCAAAGATAAAAATACTAGCATACTCATTCTGTTACTGCTTATAGGTCCTGGATTGTGCTGCAGAGCTCTTTGAAATGCTGCCTCTGCCTGTCTTTTACAATTTAGCCATATTTATCTGGGTGCAGTTGATTGTGATGGTAAGGCATTGCAGAGGATACTGCAGAACTCTCTGCATCTTGAAGCTATTACCTTTGACAAAGTAGGATAGATTCGATAGCATTCTTCATTAACAATTAGTTCCATTCTTTTGTTGTTCCATCTATTAATTTGTTGCTATAACCAGTAATATATATATAGCTGTCATCGGACAAGCTTCGACAATTTTGCTATCTTAAGAATTCTTGGGATCCTTTTTGAAATCAACATCTATATGGTCAAACTCCAAGCTATATTTTGGCTTTTCGCTTGTTATAAAGTACGGTTAAGTTTTTATTTTGAACTTCCATAGATTATCATCGCCTTAAATATTTAGAGGGTCTTTAGTTCAATTTATTTGCATCCAACCGTTAGTTAATGTGTTTGGTGAGGATTCTGATGAGCAGCTGATAGAAGTCATAATTAGTTGTTGGTCCTGTCATTGCGTTTTTGAACTTTTTGATTAGTATAATTAATTTATGTTTGTACTTTATTAGTCTGAAATCTACCTATATATTGTGACGCCTCATTTAACTCAATATTAAAAAAATAGAAAAAAGTAATAAAATATCTAAATTTTGAATTGAGTGTAAACTTTATGAATAATTAAAATCAAACCATATGCTTATAGTTATAAATTAAATGGTAAAATAATTTAAAATTGAATTCATGTTTTATTTTTAAATGAAAAAACAAAGTCTAAAGAACAAAGGAGCACTAATAAAATCTAATGTTAACAAGAGAAGAGAATTGCCAAATTTAAGCATATTTTAGACTGTTTTAATTTTTTATAATATTTTTAATTTTTATTTTAATTTATTGAACACTTCAAAACTAATAAAATTACACCTATTAAGTATTTTAATTTATAAATTATTTTATTAAACGCTCAAATTAATAAAATTAGATTGATTAAATAATTATTGATTGAAAAATATGAAAATTATTATTTTAAAACTTATTGTAAACCGTTCGGTCAAGTCAATACTTAAAATAAAAAATAAGAACCTTAAAAATTTTTGTTGTTATTGTGAAAAGTAATATTATCAATAGTTCCCTCTTTAATTTCTCATGCAACGGATAAACGGGGTGGATGGACAGGTTGGTAGTACCAAAAGAAAATATTGTTTTGATGCGAAGGAAACTTATTAGTAGCTCGCAAATGGCGTTACCATGTGTGGGTACGGGAACGACAACGTTCAAAGCACTTATATATATATATATATATACTGCTAAACTAATGTAGAGTTTAAAGAGGAGCAAGGGATGATTACGATGGAAGAGATTGTTTTTCCGGAAAAACCTGCACTGAATTCAGGTAACTCTTTTCCATTCTCTTGTTTTTGCAATTAATTGTTTTTTTAATTAATATTCGAAGTAATTTACAGTTAGTAGTAATTATCATTTGTTTCGTTTGGACTTGTTAGTTCAATGGTTGAAAATTGAATTATCTGTTTATGTTTGCTCGTTGTGTTCATATACTGGAATTCCATATTTTAGTGTCTGATAAAGCTTGAATCTGAGGAAACATCATCTCAATTGAACATATTCTTGATTCAATTTTATCCTAATTAGTTGGTGAAACCCTGGGCATTGAAGGGAAAACAGCAGAACTAACAGTGGATTTGTCTGAATGCGTATATTGTTGCTTTAAGTGTTCTTGTGCAACAAACATCAGTAGAGAAAACATTATACATATTAAATATTTAAACAAGGAGGATACATAATTAGATAACATTGCACTGAAACTCCAAATTATTTTATAAGTAGTACCCATGGGAAACCCATGTCAATAGGAGCAGACGCTAGACTGAATTGAAAGACTTAACATCAAACCACGTCCTGATGTCATGATATTCAAGCATCATGAACAGCAACAGCAGCAAGCAACAACTAGAACAACAACAATGATAACATAATTAAAACCAAACCTTGTCCTTGGTAACAACTGCCACTAGAACAATGATCACCACTAATGGCAATTCTGTTGCTGTTGTTCTTATTATTATTAGTCCAAGCAAATTTTGATCTTCCGCCTGTTTGGGGGTGATGCTTCTTCTTCTTCTTCTTCTTCTTCATCATTTTCATCTTCATCTTCAAAGAAAATTTCAATATGTTGCTTTTTGGTGGAAAATATAATGCTCTCTAGATTCACTGCATGATCTCTTAGAAGTTTTGTGATCTCTATTCCCAGCTTGGCCCCATGGAAGAATTTTTTCAGATCAAAATATTCATTCCTCCATGTCTGGTAATCTCCGTGACATGATTTGAACCGTACAGTTCTCAGGTTCTCCAATTCTTGTCCTAAATCTTGGATATCTAGGAATTTGCTTTCTTGGAAATCATATTCCAATAAATAATCTTCTGGAATCTGGAAATTGATAGAGAATAGGCAGTTAGGCATGATAGAACACAACAGTGACAAATAGAGAGGAGTGAAGCAAACAAACTGATGAACAACACATGGTATACAATGCATACCTTTATCTCGTCATCTCTGGGAGACATTAGTATTATTAACTCCTCAATCTTATGGCAGGCTTTTAACATGTAAATAATTCCTGGCAGCTCCCATTTGTGGAAAGCACTGGTTATTTCCAAAACAGTGCAATTGAATCTTAGTCTCTTTAAATTTCTTAGCTCTCGCAGAGAAAGAAGCTGCAAAATAATATTTGCATGTTGTGAGATAGTGTGGAACAGATTGAACTGTTAATAGTTTCTTGGTTGAAAAGCATTGGTGCCACTCCATTCAACCATATGACAATGTTTAGTTTTTCTGGTCTAGGGTAGTTTTCTTAGTGTTTGAGCCAATAGTTCAATCTAGGGTTGCCCATATTACCCAAAGTTAGTCCATTAGAAATTATGTTTTGCCATCTATGAACTGCAAGATAATAAAGAGTTAAAGTTGCATGGAAATTATATGAATGTGATTGGAATACCTGGATACACCAATTGCACATGTGAAAAGTGTCTGTGTCTCGAAAACCTGTGAGAAATTCAAGCAGTGCATTTTCATATTTTCGAGCCTTAAATTCATTAGCCAAGACATTTATTGCATATCTTCCACAAGCAGTAAACATTCCCTGAAGATTGAAATGGACCTTCACACATTCTGATACTTCCTCTATTCTGTACTTTGACCTTGGCATGGAACCCATAAATGCCACTTGGAAGGCAGTAGGAGCCTTGATATCCATTTGAGTTGTATGGTTGACAGGAAAAAAGTTTTCGATGATCACCAAATTACAAAAACGTGGATTTGGTGCAACATGAACTCGCAGATCTTTAGTCCTGTTGCAATCACTCAAGAAGAGTTGCTGGAGGACTGGAGCATTTGAAGTGACCATTTGGATTGCATCATGAGGTAATTCTATCCTGTGTAAACGCAATACTTTAAGAGACTGAAGCCGAAATGACACTGGCAGCTCCAGAGCACAGAAACACAGTACTGCTCTAACCAATGATTTGCTGTTGAAAACACAAGGAAGTAACTTGTAGCAAGGAGCATTAGCTGTATTCTTTATGATGTGAGTATCAGCCACATCAAAGTCAAGATCTAAATCTTCAACATGCTTGTTAATTGCAAATAGGATCCATGAATCAACATTTGTTGACATTTCAGGCTTATATGTGAACCTTACAGAGAATTTTTGAATTTTATGACCTATATGAAGGCTGACAAACTGATTAAGGGATGCAACTATCTCTTTTCCTGTCAACTCAACCCATGATGGATTAAATTCTATGATGGAAATGTGCTTCCATAAATCTCTCCATCTTCGTGACAAAAATCCGGTACTCACTGCGTCAATTACTGATACTTTATCTAATATCGTTTGAAGTACTTCATCTGGTACTTTTCCAATGGCATCATCACATAATAAATGCTTTGGGTCATTTTCAGCCTCAGCCATTTTTGAAAACTGTCCCTGAGAATAAGCAATAGGAACTAATTAGTAAACATTAAAATTATAAAAGAGATTTAACGTGGATAGAAAATAAGTGAAGAAGAAGAACAAAATTTCTCAGATAAAAAATTAATGACTGATAAGAAAATCTGCCTTTACTTGCAGATGAATTAGAACTCATCATTTGACATCCGCTGCTTATTAAGCAGCTGAATGGAGGTAATAGATCTGGTTTGAGTGTAGCCCAAAGGGATTAAGAGTCGTGAGGATTCTACATTCATGGATGCTTTTACCTATCTTTTCTACATGTCTATTCTTCTTATGTTTCATTGAAACTTGCAGCCAGGAATGCATTAATAAGTATTAATTTAGTCCAGTAAAACTTTTCAAAACCTTAATGACCTAGAGGCTGTACCTGTCAAAGATCGGATAAAAATCTACTTAAAGACACGTATAAGCTAGTAGATTCCTTTTAATAATTGCATTATCTCCTGCCTAAAAATCAAACTATAGGCTGATAACCTTCTTAGCACACTTAAAATTTGGAAGTTGTTGTCATTTGCTGGTGCTTTTGAACTCTGCTAACTTTTCAAAAGCATTTGGTATGATTTCCAACCTGAACAAAAAGGCATTTCTTCTTGTTTGCTTGATGATCAATTTTTAATCTATCACTATTGAAAAGTACTTAACATTAGACCGTTTTTGTGTGATGATATAGGATAATAGAAGGAAAAGCTTGTATAATCGTTATTGTCTAGGGAACTTGTCTGTTCAATAATTAATAATGACAATAGCCACTTTTCCAATTCTTATAAAATAGTCTTTTCTCTTTTTCTAACATTTAGAAGGAGAAAAGCTAAAGATTTTATGACCATCCTAATTTTGACCTTTGGGGTACATTCCCAAAGCAGATTAGAGGAACTGGCCTTTTCCTAAAATTATGCATCGGTGCATCCACCATTGCCAAGTTGATTGCCATCTCTTAGGTCTCCAAAATAAGTTTGAGATTGAATCTATGGTCTTTTGTTGGCTGCTAAAACTAATGATCCTAACTACTCTATCATTTACATGAATCAAGCTATGTTTTCTCCGTTTATCATATTCATCATGATAGGTCTTTCGATCCCTTAGCACTGACCAAACCATACCATTGCTCCTTTGATCCCTTAGACATGATCAGCCAATGTCAGCTACATGGTTGGTGGTCTAATTTAGCGTTTATTTAGATCCACAGTTCCTGAACACCCTCCTTTCCCTTTACCCAAAAATAAAACAGATTTTTGTAGAAGACGGTTGAGGGAAAATTCATTTTTTTTTTCAAAAAAAAAAAAAAAAAAAAAAAAAAAAAAAAAAAAAAAAAAACAGATTTTGTAGACAGAAGAACGGTTGAGGAAATTCATTTTTTTTTTTCAAAAAAAAAAAAAAAAAAAAAAAAAAAAAAAAAAAAAAAAAAAACAAAAATACAAATGATTCATCCCCTGCCATTTTCAAAAAAAAAAAAAAAAAAAAAAAAAAAAAAAAAAAAAAAAACAACATACAAATGATTCATCCCTGCATTTTCAGTAATATAATTTTGCTAGGAATGCTACTGTGCTGTATCTTCTTGCTTGTTAATTAGATGTGCCTATTGCTTAAAGTTATCACTCAGATTAGTAACGCCCTAGCCTCACACAAAACAAGATAAGGGGGTTTAACAGGGAGTGGAATTGAATTCCGCCCCTGGCTAGCCTAGAAAGTGTCATTGGATTGGAAGCCGCATGTGATGCGCCCAATTCCTACAATCCGACCTGAACCTTTTGGTAGGCTCAGCAGTAGCTTGAAGATTTCGAGATTAGCGATAGCAATGTCGAACCAAAACTATACTAATAAATAGACTTTATGGATTTCTCGCTAGGTCTCCCAAATATGGTTTGAAGGAAGCAAAGGAGCTAAGTCGGGTGTATGAATATATTTTGTTGGTTAACCCTTTAACCAAGCATGCAAATCACAAATATTTGACCAAGTAAGGAAATACAACTATAAAATGGTTGTACTTACTTTTAGAACTTCCTTGCTTCTGGTGGCTATTTTTCTAAATAAAACCACTTTGATTGTCGTTGATTTTCAGTTTTGAGGAAGAAATACTAGTTTGGTGATGAATTGTTTTAGGATGGCTTGTGGATGCTCAGAATTTTTAGTTGGACGAAAATTGAGTTGCTAGTTTGGTTGGATGAGAGGTTGAAGCATATGTTTAGTGGTAAGATATAGAGGTTGAGAGAGATGATAAATCACATTTTGCGTTAGCATTACTTGACATATGGTGGATATCATGGCAATTGTTGCAAAGGTGGAAAATGATTACGAAAGAGTTTGCCTACGTGCGTATCTGAAATTTATGAGTTCGGGTGAAGATTATTAATGATTACTGACCAATTTTGGAATATTTTGCAGCTGTGTGCAATGTAATACGCTGCAAATTGAGCGTTACATGCAAATAATGACAATGCACCCAGGTTAAGCGTTGAAAACAAATTCTAGAAGCATTGCAAAAGCAGCAAAGTTAAAGTAAGTAATTTGATCTTAATGATATTTAATTTTATGAATTTAGTGTTCTATATGAAGATATAATTGTCATACAGAATCAACATCGAGTTAAAACGGTTTAATATGGTTATCACTGTGAGTATTCGGAAAATGACAGTGCTTGTAAACTATTTTATTTGAATGACTGTCGTCATGAGGTACATGCTAGCACAATCTCATATCAGTTAAATGCTGTGTGGAGATTTGGTGAGCATTTGTGATAATCAGAAACTGAGTAGGGTCCATTTCCACTTTGTTTTTTCGGTAATAATCTATCATTTATATAAAGCCCTTAATTAATACCGAATTTTGACAATGGCGTTCGAACTTGTGGAACTTGAAATATCCATTGCCAAGCCTGTGCCAATCCACATATATGTAACATCCTTTGGCTCGATTTCATTTGATTATGGTTGGACTAAGCAATTCCTTAAAATTGTTCTAAGCAATGACTTCTGGGGGTTGTCACCTTTTATGTTGCTTTTGGGTTTTTGATGAATTCATTTTTATCTAACTAAGTTTGTTGCTACATAGGGCAATTCATTGGCAACATATGAAGTGGTATAGGACCTAATGGGCACTATTGACAAGGTGTGAGTATCATGCTCACCATCCAAGAATCACACTCCAGGTATGATGGTGAAATAATTTAATTTTTTTTGTAGTTTTTGTTCTAGACTTCAGAATTTGATATATGGAGTAATTATCCGACTATAATAAAGTAGCTTGATTGCATACATCATGTGGATAATGACGGATGCTTGAGGGGGTGGGGGTTGGTGTCCTCACTTCTCAACATTTTTTTAAAATCCTTTAGTATGTATGGTACCTTATTACAATACCTTATTAAAACATTTGACCAATTATTTATTTTTGCCCTCCCAATAATTTTTTTGAAAATTTATTTTAGACTCTATAAGAATTTTTAATTACTTTCGTTTGAAAAAAAATTCGAAGCGAATAAATTTAGTAGATATGAATGACTAATTAGCCCATTTATAGTATAAATTCATTTGTTAGTAACTAAAAAAGTAAAAAACCTTCTAAGCATTTGGGCTAAAAAGGAAAAACCAGGCTGAAGTTGATTTTTCTGGAATAAATGAGAGTCTATATTTATTTTCATCATTTCACTTGTTAGACTAGAGTCTACAACAATTCAATAGAACATTTTCAAAATCTTGTTTTTTTCTTTTAATTTTAAAAATAAAAAAATCAATAATAGACTAAATAAAAATATCAAATAAATTGTATAATAAAAAATAATAATTTAAGAAACTATAGTAAATTATCGCTTCATGCAAGTCTTAGACAGACTAAACTTTAAAATATTATATGCTTCTATTGGTCAACCGGCCAACCATCTCCTCTCTTTCAAAGCTTCTTATGTTTTCCTTAGTTTTGGTTTGTACCCTCCTCCCTAAAGGTTACAAGGTTAAGTCCACCACTTGCATGGAGATAGTGATGCACATAAGAAAATTACCTAGTCTACACCCATCATAATGGAACAGAAGGCAGAAGCCGATGTGCATTGATTATGCAATCAAGAAATTAGATTGCTTGATTGATTTTGATTTGCAGTTCCACTTTAGTGTGCAAGATAAGATTTAAGGAGAAAGTTCTATTTGGTCTTACCTATTATGTGTTTAGTTTATTTCTACTTTCATCTTTTCTTTGCCTTCAGATTGTACAGCTGCTGAGATTTATTGTAAAAGAAATGCAATGAGTGTGCTAAAAAGGCAATGTGGCTAATCGATTGCAGAGAGCAAATCGTTTCCTTCCCTTTCAATATTTTCGCGTTAGGTCGTTCCCTTGATTGCTATTTTTCATCAAGGATGTATTTTTTCCAGCTTTTAAATTCACGCTGTATGTGAATCAAGGTGTTCTAGTATTTTATGAATCCTTATGATGGCAAATGTAAATAAAATGCTCTATTTTGATTTATTGAGGATATTCTTTTACAAAAGCTAATGCAGTTGAGTTGATTTTTAATTGACAATTCAGGATCCTATGCATGCCAGTTGGTGCTAATTGTTGCCAAACTTAGAAATGGTCATTCTGCCGGAGAAAGAAAATAGTATTGAATGGAGTTTGCTAATGTTTTAACAAATGTAAATTTTTATGTACTTGTCCTTTCTTTGATATTAATAGGAACTTGTTTACATATTGACCCCAAGGAAGTTCATTAAATGCTGGGGTGTAATTTGGATCGGAATATTCTGATCCAAATCGATTATTCCTGATCCAAATCGAAATTCTAAACCAAATGCTAATTTGAAATGGAATTTAAAATATAATGTAATTTTTAAAATATTAGTATATGAAATATGTAATGGAAACAAAAATTAAAATTCCATATTCCAATTCATATACTGATTTTTATTTTATTATTCTTTAGTTTGTAATTATATATTTTAAAATAAAATATTAAATTAAATATCTTTAATTTTTCATATTATTAAGAAAATTTCTATTTAATTGTAAAAGTATGTAATTTAATAGTATATTTTAACCCTAATCCTAATTAATAATTAATATATACTATGTGCTTGAATACTCATGTATACTTTCTTGGTTTAAAATTGTGATTTCAATTATAATATTCTACTTTTTATTAGATTATATAGTTTGAAATTAGTACTGTTCCTTATATCTTAATGAATATGGTAAATAGTAAACTTGTTACATATTGACCCCTGAAGTTCAGTTAAATGCGGGTTTAATTTGAGATCGGAATTATATCTTAGATCGCCAAGATCGAAATTATTCGCTCTGAATCCAAATGCGATATATTCTAAATTATCGCAAAATTGCTATAATTTGATAATGGAGAATTTAATAAGAAAAAATTATTAAAGTATTTTTAAAAATATTATGTATATGATAATAATGTTAATGGGAAAATACAAAAATTAAAAATTCCATATTCCAACTTACATATACATGAATTTTATTATAAAATTATTCTTTAGTTTGTATTTAATATATTTTTAAAATAAAAAATATTAAATTAAATTATCTTTAATTTTTCATTATTATTTAAGAAATCAATTTTCTATTTAATTGTAAAAGATATGTAATTTAATAAGGTATTATTTGAACCCTTAATCCCATTAATTACATAAATTATATTTTATACTTATGTTGCTTGAATACCTTCATGTTTTACTTTTCTTTTTGCTGTTTTATATAAAAGTTTTTGATTCTGAATTGTAATTATTTCAACTTTTTATAAGAATTAAATAGTTTGAAAATATATTTAGTGTTTGCTATAAGTACTGAAAATATATATATATATATATATATATTTGTGGATTTAACACTTTTTAATGATTATAGTGGACTAATAAGTATTGATAAATATTCCAAAATCATGAAATTAAGTTACTATCTTGTGATTTTATAATATATATTATTATTAATTATTAAGTTGTTAATTATGATGAACTTGAATTATTAAATGTAAAATCAAATATTTTGATTTTAGTTATACTTAAAACTTAAATTAAATATATAATTTAATTTTACATCTCATATAAGCATATAAAAATCAAAAATTTTTTGATCTTTTAGTTATATGTTTATATAATTTATTTATTTTTACATACAAATATTAATTATGTTTTCTTTAGTTAATTGTTAATAATATAAAATTTATTAAGGTATTGATTTATTTCTTTATTAAATATTAATAAATTAATATATATTTATTAAATAAAAATGTTTTCTTATTAAATTTAAAAATTTATATTTTAAAAAATGTTATAATATGTTAGATTTGTATTTATAGTTAAGAAATTTAGAACTATCGAATTTGAAACAGAATTTCAATGGAATGACATGGAATAAAATTTGAAATCATAAAAAATATTTAAAATAGAATTAAATGCAATTTTAAATTTTAAAATATTTTGAATGTAACGAGGGTCATTCTCTGCCGATCGACCACACCCCTAATTAAATGTTTGAAAAACTCAGATACTATTACAACCAAATTTAAAAAAAAAAAAAAAAAACATTATAATGAAACATTGAAGTTTGTTCTACTTTAAGATTGCAATCTGTGGCTATTACCATATTTGCCATCTGTGACAACGAAAGAGATTGATAGAATTATCCTCGAGAAGTGAAATGATTAGATGATAGAAAGCATTCTCTTTTAAAATACTCAGAGAGGGAACAGAGGGAGCTTTGCGGTGAACGGATTTAATATTTGATAGAAGTAGTTGGGCAAAATTAATATTGTTGGTAGAAAAAATTTCCTCACAGAGGAGAGGAGAAAATACAGAGAAGGAAAGTCGGATTTAATATTTGATAGAGTTAATTGGGAAAATTAATTTTGTTGCCTTGTTGGTAGAAAAAATTTCCTTACGGAGGAGAGGAGAAAATAGTACAGAGGAGGAAAGTGACTTAGAGAGAGCAACAACACCAAAACTGTGATTCTCAACACACCAAAAAAAAAAAAAAAAAAAAAAAAAAAGAAGAAGGAAGAAAAAGTACAGAGAGTGAAAGGTATATCTACGAGAGTAGCACATGTATCATCCCAATTATAACTTTGTCTCAATTACATCAGCCAAAAAGCACAAATAAAATATAAAAATATAAAGATTATATAAAAAAAAAAAAAAAAAAAAAAAAAAGAAAGAACAAGAAAATCCAATGCCAGAACTATGTATTAGAAAGAACAAGAAAATCCATTGTCAATTTAAAAATTGTTCAATAAAGTCGAATTATTTTCCTAAAAACAATTGCATAAAAACAAATAAAAAGTCATACCAAAGTAACGTTTCTGTTCTGGCGGCATCTCATAGCGATAAAGCGGACACAAGCGGCTACCCTGCAACCACTGCACAATACGCCCTACTGTTCTTGCTCTGGCAGCATCTCATAGCGACAAAGCGGACAGACGCGGCTACTCTGCAACCACTTCTTAATACAGTCTTGATGATAAAAGTGCAAACACGGCATTCTAATTCCTTCAGTTCCCGTTTCAATCTCTGCCATACAAACTACGCACTCTTTCAATTCATCAAAAGCCACTGTTTCTAATGCTTCAATGGATTCTTTACTAGCAGGAATTGGCTTTGCTTTATCTTCCATTGACTGCATCTCAGCCCTCCTTATTATTAAGTCTTCAAATTGTCTGTTATTCAATCCTTGCCACTTCACCAACGCAATACCAACGACAATTACTATCCTCGTGCCAGAAACAGCATTACTTGAAGCCGAGATCTTCTCTTCTAAAACAGAGAGAAGTTCTTCTAAAATCTCGTCTTTTACATGTTCTGGTATTCTCATGTTATTTATAACTTCAAGCGCACGCTTTTGCGCCAATGCTTGATCAAGCGGCAAATTGCTAGCAGGAACATGGATCGATCTCTTACTTATCAACTCCCGACTTTCATAACCGATCCCATCATAATCGGCCGTAGGCGGCGAAGGGTAGAAGCGAACAATTTTCAGGCGGTGGAATTTCACTTGGATCATCCTTGCCGGTTCTGAAACCCGGCCATTCTCTTGCTCCACCTCAATAGCTTTCACACGAACATCGTAGTCTATGTTGGACATGTTTTTATTTTAAGGAAGAGAGAGATTAGAAATCTCGTGGTGGTGTTCGTTTGTTAATATAGGCGATGATGTGCGTGCTTTTACACTCTGTTTGGTGCTTTTACACTCTGTTTGGATGGGGTGAGGGAAGGATAATCAAAGGAAGGATAAGGAGGCTAAGGAAGAGGAAGGGGAAGAGGAAGGTGAAGGGTAAGAGTATGTTGGCATCTGGAAAGGGTTGAATTAATAAAAAGTCAAAAGAGAGGGATAATAATTAAATATAATATAAAAATACTAAGTTACTTATCTTTCCTCCCTTACACTTTAATTTTGGGTGAAATAAAATTTGAGATTTGAGAGATAAATGCGAATAAAGCTTACCCTATTTACCGTTATACTTCCTTTAACTCATCCCTTCCTAAATGGGGATATATATTTTAGTTATATCTCTTTTCCCTCGTGTATCCCTCCTTCACCTCCTACCAAACAGAGTATTAAGGTTTGTTTTTTATGTTTTGACTGTTTGATTGTACATCTCCTAATCGGAGAGGGAAGGGAAAAGTAAATCGGATGAGTGGTGTATTTTAACGTACGGTAGGAGAGAGTGCACCTAATAATTTTGCGCCTTTTCTTTTTATTATTTTTTTTAAAAAAAATTAAAAAATCTTATAATCTCCCAAATCCTAGCTTCTCTCTCCATGACCAGCTCCACCTTTGCTAGGGTTTCTCAAAATTCAACCAGAAGCTCAATAATGGATCATCACTGGAGGCCAATGCCTCCGTCTCAAGGTAACATTTGCCCCGTTTGCTCTGTTTCTCATTTCCCATTTTGCCCTCCTCACCCTCATCCTCCCTATCCTCCTCCTTTCCCTCCATACAATCAATATCCTAGATTCCCATTGCATCCAGATTACCCGCGTTCCGACCCATACCATGCGGGCGTGCCCAGCCCGTACGTGGTCAATCCAAACGAAGTTTGGCATAGAAACCATAGTTTCGATTACAGGGAAGGATTTGCGCAGGCGGAGTATGATTACAACAATAGTAGTAGTAATGGCTATGTTGGAGAGGGAGATAGGAGATATAAGCGACCTAGGGTTGACGAGGTTGGATCGGCTGTATTTGGCCACGAGAATAATCAAAATCCCGCGAAGAGCTTATCCGACGATGAGCGTAGATTGAAGTTGATTCGCGATCATGGCGGGGCTTCAAGTGAGAATTCGACAAATTTTCGTTATAATTCTGATTTGAATGCAAGTTGTGCTAGGAATGAAGATATGAATAATCACTCCGAGTATTCGAGGAACGGGGAGGCTGGTCCTTTCCAGAGTGATGGAGGCAGCATGTATAGTCCTTTCCAGCCAAATGGTCCGAAGCAGCAGGCATATGAATCTTATGGCGACGTTACTTTGCCACAGGCTCAGTTTAATGATTCAATATCAGCGAAGAGGTCTCAATATTCTCATATGAATAACTGGCTGGACCATCGGCCTCCACAACCTTATGGAATGCCTAATTATATGAGAAATGATTATCAATCCCCTGGTCAAGAGCCAGTAGGTTACTTGCCTTACCCTGATAACAGGGGATATAGTGCCCAGCCTCCTCCTCCGCCACCGCTTCCTCCTTCACCGCCTCCTCCTATTCCGCCATTGCACCATTTATCAGAGTTTAAATCCTACTCTTCGCCGCCAAAAACTTCCTTGTTTCCAGTTCCTATTGGTTCCTCTGCGACTAATCCCTTTTTGCAGAATAAGCATCTTTCACATGCTACAGCTGCCTTTTCTTCAGAGGTATTGCTTCTCTGCTACCTGATTTTTTTTTTTGTTTATATATTGTTGTTTCAGCTGCATGTTTCATGGGTTGTGATGATAAATCTCTTTGCTTGAATTGATTTGTTTTTTGGTAGGAATGGCAAACGTCATCTCTGCCAAAGCGGTTATCTCCAGATAAGCCTACTATCGTTGATGCTTCCCAATTGTTTAAGCAGCCTTTTCGGGCTTCCCGTCCTGATCATATTGTCATAATCCTTCGAGGCCTTCCAGGTAATATTTTTCTTCATTTCCGCTTCACTGTTTGATGCTTTATCTCTTTGTTATTCCTTTTTCCTCTTATATAGGTTGTTCCATGGGTCAAACTATAAAGTTTTATTCTTTTGGTTGGTGTTGATAAAAACTGAAAAAGCAAAAACTTCCAAACTTTTTAGTTGTTGGAGGAATTTGATATAATGTTAGGGAAGCAAGATGCTACTTTTAGTTTGAAAAACACTTGTATTTACAGTTTGCAAGATTAGAAGACAGATTGTATAGCCAATGTTCCATTTTAATATTTAATAAGCATTTGGATAATTCTTCCGTTTTTTATAGGTTTGATGCGTTCTTTGGAACAGCCAATGCAAAGGATTTTGGTCTGTGTTTTTTATTTTTTTTTTCTTTGATGGAATGCAGACAACCATTTTAGCTAGAGGGCCAGGACCTGCATAGGAGATGAAAATTTAGCACTTTCTAAATCTATTTGTGACTTTGCTTATTGGCCTAGTTTTGTAAGAATGAGTAGTTTTCTGTGAGTATTTGCATCTGCAGCTATTTAAATCTTTTCAACATGGTATTATATGCTGCAAATTGATATGTTGCTAGAATGTTTAAATGCTGTATGCAGTACATAGAGCTTATCAATTGTTTTTTTATGCTTGTAGGTAGTGGTAAGAGCTACTTAGCAAAGATGATGCGTGACCTGGAGGTTGAAAATGGTGGTAATGCCCCACGAATTCATTCAATGGATGATTACTTCATGACTGAAGTTGAAAAGGTTTGCCAGTTCTTTTAGATGTTGATATGTCATGCCTTTTCATATAGTTCTCATGAATTCCCATGGAATTTATTCCTCTTTCTCATGGACATGGAAAATCTTTTCCCCTTTGTAAGGTTTTCATATTTTATCATTTAAGATGCTAAAATGCATTGTTTCTCCATCAAAAGGTTGAGGATGATGCTTCAAAATCTTCAAGCTTGGGTAGAGGCAAGAAACCTGCTTTGAAGAAGGTCATGGAGTATTGTTATGAACCTGAAATGGAAGAGGTAACGCTATCAATTTTATACATAATGTCGGAAACATGGTTAAAAGTTTTCGGGCGGAAGTTGCTGCACAAATTATGTTGTCTCAATTATAACATGACATGTGTGAGACGATGGAAATGAGTTGGTTTAGCATGCAGTGAGCCTTTGTTTATCCAGAACAACAGTATTGGGTCGGCTGGGATTAGCATTTGAACTTGTAGGTTGGGCTGGCTTTTTACAAAATAACAAGACTGAATAGAGTTATTGCCTCCATATTAATGAATTTTTGGCAGATGAAAATTGCGTATATGAATATGCAGTCACTAGAAAAACCACTTTTATGATACTTGTATGACTTGATTTAAAAGGGTAACCAAAAATAAAATGAAGAAATAAATATTGAATTAAGAGAAAAATAAATGTTGAAGTACAAAATAGATAAATAGAGACAAAGGGGGCGGGTTCTGAGAATATGATGTAGGCCTTTGTGTTTGTGAAAGGGGAAAGAAGATAAATAAATTTGAAATTTGGATTGTAATGTTTTGACTATGGGATACTAGAAGGTTAAGTTGCAGGATGTCTGAACTTCTTTAGTGTATAGGATCACCTCGCTAGAAGTAGTGCATGTGCTTATCACTCAACATGTTTCTTTTTCATATACTGAATGTGCAGTAGTACCCTTTGATCCTTGGAAGGCCTTTTTTGTTTTGAGTCAAAATCTCTGCCCATCTACTCCCTACTTCTCTCCTCTATTAAAGTGACTTGCTTTTGGAGTCCATAAAGATTTGATATTCTACTCATCTATTGGATGATTTATAATAATTTCCATTAAGTACTGGTTCTTACTTGGTAAATTCTATTTCTTTATAATGTTTTTAACCCTTGATTTTGCTGTGTCTCCAAAATAGGCTTATCGAGACAGCATGTTGAAAGCATTCAAGAAGACCCTTGAGGAGGGAATTTTCAGGCTTGTTATTGGTATGAGGTTTTATTTTGGATTGCCCTTTAACTTATGATAAAGATATTTATTATCTTTGCTTAACTTCCTTAATTTTTAATCGGTGTCTTCCAATATTGTAGCCATTCAAGGATACATTCTTGAGATGTCCATTTCTTTCGACATGGAGTATATTTAATACATGTTCTCTAGCCAAATTGGTTGCACATTTCCTTTAGTTTGATCGTGTTGTGGTTTTAAGCTATTTGGTTCAATGTCTGATTTCTTGCTTCTAATCATAGCTCTAACACCAAATATGTGTATTTTTTCGTTTCCCCACTGTTTGGTATAAATGAATTTGAAATTGAACTTTGCTAATTGTAGGATTCATTCATACCAAACAGGGCCTTATTGATATTATGATAGTCATCATAATCTTACTGTCTTCAAAGAAAAATTTCAAACTATTAGCTTAAAATAAGACAAAATTGATTAGAGGTTCTTATGGTTCTCATGACTTGTTAAGGCATTCAACAACTTAAATGATCTAGTCTGATGATAGATTTAGTGGTGATGCAGTGCTTTCGCACTGCTTTCATTTTCACTAACTACAGATGCAGTTTTGTTCGGCAATTGACCCTTTTGTGCTGGTATGTGTGCATCGTCTTAGTGGATGACCGCAATCTGCGGGTAGCTGATTTTGCTCAGTTTTGGGCAATTGCGAAGGTATACCCTCACTTCTCTCTTGTTCACAATCTCGCGAGTAATATGTTGTCGTTTTCCAGTTCCCTGGAGTGTGTTAAGGTCTATAGGTCCTCATTCACATACGTGGATCCCTTCATAGTCGAATGGAAAAAAAATTAATAAATTAAATCTATTGTGATTTTCTTCTACCTTTTTCCTTCTTTGGTGATAGGTTGCTTTCTATATTCCTTAGGTTATCAGTGTTCATTATCTTAGTCTGCTGTTAGCTTTTGTTTCTTCACTTTCATTCTGTTGCAGCTGTTTTGCTGGAATTTACATTTTTGCTCTCATGGATGATGAAATTAAATTCATTGGGTCATCTTTGTGCAAATGTTTGTCTTCAGCAGAAAAATTGGAGTTCAACATAATTTTCATATGCTGCAACACAAATGATATCTTTTCCTGCAACTTCTTTTCTTCGTAGATTGCTCTTGAGGATTTTCACTTTTATGGTTCCCAGGTGAACCATCCTTGTCAAATTAGTGAACTAAAGGCCCTTAAGGATTGTTCCTGTGGCTTATTTATAATATGTATACCATAGGTTGTTACCTTGTATTGTAACTCTATATTTTATTCTTCAGAATAATTAAAAATGTTCTCCATTTGCTTCTGTCGCCATTGTTTACATACTCATTTACTTGTTACCTCTTTGTGGGAATCACTTGAATTGATGGATGGTTGAGACTTTACAATTGTGAATGCAATCAGTTAGCTTCCTGCATCTCTTAACATCCATTTCTTACTATAGCATGTGATAGATGATGGTCCAAAACTGATAACTACTGGATGTTCTGTTCTTGAATTTGTTGTTCAAAAATAAGGCTGTTTTGTGGTCTTGCCACCGAGTATCTTGAATTTATTGGCAATAATCTGCAAAACTTTGCTGAGTTCATAATCAACTACCACATTTTTTAGTCTGTATTTCACTCAAGTTTCACCCATCAATCACCGCTTAAAGTTATGAATTTTATCCATGCCAGAAGCGGGTTTTTGTAATATTGTTTGCCATGTTTAAAATTTCCATTTCATGCCTTTATCTAAGGACTATTGCCCTTTCTTAATTATCCATTGATTAAAAACTGTTGTATATCTGTCAGTTGCTTTGCTGACTAGTTTTCGTTTTCTTCTCCCAGAGATCCGGCTATGAGGTTTACATATCAGAAGCTACATATAAAGACCCTGTGGTTAGTATATAAGTTATTATATGTTTTTTGATGAGGTTTATTTGTGGTTTTGATATTTTTCATTACTGCTTTAATTAGCAATTGATGCCTCACCATCTAAAAGACCTGCATCTGTAATAATTTTTCCTGAATGGTGGCATCATCTTGATAATCATGTGTGGATTTTCAGGGCTGTGCAGCTAGGAATGTACATGGTTTCACTCTAGATGAAATAAAAAGCATGGCTGAGCAGTGGGAGGAAGCTCCAGTATTGTACTTGCAACTGGACATCAAGGTTTGTTGTGTTTAGGTCTCAATTTCTACTTTGGGTTTATCATTGGAATTTCAAACAGTCCAGTCATAGATGGATAGGGTTAGACATAATATAAACATGCATATTAGAGTGGAAGCCCAGCATCCTTGGCTATTATTTTTAAGTTAATGAGAATAAGGGGCCTGCTTATCATGAAAGGTTAATAAAATTGGGGACTTTTGGACCTTTCTTCTGACTATTGGTGATTTACATGTTTTGATATTGTTTTACTGGCATGACAGTCATTATTCCACGGGGATGACCTGAAGGAAAGTGGAATTCAAGAGGTAACTAACATTATATTTGCTTTGTAACACTTTTCTTTTGTTTAAAATCTTTTCCATGGCCTCCTAGTGTGGAAATAATTCGATCTGCTTAGTTTCAATTGTTCCTAATATGAGTAGTATTGTTTTAAGCATTAATGGGAACTCATATTTGGTGCTCGTTGTCTAATCATTGTATTGGTCTCAGTGAAAGTACTTCGTTTGTTCTCTAGCAACCAGAAAGTCCTAAAATGTTCATTGATCTATTGCAATTTTATGAGCTTTGATCTATAATTTTTTCATTCATCAATAGTGGTAGGGATGTAAATGAGCCGAGTTGAGCTTGAACCTGTTAGGCTTGAGTTCAATTCAAAAAATTTTGAGCTCAAGGCTCGAATAAGTCTAAAATAAATATTATATATGTATATATAAAAACTCAGTGAGGCTCAATAAGCTTTCGAGCTAAACATTACTAGACTCAAGCTTGAGCTTAAGCTCAATTTGAGTTGAACTTTTTCTTACTTTTTTCGGACCGAGTTCGAATAGCTCATGAGTCGGCTCGACTCATTTACATCCCTAAATAGCGGTAAGCTTCTTGTTCAAACATAGGAGCTTGCAAAATAAATGTGTAAGCATTGTTATAGTAATGAAAGTGAGAAATGATGACCTTTTATGTTTGTGTCTAGCATGCGCATTTGAAACTTGATGTTTTTTAAATACAGAATATTATAGAAAGACAGTGAATTTTTACAGCCCTTTGAATGGTAATCATTGTGTTATGTAATTTGAGCCTGATCCAAACTATTACTAATAGCGTTACTTTGTTCATCATATTCTGAGTGTCCTGCAGTTAATTTAGGCATTTATTATGTGGATAGTGATTAGGGGATTTTAATGCCACAATCTATGCTAAAATTCATTATTATGTCAAATCTTCCAGGTTGATATGGATACCGAAGATGGTAATGGTGATGACAATCCACATGGATTGCAGGAAAGAAAGACAGTGAAGAATATAGACCCTCCCTTGGAGGATGATGCACCTCAAGGTACAATTCTATCTTCTGCTAATTCAAAGCTTGTTCAGTCGAATCAGTTCTCCTATTTACTTTGGCATTTTGAACTTTAGTTCTTCCAAAAGATGGGAAGAGATGGGGTGTTGAAGAGGACCATCCCACACAAGGAGTGAAAGAGTTGGGTAAAAGTAAATGGTCAAATGATTTAGATGAAGATGATATTGAAGGATCTGAACGCATGAAGGGCAATTTAAATGCTCTTTCCGGGTTAATTCAGGCCTATGGAAAGCAGGGAAAATCTGTGCGTTGGAGTGACCAGGTAAATATTTCTAGGGCTTTTGTTCCGTAGTATTGATGCTGTGCCATTCCTGTTTTATGGACAACAGAAGATGTGAATGACAAAAGTTGTACTATAATTGTTAAAAAGAAAAAGAAGATGTTGGACTATATTACCTGTCAAAGAAAGATTACAGACTGGATTATGTTATACCATGGAGCATCTGACCTTGAAAGGCATCTGGAAGCAAGTGAAAGAGCATGACACTTGTGATCGAAGCTATATTACTTATCTGGATCTCCTAGATTTTCTTTTGGATGCTTAGAATTCCAGATGTATATTGCTTTGCTTATTTGGGTCTATAAGTTGAGTTAAAATATTCTCTACCGTAGATGGGTTGGAGGATCAGAACTGATTGCAACACATTTTAAGCATCGGCTACCTGAATCTGCCTTTCGATTATTAGTTCCTGGGTTAAAATCATGATTTTTTACTGACTTTGGATTAGAAAATATTTAGTGAAATTAGAAATTCTAATATTACATGATGTTTGATTGACTTGGAAGAGGAAAACTTCTAGTGAAATCTTGATGTTTGACTGTCAATTAAATGGGTTTTAATGGATGACTGTCCATAAAGTATTGATGTGTTTTAATGGATGATTGTTTCTTGTTTTTGTGCTTTATCCTTTGTATAACTGATAATTTGCCATTGTGATAGTATAATAATGTTAGTAAATACACCTTTTTTTTTTTTTGCCTCCCACTGTCTTCCGACTATTATCATGCTCCTCCAGGTTGGCAATACTGGTTTTTCTATAGGTGCAGCAAAGAAGGCACAAATGCTATCGTTGGTGATTGGACCAGGTGCTGGATACAACTTGGTAAGTTCTGTAGCTATTCTGATCACCTTTTTTTTTTTTTTTTTTTTTCAGTCATGATCAACCTTTTTTTTTTTTTTTCTCCTTTTTTTTTTTTTTTTCTTTTCAGTCAGAACTTATTATGATTAGAAATGAATTTGCTTCTTGATTAATGTTTAGTCCTTGTATGGTAAATATCTGTTTTAATGTTTACTCTCGTATGCAAGCAAAATGTGTTTTTCTGATGTTTGCTGGAAAACGTTGACTGCTTTTCTGGCAGGTTACAAACATCAAAGATTCTTTGTTTTCTTTTCTTTTCAAGTTTTTAAAGATCACATGCCCTTAATAAAGCTGACAATACTATACTACTTGCGGCAGTATACCCACATTTACGTTTGCTATATAAATGTTGCAGAAGTCCAACCCATTGCCTGAAGACGAGGCCATAACAACAGCCAAAGCTGAGTCACGGAGGCAAAGTGCATTTCAAGAACGATTACGCGCTGAGCACGAGTCCTTTAAAGCTGTTTTTGATAAGAGGAAACGGCGGATTGGTAGGCTTGATTTAGAGGAGGAATACTAACTGTAGTAGAAAATTCCTCCAAGTAATTTTTGATACTCTGATTTTTTTTTTTTTTTCAATTTATTCTTTACAGGGGTAAAGGCTGTTTGTAATTGTTAGATTCATGAGGGAAAATGTAGTACAGTTCCCCTTGCTGTCAGTGTAATCAATGCAAAACTGAAACTGTTCAATTGGTAAAGTAAAATGTCTTTCATCAGCCATCGTGTATCATTTCAACTGTCTTTTTTTTTTTTTTTGGGAATTAATTATAATTTTAGTGCATAACTGAAAACAGATTCACTCGTGTCATCACAGCGGCCAAAAGACACAAATATAAAAAATTAAATTAAATAGGATTAAATGTTAATTAGTCCCTGATATTTTATTTAATTAACAAGATAGGATTTAAGTTTCGAAAACTAAATCCATGTATCTTTAATATTTCGTCTAACTAGTTTGTCATTTCGTTTCAATAACCGCTATTAGTAATTTTTTTATTTTAATGATAAATTATTATTTAGTGTCTTAATTTGTCGAAATACAAGTTCTTGCTAATGAATTTCGCCCAACCTTTGGTACATTTGACTTGCTTTTTGTTTTTGACAAATAAAAATTCAAGTAGAAAATTAAATAATTGATAAAACGAGTGTAAGAACCAACTACTTTAATTTTAAAAATAAAAGACTTGACTGGTGAAATTTATCAAAATTCAGGGACTAATTAATAGTAAATCCATATATATAAGTTCTGATGGTCCTTTACTTCATCTCTGACAATATCACTTACCTGCAATCTCTCCCTCACGCACATGGCTACTGCTGCTGTAGCCAGAAATTTCCTTGCACGTTTCATGGATTTAGACTCCGCCAAATGCAGCATTTCTGCTCAACTAATTTCCAGTAGGCAGTCACTTCATACTTTCCATCGTGTAAGTCACTTTTTTATTGCCTTTCCTATTTCGTACAATGGTATTTATACCTGCGGTTTCTAATATTTTACCATCATAAGACCTCAAAATCTAAATTACTGTCTTATTTGGTTATATATATTTTTACCAATCATAAGCCTCAAAATCTAAAAATTACTGTCTTATTTTGGTTATATATTATATATATATATATATATATATAATGGGAAGCAGAATAATCAGTTTATTGTTCTCTATCCAGAATGGGTGCCAGGGTGAACCCAAAACTCCCTAATTGGTACAATGGAACGAAACAATTTCCAGCAGTAAGCATCTCCTGGTATATATATATATATATATATATAATGGAACAGAAATATCAGTATTGTTCTCTATCCATGAATGGGTGCCAGGGTGACCCAAAACTCCCTATTGGTACAATGGAAACGAAAACATTTCCAGCAGTAGCATCTCCTGGTTTGGCCTTAGACAGCCTCAATTTCGCCATTTCTGATTTGAAATCCAATCCACCACTTTTCACTTCAGGGATTATACGTCTTCAGGTAAGTAATAAAGCTGTTGGCTTTCACTCTGCAATTGCTTTCTATTCTTTTGCCATCTGAAAAGTGGAGAAATGGGTTTTTGCCACGTGGTTGGCCGGTATTGAATGGTGTGCTTAACCACATCTCTTTCCTTATCCTGCTAAAAATGATTTTCATATTCCAAAATTGGTTTAGGTATTTTCAATCTCCGGCTGAAAACCTCAGGACTTGTAATTTTTTCTACTTCAATTTGACATTTTTTAGATAACATTAAAAGGATTACATTTTCTCATTCAATGACAACTTTCATTTTTCAAGTTAATGCAATTAATTTATCAATTATTATTTAATACAGTACTATCTAAATACTAAATTTTAAGTTATATTACCCATATTATTATCTTTTTATAAAATAATTTATTTTCCTAAAAAAATGAAAAATTATGCTTCCCAATAAATAAGTTTTCGGGAAATATACTTATAAATTATAATTTATGGAAGTATATGATTTTGAACTAAACAAAACAAATAATTATGAAATCCTTGATTTTCAATTGAAATTACTATTTCCTTTTTATTATTTGAAGAATTTACTGTAAAATTCTTAAAATTTGATTTGTTTTCTTAAACTATTTAATTATTCCGTCTAAATAATATTATTTTTGACATTAAAATACCATATAATATTTGATTATTTGGTCCTTCATATTTAAGTTCTTATTACTTACTATTTAGTCCATATTTATTTTATTCCTCGTTTAAATGTCAATATGATATTCTTTTTTAACTGAAAAACAAAGCCAAATTTCAGGGATGTGACAGTAATTTTCCAAATAGTAGGATGAAAATAATAATTTTAATCAAATAGCAGGGACTTTATAGTCATTTGTCCTGAATAAGACATTTGTTTAAGTAATTTTCTTTCCCGCGAAAATAAACAAATCAGTATCTGCGCGTAATAAATTTTGAAATTCCTAACAATCCAATATTTGAACAAAATCCCTGAAAATATCTAATGTGATCGAAAGGTACCAATTCAACAGCGAATTGAAGCAATTGATTGGCTCCATGCTCAACATCATCTTCTTCCACGCTGCTTCTTCTCTGGTAGAAGCCGAAGGAAAGATGAATTTCATCTTTGCAATGGAAATGGCCATGGCGGCCATGCCCACAATTTGGTTAGCGTTGCAGGTGTAGGCTCTGCGGTCCTCTTTAGGCATATCCATCCATTCTCCTACAATGACTGGAAGTCGATTAAGAGGTAAACCTAAAAGCCACCATTTTATGGGTTTTACGATCATTTTTAGATAATAACTTTGTTTTAAAATTTATGAAGGTTTTTATCCGCTAAATGTCCTTTAATTCGTGCTTATGGAGCAATCCGGTTCGATGCCAGGGCTAACATATCATCTGAGTGGGAGGCTTTTGGTTCATTTTACTTCATTGTTCCTCATGTAAAGCAATTAATTCGTTTATTACTTTTTGCAGTTTTATATGTTTATTTATTTATATAAAAATACATAGACCATTTCTTGTCGCTTGCTCTAAGACCTGCTTCTAGATACTATAAAATACAAATGACAGGTTGAGTTTGATGAGTTTGAAGGAAGTTCGATGCTTGCTGCTACTATTGCCTGGGATAATGCCCTCTCTTGGACATGGGGGCAGGCCATTGATGCACTTCGACTTACCATGACTCAGGTTCCTAAACTATTTTTCTCTTTGTTACTTGATTCTTCAATTATATGTTCAATATTATATTGGAAGAAAATTTAATCATTTCAACCTTTTTTTCCTGTATGAATCTGTTTGAAAAAATGCAGGTTTCTTCTGTTATTGTAAAATTGCAAAAAGAAGTCGCTGGGACATTTATATTAAGTAATAATCACATTCCCAATAAGACCTACTGGGATCGTGCAGTGAAGAGAGCTTTGCAGATAATCAGTAGAAGCAGCTCACCACTCATTAAGGTATTGTATTGAATCAAAATTGTTTCATAAACATATTTTTTGTATCAACCTGGTTATACAACTGTTTGTATATTTATTGGCATGTGATTTGGCTGTGACAAGTCCATCAATTATTCAATTTTGACTTGGAGATTTAGGTTGTACTTGCACGTAGCAGCAAAGTTGTAACTGCTACTGACATTGATCCTATAACATGGTTGGCTTGTCTACAGGTACTATTCTATTATAATTTTTCATAACTCATCAGTTTTCTCATATCAAGTAATAACTAAAATGTTCAAGATTTTACTTATAGGTTGAAGGAGAAAATGCTTATCAATTTTGTCTTCAGCCACCTAATTCTCCAGCCTTTATTGGGAACACGGCAAGTCTGATCACTGATCTTTTATAAACAAATAAAATCGTGGATTCCCTCTACTTCTTGTCTCTCTTTTTTACTTGATTTTTGAAAAGTTATTGCCTAATAAAATCGATGTTGCATTTTCTAATGGTCGAGGCTGCAAATTTATTATGTTGTTCTAAACTGCTTCTAGAAGTTGAAGTTTTTTATTAGTCCATCAATTATTTTGGCTATCTTGATCCATGGAGATCAAATGGCTCTTCTCTAGTTTTGACTTGTACGAACTTTATGAATAGCCAGAGCAACTATTTCACAGAAAACGGCTAGAAGTAAGTAGTGAGGCATTGGCAGGAACCCGTGCTAGAGGCGAATCAAAGGCTCTAGATCTCCAGATAGAACTCGATTTACTTTCCAGGTGACTTTGCACTTAATCAAATCATTTATCATCATGTTGAATCAAATTGCTGATTTACCATATTGTGAATGATTTCAAATGCTTCTGAGGCCAACTAACAACCAGTTTTCTTGTCATTATGCATCATCATACATTTGCTTGCAGCCGTAAGGACCATCTTGAGTTCACCATAGTACGAGACAGCGTAAGAAGAAAATTAGAGGCAAGTTCACTTTTTAGTGCCCTTACAATGTTATTCGACAGTTCTCTGACTGATTTCAATAATGGACTATACAAGTCCTTGTACTACATAATTCTCATGATAAGATCGTGCTGATCTTATATTCTCTTCCTGGTTCAACTGATCAGTGGTCCTTGCAGTGGATACTTGAGTTCACTCTTCATACTTTCTAGATTTTGTTCATTCAACATAAAGAAAAAGGAAAGAGATGGAAAATGAAAGTATAATTCTTACCCTATGTTACTTTTCAGGCTGTATGTAACAAAGTGTTAGTTCAACCAAATATAGTAATACGGAAATTCCCCAGAGTTCAACATTTGTATGCCCAGTTGGCAGGAAAATTAAGAAGTGAAGATGATGAGGTAAATAAACACATAGCCATATTTTTAAAGACATTCCCATCAAGGAATGATGAATAGTTTATTTCTTTTCCACTTGTATGTTGCTGAGATTGCAGTTTAGTTTTCTGAACTTGATACTTCATAATTGTGCTGTTTGGTTCAAAATTATAATTTTAAAGATAAACTTTTTTTGAAGAGCAATTTCCTATACTGTCATTCTTGTTCTTTTAACAATTTTCCTCATTCTTCTGTCTTTTCCAGTTTGATATCCTTTCTTCTCTTCACCCAACTCCAGCAGTTTGTGGATTTCCAACGGAAGAGGCAAGAGTATTAATTGCAGAAACTGGTTTGTACATGTATATTTGTTTCATTTCAATGAATTATTCTTTATTTTTTATTTGGATATTGAAACTTAAATTTTAACCAATATTAAATATTATAGTGAAGCCAAACTCTTATCAGCAACTTCTGTTTATTTGCACTAATGAATATGAATATACAGATCTTTTTAGTATTGTTCTTACATAATGAAAACTATTTTTCTGATAGGCAATATGAAAATCCTTGCTCTTTTGTTGGCCAGGCATACTTTAGCTAACCAAATCCTGGAACTTGATTATCTGGTTCTCAGTAAATTACGTTTTCTTACTTGCTAGTTACGCGAATATGTACTTTCCAATATTTCTTGCAGAAGTTTTTGATCGAGGGATGTATGCTGGGCCTGTTGGTTGGTTTGGAGGAGGAGAGAGTGAGTTTGCTGTTGGCATCAGATCAGCATTGGTAGAAAAGGTGAGCTGCACTCCTCATTGGCTGCCATTTTGAGAAAGCATGAACCTGTCATTAGAATCTAAGTTAATGTTAATGGACTGCGAAGTTGCTTGCACGTGTTGATCACATACAGTACCAATCATTTTGAATTGTAGGGTCTTGGTGCAATGATCTATGCTGGGACTGGAATAGTAGAAGGAAGCAATCCATCTTTAGAATGGGATGAACTAGAACTGAAGACATCTCAGGTTTATATGTATCATGTTTACATCCATGCATTATACAACTTGGTAATTTCACACCAAAAGGAAGCAGGTGCTAAATTTTTCATTTAATAATTTGTTGCACAGTTCACCAAGTTGCTTAAACTTGAGGTCCCATCAAAGCAAAAAATTGAAGATTTGGGGAGAATCAACTGAAAAGATTAGTTTTCTTGACAAGGATTAATAGTTTGTATTATCAGTAGAAGAATGTCCATTAATTGTTGGCTTCTACTGGTAAACATTACACTGATGATTTGGTGGAATTGCTCTTCATAGTTTGTTTCCACAAGACTTGTTTGGAGAGCGTGCATTTGCAAGCAAATTCTGAAGTGGGTATAAATTTCACAATCACAATTTTGGAGCCCATATTTCTGCATAACCAGTTTTCAGTGCAAACTGGCAATCACTCTCAAACAGGTTACTGGATTTTGGAAGTGAATGGAGCACAACAGAAACAACTGATAGCAGAAAAAATATGCCATATCAAAAGCAACATTCTTTTTCCACAGAATAAGGTATTGGCTGCAAATTGATAATGCTTTGTTCTGTCATTATAAATATATATTCACACCTGCTCAGTCTCATTCAACATTTTTTTTTTTTTAATCTTATTGGTTGACAGTACAGCAATATATAATTGTTTCTTTCTACAATTTAGTAAGTGCTTTTCCGATTTTTCTGCGCAGTGCAGACTTCATCATATGGAGTATTTGTTTGCCTCTATGTGCGAATACCCATGCAAAGTCAATTTTTATATGGTTGGATAAAATTAATTTTAGGTTAATTTTTTTTCTAACCACAGTAAATTGCCATTACACACACTAAACATGTCTAATAAAAGATAAAATTGCAAGCCAATATGATTATTAGGATAATGGATTGACCTAGGTAACTGAAAATCTTGCTCCTGACCCTCCTTAAACCTGTCTTCTAGACAATACAGCACCTGAAAACCTTGTGAGCCTGCTTACATGTGACCCGGGGTTGGCATGAAAAATGTTCTTGTGCCCTGTTTTCTTTTTTGAGACTGCCGGATTGAACCAAGAAAGCTCCATTCTTCATCATATCTCCTTCTGATCTCCAATTCCACCACTTCCACCTGTTTTTCTCTGCATTATGTCTTTTGGTGGACCTTGGGGGATTGTTAACAGTGCGAGTTACTCGCTGAGAGTCCATTAAGAGTACTATAGTTGTAAAAACCATACTAGATTCAACTTCTTGAAAGCATCTCTTTAGTTATATATGTGTTTTGTCACAAGAAAAGCAAAGGATAGTCTCTTTCCTCCTGTTTATAAATTAGAAAGTGTGTATGTATTATGTGTCTCCAATGTTAAAAGCCAACTTTCCAATGTAAAAAAGTTGAGAATATCTATTGCATAATTCCATTACAAAAACTGTTAATTTGAGTCTCTGTGTCCATATCTTTATTTGAGTAATGATAGATAGATGGTTCATTCAAACCAAACTTGCCTCTTTCTATGAAAAAAAAGAAAAAATTCTTCTCTCCCTCTCTCCCTGTCTCTCTTAAAAATTGAAAAAACCCTCGACGACCACCCGCGGCCATCCACACCCTATACACCGTTTGATAATTGTCAGATGGGCTTAATTGTCCATAAAGAGTATAGATTGCTCATTCAAGGAATCTGAGCCTATTGTAATGGGAATATTGGCATATATGTGGGCTATTCCTACTTGGGAGCTTCTGATCAGGAATTACTACAATAAAGTAGAACATATATATACCATAACTAACAAGAAGAGCATCTGTTCAAAAATTACTTTATGTTTAGAGGATCAGATTCCAAATTTGTTCTTAAAAATAATAATAATAATAATAATAATAATAATAATAATAAAAGAAAGGTACAATTGGAGGAAGAAGCTTCTTTGACATGCGTGCCAAAAGTTATGTGGCCGCTGCTGAGAATATATTGTTCAAATGTTAACATTTATTTATTAAAATGGTCTTTTGTTTAATTGAACTTCCCACTCGCATATCGTGTGGAATGAAATCAGCTCTCAATCGACCTTTTTAACTCCATGGATGTACAGGGAACCTCCATGTTACCTTTATACACAAAAAGTAAACATATAAAGAGTAGCTGGTGTTTGAAATTTCTATCAATTATCAGCTATCAAATGTATGCATCAACTCATATAACTGTATGCATAAACTCATATTCACAGATACTTGCTGTAAAATAACTAAATAAATAAATAAAAGATTTTTGGAAAAATTCGAAAAAAAGGAAAGAAGCAAAATATGCAAGAGTTAATAGGAGCTTGTTAAATACAATTGTAGATGGCGTTGAGCGGTTTAAAAAAGTTGATCTTTTGAGACTATTTGACAAGGTACAAACACGGAAGGGAAGAATAAGATTATAAGTGGCCCCAGTAAGAAACAAAGGTGATGCTTTGTGGGTTTAATTTTTTTTAACTTTATTCAAAACTTGGGTGCTTTTGACAAAAAGGTAAGGGCTATAATTGGGATATGGAATCATGTGCCTTGCAGAAGCATCTCACTTGTGGTTGTGCGACTCAAGATCTGCCACTGCCACTGCCTAGTGCTCTTATGTCTAAAAATTATTTCACTAAGCGTAAACTAAATCTCAGAGCACCCAAATTGAACCTCTACCTGCTAAATTAAGGAGGTCGTCAAGATCCAAACATGAGCTCAATTCAGTACAGAACAGAGTCTTTGCTTTAGCTGATACGCGTACAGTACTGGAAAAATAATAAATAATAACAGCAAAAAGTAGCAGCAGGGAATAAAATAAACAAAGAGAGGATGAGATGACGTGGATAACGAACCTGTTAAAAAAAAAAAAGAAAAGGATGGAAAGGAGGGAGAAGCCGAAAAGAAATATAAACCTTCGCGAGAGAGAATGGAATCTCATTTTCCACTACCACACTCACCCTTTCTCTAAACCAACATTCCCTCCTCTCCTCTCCTCTCCTCTCCTCTCTATTTTATTGAATAAATAAACAAACCAAATTTACCAAATACACCCAATCTCAAAAAAGCACACCGCAAAAATAACACTGAACCCTTCTCTCCTCAGTCTCTCCCCCGCTATCATCGCTTCTTTCTTTTTCTTCCCCTCTCCGCCATTTTTCTTCATTTCCCATCAGACCACCTCAATCAAACTGTGATTACCACCAAAAATGACACTATGACGACGCCGTCTCCCCCACCACCAAGAACCGTTCGCAAGCTACTCGTCCATGTAGTCAATGCACGTGATCTTCTTCCCAAGGATGGCCAGGGAAGCTCCAGCCCTTACGTCATCGTTGATTTTGATGGCCAGAAGAAACGAACCTCCACCAGGTACCGGGAACTCAATCCTGAATGGAACGAAATTCTCGAGTTTACTGTCTCTGACCCGGATAATATGGAATTCGAGGAGCTAGAAATTGAGGTCTTTAATGATAAGAAGTACGGCAATGGCAGTGGCCGGAAAAATCACTTCCTTGGTAGGGTAAAATTGTACGGTTCTCAGTTTGCTAAAAGAGGAGAAGAAGGTCTCATTTATTTTCCTCTCGAGAAGAAAAGTGTTTTTAGCTGGATCAGAGGTGAGATTGGATTGAAAATTTGTTACTATGATGAATTGGTCATGGACGAGCAACAGCAGCCACCTCCGCCTGATAAGGACGCGCCGCCGCCACATGAACCGCCGAAGTCTCCCGCCGTTGTGGTGGTGGAAGAAGGCAAAGTTTTTGAGGTCCCTCAACATCCCGAGCTCTCTCATAGTCATCGATTTCACGATGGATGTCACTTGCCTCCTGTTGTTGTTATTGAGGAATCTCCTCCTCCGATGGTGCACGTACATGCAGAGCCACCTGCTCCGGAGCCAGCAGCGCCACCGCCAGAGGCTCAATACACTCCTGATATAAGAAAGATGCAGACTACCAGAGTTGCTGCAGCTGGCGGTGACAGAGTGAGATTATCGAGGCGGCCAAATGGAGAATACTCGCCTAGAGTGATTTCTGGAAAATTTGCCGGTGAAACGGAGCGAGTCCATCCCTACGATCTCGTTGAACCAATGCAGTATTTGTTCATCAGAATAGTGAAGGCGCGTGGTTTATCGCAAAACGAGAGCCCATACGTGAAAATCAGGACTTCGAATCATTTTGTCAAATCTAAACCGGCAATTTACCGGCCTGGTGAGCCAACCGATTCTCCCGAGTGGCATCAAGTGTTTGCTCTTGGTCACAACAGACCTGACTCAGCTAGCTCAACTTTAGAAATTTCGGTTTGGGACTCACCAGAGCAGTTTCTTGGAGGCGTTTGCTTTGATCTCTCTGATGTTCCCGTGCGAGACCCACCAGACAGTCCTTTGGCTCCTCAATGGTACCGCCTCGAGAGCAGCCCTGATCAACATTCCGGTAGGGTCTCCGGCGACATCCAGCTCTCCGTTTGGATCGGAACTCAAAACGACGATGCTTTTCCGGAGGCCTGGAGCTCTGACGCGCCTTATGTGGCTCACACTCGCTCAAAGGTTTACCAGTCCCCAAAACTCTGGTATTTAAGAGTCACAGTACTTGAAGCACAGGATCTTCACATCGCTTCCAATCTACCTCCACTAACGGCACCAGAGATTCGAGTCAAGGCTCATCTTGGATTTCAATCGGTAAGAACCAGGCGAGGGTCCATGAGTAATCATAGTGCATCGTTTCAATGGCATGAGGATTTGATTTTCGTCGCCGGCGAGCCCTTGGAAGACTTCCTTATCTTGGTTATCGAGGACCGTACAAGCAAGGAAGCAATATCTCTCGGACACATCCTAATTCCAGTAAGTTCGATCGAGCAACGAATTGATGAGCGCCATGTGGCATCAAAATGGTTCGCATTGGAGGGAGGAGCCACCGCCGGAGCAAATTGCGTAGGTGGCTGCTACCACGGCAGAATTCATCTCCGTCTCTGCTTGGAAGGAGGATATCACGTGTTAGACGAAGCGGCGCACGTGTGCAGCGACTTTAGGCCGACGGCTAAGCAGCTATGGAAGCCGGCTATAGGAATTTTGGAATTGGGGATTCTTGGCGCTCGTGGCTTGCTGCCTATGAAAAACAGAGGTGGAGGTAAGGGGTCCACCGATGCTTACTGTGTTGCTAAATATGGCAAAAAGTGGGTTCGAACGAGAACTATTACTGACAGTTTTGATCCACGTTGGAACGAACAGTACACGTGGCAAGTTTATGACCCTTGCACCGTCTTGACTATTGGTGTCTTTGACAACTGGCGTATGTTTGCCGATCCGTCAGAAGAGAAGGGTGACAACCGTATAGGGAAAGTCCGGATACGCGTATCTACGCTGGAGAGCAATAAGGTGTATACTAATTCTTATCCTTTGTTGGTTTTATTAAGAACCGGATTAAAGAAAATGGGCGAGATCGAAGTAGCGGTTCGGTTTGCCTGCCCGAGTTTGTTACCTGATACTTGTGCTGTATACGGTCAGCCATTGCTTCCTAGAATGCACTATCTCCGCCCACTTGGGGTGGCCCAACAAGAAGCACTGCGTGGAGCCGCCACCAAAATGGTTGCTTCATGGCTCGCTCGCTCCGAACCACCGTTAGGGCCTGAGGTAGTACAGTACATGTTGGATGCAGACTCTCACACCTGGAGCATGAGAAAAAGCAAGGCTAATTGGTTTCGGATTGTAGCTGTTCTTGCATGGGCAGTCGGGTTGGCGAAATGGTTGCATAATATCCGGAGATGGAAAAACCCAGTTACAACAGTACTGGTTCATCTCTTGTATCTGGTACTTGTTTGGTACCCGGATTTGATTGTCCCAACCGGGTTCTTATACGTGTTTCTGATTGGTGTGTGGTATTATAGGTTCAGGCCCAAAATACCAGCGGGAATGGATATTCGGTTATCTCAATCGGAGTCAGTTGACCCAGATGAGTTAGATGAAGAATTTGACACAATACCAAGCTCAAAACCACCAGATATAATTCGGGCAAGATATGACCGGTTACGGATTTTGGCAGCCCGGGTCCAAACAGTATTGGGAGATTTTGCGACCCAAGGAGAGCGGGTTCAAGCATTAGTAAGTTGGAGGGACCCAAGAGCGACAAAATTATTCATAGCGGTGTGTTTGACTATAACCATAATTCTTTATGCAGTACCACCAAAAATGGTTGCTGTGGCCTTGGGATTCTACTATTTACGGCACCCAATGTTCAGGGATCCAATGCCACCGGCTAGCTTGAACTTCTTCCGGCGGCTTCCAAGCTTATCGGATCGGTTAATGTAGATTTGGTAGAGTTGGATATAATAAAAATTATATAATATAGTATTTTTATAGTAGTAGTGAGAAGAAAGTAAAATTTTTGGGCACCAATCAAGAGGGAACTATTTTTGAGTTGAAAAATAAGATTATGATTTATTATTATTATTATTATTATAAGGTGGGGAAAGTGGGGGATTAAAAGTAAAAAAGTGGCAAGCTGGCATAATGTGTCTTTTACATTTTTCCTAATTGAAATTTGATCGATTAAAGGCTGGAAACTTGAAATGAGAGAAAGGAATGGGGAAGCAAAGACAAGAGATCGATTGATGTAATGGTGTCGCGGAAAGTAGAAGCATGGAATTGCTTTCTAACCTATAAAACTGTAATGTTAACTATTTTTCTGTTGTTCTAATTTATTTATGTATGTTGAAAAATCTCAATGTAGGGCACTGGGCTCTGAGAGCAGCAGTTATCACTTGCTATATGTTGAAAAAAATAGAATAAAATTTACTTTTATATAGTGGAGTGGAGGGGAGCAATGTACGAAAAACAGGGTGAAGCCATGAGCCATGCAAGGTTGGCAATTGGCAGCTTTAGGACATTGTTTTCAAAAAGTTTGACTTTAAGGACATATTCGTATAGTAATTCCCAGTCCACTTACACATTAGGCCACAAAACCTGAAGAAAAAGCCTTTCAATAGGGCTTATACAGATTCACCAACTTCAAAACGGACAAACATCTTAGATTGCTGCTGGCCTACCCTAAGGGTTATTACCCTTAGCGCTCACTATCAAGGATGCTCATTTTTCATTCCATCCAGCAATCACCGTATGATGAACATCAACGCACTTCGACCACTAGACTAAACTGTCGTGGGTCAAAAAATTTTATTTTTATTAAAGCTTCTATCATCCCACAATTTTATGGCTCTAGGACAAATTATTGAACGTTGGGATTAGTATAAGTTATTGTAATCTAGGATCATAGGTTGATCGCAGGTTTAAACTAGTATAGCATAACCATTAAAATAATTAACATAATTGCTTGAAGGAACCATTTGTAATTGTACTTAAATCATTACTGAAGATGGTTATACGACAGCCATCCCATCTCAAATCATGATTTAAAATGATTTGAACCATTTCCTCTTAAATCATTATTCATTTTAATTATTTCTACTAGAATCATGACTAGAGATGGTTAAAATTATTACCATAACGTTTCCATTCTCCCTCACGGGTCTTAATAATGGAGACCCACCCTCATAAGCATTAATTATTATAAACATGTTAAAATAAATTGAATGAGGTAGAAAAAATAATTATAAGAGATATCGATTCAGAAAAATTAAATAATATCCATAGAAAATAAAATAAATAAATTGAAAGAGATTTCAGAATTTGTAAATTCTGACTTCATTTAGACATTGAAGGTGGAAAAAAGAAAATAATTTCATGAAACATAAACATTATTGTCCTTGGATTAATCCTAAGACTCAAAACCACATAAAAGAGAAGACCAGGTCATTTGATTAATAAGAAAACATTAAAATATCTGGTGGGTATACATAATTCTCGCAAAAACAAATTAACACCATCCTTTAATTATTTGGATTAAAGATTAGAGCATATATAAATAAATGCTTCTAACCCTTAAGCTAAAAGCACTACTGTTTGTGTAAAGTAAAAAAGCCTCCTAAACGACAATTCAGATTCCAGGTTTGTCATTCAATTAACTAATTTTTTCTGTTTCTTTCATTTTTAATTGTGAAAAAATAATTTATATATAGATATCAAAATGCATATGTTGTTTGGTTTATTGAGTGGAGCCATATACCGGATTTAGAGATTCAAAACTTTCGGGTTTTTCGTGCAAGTTTACGTAATTTCTTTTTCCATTTCATCTGTTTGTTGTGATTGAAATTTCAATTATTCCCTTTTTTTAATTTTTTTTTTGGTTCTAATCAGACTAAATGGGAGAGACAGAGAAAAATGACGATAAAATTGAAAAGAAGAAGGACAAGCATGAGAAGAAGGAGAAACGCGAGGACGGCGATAAAAAGGAAGAGGGAGGAGATAAAGAGAAATCTAAAGACAAGAAGAAGAAGAAAGATAAGGAAAATAAAGATAAGGAGGATAAAGAAGATGATGGAAAAGATAAGAAGAAAACTAAGAATCCTGAAGATAAGAAAGACCCTGCCAAATTGAAGGCTAAGCTTGAAAAGCTTGACACCAAGATGAAAGAACTAGCTTTGAAGAGAGAAGAAATTGTCAAACTCATTCAAGAAGTTGAAAAAAATCCTCCAAAACCTGCTGAATGAGCTGCTTCGCCAACTTCTGTAATTTTCTTGAAGTTTCCTGCAGAGATGGAAAATTAGGAACTTATTAGTTTATATGATTAATGATACAAAAATTAATTAATAACACTGCACCTGCTGTATATAGCTGCAGCAAGAGTGATTAACTGTAAATAAAAAGAGAGTAATCCATCTCATAATTTAATTAACTTCTGTTAGAAACTTGAATAATGGAGAACAAATGGAATTCCAATTTCTGATAATCTATTTCAAGAAATATTGTAAAATAGAGTCTGTAAATATAACAAAAATAGATGTTAGAAACTAAAAATGGGAAAATAAGAAATTAATTATATGACACTGAAAAAAAAATGAAAAATTAAGAAAAATTTTGCAGATTTTTCCCTTGGGAAAGAAAACGTCTATGCGCATATTCAAAGGAGGGAATTAAACTCGTATATTAGACTCAATTTCCACAACGCCAAATAATCCCAGCAATATCAGCTCTAAGAAACTCATTAGACTTTGAAAAAAGAAAACTTTAAAATACGAAAACCTCTAGAATCTGAGACTGCATCTTTCAAGATAGAATCCGCTGCATAATTAGCTTCAGGAATGATATGAACAACTCCAACTTGCCAAGGCGTATCCAGCAAATGGAAACATCTTAACTTCAATTTGATAACTTATGTAGGGAATGAAGCCTAGTCCGGGAGCAATGCAATAGCATTCAGAGAGAGAGGAGTACAGAATTGCATTGGTCACGGACCAAGCCTTATTCCTAACATTGCAATTATCTAGTAGCAAATTACTTGACCCATCCAATGATCTATAGCTCCTTGCTATATAGCACAAAATTTTCACTACCAAAAGCACTGCCATGACACAGAAGGTTTAACCAAGGTTCCATGTACCCCCATAAGGAAATATTAATCATCTTGCGTCAGAATTTTAAAAAGTTTTTATTTCCTTAAACTATGATCATGCTTGTCGAATAATTTTCAAGAACGTATAAAAATTATCTTCTAAATATAGTATTGATTCGAAATAATACAACGGTGAAAGAATTTATTCATGGCCTCCACCCACACCCATTTCATATGGGTTGGTCAGGTGATTGATTGATTAATTAAGAGAAATTTTCTAATACCCACTTTGGGATTAGTTTCCATGGGAGAGGTGCAAGATTCATGGTATTTATATGTTCATGATGTTACTGAATCAAATAGCACCAGCACATTGCATTGCACCTAGGACCAATTAATAATTAATTGATGCACCACTAATGTCCCCTCGATTGGAAATTAGAGATCATCATTGAGATTATATATTGTTTTTTTTTTATTATTATTTAAACAATGATTTAATAGCTAGTGATATTGGAATATTTTGTAATGGGAAGTGGACAATCTTGCTTTGTAATTTGATTTAATCAGGAGTTTGTTTAAAAGTGCCAAAACCCATGAATCTCTCTCTTTTGCTATGTTTCATACTAAAATTTCAGTGGGAAATTTTTTTTTTTTGTGTCAGGATTCAGGAAAGACATTTTTCCTGTAAAACGAAAAGTTTTCCCCCGTCAAGCGGAAACTTTTCTTATCCTTTTCAAATGATCCAATCAGAGAAAAGGACGATGAAGTAGCCCCGAAAAACAGTAGATAATGATGGCACCCAATTGAAATACCTGTAAAATCTCTGATACATTTCAAATGCATGTCAAAATCACGCTATTCTCTCATCTAAAGTCCAAAATTTCTCTGTGTGGGTTTTCCTTTTACAAGAATTAGGAGTAAGCTTCATTTTTAGATTGAAAATTTGCCATTGATTTTCAAAAGTTGTACCTCATTTGAATATATTCTTATGGACTGTATTGTATAACAGATGCATCATTATGGCATCATCCCCAGGTCATAAAAATTGTCTTCTGTCATAAAAAATATATCCTGATTATTAGATTTGGTTAATAATAATCCTATTTTACGTATCAAATTAAGCCTTACCCTTCTTATTTATTGGTTCAAATAGGATGGCAACAACAATCAACTAGGTGAGACATACGGTCAGACCGTACTTGTGGTACTTGCTACTGATAAGGACTACCTGTATTCCTGTACTTAATACTATAGAAAGAAGGCAAGTTTTTATGTACTGTTAATGTACTATAGCTTTGTCTTAGTTTGCAGTATTTCTTGGTATAAATTTCTGCCCTGTCTCTATCCTCAAAATGCAGATGAAATGACTGAAACTCCAGATGAGAAAACTTTACAAAGAGTAGCTTCAATGTGCCATAATCGAAGTTGAAGGGTTCTTGGAAGTTTCACTTTTCTACATATGATGTGTGTTTGTTAGTACGAGGAAACTTCCTCTTTGGCTCCCTCTATCCATTATCAATATATTTTCCTACTCTAGGAAATTATACAGGTTAAAAGAAAATTTTAACTAGGGTTTTTATTTAAACTTTTAATAAAAAATGAGTAAAGGTCCAGGTTTATACCAGGATATTGGCAAGAAGGCCAGAGGTTATTCACTTGCTGTCTTTCTTTCTATTACATTGTATTTTAGAACTTTAAGTTTCTTGACAAATTACTTATAGATCTCTTTACATTTTTGTTAGATCTTCTCTACAGAGATTATGTTCATCAATCGAGAACCCATTTTCAGTATCGAGACATCAAGTGGAATTTTGACGTCTCCTGCGAAAGTAATGTACTTCTTCTTCGACTTTTAGCATAACTAATCTTCTTTTTATATTCAGCCATTAATTGTTATTTCTTTATCATATGTCTGCAGGCTATTGCACGATATAACTTGCATTATATTTCTGACTTTTCATCTCAACTTTCTGCATGTGTTAAATGGATCTGAACATCCTCTTTTAGATTCAACAATTGGAAGTATGGTTGTATTACCTCAGGACTAGGTAAATGAGTTAATGATCTAACAATTGACATGTCGTTTTCTGTAACTATTACAGCGCCAGAGATTTTGCCAGGAGTCACAACACTTTTCAGATTTATACTCCCTGAAGCGGGCAAGGTAAGAAAATTGTGTCAACTTATTCATCCAAACACCTTTGTTCATATTGGGACAAATATAGACATCAAGTTTACAAGTCCTCTGAAGGCAATGTTGGCTGCAATAACAGGTGGAACTGAGATTCTTGAATGAATATTTTGGGATTGCAGCGGGCGTCGGAGTGAAGGCATATGATGAAGGACCCTTTTTAGGAAATGGATATACCCCAGTTGTAAACTTATCAGGAGTAGCAGGAAACACCCTTTTCTCCCTTGGAACTGACGTTTCCTTCAATGTCTCAGAAAGGACATTTGATGAATTCAGTGCTGGTTTGAGCTTCAACATGCCCTTCTTTATTTCTGCCTTGAACTTGTGAGCAATCCTGTAACTGGTCAATAAAGAATTCTTCCAGGATGTGGAAAACAAGATTCAAATTTTTACTCTCTGTGCATTATCAATCACATTATAAGTAAAAAAAAAAAGGCTAATACTCTGGCATGTATAAATCGCAGGGATGACAAACTTGATGCTGTTAAAGCTTCCTGTCATTACACATTCAATCCCCTGACGAGGACTGCCATTGCAGCTGAGTTGAAGCATAATTTTTCGTCAAGTGGAGCAACCACAATTACAGTCGGTGCACAGCATTCCTTGTTTCCCTTTACATTGATGAAAGCTCGTGTTAATAGTGATGCCAAGATAGGCGGGCTTATTCGGCTGGAAATGTGGGAAAAACTTCATTTAGCTCTGATCGGAGAGGTGGATTTCAGAGCTCCAGACAAGATTTCTAAGATTGGAATGTCTATGGCGTTCAATCTCTAAAGCAGTTTCACCTCATAATACATACTACCATTTTGAGATTATGGAAGCCTCTATTCCATCAAAATTTATTTATGGGTCTGTATTACTTTTCTAATACAACAAATGTGAGTGAAATATGTATACAACATACAGAAAGCAAACATGAAGAAGGGCAACTTTGCCAGTTATTTTTATGTATTGTAAAGGACTTATCAACTTAAAAAGAAATAAGATTGTATGTCTTAAATTATTGAAATCTACGAATTGTTTTAACTCTCTTATTCATCATAATCCTGAAAAGTTACTTTTTTTTTTTTTAATTTGCAAAAATAAATAAAACTAGTCCATGAATTTAATCTCTATTACAACCAAGAAATTATACAAATCTGTAGATCCTCAATCCAAACTGTCTCTAGATCCTTTGCTCAGGTTATTGATAACTTTGATATTTTTATTTTTATTTTCTCATATTAAACAAGTATCTCAGCCTGCTAGGCTAAGAATAGATATTGTTTTCGTCGGGTCGACGTTTTTAATAATTGTTTACTTCGTCCATGAAAATCAAACTATCAACTTCACCTAAGGAAAAAAAATTGAATCAATTATCTCAACACTCATTGGTGTAGCATCAATAGTTTTTGATTTACATTAGCATGCATCAAACCAATCAACACCACAAAAAAAAATTGCAGCTTTAAAAAGTAAATACAAAACCACGATCACTGGCAACCGCTTAATAAAAAAAAATCCACAAAGCTTTGTTATTGCGACAGTATGTTTGCAATTTACAATACAAAGGTGAATATGTTACTATGCTTAAAGCTTTTTGCACTAGACAACTATGAACAAAGGCAGCAAAAACGAGAACAACTATCCACAGATTTCTCACATAGGAAAACATCAACCAATAAAATATTTGCAGACAAACAAAAGCTTGCTTGAGCCAACACAAAACCAGAAAAAACTTGAAATGCAGTGAAGTTATTGGTGGGCAGTAGCCTGAAGAAGTCCATTGCGAATCTGAGTAGCAACATCAGCAATGGCACCAGGACCATGGGGAATGAAGACAGCAGAGGATTTAGAGGCTGCGCCAATTTCCTTCATTGTGTCAAAATATTGAGTGACAAGGACCATATCCATGACATCTTTTGCAGTGGTTCCTGGCACGTTTTCAGAGAAGCCCAGTACACTATCCCTTAACCCATCCACAATTGCTTGTCGCTGGCGAGCTATACCCAGTCCAGCAAGATACTTTGCTTCAGCCTCACCCTCAGCTCTCTTAATCTGTAGAATTTTCTCAGCCTCTGCCTTCTCATTAGCCGCCACCCTCAATCTTGCAGCTAAGAAAGCAACAAGTTAATCAGAAAAGCAACAAGCTCCAGAAAAACTGAGGAGTTTTTTTACTCTAATTTTCAATAATAAATAGCATGAATAATGTGATAATTAGCATTCTCAACGCCAAAAAGCTAATGATATAACCCAGTCAATGTAAGTCTACATCCCAGCAGATTGTGTATAGTATGCATGCATTGTAGCGCTAAAATAGTTGGTATTGATAGGTGCACATCTAAATACCGAGAGAATTTCTTAGCAGACTAGAATTAATCAACTTGATACACTAAATGCTATACCTGCATTTATTTCATTCATTGCCCGCTTCACATGCTCATCTGGTTCTATATCAACAATAAGTGTTTGCACAATCTCATATCCATAAGCAGACATAGCCTGCCAGAAATTATTAAACACAGGAATGTTACATATTTATGACAATTCACAACACCTTCATCACTGACTACATGTGGTTCATTTTCACAATATGACAAAACCCGCCAATTTAGGGGAATATACCACAAGTTTATCTTTTATCAAAATAAACTCTACTTTGCAAATCTCTTCCTTGGAGGTTTAGAGCAAGCCCCATTCTTTTTGTGGATAAGATAAAGTAGAAACAAAGTGACCAGATATGCCATAAGGTACCAAATAGTTTATAAAGTATATACCTTCTCAAGTTCGTCTTCCACAGCCTTGGCAATATCATTCTTCTGCTCAAAAGCATCATCCAAATTAAGTTTTGGAACACTTGCCCTGATTACTGAAAAATTGTTACGGAAAACAAGCTCAGCTTATCATATGTGCTATAAAATGAATTAAAAATTAAATGTCAAAAGAAGAAATAAACGTCTTTAGGTGTATATAGACTAGTTTAACCATCAAAAACATAGGCCTGGATTTGACTCCTTGTGTTGCTGAGCTTGTAGAAAGCATCACTTGCTTTATCAGCCAGAGCACGGTATTGAATAGAAGCAACAACAGTAACAAATACATTGTCCTGGAATAAATGAAAATAAGGATCAGTAGGCCTTGGCTACCAACAAAGGGCCTATTGTAACAAAAAATTCAGCTATTGGAACAATTACAAAACCGAAGACTGTGTCATGCATTATTTGCTGTTTACTGTTACCTCTCTAATCCCAATAGAAAAATAAAACATACTAAGATGGATAAAACAAAAGGCGTTGTAAGAATAAGAGAATTATAATGGATGTAATGCAACCAAAAAAAAAAAAGCGAATCATAATTCATTCCAAATTCTAACAACAGAAATTGCCCCTCCTCTTTCCTCTAGACCTTTTATGTGCCTGAATTGGTTAAATAACAGCACTTTACAATATTAGAATAAAGGGACCACTGGAGGGGGGACTTAATACCAATATCAAAGCACTCAAAGATATAAAATATTGAAAATCATCACTACTGGAAAAGCACAAACCTTCGTCTTGGTCTCACAACGGACATCCAACTGCTGCAACCTCAGTGACAGATGACCAGCAAGCTGGCTTCCAAGAATCCAAGGTAGGCAGTGGCATCCAGGATCAAGAACTTCATCAAACTTCCCAAATCTCTCCCTGATAGCAACTGTTGACTGATCAACTTGAACACAACAGAGCAGATTACCCATTTTCTCTACACTTCAATACAACACAGAGAAACTTATAAGTCAGTAAGAAAGGACTAAACAAGCAAAAAATGTCTAGAACTTTTCTTAAACCAGTAAATTGAATCAATAATATTCTCATCAACATATTTTACTAGACAACATATAATCTACAATGGCGAAATCACAAAACTTCATACATTCGGTCTCAAACTGAGTGTCTTAATTATGGTGCTCAAACAAAAGTATGATTATGGTGACTCGATTTCCTCAAAGTGGCTCAATGTCCCATATGAAATAATCTATATTCCAAAACAAAAATCATCATTATAAAATCAGACACACAAACAAAAGGTTACATATTTTTCCACTTCGATGAGAGTGGGACACAGAGAGAAATAAAGTTGTAGTTTAGGCCAATAATCTCTACAACAGAATCAAGTTTTGCTTAAAAAACGAAGCACCAGGGACCAAACTTTTGATAAAATCTTCATAAAAAATCAACAACATATATTCTAACCCATTAGTAAGAACTCAGCTTTTTTTTTCTGATAAATTACAGTGAACATGAATATGATCAGGTAAAAGATGGCTATACCAAATATAACTTTGGAGTGGTAAGTTAAAACAAGTTGGATAGATGATTATAGAACCCAAATGGATTATCAACCAGCCTCGAGTTTAATTCAAACCAGCAAATATTTGTCTGCATATGTTTGTGCAAGTAATTTTAGGAAGAAGAGACTTACAAATAATAAGCAAACAGAAGGTCAATGCGCCAGAGAATGATAGGAATCACAACTCAGACCAAAGAACTTATAGATAATTCACAAACAATCACAGAATTGCATATGTCATTTACTATGTCACAAGAGAGACTGATCCTAACAAAAGATAAATATTGTGTGCTGGCAACTCAAAGTCAACATATAATCGAGGCCTTGCAATTTTATAGATAGCAACTATGAATAGACATAAATTTTTTTAAAATATCTGAGCTTAACAAGAAGTTCCCTTCTTTGAAAGGAATTTAAAGAAAAAATATCCACTGTGTATGAATTGAAGATACCAAACAAACTATTATATTGATACAACTCGGTGGTTGAAGTCAAAACCTTAAAAATATCGTTTTAACATTAATACATGGAAAATGCAGCTAAACAGCGCATTGTCTCTATCAACTGACAAGGCAGAAGTAATTAGGCTAAACTCTGAATATGTCATAACAATACCATATAGAAAAGTATTTGCCGTCTTAAGAACGGAATAAGAGATGGGGTTTCTTGGATTTTGCTAGATAAGCTCAAGAAACTTTCCGTTTACATTCATAAATTAAAAAAAATAATAAATAAATCAAACGATACCCATATCAGAATCCAGTGGAAAAGGGGAATAGTAAAAGAAAGATGTGAAGTGAGGAATCGAAATACCGAGGAGATGAAGAGGCGAAGAGAAAGTTTATACCTTTGATTTGGAACGATGCGATTCTTGTAACAGAAGGAACCCACAAACCGATGCTTATAGCAGAAGTAATAATCTACAACAAGTGATATTGAATCAGGAATCCGGTGCCGTAAAAAGGGGTCACTATCAACAGCTCAAGCACACGGAAATGGCCAATGAGAGAATACTATGACCCATCAAAGACTTACCTATTCGTCGTAATAAATAGAATATTTAATAAAAATCAAACTCACAAAAATATCAGTTTAAAAGAAATTAGTTGTATTGATTCTGGCATTTAAAAAATAATTTGATATCTTAATAATTTTAAAAATTAAATCTTCCTCAGCCAAATTAATTATTTTGATTATTCTCAAAAAAAAAAAAAATGATCATTCATTGCATAGCGCGTTCCATCAAAAGTAAAAAGAAACAACGTTAATAAATCATTTCCTCAAATTCTGATGAAATTCTTAATATTTAATTAAAAAAACCATGCACCTTCTTGAATTGGGAGTTATTTCATTCGATTGTTTGTCCATGAATAGACGACATACCGTTGTCCATGAATTGGGAGCTCGTTGTTCCCTGGCTCCTGTCGTTTGATTGAAGTAATAAAAAAAGGCCCACGAAGTGGCCCAATACCTGTAAACCTTTAATTAACTCATGAAGACAAGCCCAAATGAATGAAAGGTCTATTTCAAATTTCGCAGGCCTTTGTAGGAATAATGGCCCTCCGTCCATTCTACTGGGTGCAGATGGCACTGCTTTTTCGTTCGACGGATTTTTGTTCGTGGGAAACGTTTTGCAGATAAAATAATCAATGGAGCTCTCTCTCCCGCGTTTCACTCGTGAGTCCATCCAATCTTTTTTTTTTGTAAGCCTAGTAATTAATTATATGTAAAATGATTAAAATTAAAAACATAAAACAATTTGGGGGCTATGATTATTGGAAGTTAATTAAAATTTATGACAACTTCCTTAAATTTAAAATTTTAGGATGTGATGGCTGTCTGTATGTAGTAATAGTAGTGCAACTCTTTTTGACTTCCTTGCTGAAATGATTGTACAACAGGTTGTATTTTGGACTCAAGTCTTTGGTAGTGGAATCATTTCCAAGTTCATTATTCATATATATACATTGCATGCCATGAACTACCCCACTAAAATTGAAATTGAAGACTTTTCCACTACAATACAATATAATATTTTCTAACTTTGACATGTTGGGTTGAAGAAAAACTTTGCCAGCAATTGCTTTTGCAAATCACAACATTTCATAGTTTGCTCTTACTATCTATTCTGCTCGGTGAAAATTACATCTTCAAGAGTAAAAATATAAGTTTAATCTTCAAGAAATACATTTTGAGAGAGTTAAAAACTTTTACGTTTTATAACTTAAGAGAGATAACATCTGTAGATAAAAATAATATAGAATATTTAATTATCTAATATTATTTATTATCAGTGTCAGTTGACTGTTATACGGGAGATTAAATTATAAGAATCACAACATAATTAGCGGGACATTAATTAGGATTGACTTTGAAAAAATATTGCAAAATTGCTAGCTAAGGGACAATTGGGTAGGGAGGTTGGCACTTTCTGTTAAAGTCAACTTGAAAAGGAAATCATTAGAATTGCATCAAAAGATATGATTTCATAAGTGCTTAACCAACGAAGTTATCTTAGTCTTTTTAATTCGTTTATTAATAAATAATTTAGTTCACGAATGGTATCTTTGTCTTTCATATATATATATATATATATATGTATCTTCCTTTTTGAACTGTATTTCTGTTGTACTTGTCTACTAAAGTCAACTTAATTATTCTTAATTGTTTTGATTTGCATATGGTTTTGCGAAGATAATTAATTTAGCATTCTATGTGCTTACTTATAAAATTAGATGTTGTTTAATGTTTAAGGGTCATGCTTACTAAAATCCAACTTGCTCTCAACCTCTGAAGAATAAAATTCCATAAAAAAACAAAATTAAATTTTATTTTTGGGAGGAAAGGGAAACATACATTAAAATATATAGATAGCATTAGTTTAGTTTCTCCAACCTTCCCAACCAATAATGGCAGCTCTTGTGGGGTGATTAGCTGGACAAGGCCTATTTATTAATTTAAAAATATACATTCATATTGAAATTAGTTATAATATCTTAATGAAGAAAACAAAATATTTATTTATTGTGAATTAATTTTATAAACATAACTTTTAGTGAAAGATGTGAGGGCAAATCAATTAGCTAATGAGGCTGCTTTTCAGTTTGTTTAACTTATATTTCATATGGTTGGATAAATATAGTTCATTGGTCAGTAACTTAGATCCTGAGAATTCAATTAAATATAATTTTTTATTTAACAGTAAAATAGTATTAGGAAATTAAATATTCAACTTCAGACATCATGAAACTAAACTTTGATGGAGTTGACTATCCAAATTATATTTTGATTATTATTATTATGAAATAGTAAGTGAAACCATTTTCAACGTTTGTGGCATAGTGGACCAACAACAATATTATAATCACTTTCTTGCCCTTGTATTTCGCATATAAATTGTGGCATAGAGTCAAATAAGCTGAAGACGGCAAGAGCCTACGCAAAGTGCAGGCAGCCAAGACATGATTAAGCCCACCTTCATCCTCCTTCTTTTCTTGGTAAGTTTATTTTTTATATAAATGATATACGAAAACTTCTACCCATGAATGTTTTTATGATCGTTTGGAAAATGTTTTCTGTATCGTTTTTTTATATAAAATACTGTTTTTTCGTGTAAAATTATATTTTAAATGTTCACATTTTTTCATTTTCATTTCCGTACAACATAACTTGCTCAGAGTAAGAATGATTATATTTATAAAAGCACTATTTGGTATTCTTAATTTGACCCATATGTTGGTATAGTTTGTGAACCTCAACCATGGAAGAGAGCTGCCGGAGGACTACTGGAAGAGCATAATGAAAGAAGAGCGAATGCCGGAAGCGATTAGAGATCTTCTTGTTGAAGGTCCAGAGGCTTCTCAACCTGCAGGGGCTAAAAGAATAAAGCATTTTGTTAAGGATTTTGACACAAGGTCTATTGCTGTTATATATCGGAAGCTTAGCGAGCCAGAGAAAATAACAACTGAGGATTATAAGAAGAAAGGAGATGAATATTCCTTTGTTGAGCTTAACAAGCCTGAGATGGAATTTCATACATATCATAGGGATCATAAACTGAAGATTTGAAAATATATACATATATGCATGAATTATTAATTTGTAGAATACTAGTTAAGTATCCTTGTTTTAGTGTTTTCTTTTTCTATATTTTGATAAATTTCTTTTCCTTGTCTTTTCTTTAATTTTCTAGTTTGCTTATTTGATGGTTCTCAATGGGACGAAATGATAAGGAATATTCAAAAACAGGTTTACAAGATTCCGCGTTGAAATACATAAAGAAACTATTCCATTAATCAAGATATACGATAAAGATCGTATCTGATTTTATACTTCTACACAAATATAATCTATTTTAATAACCACATATCAATTTTCAAAAAAATCCAAAGAGAGTTCATTCTTTTCACCTTTTTCTCATGAAATTTTTTTTATTATCAATCGACTTATTCTTAATACATATGATATTGTAAATGTGTATTCCATTAAATAAATGAAACTAATTTTTGGGTATAAACTTTACTTATGGGTTAGGATTCCAAATCTGAAATTATTATTATTGAAGATGTTTTATCTAATTACCACATTTGGATTGAAATGTAAAAAAAAAAAAAAAGTGCAAATTTGAAAAATAATAATAAAACAAAGATTTTGTTAACCAAAAATAAAATGTAGCAACGTAATTTTCACACAGTTAAAGAATCATATAGTTTGATTTTTCTAAAAGAAAAACAAAAGGATGATAAAAGAAAGATGTCCCAGATGGATAAAGCCATGAAGCCCATCATCAATACGATTGGTGGACTTGGAGATTACAGACACTATCCAACGTGGCAGTCGCATCATCAACAGAAAAACCATCCAATCCTTTCTCCCTCGATCTCTCCGTTTCACTCTTGTTCTGGCTCCATTATCCATCAATGGCGGTCACAGCACAACCATCCTCACCTGCTTTTCTTCGAGGACTCCAACGCCGCTCCTTCTCTTCCAACTCTCGCTTTGACCGCTCATTTCCTTTTAGACAGGCTCTCAAAATCGTCGCCATGGCTCCGAAAAAGAAGGTATGTAACATTTTCATCAGAAACCCTAAAAGTAATAAAGTTTTACATGTAATTAGATAAATTTGGTGTATACTTGAACAGGTGAACAAGTATGACGATGGTTGGGCGAAAAAATGGTACGGAGCAGGAATATTCTACGAAAGCAGCGAAGAATTGGAATTCGATGTGTTCAAGAAATTAGAGAAGCGAAAGGTTCTTAGCAACGTAGAAAAGGCAGGACTACTTTCAAAGGCAGAAGAACTTGGAGTTACTCTATCTTCAATTGAGAAATTAGGCTTGTTTTCAAAAGCTGAGGAACTGGGTCTGTTGAGTCTGTTAGAGAAGATAGCAAGCGTATCACCATCAACTCTGGCCTCCGCTGCGCTTCCCATATTAGTGGCAGCTCTGGCGGCTATAGTGATTATACCGGATGATTCGGTGGGGCTGGTGGCTGTGCAAGCCGTGTTGGCAGGGGCACTTGTGGTTGGTGCTGCTGGGTTGTTCGTTGGGTCTGTTGTGCTTGATGGGTTGCAAGAAGCTGACTGAGTTATATATTTGGACATGGTTTTGTTTTTGTTTTCAATTGGGAAGTTGCTTAGGAGTGGAACAAATAAGCGTGTAATTGTATGTGACGTAAGTATAGGGGATGGGAATTGTAGGTGAAAAAAGATGATGGCTTTTTATGAAAGATAGACTGGTTTTGCATTCATCATTTGGATCAAGAATCAAAAGATTTTCAAAAGATGATTTGAATCATATACAGTTATTTTGTTAATGAATTGAATTTGCGACGAGGCAATATAGAATTAGAAATTAAACAAAAATAAGAAATTAAACCAAAAATAACAAAATCGAGAATAGCTAAGCAAAGATAATAGATGGAGATGCGAGGTCTTGATCTCCATACCTCTCGCATGCTTATTGAGCGCTCTACTATCAAGCTACATCCCTTTAATATGCATTTATTTCTTAATAAAACTTACAGAAACGTGAGAGATGATGAAGTCTGGATATCAATCATAAAAAGGTAAAATGAACCGATCGAGCTTGGTTCTTTTCTAGATTTGCACTTTCTAACTCTCTCTCTTCTTTTACTCCTCTGGATTTCTGTGTTGGCTGCAATTCAACATCGTTTTTTTAATCACGATTGTTTCTTAAATATTCGAGAGATTAATATTTTTGTTGGTTTCCTTTGCTTAATGTTTATTCCTCAAACCATATTGCAATGACATGTCCATTCTCTCTGTTGTTTGTGAGCGACCATTCTATTAATTTTTTATAACGACAAAGAGGATCAGAGGAAGTAATTCGCGAATTGGTATTTAGAATTTCAACAACGAGTCGTTTTTGTCTGTCGTTTGCAAGCCAATAGTCATTTTGGGTGAACGACATTTGCGGAATCGGGGTTGAACTGAAAAAATTCAAAGAAAAATCTATATTTATTCTAGAACGACAAGTCGTCAATCTGATGAACAGACGATTCAAGAAGAACAGAGAGTAGAGATCGTTCGGTCACTCTTGCTCCTTATTCAATTTCTAATAAGTTATTGTCAAATCTTAATTGTTTATAAGACAATTTCTTTTTTTTTTTTTTTCTGGATTTTCTTTTTCAACATTATAATATCTCTGTCATTATCAAAGTGAAAATTAGATTTATTTCATTGGAAATTTGTTAATCTTCATTTGTCTTGCTTATGTGATAATGGCTATGGACAGAGAGACAGTTCTAAAATGTTCCTTAACCTTTCTCTTTTATTATTCAGTTGCCACTGGAAAAAGAAATTTAATTATTCCAATTCTGTTTTTAGAAAAAAAAAAACGAATGATTTACAAAATGATGATTGTTCTAGCAGTTTTTGAAATGTTCTATATTATACTTAAGCATAATATCAAATTCCATTTCACGTGTTAGTATGTTACGTTGTTTTTCAATTACTGCAATAGCTTTCAATTTAGGCTATTTGTTAAGTAGAACTCTCAAAATTGTATTATGCAGGCAAATTTCATTTGTAATCATATATTCTAATTAAAACTGTATAATTAGGAATCATAAATTATACAATGAGAGAACTGATACAATAATGAGTCTCTCTGTGTATATAGGGCAAGACAAGTACATCTCTCCACTGACTTGTAGAATCTGCAATTTGATTCATTTATATTTGTAGCGGCAAGCCCAGAAGAGATAATGCAAGAAATTTATTCCACTCATTATGCACATGAACCAATAAAATCGCTCGAGGTGATAATTGTTCAAGTTACTTCCAAATAGCCATGGAGTGTGGCCGTAGGCACTAGTCACAGCATTGACCATTGACACAAGCACAGAACTTAAGTAATATCCCATCGCAAGTGAAGCCCAAGATAGAGATGTAGCCAAAGATCTCATGCTCAGAGGTGCCTCAGTGAAGAACAACTCCATCATTCCAGCTAAGGTAAAAAGATCAGCTGATCCAAGGAATAAGTACTGTATTGCTATCCAAAGGAACGTTATTGGTAAAGGTTCAACAGAATCTATTAGTCCAGAATTTATAGCTACTTTCTTTCTCTTGGTTTCCACTAGAGCTGCTACTGCCATTGCTATAATCGAAAGAACTAGCCCTGTACCTATTCTTTGTAAATGAGTAATACCCATTTCAGATCTTGTTACCTTTCTTGCAAATGGAATTATAATATGGCTATAGATTGGTGCTAGGATCATGATGAAGATTACAGGAAAGAAGGGGAGAGATGCTGGCGGCATTTTAAGAGAACCAAGCTCGGTATCCATTGTTGATGCTTGTTGCACAGAAAAAGTAGAGAGCTGAGCGAGGCAGCAATTTAACATTATGGTAGACATAAAGATGGGAAGTATTCTTAGTACTATCTTAACTTCTTCTACATCTTTTACTGTGCACTGAAGCAGCATTGGGTTTATTGACTTGTTCATTAGTGCTCTATTAAGAAATTTGAGGCTTTCTGCTTGTGTTTGATTTGTTTCTTCCTTTTTAATATGAGCATCTTCTCCCTCACTGGCTTCAGTGTTATATGATGAACTTGTGTCCATACCCATAACAGCGTTGCTAGAATTTCCGGTTTTGCAAGTGTTGTAAATTGCTGCAACTACAACCTGCAGAAGTATGCAAATGAAAATGGATTATCTAGTGAGGCTATGTAATACTTCCTTGCAATTTCTGATGGTTTCTTGATTGTACCTTGAACATGGTTGTAATAGGGCTTCCTGCTGGAACTTTGTTCCTGTAAGTTGGAGATCCAAGGAGGAAGATTGGGATGGATAGAAGTATTGTCGCAGTGGAAATCCCAAAACCCCATTGCCAGCCTTTGTTGTCTTCAATCCATACCACAAGAGTGACTGCAATAAGCGCCCCAAAAGAAAGGCAGAAAACATAGTAATTAAAGAATGCTGATCTTTGCTTTCTTCCTTGTGGAGTACTTTCATCAAACTGCTCAGCTCCATGTGGTGGAAGTGAACCTTTTATCCCTCCAACACCTAGTGCCACTAGATAGAGACCTGCAAATAACATCACTGCTTTGCTCCGGCCAACCTGTTCACATGATGAGGTAATGCTGTTTGCTGGAACACATGGTTCTGGTTTCAATGAGGGAAGGCGAGCTTGGACTGTGAGTACTAAGAGGCCCTGTTTCATTGGTCAAGACATGCACAACATATGGTTATTATTGTGAACATCTTAAATTGCACTTTTTTTCAGTTAATTAGGATTCAACTGGCGTTGCAACTTGTAACCTCAAAGTCTTGAAAGCAACTTCAGAACTTGAAGTTATGCAATAGAGCATATGGACTGCTTGTGGTCCGATGATCAATTTATAACATGGCATGACTATAAGTAAAAGCCATTGTCATTAGAAAGTGGACCATAAGGCAGTGATAGAGAGAATTAACTTCTGCTAGACAAAGTTCATTTTAGCACAATCCGTGGGACCTAGCCAGTTGCCTGGAATATGATTGGACAATCAAGCACAATTTCTTAATTGTTTTCTTCTCTTATTGGCTGGCTGGTTGGGTTCCCTTATTGAAGGGAAACTCGAGCCTTATTGAAAATTATCGATACCGGTAGTAGGTTTTGATGCTAATCAGGTGGGGCTGCTATAACGAACATTGAAGCTTAAGATTGGCACATTTCTAGGTTCCGGACAAGTCATTTTTTATGGCTTGTCTTTCTTTAAGGACCCCAGAGATATTCCAGTAACAAGACCTACTAGTCTATGGTATAGGTCTTAATAGTATCCTCAAAAGGGATGTGACGGAATCACCTTATAGCGGCAACAATTATGGCTACTGTGCAGTTTGGTAATCATATTGCTACTTATAACATTTATGTTGCTTTCTTTAGAGAATTAGCGTATGCTAAGTGTTTGCTTCAGTGACAGAAAGAAAATTCAATTAGATCCTAGTATATGTGTCAGTAATGAAAGAATCAGAATGAAGCAGCTTTTTGAACTTACCATGAATTCTATTGTAGCACTTATCAAATAGATGCGGTATGTGGAGAAAAAAGCATCTGACAAAAATCCACCAAGTAAAGCAAGTAGAAAGGCTGTCCCCATGAAATTGGTGACAATGTTGGCAGAGCTGGATGGAGAAAAATGCATGAACTTTGACAAGTACAGCACAAGGTTACTTGCATTTGCCAGGTATGCTAGATTCTCTAGTACTTCCACAGCTATGTTTTACATATGAAAAAAAATCACATAATCAGTATTAAATGTATTAAGAAAATTTATTTATATGTTTATGTCTCTGTGCATGTTTGTGTGTTTTTCTTATACTATTCTATCGTTACTGAATTATCTTCTTCTTGATGTTTTTCCAATAACCAATTCATAAGTTATACTTGATATAAGGGGGAAAAGAATGTAAAAGATATTACCTAAGACAAAGGAAGCTGCAAGCATGCCGCCATGACGGCCGCGAAGAGCAGGCCTATTCTTCCAGTCTAAATAACCTTCCCATCTATTTAACCCGTTTGCTTCATCCTAAAATGACGAAGATTTAGTTAAAACACTTGTAAATTAAGTGGGAAAATGAACACAAAAGAAAGCGATGAAAATGGGAAATTATGAGTGGATATCCTACCATCTCTCCTTTTTTTTTTTTTTTTTTTTTTTTTTTATAGGGATAAAAGAATGTAAAAGATATTACCTAAGACAAAAGGATAGCTGCAAGCATGCCGCCATCGACGGCCGCGAAGAAAAGCAGGGCTATTCTTCCAGTCTTAAATTAACCTCCATCTATTTTAACCGTTTGCTTCTCCTTAAAAGATGACGAAGATGAGTTAAAACACTTGTATTATTTAAGTGGGAAATGAACACAAAAAGAACGGTGATGAAATATGGAGACATTATGAAGCTGTGGCAATTATTCTTACCATCTCTCTCCTCTCTTTTTTCTTTTTTTTTATATTCTTTTTTTAAAAAAATTATGGCGCCAGCTTTATTTGAATGATGCCAAATGCGTGGCATATCTGGTTATACAACTTGTGATTTGGGAATGATATCATTATTGTACTAGAGTTGTATAGAAGTATGGAGTCTTATATATAGGCAGAGAAAAATAGTAGTACCATTGCCCATGGCGGAAAAGGTATAGGGGATTTTATTTTTTTTTTTTTTTTTTTTTCTTTCTTAAAAAATTATGCAGCTTATTGAATGTTTGCAATGGTGGATATCTGGTTATACAACTTGGTTGAATGTATATTTTGAACTAGAGGGGAATAGCATATGGAGTCTTATTTATAGGCAGAGAAAATAGTGGTCCATCCCATGGGGAAAGGTCTAGACTTTATGAAAATGACTATTCACCTTCTCTCACTGTCAATGCTTCTGTTTTCTACCACTGAGAGAAGCAAAAAAAACAGGGCAATCGTGCTTTTATCTGGATCATATAGGTTCTTATGGCACATACCTAAAATTCCAGGAGGGTATAAAGTAAAATCCAGAATCAAAATTTTCCACCAATTGATTGCTTTGAGTTTTTATGTTCCTACTTGCTCTAATCTTTTTGCTTTAACCTTGTTAGATTAGGCTGAACTATTAGAATATGCATCATCAACCATGATACTGAAATATAATAAACTATTTTTTTAATGTGCATTTCACATTGTTTATACTCGTTATATATATTTGAATTTTGAATTTTTTATGTAATATTTTTTATTTAATTTTTTATTAAGGGCACGGAAACAGAAAAAGGACATGCAACATCACAGGAAACCATATAGAGATACACTAGTCTCTAAAACTATAGGATATGAAGCATTGAGGAAATGTTTTATATATATAAAAGCATATTTAGTTTATTCACATATTAATTATACTGAAAATATCAACTTTAGTATTCTAGTATAAAACTTAAAAATAACAGATTATAAAAATAAATAATTGAATATATGAACTTATTAATATCTTTCAGTAAAAAGTACATAAATAAATAAATAAATATATTATTTTGCCTTTGTAAGTCTAAACTCTTTAACAATAAGTAAAATGCACTATAGAGTTTACAATATATTATAAATACACTCCTCAAGTTTTCTAAAGCTGTTATAAGAGTTTCCTCAAGGTTTTCTAGAGTTTTTCAAGAGTTTCTGAAATTTAAAAAAATAAAAAAATTAATCAGAACATGGCCTCTTTAGAGGTCTCAGTGGATACTAGTTTACAACCAATTAACCATATATTGTTAGTTTCTGAATTTGATCAGTAACTTATTATATGAAGCAGATTTTCTAAAAGTGCATAAACTTATTTACATGAAACAAGAGTTGGTGTTAAAGTATTGTCTAAATTAACAATGCAAACACATATTTTTTAAGTGTCAACGAATGCACATCGTGATTAGATAATGGAAAAACGCTATTTGCATCAATATTTCTTTTGCCAAATGATTATATAATCTGATGTGGCATTATTTTATTCATCACAATCCTCTTTTTCAAATATATTATTTTCCTGTATAACCACTAAATAATATGTATGAATATTATTTTATCGCCCCATTATGCTGGACAATAAGTTGGTACGAAAAGTGTGGACACAAAGACCAATATTCTTAGATAATCTAAAAATTTTAGATGGAAATAAGCCATAATGGCATGAAGTTAACCTTGAAGTTGAGAGTACAGCTTTTGAGGGATGTCCCACAGGCCACAGCCACAGCCACAGCCACAATCACTCAATACAATAATGGTAAGGCCACTGTGTTCTAAAGCTAATCACAATGAACAATGCTGTCTACTTTGCTAAATTTCTGTATTATCCTATTCTGATCTTGCCTTAAAAAGGAAAATGCATGCCTTTTTTCTTTATTTTAATTAATGACCGACAAAGACTTACCCATATTTGTTGGATTCCTGTGGATGATTTTGGGCCTTTTGATTGCATCTCACTTCCTCATGTGATTGTCCTTCTTCTATGCTCTTATAGTGCTTTCATCAACTTGGATTGCACTGTTTTTGTTACTAGTAGAGTAATATATGTGAGAGTACTTGCTTGTTTATTCATTGGTTTGCCGGGTGGCATCAGTCTTCTTTCTGGGCCACCTGTAATTCATTTATGTCCTGTTCACTGAAATTTGTGGATAGAATTGACCAGGAAACCATGGTTTCGCTGCATGATCTTAGAGATCTCCAAATTGGGTGGCTAAAAGCCATTTCTTAAAGGGTCCTACCTGCCTAACGGTAACATTAATTCCCATATATTTCCACAAATTCTGTAGTTATACCCTTATTCAATTTGATCCTCAGGACCTTGATAAGAAGCCATGGTGTACTAGGAGTTAAAAATGGTGCTTGTTTCTCGGTTTGATGGAACAAAATTAGGACGTTCTTGATGATAAACCAATATGCAGATGAGATTGTAACCCTTACATGTAATAAATTTTGAGTCATCCATTTATCTTCAAACATGTTTACCTGAAAAGGTTTAGTTAAACATTAGTACCTGTTTGGTGTTCGTTCTGTTTTTAGTGTTATTGTTCAGTAGTAAAAAGTTGAATTTTGGAAAACGAGTTAATAGAACTAGTGAAAATCATCTTTTATAATTTTTCTTTGATGTGGCAAACCTGTTTTCATTTTTTTTTTTTTTAGAAAAAAAAAAGAAAAAGAAAAAGAACTTGAGTAATGTTGACTCCAGTTAGTGCAAGATAGGTTCTGATTCTCAATTAATATCTTGTGGATTATAGACTATATCCTACCTTGGTGGCGGCTACTGGAGGAAGGAATGATATACATAATACACTACAATGCTTACATATATCTATTCTGTCTTAGAATATTCCTCTTACAACTCCTAAAGTAGCTCAAGTAGTGTGATTGAAAGATTCCAATATCGTTTTTAAAGTTTTGAATTGTTACTTATGGAAATTGAAATGGAGCTCTTCTGTTGATTCCAAATATTTTCTCTCTTTTTATCTAAGGAATGTGCATGGGTTAGTATTTCTCTACGCCAAATAGGTTTGTCTACTGTATAAGAACTTTCTTTTATAAAAACGGCATTATCAGTCATTAAATTTAAAATTACATTTATCTCAATACAAATATATTGATAATAATTACACTTATATTTAATACAAACTATAATATAGTGTTCTATGACATTTCATCCCTAACCAAGTATATTTATCTCAAATTAAATTCATATCGATTACAAATAATTTTTATTTTTCTTTTTATTTAATTGTAAAATAGCTATTTTTTCAGATATTTTTTAAGAAAAGGGGTGATTGTGGCCAAAGGGAAACTCAATCTTCTTTCCCTTTGCACATTTTCCAGTATATGTTGCTGTTTAGGTATGTATTTCTTTCATTCATGTCTTGATAGATCATAGAAGTGTAGTGTGGTGGGTGTGGCTGTACCGGCAGTGCTGAGCTGAGGTCGAAATTGGAAGTTATGGAAGCTAAGAACAGAACTCTAGTTAACGTATCTATTAAATCACATGGAATGGTGGTGGGTCTACAGCCACTTCGGTCGTATTTGGCCGACCACACATGCTTTAATTTTCTTCTCTCTTTTTATTTTTTGAAAAAACAAAATAGTGAGGGAAAAATTCAGTAGGTTTGAACTTCTAAGCTTAATTCTATAGTTAATGGCAGAAAGTTTAGTTATCCAACCTTTGTCTTGGAAATTTGATTTATAAATTGAGTACTGGACATAAAATTTGCACTATTCACGCTCAAATCGCTGAAATATTTTGATATTCGTATCCATTTTGAACCTATTTAAAATCTTTTCTGAAATATCTAATTAAGAATACCATTATCGCTATCAAGTATAGTTGTTAAATCTAAATCGAAATTGGAAGTTATGGAAGATCTAAAGAACAGAATCCTAGTTAAATATGATCTATTTAAAATCTCAACATGCGATATGGTGTGGGGTCTACAGCAAACTTCGGTCGTTTTTGGCCTACCACACATGCTTTAATTTTCTTCTCTTTCTTTATTTTTTGAATAAAGAATAAATAGTTTTAGGCGTAAAATAAATTCTAGTAGGGTTTGATTTACTTCTAAAGCTAATTCTCATAGTTAATTTGCAAGAAAAGTTTCGCTCATCTCATACCTTTTCTTGTATATATTTTTGATATTTATTAAATTCGCAGTACTGGACAGTTAAAATTTTTTGCCACTTATTCACGCTCAATTAATCGCTGAAATTTTTTGTATTTTTCGTTATTCCATTTTGTAACCTATTTAAATCTTTTCTGAACTATCTAATTTAAGTGTTAAAACCGATTATCGGCTATCACAAGCGTTATAGTTGTAATAAATCTAAAGTTGATCAAGTCAGTCTTAACAGAAGACATTACAAAGTATGGTTGCTTGTTATGCTAGTCTTTTAAATAGAGGTAAGAATGCTGTTAATTTTTATTATATTGATATTTATGAAGGGGCGCACCCTAATTATACTGATATGGGTCTCTTGTCTCCGGAGGGGTACAAGTTACTCAAAAGCATTTTATGGCTGAATTAATTAGGAAAATGTGTACACCATCTGTCTATTATCATACATAGCTTAGGTCGGCATTCATCTCCATTCATTGTCTATAGGAGTCTGAGATGATAGTGTTCCCATTGGAATTCGCTATTTGTGATTCGGATTTTGTTCAGCACCGACCAGTAGTGTCACATCCTGAAGGGGACTGTCGTATCCATTACTCTGTTCGCGGCTGATCACGTGGACTTATCTTGCCTCTCTCGTCCATACTACTCTTGATCTGGAGAGATATTCTACAAGTGAAACGAAATAAAAGGCAGCACAAGTCATAAAAAAACGCCCCGTATACCTCAACGTGCGAAGCGGGAAACCTCAGAATCCGGGCGTGCAGAATTCTCTGATTCCTTGGACTTCCAACTTTTCTGGTCGCAAAAACATTTTCCTGGAAATCACGCGAGATCTCTGGCTCTGGTTCTCAGAAGATCTCGGCCGGAAACCGGACTGTGGAAACCGCCTCGGTTTTCCCCGGCGGTGTAGAACCGCCTCGGTTCGAAACAGGCAGGTTCCCATGAGTTATAAAATAACTGAATGAAAATGTCTATTTTGCGGGCCAAGCTCATGGGCTTATAGGCGACTATTGCTGTACTTGCTTTTCACCCTACTAGTGATGTTGGTGAATGATATACGCTTATGACAATAGGACATTTAGCCGTTGGGACACATTTTTGTTACATGAGTGACAGCTTTTTTTTTTTTTTTATTTAGTTTGTTATTTCGAAAATTTTTCTGTAAACAAAATATAAAATTTCACGTTTGAACAATTTTTTTTCTTTAAAAAAATATTAATTAGTTTCAGTTCTTTAAAAAAATAAATTATAATTTGATATAGTATTTTTTAATTTATAAGTGTGTATTTTTTAATTTTATATGATTTCTATAATATATATTATTTTTAATGATCAGGTCTTCAAAATTTAAAATTTATGCGATTCGCCCGCAAAACTGATCGAACCGTTCGGGTTTGTTCACCGGAATCGGAACGGACGATCCAAAACCGGAAACCGGACCTTTTCGGTTCGGTTCCGGTTTCTAGGAAAAAACTGGAACCCAGAAAACGTCCAGTTCCGGAACCGGATACCGTTGGCCACCCTACATTCTACAGTGTATGCATACTTTTAGAAATCTTTACCTAACCAATGTCGCCCATTTAGATAATGTCTTTTTGTCAATAAAGTCCATTGAACGGACCAAAACTGATCGGAACCGTCGGTTTTGTCACCGGAATCGGAACCGGACGGTTCCAAACCGGAACCGGACCTTTTCGGTTCGGTTCCGGTTCTAGAAAAACTGGAACCAGAACCGTCAGTTCCGGAACCGGAACCGTGGCCACCCCTACATCTGACAGTGTATGCATATTTTTAGAAATTTACCTAACCAATGTTTCGCCCATTTTAGATAATAGCTTGTCAATTAATCCATTGAAGGACAATCACATTTGACATTACAATACATTTTTTAAGTAAACAAAATAACTTAGATGTAATTATTAATTATAAGTAATTTAAACATTTTAACGCTAATATCATCCTAATTCAAATGTAATTTAATTCATTTGTGTAAGCACTTTAAAATTCTTTAATGATTCAAATTAAACCTTGTTGTTATATTATTTTATCACTTCAATAAACCTTGTCTCACCTCATCCAAACAAAGTCTAAAGGAGGAGAGGAAGTGAGTTTACTCGGGTTTAGCATTTTAAATAATTCTAATAATGGAGTGCTCGGTTCATAATTAACTGCAAGTATGATAGCCCTAAAATTGTTATCTAGCATAGCCAAGGCCCAAGGGCTAGAACACCTTCCTCTTCTGTTTGGAAGGTCTAGTCCAACATCAATTTTGGCAAGGAAAAAGAAGCCCAATACTGGTCACCATGGGCCACTTTATATTGGGCTTGAACAAATTTTTTTCAGTCCAAACTCAATTTGAATTAGGCCTGCAATGAGCATGTTTCGCTTGCAAATCGGGCTCACAATACCAACCAAAATCCGTAGGTACCCATCAGAGCCCATGGGTACCGGCTTGGTTTCAACTGGGTCTGAATAGAAGTTCTCAAAATGTTTTGGTCTCCTGTGTGATACGTATTGTTATTTTGAAAAATAAATATTGGCTCCATGCATAAAGTTGCTTTTAAATTTTAGGGCTTTAATCTGTGCATTTTAGAATTTTTGAGAGATTTGTCATGCCACTAAATAACAATTTTTAATAATAACTTGCACATTAGGTATGCGATTTTTAAATTTTAAGAGTCTAATTATACCTCTAAAGGTGCTTATTTATAAATATAAAAAAATTATATCTTAAGAGCTATTAATCCAAAAAAAAAAAAACTAGGCCAAAAAATATTATAAATACAGAAATAGTTTAAATTTGATTTTTGATAACTTCAACTTATAATCAGCATATGATTAAGATTAATTGGGGCAGAGCAGAGAGGCAACGTTATGAAATGTCAATAAAATCCAAAATACACGAGGGGGTGTGGGGCCCGATGAAGGGACCCATAAGAGGAATAGGTGGGGCCTGACGTGTCGCAAACTGAGCCACGTGGGCGGAGGTAGTGACCAAGTCAAGAAGGGTTTTTAGTTGGGATGCAAGAAAGAAAGCGACTTCGATTTGGACACAATTCTATTTTGTTTTTCTATTCATCTTCTTTTGCCTCGATGTCATCTATGAGCATCCCATGCACTCTTTCTTTCACTCTTTTGCCCTTTTCATATCATCCATTTTTTATTATCATAATATAAAAAATCTCTCTCTTACAGTACTTCAATTTAACATAAATATATTCAGATTCCTTGAATCCATTTATACTTCAATATTTTTACATTATTACCGATCAGGGACGATGTAATTAAACTTCTCGCTGTCGTAAAAATTTAAAAATTTTGAATTCAAAGCATCTCCATAATAATAATTTATTTATTGCATTAATTTTATAAATTAAATTTTGATGACAAAATTAACACGATAAACTATATAATGAGAATAACTATTTATTTAACTCGCAAAATTGATAAAAATTATTATAATAGATAAGATTTAAACTACTTGTGTATCATTTTAAAAATTTAACATCCTAATGTAGGAAATTTGAAATTTTATACTGAGAATTTTATTTTATTTTTTTAAGCATTACTTATTTGTAAAAAATTTACCAAATTATACAAGTTAAACAAAATTGATATTAAAAGATATGAAAGTAAAATATAATATAACTCTCTACAGAGAGTACATTATTATTTAAAAAATAAAAAGAGAGAGAACAATTTAACCTCGTGATTTTGAAGAAAGAGGTCACTGTCTGTCCAGATTGGCTCTGTTTTGTCTTTAGATAGGGGTATGTTGGTAATTTAAGCGACCATTTCCAATTGTCTCTCTTTGAGCACCCTCCTTCCTTTGCTCTAATTATAATATAACCCAATCAATCTTTCCCTTCTTGAGAAAGAAAGAAGGAGAAGAAGAAGAATCTCTCTCTGTCTGCGTTCCGAATTTCACACTTCTCAACTCTCTTTTACCTCTTCTTCCTCCTCAAAACAATCAAAACCTACCTCTGTCTCTCTCTCTACTGACAGACTCTCGTTTTTCCTGAGTGATGGGTGTGAGCTGCGGCAGATGCTCCCACACTTCTCACATCACTGAGATCATCATCACCAGCTTCTTTCGCCACAAATCTTAAACAATCCCTATTAACGAAAACAGAGTCTGTTCGTCGTGGAGTCTGGGTGCTTTGATTCTTTTGCCCAGGGCCGTGCTGGCAGCCTAAGAAACCTGTATTAGCAGGAATTTTTTTCTTTTCGTGTAAAAAAAAAAAAAAAAAAGGGGCCCGTTGGCTGGCAGCCTTAAGAACCTGTATTAGCATGTGGAATTTTTCTTTTTCGTGTAAAAAAACAAAAAAAAAAAAATGGATGGTCCGCTTGGTGGCTTGTTAGTTGCGTTTTCCGAAATTTTTTCACGTTGCACTTCTCTCATTAAAAGTCCAACAGAAGGTGTGTTTAATTTACTTTCTCTCAGTATCTGGATTGCTTCTCTTTTCCTATCTGAGTACTTTTCCTTCCTTGCTTAGGTTAACTCTGGATTTTACTATCTTTGCGCTTAGTTTGTTCTATTTTGAATAAACTTCTGCCTTAATTAAGTTCACAATCTAGTAAACTATTTGTTTATTTGGCTTTTTTTTTTTTTTTTTTTTTTTGTCAAATTTCCTGATATGCTATAGGTTGCATATGGTTTGCACGGACAACTTCTCTCTTCTGTACTGGCAATATAACCTTGAAGCTATCTTTACACTGAATTTCAAAATTTTTTTTTTTTTTTTTTTTTTTTCAAAGTTCTGATTATGCTATAGGTGCAATTTTGCACGACAACTCTCTCTTCTGATGGAATATAACCTTGAAGCTATTTTCATCTGAAGTCAATATTATATGTTTATAATATAATTCTACCTATATAATTAGCTAGTGATGCTTTATGATGGAAAGGTTAAATTTTTTTTTTTCTTATATTTACAATTGAGGGTGGAGGAAGAAAGATATGGTCAACATTTTTTCCACGACTGAATCTGAATTCATCAATGTTTTCCGGGAGGTCTTTAATTATGGAAATTTTGTTACTTTTATTAATATTTTTATATGATTGTTGCATTCTTTTAATAACCACGGTTGATCTCAAATTGTCAAATTGAGATCTGATAATTTAGATGTTTCTGAATCTGAAGCTCTTAAATCCAAGAATTATGAGTAACAAAATCAGTGTGTGTTAGCACAAAAGACTTTTGAAATTACACCTATTTGAATAGGCTTATGCAAATGGTTTTAGAAATGTTCATAATAATTTGCATATTGAGTTCTTGTGGCTGGTGAAGGTATTGTCTTTTAATCAATGATTTGGTACTCATTTAGGCTCAAGATCCATGGTGAGCTTCGAGGATGTTAATCAAGTAAATGGATCAACTCGGCCTTTTTTTCACTCATTTGATCACGAAGAGAATGGTGACGATGAATTGGATGAGTACTTTCATCAACCCGAGAAGAAAAGGAGACTTACTGTTGATCAAGTTCAGTTTCTTGAAAAAAGTTTTGAGGTTGATAACAAGCTTGAGCCCGAAAGGAAAATCCAGCTTGCAAAGGACCTTGGGTTGCAGCCTCGGCAGGTTGCCATTTGGTTTCAAAACCGCCGAGCAAGATGGAAGACAAAACAGCTGGAGAAAGATTATGAAGCGTTGCAAACTAGCTTTAATACCCTTAAAGCTGATTATGATACCCTCCTCAAGGAGAAAGATAAACTGAAAGCTGAGGTACTTTTTAAATTTTCCAATTTTGCTCTAATTTGGCTTTAGCATTGAAATTGAGCTTATTTGTGTATTGGTGCAACTTGCTTTCAGGTTAATTTACTTGCAGAGAAGGTGAAAGAGAGGGGGGACTCAGAATTGTCTGATAAAGACACAACATCTCAAGAACCACCAAAAAAGCTAGTTGGTGACTCAACGTCTGAGGGTGAAGCATCTAAAGCTTCATTTGTGGCCTGCAAACAGGAAGATATGAGCTCGGCTAAAAGCGATATATTCGATTCAGATAGCCCACATTACACTGATGGAGTTCACTCTTCACTTTTAGAAGCTGGTGATTCATCATATGTTTTTGAACCAGATCAGTCGGATTTATCGCAAGATGAAGAAGATAATTTAAGCAAGAGCTTATTGCCTCCATATGTCTTTCCAAAGCTTGAAGATGCTGATTACTCCAATCCTGAAAGTTTTGAAGATCATGCCTTCTGGTGCTGGTCATACTAAGTTGGTTAGTTTCGGTATATGCATATATACATACATATATGTATGTATATGTACCTTTGTTGTGTTCATTCTTGTTGGGGGCTTTGTTGTGTTCATTCTTGTTGGGGGCTTTGTTCTGTTCATTCTTGTTGGGGGCAAACTACAAATAAGCAATAAATCCAGCTAATGGCTTTCCAATAGAAATGTGATATTGGGTTTTGCTTGCAGTTGGAACTGATGGTTTTTTGCCCTGTAATCTTCATTTTGTGAGGGGGTTTTTAGAGTTATGCAGATTGTAATTAAATAATATCTTCTTATTCCATAATCAAGTTTCAAAATTGCAGTTGGAACTGTCTACAGACAGTTGGATCATCTCCGGAAAACTTTACCATTAACATCAAAACTTCAACGAGTTGCACAGTAAGACCAACTCTAATCTAGACTGCAATATATATTCCAACACTTTGAAATTTAATCAAGGAAAAGAAACCAAAAATTCTAATGCAATAAGCTCCAAAAATTCATCATTCATTTATCTCAAACTCTGCAAAATTTAGTTAAAGAAATAACAGCGTAAATCTTAAAACGAGATTAGTTTGGAAAAAAATAAAAAAAGAACTCAAAAACAGAAAAACAATAATAATAACCAGTGAAAAAGACGACGTTTACGTTAGAATTGGTAGAAAACAAAAATGGGGTCAAATAAGCTTCTCCTAGTTGTTGCCAATTTGTCAGATATTATCCATTGGTAAGAAAATGATATTTGCAAATTTGTTTTGTCCTAATCAAGGAAAAAAAATAGAAAAAAAGTAATTAAAATTGAGTGAAATTAGAGGATCCTTATCTGAGAATCAGTCAGAGAGATATATATGCCTTTGCGTGGTGGCAAAAGTTTCATGCACAAATGCCCACCATAACCATAACCATGATATCTAATCATTAACATATTGAATATTACACTTTTGACCCCAAATTAAATGACAGCCCCATTTCATGCATTCATATTTTCCTTGATAGGCTGCTAATACATCTTCTTTGCCAATCTTAATGTTAATCCATAAATGAATAATGTGGTCACATTGTCTGTATCTCTATTTCTAAATGCGTCTCAATTCTTATAATAATGGAAATAAAAATTCAATTTTTGAGAAATGTATTTACCGAAAGAAATATACAACTGTCAATATATCATGATTGTACTTCATGATGTCGAAAAATGGCCTGCAAATCACAGATTTAGCTACACCTCAAACTTCCAACTAATCGAAGCATAGGTGGTTTGGGGTTGGAAGAAAAGCTCTGGCTTATAATGTTTATGAAAGTCAACTCCATTTTTGGTTCTAATATTTTTTTTTTTTTTTTTTTAATATACCAGCTTTCAATATATCATAGATAAGTATCATCATTGATGATCAAAAAAATGGCCTGCAATCGAACATTTTAGCATACACTCAAATTCCCAGACTAATCTCGAGAAAGCATATAGGTGTTTGTGGGTGGAAGAAGAGCTTTGGCTTATAAATGTATTATGAAAAGTCAATCATTTTTGGTTCTAATATTTTTTTTTTTTTTTTTGTTAGGTCAACTGGGAGATGCCAGTTGCTTACTCAACTACACCAACTTGTATCGTTAATGCCAAACTACTAATTGATTAAATTTATTATTTTACTTTAGTATTATTTCATATTATTCCTTCCTTATTTTTATATGATATGTAAGCCAAATATACGTAGTTTTTTTTTTTTTTTTTTGTTAGTCAACTGGAGATGGAGTTTGCTTACTCAACCTCCACTTGTTCTAATGCCAACTTACTATTGATTAATTTTATTTTTTATTTAGTTTATTCATATTAGATTCTTCCTTAATTTTAAATATGTAAGCAATTAACTATATTATTATAAATTTTAACAGTTTATTTAATTGATTAGTGAAGTTATTTCTCATTTTATTTTTATATTTAAGTTTTGAGATTAAAATATTAATAATTATTTTTTATATATAACGTAAAATTTATCGGAAAAATACAGAATTTAATATACACTTTAATTAATATATTGGCTATTTTAAATTTTAAAGTCATGACGAGATAAAATAAAATTCACCAGAAAATGCGGTAAATTTTGCTAATAAAAGCAACATATACAGGAATTATGTTTAATCCAAATAGAAATTCATGGTGTTGAAATTAAAAAACTGTAGTTATCAGAAATGTGATATTTGTATTTTTAATGTAACTTTCCTTATACGAAAAATGAGGTAAGGCCACTCACACTTCCAAGTATCGCTTATTCTCTCTGCTTTTTCCAAGGTTTCTTACCGACCATCTATAACCCACATCCATGGGGTATCCACGGATGCCATCCATGTGGACGGTCCGGATCTGCTTAAACGCGCACCATCACCATCAAAAGTCCAACAGCAGCAAAACCCCACTCCCATTGAGGAATCTACACATCTTTCTGGACCCCACCCGACGTGGACGTTAAATGAAACGTGGAGCCTGATCCGCAATTTCTCATTGGCTGCTCATCGGGGTCAATAGGATGGTGGGCCCCTCCAACTGTTGATGCTAATTTAGCATTTATTTAAATAATAATATTTTATTTTATTATTTTTTCCCCCAAAATTGAAAAAAATTAGTATTTCGTCGATATATACTATATGTACTGATAAGCATGGGAAATGTGGGACCCAGTTGAAAGGGTGGAGAAGCGTCCACGACAGCGACTGCGCGCAGCCGTCCGTGGGCCCATTTACACGTGCCCTTCAGATGTTTTTGTCTTACAGGAGGGCTCAGCGATGAATAAACACTCTAATACAAATTTTAATATTTTAATTTTATTGCACAAAAATGACAAGAAAAAAATTCTTTGGAGTATTAGACTTAGACATGGGCTCTTCTGCATTAGTTCACATGAGGGAAAATGATAACTGCGTTCCAATATAAAAAAATCCATGTATCATATTATAAACGTAAATAAGTTTTATACGTCAAAACACAATCTAATGATAAGTTCATGTACCATTTAATAATAAATTCAGATTGAAGTCTCTTCTCTAAATTAAAAAAAATAATAATAATTTCAAGACTCGTTCTACTTTCTATTAGGATGTTTATTTATAGAGTTTACTTGTATTTATTAATTTAAGGTGAAGATAAATTAATATATTAAGACTCTATGGTATGATGTTTGTTACAAGAATAGTAAAATTTTACAAATTAATTTCCTTGTCAGTCTCATTTTATTTAAAAAAATTATTTATTTAGAGTTTAGTCTTTTTCTTGCATACAATATAGTATAAGGATTTAAGTAACTAAGCTACCATGATATTGACCATTAATCAGTGGTTAGCACATAGTTTGGTTATTTTATTCATAAGGTTTTGAAAAATTTTAGTGGTAACAATATAATGGACCACATATTATTTAGTGGTTGAGATTTGAGATTAAGAATTCTGTATTATTTTAGTGGTTGAGATTAGGGATTTTGTATTATTTCATGTGGTCTCTTACCGCAATAGTTTTTGTAAGCATATTAATGCATAGTCTAATGATAAGTGTATATACGTAAAGAGTGGTTTAGTTAGTGTTTCCACTTATATGAGGAGTGAGAGATATTAAATTTGAATCATTAATTTCGACCCTAGTTATTTTCATCTAAGGGGAGTGCTATCTCCAGTTGTGTAGCTCAGAGTGTAATTTCAATCTATATAAAAGCACGCAAGAATTTCTCTTTTAAAAGAAAGAAATAGGCCCAAACCAAAATAAGAATTTTTGAATAACACAAAGTATTTCTTATGAGAGAACTTCTTCTGGCCCAACAGTATGTTTTGAACCTTCTTTTGCTACTTCCATATGCATTCAAAACTTACACATGCTGTTGGATTTCATTTATCATTCATATCTGCAAGCTTTGGTGCAAAGTAATGCAATTCAATCGGATTTTTTTTTACTTTTATACAATTCTTTTAGGACATTGGAAATATATAAAGGGATGGAAATCATTAGGATTGAAGTTTCTGATCGTCAAGCGATCTTAAGGATGCACTCTCTCACATTTATCTGATGCATTCAGAAAGATTAATTTATCATGTCCAGACTATTTCCCACAAAATCAATGCCTGATCGAAAAAGAAGAGAGTTTGTATATTCTAACCTACAAGGTAGACATTCAACCACTATAATACAAAGCTAACGCATCAAGGAAAATTGAATGTGGCACTAACATTTTCAAATAAGATTTTACATTATAATTAATTATTCTTGCAGGCTTCTGTACACCCAGAGAGATAACATTACAAAAGACTCATCTTAACTCTCTTTCCCAGAGAAAAATAAGTGATTTTCTGTATTCTCTATTATTTCCCAACACAGTAGGAAATAATCTATGTTCCGCAAGAAATAGCAAACACATTCATTATCTCAAACCTTCCCAACCATGAAAATAAAGCAAGCATACCCTTCAATGGATTAATTATTTTGAAGGCTATTATGTGGAAAAGATCATTCTGATGCCTTCAATTGTGCTCCTCAACTGAGTTCAGGGAAAGCATAACCTTTTCAATTATATTTCATGGCCTAAAATTTGATGTTGTCTTTCAAGTAACACACTATTTCTTGCTGCAACAGTTAAAGAAGGAAAAAGAATATGAGAAATCTATCACCATTGTTAGATCCATTAACAATTGCTAATCAATTTTCTTAATAATTTGCAACTTTAAGATACTTACTATCAAACATAGGATAATGCATGCAGCAGCTCCAGGGAACAAAGCAAACCAAAAATTCAAGTGATGAAACTTTACTCCATCAATGAACAATAGTGGTAAACTAGCAGCTACACAAAAACAACTTGCATTTTAGTATTGGATACGATAATGAAATGATTTTTTTTTACTCTATGAAACCAGAAAAGCAGAGGATTCTTTTAGTTAGAACTACCTGGAGGGTGAGTAGAACGTGTGTAGGTCATGAAAGCTATTGATGCAGCAAGGGCAGCACTTCTAGCAAGCCAACCAGGGCCAAATATTGAGAAAGCCAATACTCCAATTGCTGCACAACCAATCTGAGCCATGAAAACATTGTACTTCTGCAATGCGATTGAGCATTAGTATAGTGATTAGTGACTATTTGACTGAGAAATCAAGTTAAAGATTTCAAGAAAATAAGGTCATTCACTAATAATCAAATTACAAATGTCTTTCCAAAAATTGCACAATTTTAATGCTATTAGCAAAAAGCAGTTTGTAAGAGTAGTTTATGTGTTTTTAAGTTTCCACAACCACAATAACCAAAATATATGAAATTCACCCTCGAAACTGACCTTAATTAGCTATAATCAACAATTTTAAGGCATTGCTTTCCTCAAGGCAGCTCAAACAACAAACATACTAAGCATTGCCTAAATAAGCAACTATAAACCCAACTCACAATTTGTCAATTTATTAATGTGGATAGGAATCAAAGCCATAATAGCCCTTAATTGGAGAAACAAACCATAAATTCCATAAAAGGGAAAGAGATAGAGAGAGTGATAGAGGGTACCCGAGCAGCCGGTGCAGAAGGATTAGCAAATAAGACAGTGCAAACAGCTCCCAAAGGAGCAACTGTCATGGAAATTCCTTTTGGGGCAAGTATTTGATCCATCTTTCCCAATATTGCCATGGCTGCAAATGCTCCTGTTCAAATACATTTACCAATTTTAGAAAAATTCAAACACATAAAAATAAGCAATAAAATAAAACTCTTTCTTTAGTTAAGAGTAACCTGCAGAAGGCCAGATAACATCGCTGAAAGAAGGAGAAGGAGAAGACTTTTCAGGTTTCCAAGAATCCCAAAAGGGTGCAGCCACATTGCTTGATGCCACGACTCCATTATGTTGTTTTCTTTTTCTTTGTGTAGAAAACCCGAATCCAAAACGTCTGGCTCTGTCCAATATTGCTTTCTTCTTGCTTTCAGGAAACGGAGAAATCGAGTTTATTGATCTTGATTGTGTCTGCAATGATATTGCTGGTATTAAACCACACTTGTAATGGGAATAACTAGCAGCGAACTGCGTGCTCATTTCTTGACTTCTAATCAGAGGCTATCAAGTCAAGTCTCACTGTACATAAATGGTTTCAGTTACTTATCAAGAAAGAGAGAAAGATGTGATTTTTGGTTGGTGGGCTTTTGAAGAAGATGAAAAGGCAGCCAACTAAGAAAAATACAATATCTACCTGGCCTAATTATTTTATTTTATTTATCTTTCTATTGGTTAATACAACATGTCAATGATTTTTCAGTACCATTCAATGATTCAGATGCCACTTGCAAACAAATTTCATTGCTTTCCGCATTTTCCTTTCTTTGTTTCTTTCTCCCTGTTCTTTCGGCAATGGCCTTTCAATTCAGCTAAAAGTTTCATTTATCAAGTTGCAGGTCCTAAATTATAGTTTCCTTTTTTCTAGTTTGTTAAGCACCTTTCCTTCATTTTAAGATTTTTCCATAGGGTTTAAAAAAAGTAATTAATTATCTTAAATTATAATAAAATAAAATAAAATTTAACCAAACTATTATATTTCAAACCTAAAAATAATTTATGTAATTATCGTATTTAATATAAATAAATGTAATATTGAAAAACCATAGTAACTCAAAAATTTTATTCTATAAAAAAAAATAAAATTTACTATATAGACACCTATAAGCCCATCTATGCCTTGCAATAATGATTTCTTTTCTGCCTGTGAGATGCTAGAAACTCAATTTGAAAAAATTTATTTCGTATGGAGCAGAATCTAAAAGTAATAAGTAGAGAGACAAATTAGTATAGAAATTGATTAAAAGAATATTTATTTTAGATCCTCTCCTAATTCGATAGATTTAATAAGTTGAATTTTTTAAATTTTAATTGAATTTGAGAGCAGAATAGGTTTCGGCTCGGCTCGGCTCGATACGACTTATTTCCAGCCTACTTGCATTAGAACCTGCAAAGTATCACTGGAGTTATAAAATAAAATGCAGCTTTTTGTTTATTTATTTTTTATTCGAGGGGAATTAGCCTAGGGCATTTATGAACTCAAATAACAAAAATACGAAGGGGCCATCGGGTTCAAGAATCTTGGGCTTTTAAATTTGGACAGCCCACCATTTAGAAACCCAAAGTAAGCCCAACAACTTAAGTAATTGTAAAGTTGTTGAGGTCCAAATCAAATCAATGAGTTAAAAAGCCCCCATCAACCACAAGGTCATGTCCAGTGATCAACTCTGACTCATTACATGCTAGAAACAACACAGTGTCGGCCACGTGTCTTGCTTTCAGTGCAATTCCTTTCAAGCTCATATGTGGCTCATACATTACCTCAATTTCCTCCACGCTCTTCTCATACGCATGTACTGTCATCGGCGTCGCAACTCCATAAGGTGACACGGAGTTCACCCTAATCCCATGCACCCCAAGCTGCGCGCTCGCTGATCTAACCAATCCCACCACTGCATGCTTCGACATCACATAATCAGTACGCTTCATAGCACCTTTACTCCCCGCCACACTTCCGGTGCACACTATACTCCCTCTAACGCGCTGCTCTATCATTGCACGCGCTGCATACTTTACGCAGGCGGCCATTCCCCGGACGTTTACTGCAAATAAATGGTCAAATGATGAAAAGTCGAGATCAATAACGGTTTGATCGGAGTCAGCTAAGATCCCAGCGTTGCTAAACATTATATCTAGTTGACCAAACTTGTTGACCGTCCATTCAACTAATGATTTCACCTGCTCTTCCTCTGAAACATCGCAATGGAAAAAGCTACACTTACTTGCTCCAATTGATGTGGCCACTTGTTGGCCTAATTGGTCTTGACAATCAGCAATAACCACCATAAGAGCACCGTGATCGGCGAAAAGACGGGCGGTTGCTTCACCGATTCCGCTTGCGCCTCCGGTGATTATTGCAATTTTCCCCGCTAGCTTCTTGTTATTATTGGCCGGTGGCGCAGGTATATGATTGGATGATATTGATTCTGCCATGCTATTATATAGTACTAGTAATTTATAGATAGAGAAGAAAGGGATTCTGATTCTATTGCAATATTATTGTTAAGTGGTGCAGGAGGAAATATATAGAAAAGCGTAAATTGTAGGAACACAGACCCGCGCCGATATAGGTACAGGATACGACATGACACAGATACGAGATGATGTATTTTTTTCTTATAAAAATAAAACACGACGCTTTCGTGACACGTAACATAATTTGATAATAACTCAAATAGCAATGTTATTTGTCTCGTGATGAGCCAAGAACGCGGAATATAAATTTATGGATACAAATTTTAATAATTTTGGAGGGATAGATGAAAATTAAATTAAATTTTGAAAGGAAATTTATTAATTAGATACCAATGTTAAGCATGCCTGACATGTAATCCCTAATTGTAGCTTTTGGTAATTCAGAAAGGAAGAGAGAATGAATAGAAGAGAGGGCAAAGTGGAGAGAATTAGAAACTTCCAGAAAAAATAAGAATAATTAAAAAGAGAGAGAAAAGTCTTTTCATCATTATTGTTCAATGAATGCCATACACTTTTCACTTCGCCTCTACAATGATATGCATGCGTTACACACCACTAAAATGGATGCAAGTAGCGGAAAAGAAAATTACACTTAAATACTATTATTGTCGGGTGACGCAAGGGCATGATTGGACGGTGAAATTCTACCATGCTATATTACTGTAGAGAGACAGAAGAAATCGATTCCGCCCATTCAATTACAATATTATTGTTCAGTATTGCAGAAGAAGCATACTCCCTCCATTTTCATATACTCATTGTATTTTAAAAAGTACTATATTCTGTATTCTTGTGATTGTGATAATTATTTAAAAATAGAGAGAGTATATGTCATGCCCCGACTCTAATCACTAGACGAATTGTCCGCTTTGGTGTAGTCCACGGACGCCCTATTCGCACGGTTTTGTCCCACAAGTGAAATGGGAAACTTCCCAGAAGGTCACCCATTCTGAGATTTCTATTAAGCGAGGCCCTGGAGATCTTCCAACTCTCCGACCATTCCACCAAAAGGCGCCTCTAATGATTAATTTTCTCATTTTCGACCTGTGTCCCGCATTCCACTACCCTAGCTAGTCTGCCATCCGAAAAGCTAGCCAGGAGCTTCACGCTACCCGCCCTCTGAGAATCGTTTTGCCGGGTCGGGATGTCACAGTATAAAAAAGTCTTAATTCCGTATATACAAATACAAGTTGTGATTTCAACATAGATTAACAACATGACACAGCATAAGATATGAGATACTGTAATTTTTAAATTAAAATATTGATAAATTCAAAATACGAGATAAACATAATTTATTAATAATTCAAAATAAGTAAACAATTATTTATAATAAGTTATTAGTATAAAATACAAAATACTTGATTTCTTATTTTAATATTATTAGTTAAATTCGCAATCTCAAACATTTAAATACCTTTAAAAGATATCAAATTAATCCCCTTCAATATTCAATATTTTAATTCCTTCAACATAATATTGGTGACTGTATATTTTACTTATAAGATAGAGTTTTTCATTCCTTTATGTATATTTTACTTTTTTATTTTAGATATTAATATTATCAAACATATATTTAAGACAATAATTTTAAATTTTTAATAATGAATTCATATAAAAGCCTATAGAATTTTCAAAGATGCCTCTAAAATGTTAAGAACTTTTCTCAAAGTGTCTATATATAGGTGTCCGTAAAGATTTTCAAATTAATAAAATGAAATAAATAATATGATAGAGTTTCTAAAGAATCTTATATGTATCCAAAAAGTGTTCAAGAGCAATTGGTGGGTGTTCGACATAGGTATGATATATATCATATTATATATTTTTAAATGAATAATATTTGAAATAAATAATATGATATATTTTTAATTGTAATTTTATATTTCATATAATTGAAAGTTTAACCATCTCTATGGTTGCGATGATGCAATAAAGGCTGACAATTGAAATTCAAAGATTTTTCATACTGGTTATTTTTTTAGTTTGAACAATAAAATATTTTTTATGTTTATTTTTCATATTATGAATGTTTTATGATTTATCTTTAATTTTGATAATTTATAAATAAACTCTACATTCATTTAAACCAAACAGCGTTAGGAATGAAAAATTATAAAAGAAAAATCCAGGAAATCCAATTCCTATCAGAAGCTGGACTCCTTGACTTGATCCTTAACTAAGTTGATTCCCGCGGACCTTACTCTCTCTATATATATATTAACCCTTCGTCAAATCCTCCTCCTCATCTTCTTCTTCCAGTTTATTTTCTTCTCCATTGCCGTTTATTTCTGCAAAGATACCAACATGGATAACTCTGTTGCCTTGGAAAGTAATGACGAGTTCGCGATGCATCTTGATTCAATTTCTGGCTCAGATCATATTCCTGAGATACAAGAAGCAATGGAATGTGATAATTCATGTTCACATCCTGTGGTCCTGAAGCAAATTTGTGTTACTTGTGATCAATCTGTGGAAAGTGAATACGGCGTGTCGTTTGGCTATGTAAGGCCAGGTTTAAGATTTACCCAGAAAGAAGCTGATCGATTGCGTGAAATAGGCACCAATTACTTACTGAGCCAAAAAAGGTTGCTGTTAGTTCTTGATTTAGACAACACCTTGATTCACTCTGTTAAGGTTGAGAATTTATCACCAGAAGAGAAACATATAGAGAATTTTGTCAAAGATAACAATGGAAAAAGAGGCCTGTTTAGCGTGCACTGTGTTCCTCCTCGTATTGTCAAGTTAAGGCCTTTTGTTCAGAAATTCCTGGAAGAAGCTAGCACTATGTTTGAAATGTACGTATACACAACAGGTTCCAGAAGTTATGCGATGGATATGATCAAATTTCTTGATCCTCAGAATAAATACTTCAATTTGAAACTAATTGCTCGAGAGGATAGTACTCGAACGTTGACCAAGGATCTTGATGTTGTATTAGGGGAGGAAAGAGCAGTTGTTATTCTTGATGATACAGAACAAGCATGGCCAATGCACAGGGCTAATCTGATTCCTGTTCAGAGATATTCTTATTTTGCATTCAATAACTCTGTTGGACGCAAGTTTAAATCTTTGGCCGAGAGAAAGATGGATGAGGCTAAACAAGTTCTTGGTAGATATCTTGAAACTCTAAAGGGTATCCATTCTCAATTTTTTGATCAAGAACTTGGGGTTGATCTTGCTACTAGAGATGTTAGGGAGGTAATAAAAATGGTCAAGTCTAATTCTCCCAAGGGGACTGATGCTCTCAAAGGTTGTTCAGCAAATATTGGAAAGAAAAGTGAGCAGTTTGCACCTAAGAGACAGTGACAAATGTCAAGGAGGCCATTTAGAACTTCAATGGCTAGAGAAGATCCCTTTAATATACCATTAATTTGTATGAGATATTAGTAATCTGTAAACCTCTGATGTACTGTCTGTTAGAATTTTGATTTTGAGAAATTAAGCATTTCTGCATCTATTGCTATTTTCAGTTTCTAAAATGCTGAACATTTTTCAGGTTAAGAATAGTAAAGAAAAGACTATACCAAGTTACATAACAAATATAGTGCTAATTAACATTCATAGTCAATTAAATTATTGCAAATTATTACTGGATTTTCATTAAAGAACACATTTTAATTTATTAGTAAGCAGCTTTGAACCCACCATCCACAACCAAATTATGGCCAGTGACAAATTCAGAATCATCACAAGCAAGAAACAGCACAGCTTCTGCTACATGCTTCACCTTCAGAACTCCTCCTAGGCAGTAACTTGATTCAAAAGCCTTCTCTACCTCCTTCATTCCAATTCCAGACAGCTTACAAAGCAGAGGCGTCGCCACCGGCCCCGGCGACACGCAGTTCACTCTTATCCCATACCTACCTAACTGCACACTCGCCGACTTCATTAACCCCACCACTGCACACTTTGACATCACATAATCCGTACACCTATCTCCCTGCACATTCGCAGCAGTGCTCGCTGTGCAAATTATACTACCCTTCTTTACTCCGCCTTCCACCATCGCCATCGCGGCGTGTTTTAGACTTGCTGCGGTGCCACCCACGTTGACGGCGAAGAGTTTCTCATAAGCGGCCATGTCGAAGTCCAGGACGGTCTGTGGTGTTGTGTTGATGATTCCAGCGTTGCAGAACGTGACGTCAAGCTGGCCGTACAGATCAATAGTGGTTTTTATGAGGGACTTGACTTGGTTCTCATCGGTTACGTCGCAGTGGATATAAGTAGAGCGGGAGGATCCTATGGATTCAACTAGTTTTTGACCCTTTTCGTCTTGGACATCAGCGATCACGACTGCACGTGCACCATGATCTGCAAAGAGAAGCACAGTGGCTTCACCGATGCCACTAGCGCCACCGGTAACGATGGTAACCTTTCCTTGAAGCTTGTTCTTACTGGATGTGCTCATGCTGGTTATTTTTGCATTATTTGTGAGGTTTGCTTGTTGTTAGTATTACTTATTACAAGAAACTGAGACCAGCAACGGAGATGACAATTACTTGTCTTGTTTGATTGTTGATCAATGTCTTAAACTCAAGAAAAGCTCAAATACTAGAGTTCATATTCTTGTTACTGCTTAGATCATTTTGATAATAATATAATATAAGGTCTCTTTCCTTTTTTTGACTTCTATAACTTGTCTGTTCGTAAGTGCATTTTATGCCCCTAAACCCTTCGCTGTGAGATCCTGTGTTGCTTGTAGGACATCTTTTCATTCTAGAAAAAGTACATCATTTTCATTTCAAGCCAAGAAAGGAAAAAGTTAGCTATTATTCAATTCCTTTGTTTCATGGATGAAGAGGATAGCAATGGTGGGTTGTGACTAGCAGGAGAGAGAAGGTGAAAGAGGTTATTGTATTGAAGATTGAACATAAGTCTCAACTGAGAAAATTACATCGTTTAATATGAAATACATTTCATTATTTTCCTTCCCCTATTATTTTCTTTCCTCTGCTTTCCAAACAAAGCAAAAAGCAAATGATGAAAAAGTAAAAAAGAAGCGCAAAAATTTAAGTCAAATCAAACAGCCATCCATCTTAATAACGGGAAACACACTCCAATAAAGGTAGTAGTTGTGGTTCTATGATAATAATTATAGAGACAAGAATTGTAAATCATGCCCAAAACTCAAATGAATGTTAGCTGTATTGTAATTCTAGAGACAACATTAGTGTAATGCCTAGTTCAGACGGCTCTTGCAAGATATAGAGTCAATCAGCAGTAGGTGTCATGGAAACGTATAGCTCTCTTCATAATCTTGAAGAGGGGATGAAACTAAAATATGTAAATTCAGTAGGTGCAAGACTAAAATGCAAATCCAACATTTGCCATTGCAAGGATTTACAAGCCCCAAATATAGAGGCAGAAATATCACAAAACTTGGGGTGAGTTTTTTTAATAAATACATCTAGTTGAATGTATACATATTCAGTGACCAGTTCACTCGGTGGTTCATGTCTTTCAAGAATAATCTGAATGGGACTCATAGAAATCACTTGGGCATGGAGACATGACTTCTTGCTCTAACAACTGCAATACCTGGTTCATTGTCGGCCGATCGTCAGGGTTCGCATCTGTGCATCTTGCTGCTATTTCAAGAATTGCTTCTACAGTTTCCATATCTGCACCGGTGCACCTTTTATCTACCACATTATCTAACCGATTCTCTCTTAATAGGGTGTTCAACTGCATAAGTTGAAATGAATATATCATATGGTGCTTTATAAGACAAATAAGTAACAAGTCGATGTTTCTGCTCGGTTCTCGAGCACATCATCTCAACAAAACATATCATGGAACGAAAAGAAATCTTTTTGAGAGCTTACCCAACCGACAACATTTAAGCCCCTCTTTACAAAAGTTGGATCTGTAGGTCTTTTTCCTGTTACAAGCTCTAGCAAGAGAACTCCAAAGCTGTAAACATCTGACTTCTCAGTGGCTCTCCCACTTTGCAGGTACTCTATGTTAAGTATAAACAATGGCAATCGATCAATAGGATATACAAAAATTATTGCTTAAGAAATTTGTATAAAACATAATCTGAAAATAACAAGAATGAAGCCAGTTTTTCAACTTGGAGTGACAGAGTTGAAGCTCAACTCGAGTTTAGCTAAGGCCAATCCCAAATTAGCTTAAGTATAATTCTTAGGATACAATAGGATCTTGAATTGCAAATAATAGGTGATGTGGCTGTTATAAAAGTATAAATACATATATGAAACAATATTCATATAGTACATTTCAAGAGTGTAGATTTTAATACATTTGAAAATTTTTGTCATACAGCAAAAATTTTCTACTGAATTAGCCTTTTAATGACATGAAAGAAATTTGGAAAGAGACAAAAAGGTTTAGGTGGAAGGACAATTAAGGTCTAATGCCAGATAATAACGTATCAAAACAAAAAAAAGGCTTGCATGGGTGAATTTTCAAGCACTGTAATTATGATAAATCAGAAAAATGAGTCCAAGATGATTGGAGATAAAAGAAATATAGAATGAAACAAACCTGGTGCCAGATAACCAAAAGTACCAGCAACTACCGTTGTAACATGGGCATCCTCGTCCACCAATAGTTTGGCAAGACCAAAGTCAGAGACATGTGGTTCCAAATTTTCATTAAGGAGAATGTTGCTAGACTTTATGTCACGATGAACTATCTTTGGGCTGCAATCATGGTGTAAGTATGCAAGGCCCCGTGCAGAACCTAAAGCTATTTTTAAGCGAGCACTCCAATTTAATTGTTGTTCTTGGTGACGTTCTAAAAGGGAAAAATGACCATGAAAACAGATTGAATAAAAAGCAAATCAGCATTAAATATCTTAGAATCGACATATGCTACATTTATAGATTGAAGTAGTGCACTTCCTCAACCATATCTCACAAGATTAGTAGTTACAAACTAGAGAAGCAATTGCTAGCAACTGAAAATTATATCACTTTTCTTTTGCTCTCGTGTGAGTGCATTTAAAGTATCTCTCTAAGTTCAATAGGAAAAAGGATCACCATCGCTAACCCTATGTTTATTATCATATACCTCAGTACAAGTATTAGCATAGAGAGTGGGATATTCAAGAAATGAGGTCAATAGCATAAGCAAATGTGAGATTTTTTCTATCCTATTCTAATAATTGAATTTTCAAGCTTACAAAATTCTCCAGGTCTTGGCACACTAGTGAGAAAACAGAAACAAATGTTACCATGATTATCTTGTTCCTTAACATAGTATCATAACATTATAAAAATTGTATTGAATGCTAAATTATGAAGCATACCATGCAAAATATCATCTAAACTGCCCATTGCCAGATAATCATAAATAAGAAGCTTTGACATTGGAAGCCTGCAGTAACCTCTTAGGTTTACTAAATTTATGTGCTTGATGCTGCCCAAAATTTCTAACTCCCTCTCAAATACTTGATCAGATCCTTCACGACTCCGGTCAATTCTTTTAACAGCAAATGTTCCACAATCATTCATGACCATCCGATATACAGTACCAAATCCTCCTGATCCTACAACATCTTCCTCATCGAGACCCTCAAGCTTTTCTATTATCTCACATGAAGGATATGGCAAGTCACCATGGAAAGTAATGAGCTTTGTACCTTTTGAAAATCAAAGGTTAGTAACAAAAATAGAAAAATGAAACAGAAAATATTAAAAATTGGAGAGACATTGGATTTACTTGCTTCTCGATCAACTTGTTTCTTTACTTCGGTGTATTTCTTAGCAGCTCTTTCCTTCTTCGACAATAAGCAAATCCAGAGGAATGCAAGAAGCACTGCTAGTGTAAGGGCCATTGTGGCCATTACACCAATCAGCACCCCTTTGATGTAATGAGAAGATCGTTTTGTAGGAACTGCAAAAATCCCCAGAATTAGTTTATGGATAGTCAAAAATCACAGAAAATGAAATGAGAAACTTGCCTGCTGCCTCATCACTTGCAGCATGAGGTAGCACTGCAGGAAACCCCATTGAGGTTCGACATGGCTTCTGCACTTGTCTACCACAAAGATCCAAATTTCCAAGAAACCTAAGCACAAGCAGGCAGCCAGGAAAAGATTAAAGGGATATACTATGGAAGAAAGAAGGGTAGCCAAGGAGCACTGAGCATATGATCATAAATGTGTTCCTGCCTCATTAAGTTCTACAGAGATGCTGACATCCAAAGTTGAGCATATGATTTCTCAAATTCCTAAATTCTTAATTATCTACCTCAACTTGGTTTATTTCAACCATTATAGGCTATGAATGCATAAATCACTTATGGCTACCAAACATAAGAGGAGAACCAATGAGTAAGCACTGCACTGTTCTCACATCCCACCAAAACTACAACTGAGAAGTCAGATAGAACGGACAAATGGAAATCCTCTAGAAGCACAGACTGTCATCTCTTCCATCTGTTACTACTTGAGGGTAAGGCACGTAGATTTTTCAATGTTTTCCAATAATGCAGTTGTAATGCAAAATGCACAAGGTTCAGATTATTCACATTATGTATCAGGATACTAGAAAGTACAAGATACCAAAATAAACGTGCCAAAGTTGATGCTATGTTGACAGTAAGGTTCAGATTATTCATTATGAGGACTTACGAGTTGTTCCCAAAAGTGCTTAGAGCTCCAAAATCTGGGATTTCACCAGAGAAAAAGTTGGTTGATAAATTCCTGAGACAACAGTACCAGAGTAAAGGATTAGCATACCATTTGATTTCTTTCCAGGGCACAAAATCCAAACTTTAACATTTTCAAATAAAATACAACAACTAAATGAACTCACAGGTGACGCAATCGTGTAAGACGACCAACAGACGAAGGTATAGCACCCTTTAGCATATTGCTTGACAAATCCCTAAATTGAGTAGTTGATAATGAATAACAACGATAATAATAAACTCTCAGTGTGAGCTTAAATCATATGCATCTTCTATGTTGAAAACAAATTGGGCTGAACCATTAATATAGTAGAAATATCTCTGCAGAAATCTTACAGTATAGTGAGATGAGAGAGGTTTCCAATATCTGATGGAATGCCTCCTTGGAGATAATTAGCCCTCAAGTACCTGAACACATGGTGAATTGCAAGTGAAGGAAAAGTGTAAATATTCCATTTATGTCTACACAAAAAGGAAAAACCAAAAAGAGGAATCCCATCACTTACACTGCTCTTAGCTCAGTGCAATTAGTAATTTCATTTGGAATAATTCCATGTAAACTATTTTGGTGAAGTGCCCTGTTGAAGTTGAACCAAGAACAGGAAAATAAATTTAGCCATTTCATGGTCAGTTCTGAGATAGAAAAGAAGTTATGAATATTGAACTCACAGCCTTTGCAGTCTACTAAGTTTGCCAATGCTAGGAGATATAATCCCTCCCAATTGCATATAAGGCAGGTTTCTGAAGAACAAAACAAAAGTAAATTAACAAGTTAAAAGGGAAAACTTACAGAAGTATAGGTAAATTTGAGAAACGGAATAGATATATGACATACATTGAGCTGACTCTTTGGTCGCTGGGATCGCAAGAAATACCAGTCCATTTGCAAGGAGATTCACCAGTATCTAGCCAGTTACCTAGAACATTTCTGCTGTCATTCAATGTGCTCTTGATTTCCAATAATGTCAGACCTGCAATAAAATAAAAATTCAAATCAGCAAAGCAAAAAGATCTAAACTTTAAGCTGCATTTGGTTGCAAGATTGTAAATTTCCAATGTAAGGACTCCTCATCTAATATCATTTTTCTCGTTTCTTTTTCCTCCATTTTCTGGGCAGCCAAACAATAAATTACAAGGGAAAACGATAATCTTTTTAAGCTCTAAAAAGAGAATGGAAGCAAATGAAATTCTTACCATCTTCAGTGAGAGCCAGAGAGCAAGAACTGAAAAGGGTTACTACATAAATTACTGAAAAGCCCAAAACGAAGACATTCATTTTCATTTCTCTTTCAAAATGGTTCTCTCTTGTTAGAAATTCTTTTTTGTGCAGCAAGCCACTGCACAGTTGGAAGCTAGCAAAAACCCAAGCAGAGAGAAAAAGAAAGGAACTTTGAGATATAATAATAATAATAAAAGTGGTTAAGAGGGGGGCAAGAGCTGTTTGTTGGATGTGATAATGGTGTGAATTACCATAATAATTTGAAGCAAAAAAAAAGAAAGAGAGAGAGAGAGGGAAAAACTTTTGTCCTATATTTTATTAGCAGAGTGAAAGACAGACCTTTTTTCTGAAAGTGGGTATGGAAAGTTGTGCAGGAAGGGAGTAGCCGTTGTCCAATAAAATTCAAATAGAGTTCACTCAAAGCATACTCTCAGCTCATCCTAGACAGAGACAACATTTTGAAAGAAAATTGCAGAGTGACCACGTGGCAATATCATATGGAGAGTATTTAAAATTACATACACAGCAAAGTTTTGGTTTTTACTTGGAGCTGACAAAGGTCTGAGGCTGAATTGAAACTTGTCTGAGAACTTCAATGGTTTGGAGACATAAAACGATTTTTCTGGGATGAATAGGCAAAGCGCGTGTGCTTCACGTTAAAACTCCATTGTAGCCTAGTGATCAAGGGTTCCATGCTTACGGCCAAAAAGTTGCTAAAAATGATATCAAGCCATCATTTCCCCTTTCTTTCTTTCATTTCTCTTTTGCTGCAAATGCCTTCTTTACTGTAATAGACAATTTAAATTTGAATTGAATGGAAATCCTTTCTAATTTAGTTCTTTTACTAATTCATTTGTCAGCTTATGAATAAATTCATTAGTGATGGAAATTTAATTTTAAGTTAAATTTATATTTTTTTTTTAAATCATATTTATTTATGTAAAATATTCTTTTAAATTGGTTGTGTAGAAACTCAATTGAAATTATGATTCTATCAAGTTCATTTCTTTATAGCATAGTACCAAAAAGTGATACATTATAATTTTTGATTGGTATGCTTGTTTATTTTTTGTTCTTTTAGAAATTTGGCAATTTTTAATCTTTTATTAACTATCTCAGAGGAAATTAAAAAGCAATAAGCTTCAATGGACAAAAAAAAATAATACTCCAAAATGAGAGAAGACACAAAGAAATCTTTTAAAAATATAATACATACATCGAGAGACCGAATCAGATGAATGGAGATTTAAAATTATTAAAAAATTAAAAAATATATATATAAGAAACCAAATAAATAAATAAAAGGTGTAAATGGGTGGCCACTCAGAGATATAAAATTGTAATCAATTTTACACACAAATGATCTCAATGAATGGATTTTAAAAAATGAGGGTTATAAATGAATTTTAAAATAAATAACAAATTGAACAAATAACAAACTTACTGCAACTACTGGCCCAATCAGTAAATTGCTTGACGATGAGAAGCAATTTCTACAGCAACTGTGCTCTGCTCAGTGCTCACTACTTGGGGTTAAAGTTTCACTCAACAATTTTCCAATTGTATGCATCAAGCAAGGCCCAGGTCTAGTAAAAATAATTGAAGTTCATATTTACCTAATTTTTTAAATTCAACGGAGATTTTATAGGCTGAAACAACACTGTTAGGTTACACGATACGGATATCTCTTCCCTCCCTCGCTCAACAAATTAGTGTAAACAGTTATGGCCCAACTAAAAATAATCGAAGTTCATATTGACCTAATTAAATAAGTTAACTGAAATGAGCAATCTTGATTAAGGGGAGTGCCATTTAGGGTCAAATAATGGAAAGATTATATTGATAGACTGTCTGAACAAAATCCCATAATGATTTCTTCATATGGTTCAAACATGAAAATGATGACAAACTTTATTCAATTCAAGTTTGGAATGGAAGCAAGGTGGTGGTTACTTTGTACAGTTCCTGATGTGGTCTCAAAACATATTATGACCTCCTTGTTGCAAGAATTCTTAATTCATGAGTTAGCATTGTGGAAAGACAAGTTTCTGCAAGAAATCTAAATATTCTCATGCCTATTGTTATCTAAAAATTTTAATGTTAAATCAGGGTTCTTACATTTAATTTGATGTTCAAGATTGAAATTATTTATGTTTCACTGAGGTGTTGATGGGTTTAATTTATAATATTTTACTTAGACTAAGTAGATATTAGTCACTAAAATGATTAACTTTCATATATTTAAATTCGCAATGACATTTTTATATTCAAGGCAATGCATTTAGTGTAAGTAAATTTATTTATAATAAAATTTAAATTTGAATTTTTGAAAAATGATTTCTTTATGCAGTGTTATTTTTAAGCCCATTTGCTTCTTTTTGCAATTTTTTTTTTTTTATTTTGCTTGTTGATCAACGGTTTTTTCCTTGAATTGATATCAAATATTGTGGCAATAATATTAATGTAGAATATATTAGGAAAATGTAGGTAATATTTAATTTGATAATGTATGTAAATCTATTTATACAATTTATTTTAAGATGAAAAATACAAAATTTATTCAGAAATAAAATTAAAATTTGTTATACATACTCCATAATTCAGAACTAATCAAATACAATTTTTTTTTTTCTTTCGAATGAAATACAATTTTAGTTAGCTCATAACTATATATCAGCTAAAGTTTGCTAAATGTGACTTCAGCTCCATCGACGGGTGCTTGATGAGGCAAATAATCATTTTTGCATCCGGATTTACCAAATTTCACCTGATTTTTCCACAAAATAAAAGAATAACAAAACTAATCAGATAATATGTATTTGGAAAAACATATAAAATTCATAAAACACAGTCAATCTTGTACAATTTGATTAGTATTCTCACTTATGTAGAGAATGAGAGGTATCAGGTTTGAATTCATTAATTTAATGAGTCGAAAGCAGAATTACTCTTATCGCATATCTCATAATATTATTTCAGCCCAATGAGTCTTTAAATGAACCCGAAAATACCCTTATCCTATATATATATTGCATTATCATAATACCCTTATCTTTTGGACGACATCAGGATATTTGGCCAGATAATAAATACCCCACATTGAAGCTAGGGAAGTAGATTCATATCCACCAATCACAAGGCTCACAATGTTATCTAATACTTCTTGATCACTCAGTTGATTACCCTCTTCATCTTTCATTTGCATCAGTCCATCCATTAGATCATTTCCTGCCCCAACTCCGTTTTCCTTCTTTTTCTTCTCTAGCTCCACTCTAAAAATTTCATTAAGCTTATTCCTACACTGCAAAATTAACCACAAAATGGGTTTATCGAATATAAAATTAATTAATTATTTATTTATTTATTTTGATTGACTTCTTCACATTCATAATATTACAAAATATACTTGAACAGCATAATGATAGGCGGATCCAGGAAAGTTGAATGGGTGAACTCTAATTCCCCTAACCAATCCATTGAACAATTTATCCATAGCATCTTGTTCAGGCCCTGGTTCGAAGCTCTTGAACAATTTTCCGACATTCTTAAATGTCACCTTGTAAATATTGAATTCATAATTAATGCAAAAAAAAAAAAAAAAAAAAAAAAAAAAAAAAAAAAAAAAAAAAAAAAAAAAAAAAAAAAAAAAACAGCCAGCAATTTTTTAAGTAAAAAAACCTTAAATTTGATGATCACATAATTATCTACCTTCTTAACTTCCTTATATGCTTTGACTTTGCCGGTTTGGGCCCATGAGTTGAGAGCAGCTACAATGCGAGTCTGTACCTGGGCTGCTATGAGTCGCAGAGCATTGGGCCGATTGATGGAGTTGGTTACGAAGCTTCTCAGTCTGGAATGGGCTTTCCCTTGAACCACTACTAGAGAATTTCGACCCATTAGTTCAAGGTTGGGCCACTCCAAAATGAATTTGTCGTCTGACTGGAATATAAATCTACTGACCATCGGGAAACATGCAATGATGGATGGAGATCCGAAGAGGTAAGTTCTGTATAATCCTACTCCATCACCGTATCTGATCATTACCAAGCACCATCTCCCATTAATTTACACAACCATGCATATATATATACATAGAGAGTGAGAGAGAGAGAGAAATAGCTTACTTGTTTCTCTTGGAGTTGATAAAATCATCAGGACGACGAAGAATCTTGAAGTACCAAAGGAAGGTGAAAAGCTCCCCAACAAAGGGTAAGCCCATATGACCAGGTGGGAGCTTTGCAGTTACATGATTAGAAGCTCTAAATTTGAGAGGAACGACATACCGGAGCTCATTCCACCACCACAGCACCAACCCTAGTAGTGGCAGAGCTCCTAAAACCCACCCCAATAACAAAAACTCCATTGCAGTTTTTCCAGTATGATCCAAATTACTTAATGTGTATACTCGCAGATGATTCGCCACCCAGAGGTTTATGAACAGACAAGATTATTATTATTATTCATATAACTTTTAGTACGAAAACCACAGTAATTAAATTATATATGGCTTAATTATTTATCGTTATCTATATCCACCACCCAATTATCGTTATCTATATCCACCACCACCCAAATAATTTTAATTAATTGGCCCATGCATCTTGATTTTTGATATCTGTGTTTTGCCCTCGTCAGACATCCCGTTGGAGATGAAAATATTTTTTTGATATAATTCCTAAAATCTATATTACTTTATTGAGGTGTTTTTTTTTTTTTAGAAGAATTTATAATATTTTACGTAGACTATGCGGAACCACTGTAGTGTTGTCATGCATTAACCTCCAAGATAAACAAAGGAGGAATATTAAGGACAGAAAATCGAGCAGAGAAAAGCATACACTTATTTTCTAAGATGAAAAAGGAACTAAATTCATTCAGAAATAAAATTTAAAAAAAAAAAAAAAAAAAAAAAAAAAAAATAAAAAAAAAAAAAAAAAAAAAAAAAAAAAAAAGCTTAACATAGCTAAAAATTTGGAACTAAATATATTACCTTTCTTCTCTTCCAATTTCCCTTAGCTAAAATTCTGTTGAATGTGACTTCAACTCCATTCAGCTGAGCTGGATGACGGTAAATAACCACCTCCCTGCTTTGGATTTACAATTCCCACCTGAAATTTTCCACAGAATAAAATCATTCCCAAGCTATGAAATAAAAAAAAAAAAAAAAAAAAAAAAAAAAAAAGCTAACATAGTCTAAAATTTGGAACTAAATATATTACTTTCTTCTCTTCAAATCCCTTAGCTAAATTCTGTTGAATGTGACTTCAACTCCATCAGCTGGAGCTGGATGAGGTAAATACACCATCCCTGCTTTGGGATTTACCAATTCCCACCTGAAATTTTCCACAGAATAAAATCATCCCAAGCTATGAAATAAAAGAACATGAAAATTGAAGAAATTTACTTGTATCCAACAGACAAGTGATGCATAAGAATTGCAAGTTGTGTCCGAGCAAGCATGTTCCCAGCACAGATTCTCGATCCGCCGCCGAAAACCTGGTATGCTCCAGGCCTCACTGAAGTCTGAGTAATTAAGATAATTAATATAATCATTTTCCACATAAAATTGTGTAATAATATCTACAGCATATTACTTACATTCCATCTATCTGGATTAAAGCATAAGGGGTCTTCATAGTTTTCAGGATTTGTATGGAGGTATCGAATCCACAAAATCACTTTCCAATTCTTTGGTATTCTATAACCTGTATTTTTAATTAATTAACTAAATTAATTTTCCATTAGCTAATAATTTTATTAATTAGCATTACAATTAAAGAAACCTTTATACTCGACTTCTTCTGTGGCCTTTCTGAAAAGAAAAGCTGAAATGTTGGCCAATCTAATAGTTTCTTCCACCACCTGTACATACAAAAAGATTGTGAGACTATTCATAATTAATTGTAATCCATTATAAGTAATTAATTAAGATATATGGTACTCACCATGTTTGTGTACTTGAGTTGAGAAATATCTTCAATTGTAATGAAATCCCCTCTGTCTTTTTTGCTTATAGCCATGTTCTCCTCCTATATGTATATTATACGCATGTTAGTGTATACATATGCAAATTCTATAGAATGGCACCGAGTGCTGCAATGTTACACAAGAGTGAATGTTGGGTCTCGAGGGCTCAAAATTAAAGGGGAAGCTAGATCTAGAATCACATGTAGGAATCGTCATATACCCTTAGCCTGTTGAGGACGTCAGGATACTTGGCCAGATAATAAACAGCCCACATTGATGCTAGGGAAGTAGATTCATATCCAGCAATCACCAGGGTCACAATATTATCTATTACTTCTTGGTCACTCAGTTGATTACCCTCTTCGTCTTTTATTTGCATTAGCCCATCCATTAGATCATTTCTTGTCCCAACTCCATTTTCCTTCTTTTTCTTCTCTAGCTCCACCTTAAAAATTTCATTAAGCTTCTCCCTACACTGCAAAATTAATCATAAATAAGTATGAATCAAATATACAGACCCATTTGACACGAGCCATACGATAGAAACAACCCTCCTCTAATTTATAAAACCAAAATCTTTACGAAAGTTTAATTTTAATTGACCCGACGAGCATGGTGAAAGGCAGATCCGGGAAAGTTGAATGGGTGAGCTTTAACTCCTTTAACCACTCCATGAAACAATTTCTCCAGAGCATCTAGTCTAGGCCCTGGTTCTAAGCTTACAAACAATTTTCCGATATTCTCGTATGTCACCTGTAATAATTAATAATTAATATTTGTATTATCACTTAATAATTAAACCTTAAATTTCACGATCGCATAATTATCTACCTTCTTGACTTCCTTATATGCCTTGACTTTACCGGTTTGAGCCCATGAGTTGAGGGCAGCTACAATGCGAGGCTGTACTTGAGCTGCTGTGAGCCGAAGAGCACTGGGCCGGTTGATGGAGTTGATCACGAAGCTTCTCAGTCTGGAATGGGCTTTTCCTTGAACCACTACAAGAGAATTTTGGCCCAAAAGATTCGGGTCGGTCCACTCCAGAATGAATTTGTCGTCCGATTGCAATACAAATTTGTTGACCTCTGGGGAACATGAAATGATGGATGGGGATCCGAGGAAGTGAGTTCTGTACAATCCTACTCCGTCACCGTATCTGATAATTACCGTTCACCATCCCCCATTAATTTACAGAAGCATGCATGTATATGTATAAATATAGACAGAAGGAAAACGCTTACTTCTTTCTCTTGGAGTTGATAAAATCATCAGGACGACGAACAATCTTGAAGTACCAGAGGAATATGAAAAGCTCCCCAACAAAGGGTAAGCCCATATGACCAGGTGGGAGCTTTGCAGTTATATGATTAGAAGCTCTAAATTTGAGAGGAAGAACATACCAGAACTCGTTCCACCGCCAGACCACCAACCCTAGTAGTGGCAGAGCTCCTAAAATCCACCGCAAGAACAACAATTCCATTGCAGTTTTCAGTATGATTCAAATTACTTAATGTTGTGTAATATAATATATGCATAGACCTTTGTAAAAGATTCCTCGGAGATTATTCGCAATCCCATGTTTAGAAAAAGACAAGGTTATTCTTCTAATTTAATTAATGGTGTCAATAGAAATAGACAAGGTTGTTACTTTGTACTTCACGTTGATGTGGACTTCCTGTTGGAGATAAAATTATTTTTTGATATAATTCCTAAAATCTATAACACTTTGAAATAGATTATAAGTGTATTCCTCCACTCTATTCGTTTTGATAGTTCTTGAAGAAAAATTTTAGAAGTTATCAAATTGGACATGTTGAAAAACCACAGAATCGAACTACAGCCGTACTTATATTTGCAAATTGCAAGAAACCTCAAGGAAGCATATTTGCACATATGGTTAAAGTGATCGCAGCTGCTTATATAAAACCTTGAAAAAAAAGAATCACATTAGAATCTGATTTCCATTGCATGGTCCCGAAACAAATGAGTTAAGTCGCACCTTAATTAATATTACTCGTACTGATAGATTCAAGTTTCTTGATAAGGCAATGCAGCTATAATTATTGTCTCAAGTGAATTTGTATGCTCAAGGTAATTGCCCAAGAATGCTTGGAGACTATGTAGCTTGCAACATGTAGAAAGAAATAGTGCCAGTTTAGGCATCAGGAATTGCCTGTTTTATAGCAATGGAGCAACAGAATTGATTTGGGATTCTTCAAGCAATTCAAATGAATAACTCTATTGGATCTCATTTTAAGATGTGGAAAATCCAACTGTAAAACATTGATAAATTAGTTTAATTTCAGGAATATCAGAAATTGTCTAATTTCCAATTACTTCAATGAATGGTGGAAGAAGTTTTTGATTTTCATATTAGTATAGTGTTTGAAAGGATCTGATAAATGCTGGAAGATTAAATCTAATTTGAACTTCTTCATGCTAAATTCCAAGTCATTGAAGAATCAAAGTTAGCATGGAATTCTGGAATATTGGATTTTTGTTCTGGTTTGATCTTTAAAATCTCAGTTTGAAACCTTTTCTTTTTTCTGTTTGTTTGACATGAAAATGTTTTGGGATTGCCTTCCAATCATTACAAGATGATAACCTTTTCATAGTATGACTTCATTACTTACGATCAAGAAAGAAAAACACACTTGAGTTAATTTCAGCCGTGCATTCAAGACTGACGTATAAAATTTACCCACCACTTCCTTTGACTTGTGAATTGAATTGAATAGTCAGTTGTGAGAATTATGTAGTACTATTGGTTGGGATTAGGATCACAAAGCAAACTACAATTGTTATGTTTGTACAATCTTAATCATCGTCTAAAATTATACAACTTCTACCACTAAGATATTTTATTAATATTATCCATAATAAAAATAAATATGACACCATAAATTTAATCTAATGAAAATTTTACAAAATTAAGAATTCGATTTACGGCAAACATACATAAAATAGGTATATTATTTACAGAAAAAGATTTTTTAGTTTTTCAAATAAAATAATGAAATATTTGAACGTGGAATTTTTTTTATTTTTAAAAAAAAAATTCAGAAAATATAAAATTGTGCATAGAAAAGTTAAATTTAATTAAAAATATGTGCACACTATTTTCATATGCAAAATGAAATATTTGTTTAACCATACAAGACAAAGAAAATGTTGAGGTAGGGTATCCCACAATTAAAGCTATGAAGCTTTTGTCAATGGAAACGACAACAATACAGCACATCTAGTCTCCTGCATGTGGCTTTGAAATCGAAGCAAAGTGCAGGAAAAATCAACACGTTATGTCAAGCAAATAGGACTTTTAGGTCAAGAATGACCACTTAATTTGCTAATTTAATAAATCAAAAATCAAACCGTTCCAAATCACAAAACGTTTCGTATAATTTAGCTCCACATTCACATCTGAATTTCAGTTTGCACACGCATCTCTATGTTCAGACCGGAATGTCTTTAAGAATAAAATTTATTAAGAATTGCAGTCCACTTTTCATTTGTTCAATCGTCATATTCTTGTCTTGCCTCTTATTTATATTATTACATATTTTTGTACTCACTCTTGATCAATTAAAAGTGTCAATATTTAAGATTTTTCTTTGTTACACTATAAGTGTCATTTTTTAGAATTTAAAAGATAATTTATTATATTTTTTTTACTTTTTTTTTATCCTTTTTTATTAATCACACTATCAAAGGAAAGATCGATAAAATTAATCATTTTGATAAAAATGAAAATTGTATAGAAATCATATAAACTAACCACATTTTCTTTTTTCTCCCGTGCTAATAAGCTGAAAGTTGAAAGTTAATTAAGTGAGTATACCTTTTCATTATATTCAGAGCAGAGAGAAAGATGGTTGACAAGAAAGTAGAAAATGACATGACTGGGTGCACCAATCAAGAAGGTGGCATGAAATTGAAATTCTTGCTTGCAATTCCTAACACTTTAAATTCTAGTTTTTCCAACTTACAAGTAGAACCTCCCATTCCCAATCCTCCAGGCCAAAGAAACAGAGAAACAGAGACAGACTACATGGAAGAGAAGGGAAGTATAGGAGAGAAAGGAAGAGAGAAAGATCTTCCAAATGAGCAGCCTAAGATCAACTACAGAGGATGGAAAGCCATGCCCTTTATAATAGGTATCATCTTTGGTTTTGTGAGGAGTTTCTACTTTGATTGTTTTGATTTAAGTTAAAGATTTAATAGTAATTATCAGGAAATGAAACTTTCGAGAAGCTGGGAGCCATTGGAACTTTAGCAAATCTGTTAATATATCTGACTACTGTCTTCAACATGAAAAGCATAACAGCTGCAACTATTATCAATGTCTTCAATGGCACCGCCAACTTCGGTACTTTGGTTGGAGCCTATCTTAGTGACACTTACTTCGGTCGCTATAAGACTCTGGGATTTGCCACCATTGCTTCCTTTCTGGTACTAAAAACAATTTCTGTTAGATTCATTCTGCACTTTCATCATCTTTCTTTTTCTTTTTCATCATTTTACTTTGTTACTGTACAGGGACTGTTTGTGATACAATTAACAGCAGCGATCTCTAGCTTGCACCCTTCAAAGTGTGGGAAAGAGAGTATCACATGTAAAGGGCCTACACAAGGTCAATTGGCATTTCTATTTGCAGGTCTTGGACTAATGGTAATAGGAGCTGGTGGTGTTCGTCCATGTAATCTAGCATTTGGAGCAGACCAATTTAACCCAAAAACTGAATCTGGAAAAAAGGGTATAAAGAATTTCTTCAATTGGTATTTCTTCACCTTCACATTTGCCCAAATGGTATCTCTTACTCTGATAGTTTACATTCAATCCAATGTTAGTTGGGCAATTGGTTTAGCAATTCCAGCAACTTTGATGCTTATCGCTGTTGTACTCTTCTTTCTGGGTTCTAAAATTTATGTCAAAATTAAAGCTAATGGCAGTCCAGTGACTAGCATAGCTCAAGTTATAGTAGTTTCAATCAAGAAAAGGCGGTTGAAGCCGGTCGAGCAACCTTGGTTGTCTCTTTTCAATTACATTTCTCCTAACACAATCAATGCCAACCTTTCTTACACAAATCAATTCAGGTATGCAATTTAATTTCAGAAAAATGTTACTATGAAAACCTCGATGGATAGAATAGCTTAATTAAAAAATGTAATTGTTATTATCTACTGCAGGTTCTTGGACAAAGCAGCAATTAAAACCGAGCAAGACGAAATAAATCCTGATGGATCCCCAGCTAATCCATGGAAACTATGCAGTTTACAACAAGTAGAAGAAGCGAAATGCCTTGTAAGAATAATACCTATATGGGTATCAGCTATTATATACTATGTTGTTATAATACAACAACAGACCTATGCAGTTTTCCAGGCAGTTCAAAGCGATAGGCGCCTTGGAAGCAGTAATTTCAGGATTCCTGCAGCCTCTTATGTCGTGTTCTTGATGCTAAGTTTTACCATTTTTATAGCTATTTATGACAGAATCTTAGTCCCATTTCTGCAAAGAATTACAGGAAACGAAGAAGGCATAGCATTACTACAAAGAATTGGAATTGGAATAGTTATTTCCATTATTACAATGTTTGTTTCTGCTTTAGTTGAAGAACAAAGAAGGACCATTGCTCTTACCAAGCCAATCGTAGGAATTGCACCAAGAAGAGGTGGCATTTCATCAATGTCCGGTTTATGGTTAGTTCCTCAATTAGCATTAGCAGGATTAGCTGAAGCGTTGGCTACAATTGGCCTTATCGAATTTTATTACAAGCAATTTCCTGAAAACATGAGAAGCATTGCAGGCTCAATTTTTCATTGTGGCACGGCATGTTCAAGTTATCTAAGCAGTTTTTTAATTACTATTGTTCATCGGACGACCAAACGAGCTGCTACCGGAAATTGGTTGTCGGAAGATCTTAATAAGGGAAGATTGGACCTTTATTATTACATGATTGCTGCTCTTGGAGTTTTGAATTTTGGGTATTTTTTAGTTTGTGCTAAGTGGTATAAGTATAAAAGGGAAAGAGAAGATTCAATAGAGTTGAGTAATGAGTTGAAGCAATGTGAAAGGATTTAGCTTCTGGATTAGTTAGGTTATTCTGTTAAAAAATAATATAGGCAGTTAATATAGTTGTGTAATTCATTAAGAAAGTTATAGGAAATCGTATATATTAATCATAATATGGAGTATTAGACGTCCTTTTCTATTTTTTTCTATATCAAAACAAATTGACAGCAGATATGTATTCAGAAGAATGATTAATTAAAAAGAGACAACCTTTAAACCACACTTTCTCATATTGGCATGTGGATTATGAAATCTGTAGGTTTTCCAAAATCCATGAAATGTTGGATCTGAGGTTTATGAAATCAGTGGAATTTCACATTCCATCGTTTGGTTCAAAAAGCATAATTTATGGATTTGAAAGATATTTCTTTAAACGAAATTAAGTGCTTTAAATTATATTATTAATAGAAAACGCTGAAATTGAGAAAACTCACCGTGAGATTCCTCTTCTAAAATGATGAAATTGCAGCGATAGATAAATTTTTTTTTCAATTTCATAGATTATATTCTATTTTTCTAAATTAAATAAAAGAATATGATAATTCACAAAATGTATAAATTCAATTGATACAAACCACTTGCAAACAAATATATACACTTGCAAACAAATATTATATTAATATATATATATAATATATTATATATATATAGATATAATATGCCATAAATGGCCAGGACCGATCCAAATTTGGCAATTTGACAGGTAGGAGTTACAATATATATATGCATAAAGGCCAGGACCGATCCAAATTTGGCAATTGACAGGTAGGAGTACAAAACCATGGACCAAATCTAACCGATCCATTTAAATTAAATTCGATCAGTTATTCCAGAGAAATTAAATTGGTCAATTTACCTAGTTTGAATCGAATTTGTTGTTCAGTTACTATTTAAGGTTTTTTTATCTTTTTTTTTCCCTCAAAATTGTCAAACATCATCCTCATTTATCCTTACATGCACGTTAATGTCAATTCGAAGTTGAAACAACTTTCAAGATTCATGAACTTGAGCTTAAAGAACATGGTAATTTCAAAATTTATGAAATGACAAATCACTCTGAAACAAATAAATAGGAAGCAAAAGCAGTAATTTTTATCATTGGATTACCAGAAGTTCAAAAGTCCACATCCCCTAACTATAGAGTACCATCGTACAATCACCCAGCTACATATGTATTACAACGAAAAGAACCAAACAGCCTTAACCTTCCTAATATAGACACAAAATGGCCAAAAAAAAAAAAAAAAAAGCTTTCCCCTCTTGTGGCCATCAGAAGGTGAGAAGAGAGAGAGAGAGAGAGAGAGAGAGAGAGAGAGAGACTAGAGAATAAATATATTAAAAAGATGCAGACAGCATCCTTTAAATGGTGGAACTCAAATCAAAATGCCTTGTTGCAATAATGGGCATTGTCGTTCCAAGAAAACTCACAAGAAAATTCTGCGTACAGGTTTCTACTCCGAGAAGCCATAAAGCCCGTCATTTATTTTTCTTGTATACCGAGACGATCATCAGACCGTGTATGCCTGTTGAATTGTGTCTATGTCAAGCCCCTTCAGTCTCACCACTGATTCTACATGACCCTTGAGTGTATGAAGTTCCCTCAATCTGTAATTAAATATAATAAATCAGAAAATTTACTACTAATGCTTTTGTTGTGTGGTTTCAGAAAGTGTGATTCTCAGTAATGCAGATATTAGGTATCAGTGTTACTGCATACCTTGCGATTTCAGCTCTCCTTTTAGCCTCCTCAGCCATTTGATTGAGTTCAGTGAAATGGGTTCGCTCTGTGAACATCTTGGTGTCTGGAGGTTGCAACCCATGCAAGGTTCTCTGTGCATGTGCCCACTGAAGCTCTCGTTGTTCCTTACCAAAATCTTTTTGCCTTGTGAAAGCAATCTGCACAAAAAGAATAGCCATTTTGATAAAGCACATACAGTGCCCACAAATAAGAGTAATAACAAAGACTGCATTTAAAAAAGTAGTCCAGCAAGCCAAATGCCACTCGTACCCTTTGCTCAATAACAAGATCCCAGGCCCTTCCACTCAAAGCATAGCGTATGAAGAACTTGATGAAGTCGAGTGGGATGTAAAAGACGATGTTGTAAAGCCAAATCACACCAGCCCAACCCCAACCAATTCCTTCAATGGCAGCAAAACTCCAATTGGCATAGACTGCAATCAGAGTAGCCACCTGCAGAAAAGGAAATTTAAAGATAAAGGTCTTTTCTGGACAACTGGATAACTAGCAAGTAAAGGGATAGATCATTGTTTTACCAGCTGAGCAATCAGAAAAGCCACCACAAGTAATATTCCAGGACGTTCAACAAAAGACCAACTTCGTGACCGCGTCACGAAAATTAAGGCCTGACTGATAGTGCTCACTTGCAAGTAAATTGCTGACGCAAGCTTTCTGAAATCATCATGAGCTGTTTTCTCCAAGGTTGATACGCCAAATACCCTCTGGAAATTTAAGAGTAATGAAAAACAATCACAATCAATCACGGAGTCGTCTATCAGAATTTGACTACCAATATGTAAAATGGAAACAAACTGACAGCACGGGACAAAAAATTCCAAATTGACACAAGACGGACAAGTATGTGCATGCCCACAGTTTGTTTAAGTAAACACTCGTTGCATGCTTGTGTATTCCCATTAACTTTGTTACCCTCCTCTTAAAAAGACAATTATACTACCTAATAGTGCAAATATTAAAAACATATGAAAAAAGTAACAATGTAGCAAAACATAAGGCATCATAGTCCACATGTATGCATCATTTGGAGTTTAGGAAGTCTTTGGCCCAAGATATTTATAGTTTACAGATGAATACATTGTCAATGATCAGAACAAGTTTCATAACCTAACAAAAAGAAAACAAAAAATCTTACAGGGAAGAAATCTGTCTTATATGCTGCCCAAAAGAATATGACCGTCATCATTGCCAGATAACTACCAAGAATAATTCCAGTTGTAAAAATCTCCGCTAGCTTCCAGCTGTCTGGTAGAGGAGATGGCTTCACCCTATCCTTAGATATGGTCATAATGGTACCTGAAATTACATAGTGTTAATGAGCTCTCAAGAAGAAGTAGAAGATGAAAGAGTGGGGAAATACCTAATATGTCAACAAAAAAAAAAAATGAAAATTACAAAAATCTCAGTAGATGAGAAAAAATTTCCAAGAAAGTGCCACCATCCTAGTGTCAGGGAGTACAAACCTAGACAAGTGACAGAATTATCCACAATACCCTAAATTCCAATCCAACTAAAGCAGTCTTACTGAGTGTCTGGGGGGAGAGAGAAAGTAAAATACAGAGACATACCATCATTAAGAATAGCAATAATAAGCACCATAAATGGTGGAAAATCAAACTTCCATATAAGGGCCAGCAGCATGAAACCAAGCTGTGACAAAATAAAAAAAAAAAAATTCAGGCAAGGTAAGATAACTTTACAAAAATTTCCAGTGATAATCTTATATATAATTTAAATTACATATTTTAATAGAGTCAAAGCACTCTAGCTTACCACAATACGAATTGTGATGGAAACTGCATAGATCTGGCATAGAAAAGGGGAAAAGTCAGTTAACAATAATAAAGTTCAGCTGCCCCAGAGACTAACAGATGCATAACTTGTGACCAAGAGCACCAAAAACTGGCAACTGTATGCAGAACAACAAAGTGATCTCACTGTTAGCTCAATCACTTTGGTGAACATTACACCATAATCAGAGAACAATGCTTACTGTGTAATTTTTCATCCTTTGAAAAATTGCCCTACTTGTCAAGACAGCACTAATGATGACACTAAGTCCAGGTTCTGTGAGGACAATATCAGAAGCACTACGAGCTGCATCAGTTGCATCAGCAACAGCAATCCCAATGTCAGCCTTCTTAAGAGCAGGAGCATCATTGACTCCATCACCAGTCATCCCACATATGTGTTTCCTTGCTTGCAGGCGTTTTACTATCTCATATTTGTGCTCTGAAACAAGATACATGTCAAGCCCATCAGTGCAAAGAAATAAAATTAAACCCTAGCTGTGCATACCCAGTGATTACAAATGCCTGCAGCAAGCATAAACAAGAGGATACCAAAACCAATCTAAGGGAAGAAACTAAATAGAAGTACCAGGAAAAACGCCAGCAAAGCCATCAGCTTTTTCAATCAGTTCATCAATAGGTAAAGCAGCAATAGACTCATCTTTGTCGTGTCCTAGCAATGCAGATGAAGGATACATGTTGGTTCCCATTCCCAAACGACGTCCAGTTTCCTTCCCAATGGCCAATTGATCCCCTGAAGAAGAACCAAGGCTCAGCAACTCAAAAAGAATACGAAAAGGTAATCCTGATGATCCTCTGAAATGAGACTGATAGATCTTGACAGAAAGAGTAAGGATATCTTTTTCACAAATTGTTAGAATCTACAACAGATTGCTTTCTATATATTCCACTGCCAGCTGCTTCACTTTAGATCAATAAGCACATGCGTTTGTGCTTACAGTAGTCCAGTATTACTGAATAGATATAATTCAGTAGGGCAATAAAAAGCAACATGCTTTGATTTTCATTCTAAATTATATCAAATGATGAATGCACATGAGAATGTGTGGAAGCATGGTTCACAGCAAAACAAGAACCTGTAATCATTTTGACATTTACACCAAGATTCAAAGCTCTCCTTATTGTCTCAGCACTGTCATGCCTAGGTGGATCAAACAGTGGCATGAGGCCAATAAACTGCCAAGGGCCTCCAGGACTCTCTTTCCTTCCTTCTGGAACTTCCTGCACAATATGATGTAAGTACTTGATAAAAGAAAGTAGAGGCAATATAATCAAAGGAACAACAAAATTTTGTAATAAACATCAAATAATATTATCAGTCAATCAGAAAGGAGAGGAACAGGAATTCAATTACCTGGTATGCAACAGCAAGAGATCGTAAACCCCTTTCTGCAAACTTGTCAATCACGGCATGAACCCTTCGTTCAATATCTGACTTATTGTGTGCCAGATTTAGAATCTAAAACCACGTAGCAGACAGGAATTAGAATATATTAATGTAATTCAGGCTCTAAGAGCAATCTACAAGCAAAATGCAATGCATACAGTTTACCTGTTCTGGTGCGCCTTTGCTTACTCTATGCATTTTACCTTCACTGTCAATATACGTCAAGGCTGTTCGCTTATCAGTAGGATTAAAGGGAAGGAAATGAACTTCTTGAATTCCAGCACGAGCCTTTGGGAAAAAGGAAATAAAATCAGATAAAAAGAAGGGAGGAATAAGAATAAAACAAAACAATTAGCAGGAAAAGATAATTAAATGGACAGGAAGTATTTAATTACTTCTTTTGGATCAGCTAGCGTTCCAACAATAGCAGAATCTATAGCATCTTGATTCTCTGTCCTAGAGGCTCGAGCTGCCATCAAAATGACAGTATCTGCATCTACTCCTTTGGCAAAAACCTGAAAAGTTAAATTCAGAACATTTAAAACAATAACTATAAGTCTACATTTGATGCTCAAGCAATAGCATTGCCAACCAACCTCAACAAGATTTTTGTCAACAGTAAGTTTGTTTAATGTCAAAGTTCCTGTCTTGTCACTGCAAAGCACATCCATGCCTGCCATTTCTTCAATTGCAGTCATTCTCTTTGTGATGGCACCCTGGGTAACATTCAACACATTTGTCATAATTCTCACCTATTTGCCCAAAATCTGTTGTTCCACAGTCAATCAAAACATCTCTTATAATCTAGCCAACCTGCTGAGATAACCTATGAGAACCAATAGCCATTGTCACAGACAGGACAGTTGGCATAGCAATTGGAATTCCTCCAATGAGAAGGACAAGAAGATTATCAATTCCAGGACGATACTTCCGATCTTGAATGGGATACATGACAATAATTTCTATGATCATCCCCACAGCAATCGAACATATGCAAAAATTTCCTATTGCAGTCAAAACCTGCATAATGTGCAACAAAAAAGAAATTTTATCAGAATCACAAATATAAAGCACCAGAATGACAAAGATTCTAATTTATCTCTATCTCCTTGCCTTCTGGAAGTGGCCAACTTGGTTTGTGGTATCCACAAGGTGAGCAGCCTTCCCAAAGAAGGTATGGACACCGGTAGCAATAACCACAGCTTCAATCTCTCCTTGCTTACAAGTAGAACCTGAGTACACGCCATCTCCAGGTCCTTTTGTTACAGGAAGGGACTCACCAGTAAGTGCAGACTGCCAAACCAAAAGAAAGCAACTTCAGTAAAATAACCATAAAAAGACCAAGCCAATAAGAATTGAAAATTTAAAACCACGATAATAGCATACCCACCTGGTCAATTTTCAGTGGATCACCTTCTAGTAAGCGAGCATCAGCTGGAATAATATCGCCAAGTTTGACACTAATAATGTCACCAGGAACTAAAATAGCAGCATCTTGCTCAGTCCACCTTCCATCTCGAAGAACCTTTATACAATAGTAAAAGATGGAAACTAATATAAATTAAGAGGCCAAGAAATTATATTTGTGATTGTAATTACGATGGTGCTAGTTCTCAAGCACACAATATTAGATAGTATACATATACCAACAGCAAGATATCAAATTTCTTCATTTCAATCAGCAAGTGCCAATCTACTTATATTTATATTTGAAACACTGACCCTATTATATCTCTGACTTTGGTGTTAGTTTCTCATTCAAATTTGTGCTTTATGAAAATGCAAGCACTACAAGGATAATTTACAATATGTACAAGAAATAAAGTTCATTAAATTGGATACCTTAGCTTTTGGCGCAAGCCGAGCCATGAGAGCAGCAGCAGCATTACCAGCATTGTTTTCCTCAATAAAGCTAATAGTAGAGTTGATCAAAAGCAAAGTAATAATACCCACAAAGTCTTGCCAATCTGGAGGCTTCCCCTGTTAAAATACCCAGAAGATCAACTCAAAAAAAGTTTGAAACAAAGAAATTCGTATTCCAACTTCTAGGAATCCCAAAACGCTAGTATTACTTACTCCTCCATTTGCAAGAGCAATAGCCATAATAGCAGCAGCTTCCATCACCCATGAAAGAGGATTCCACATAAACCCCAAAAACTTCAGGAATTTGCTCTCCTGAAACAATCCAGAAAAATAAAATTCGAGTGTAAGAAAAAAGCCAAGACCTGAATTATCAAAGAAAATAAGAATAGACCACAGATATTAAAAGCAGTACCTGTTTCTCTTCAAGCTTGTTATGGCCAAAAATGGCTAGCCTCTCCTCAGCAGCCTCAGTTGTGAGACCTTCTTTACTACATCTTAGATTCTCAAACACTTCCTCAATGGGAATATTTTCCTGCACTCAAAAACAAAGGTTATGAGTTTCAAAAAAAAAAAAAAAAAAAAAAAAAAAAAACTCTGCCTCAGCAGCCCTCAGTTGGTGAGACCTCTTTACTACATCTTAATTCTCAAACACTTCTCAATGGGAATATGTTTTCCTGCACTCAAAAACAAAGGTTATGAGTTTTCTAAAAAAAAAAAAAAAAAAAAAAAAAAAAAAAAAAAGGAACAAGAGCACAAATTGCAACCAGACTATCAATGGCTTAAAAATATGTTCAGATCTATTACCAAATCCACAGCTTCCTTCAGCACAGCCTCCAAAACTTCACTTTTATCCCCCATATTTTCGTCTCTCACCAAAGTAACAAGCAAAGATGAAACTTCAAAGCACAAACACCATCCAATAGACCAAAACTTGAGATAAGCAGGGAAATCCAAGAGATACCAAATTAAAAAGACTTAATTGTCATCACAAATTAGCACTCAAAGGCCAAAATGAAGATAACCCACCAATACTGAATCTGCAAAAACAATTAACAATAAGAGAAACCAACCGGTGAGAGTAGGAGCAAAGAGTGTGCAAGTGACAGCCCACAACCTCTTTGTATTATATATCTTCTGCAAAAATATACAAAATCCCACACTAAAACTATTTATATCTAAAAGCTCCCAACTTCTGCTAAATATACTTGCAAGCTATGCATACGAGTATTATACATGGTATTATTTGGTAATTTCTAGCTTTTTAAAGGACTTGTGATTTTTTTCACAAATAATACTATTTTTTTTATTTAATTTTGTAATTTTTTTATGAAAATAACAATTTTGTGGATGCGGCCACCAACCGAAGAAGCCATCAATAAACTGCACATGCAGTCCACAGCCCTATCCCTTAATTTCGGTTCTTTTTATTTATTTTCTATAAATTTTGCTCACCACATCCCTAACAATAATATCAAAAAAAAATCAGAATGTTATCATCTCAACAAAAAAGAAAAATTATATTATTATATAATTTTTAGAAAATGAATTATGCTAAATTGTTGAAATATCTATAATTTAAAAATAAATAAATAAATATATATATCGGAAGGGCTAAAAAATGAAGGAAGGCATTTACATGATTATACCAGAACAGAAGGACTATAATTGTTATTAGCCTTTAATTAAGCTAGTTATAATTAATAATAGTTTCTTTTTCTTTGTTTTCATTTTCCATTTTCAAAGTCACCTTTGAAAATTGAAGGTCTGAACCCTAAAAACAGTTGTGAGAGTCAGTGATGGTTCTACTTTCCAACCAACTTTTGGCCTTTTTATTATTTTTATACAATTTTTTTTTTATTTTTTATCTATTTTTATGTACCTTTTGGCTTCACTAGCTCTATAAAACAACAAAGATCGGAAAATTCTGAATCCTACGGTTCCTTGTCAACCCGATGTTCCTCTCAACAAAAACGCTAAAAATGTGAGACTTTCCATATTTGTCCAAAATTATTTTATTTTTCTTTTCAAAAGAGGATGGTATTTTTTTCTATCTTTATTATTATTATTATTATTATTATTATTGTTATTATTATTATTAATTAAATCTTGAAATTGATAACTAATTAAATTGATAATTTAGGGAAAAATTTATAATAGTATACTCCTATCAAAATTGAGTATTAACCTCACACTCTCACTTTTAAAAATAAATTCACTTTTATTTTTAATTAAAAAAATATTGACCTTTCATATTTTTTTATTCAGAAAAAATTTGATGAGTAGAACAAAATATTACTTTTATTTTGTAGTAATTTACCTTTAAAAAAATTATAAGGATCAATTTGAAATTAAACCAAAATAATTTCTTTAATTTTTTTTAAACAAGTACTTAAGTTTCTTGAGATCTACAGTGGCACGTTTCTTGAACTTAGGTGAACTATCCACCAACAACTCTATATTGATTTGTACTGTACGTTTCAAATTTGATAATCTTATTTCAACAACTCAACTTTATTTATATTTACAAAATTTAATATTTTTTTATATTATTATTAACGAATATGTTAATGTTTCTATATACAATAATCCGATGTATGTTCTCACACATAAGCCAATCTAATATGAAAATTACATGTCATTTATTAATGTGTATTAAATGAAAAATAACCAGACGTAACTAGAATTAAACCCATCTAAAAAAAGAATTTTTTTTAATTATATTAATTGAATTATTGTAAAATCATAAATTAAGTATTCTAGGTGATAATATGAGATTAATTTTATTTATTGCTTAATTAGCAATTTGCCCAGGGCAGTTAATAAAAGATATGTATATATAGGAAGCACTAAAAAGGTATTTATATTATACATTTAGCTTTTTCTTCCTTTTGAGGTAAAATTATTTGATTGGCCAATGAAAGAAAAAGCAAAAGCAAAAGCATTCTGAAGCTTCATATAATTTTAACTTTTTTGAGGGAAGAATATATTTGTTTGATTTGTTGAAACTTTTGAATATAGAAAAGTATAATTTCGAGAATTAAAATTAGTGTAGGGACTTTTAAGAAAAAACAACTTTTAGCTCTTCCCTTATTCTTTTTTGGTTTTAGTTTCCTTTCTTCAACTTCACGTGATTGAAATTCTTCTAAATAGCAAAAAGGTTCACATGATTGAAATTTTAGCACATTCCTCCTTCACATGGGCTTCTATTTTTTGGATCCTTATTGACTTAAAGATTTGTGGAGTTTTTTTTTTTTTTTTTATCCTTATTGACTTAAGATTTGTGGAGTTTTTTTTTTTTTTTTTTTAGTTATTTTTTGTTTTATTTATTACTTTTAATAACTTTTTTTTTTTTTTTGTCATTAATTGGCAAGTAACTCTTGTAACATCCGACTCGGCAAAGCGATCCTAAGAGGGCGGATAGAGCAAAGCTCCTAGCTAGCTTCTAAGATGGCAGGCTAGCTAGAGTAGTGAAATGTGGGACACAGAAATGAATTAAATCATATATCGAAAATGAGAAAACTAATCGTTAGAGGCGTTTTTTGGTGGAATGGCTGGAGAGTTGAAAGAACTCCAAGGTTAAGCGTGCTCGTTTAACGGAAATCCTAGGATGGGTGACCTCTTGAAAAGTTTCTTATTTCACCTGCGGGACAAAACCGTGCGGGTCTTGCCAATTTTGTATGGGGGGTTTGCGGGTTCTTGCCAATTGTATTGGGGAACTTTAGCCTTGATCCAAAGCGGGACAAACTTTCCTGTAACACACTCTACTTATCAGATGAAAAGGTTATAACGGAAATCCTAGGATGGGTGACCTCTTGAAAAGTTTCTTATTTCACCTGCGGGACAAAACCGTGCGGGTCTTGCCAATTTTGTATGGGGAATTTAGCTTGATCCAAAGCGGACAATTCCTGTCACAACTCTCTTCAATGAAAAGGGTTATTTTTGCATTATTAACATTTGAAAAAGCTATTTTCTCCTGACTTATATTATTAATAGTACGTGAAATTTATTATTTTTATTTTTTAGAATTGAAGTTGTACTAATAACTGATTATAATATAGGCTACTAAGTTCATATTTTTCATTCAATTAAAAATAAAAAATTTATATCAAAATAGAAAATTTAAAAAATAATAAAATATCTAATTTATTGAAAATACTCCAAGCAAGAATTGAGACAAAATTGAAAATTTGGGATTCAAAACTTTATAATGTGAAAATTTTGTTATTAGAGAATGGAATCCAACAAGTAAATCAAAATTTTTGTAGACGATCCACTGAGTGAATCCAACTCATCCAAAAACCCTAAATTATAACCAAATTATGCACAAGGGGCACAATGATTGCATGTGCATGTGAATTGTGTACAGTATTCACCTAAATGGGACCCACATCCATGTGGCCCATGTTCTATTGATGGACATACATACACGTATTTATAAATATATAGGTTTCTAATTGATTAAATGGGGAAAAATTAATTGGTCCAAATAATAAAACACGCTTGAATTTAATAGTCATTTTTATAAAATCAAAAGCCATTTAAAAAATGTATTCGTGACTCGAGAAAATTAAAAAAAAAAAAAAAAGATAAATATGCATCTTTTTAGTTAAAAAAATTCAAATTTTAAATTTTTATTTTTTTTATTAATAAAAAGATTAATTAGACTATATCACGTTGAAGTCTAGAAAAAACGGACGTATATTTAGATGTATAGTATATAGCATAGTATAGAATACAAGTATACAAAACAGAGCAAAAAGCAAAAATATCACTTCACGTGAACTTTGTCTGTCTATTGGTTGGAGGAAAGGTACAATCCGTACTAGACCGTAACACCTCATCTCCCATTATCTCTTTATCTAAAATATTAAAAAAGGCAAAATCATATGGTATGATGTGAACCGCCAAAGAGACGTTGATCTGCACTGAGATATTCAATCAAGGCCGTCCATTTTAATGATAATCCATCTGAAATCTCAACCATTGGATTGAAAACGATTGAGTTTGACGGGACTGGTGTGTTTTTGGTTTGTGGGTAAAGCCTTTTGTAATTTGCAAGTTATAGTGTAAATTTCATAATAATGATAATAATTAATAATTATAATATATAATTAGAGGAGAATGAATTAAATTTAACAGTCTATGTATGTAAATATAGTAAAAGTCTGAAAATTGTAGGTTATGTGTCAATGTCCAAAGCCAGAAAGAAATGGCACACTGAACAGAATTGGTCCCCCTCTTATTAATTCATCCACACACTGAAAATTTAATGCTACAAAACATAAGCACATGAGCTGCTTCATTTTTAAAATTCATCTCTTTTTATTTATTACTTTCCTTTTTCTTTTTTATATTACTAATTTTATTAAACACTAACTATATAATCTATGAAATGCCAATATTCAAAAAAAAAAAAAAAGTAATAGATTAAGTAATAGATATTATGCAAAAATACTAATTAATCTCTAATAATTTGTTGTCAACATTTATTTCACATGGATTACTAATAATTTGATAAAAAATAATTAGGAAAAAAATGATAAATAAATAAATATATATATTTTATATTGAAAAAATGTACCTATTTTACTGTTTCAAACTGAAACTTCTTAACATTAAAATTGTTCTTATACATATGACAAAGAAAATTTGAAAGTTTTTTTTTTTATTCCAAATTCAACAAATACAGCATCAAGACTTAAAAAGTAAAAAAAAAAAAAATCACTTGTAAGGTTATATAACTATTAAATTGATTTAAATTAATATAAAATATTGAAAATTAATTTTTTTTTAAAAAAATTAAATTTTTTCTTATACAAATGGCAGGGAAATGAATTTTTCTTTTGAAAATTATAGTTTTTTTAAAAAAAGTTAATAAATTTAGCTTTAAGACTTAAAAAGTAAAGAGTAATATTCAATAAATTTAGCTTTAAGACCTAAAAAGTAATATTCTAAGTCTCCGATTCAACATTTCATAACCAAATGCATACAAATTTACTAATGTTTTTTTTTTTTAAATTAGCATTTTATTTATATTTTTAAAATTATAAAATTTAACAATATTATATAATTTTTGACACTAATAATAATAATTTTAAAAATTTACTATTACATTCTTATTTTATATTTTTAAAAATTATAAAAAAATTCTAACAATATTATTATAATTTGTTGACACTTTCAATAATAACTAATTTTAAAATTTTCGACTATTATATAAAATATTATTTTAATATATGCATTAATGTTAATTTAAACACTAATTCACATATTTTTAAATTATTTATATAAATATTATTTAATTTTTCTACCGAAAATTAAAATATTTAATATAAAATAATTTTATTTAATTTAATTAAACTATTTTAGCATGAAAATAAAAATTTGAAAAAGGCGTCATAAAACTTTTTCGCCAAATAAAACCTAGGGTGAGCTTTAATCTCCCAATTTCCTAGACTTTACCAACAATTTCATTAAATCAAAAGCCAAAAAAGCCAAGATTTAAAGACTCGAAGAAAAAAAAAAAAAAAAAAAAAAAAAAAAAAAAGAGTACGACAAGACCTATCGCCCAAAAGCAAAAAGCTTTAGTGAGTGGGCTTTAGTTAAATTTAGCTTTAAGGATATATATATATATATATATTTCAAAAGTGGGATTCTGATAAGCACAGAGAGGAGAGGATGATATACTTGTCTCGTACAGCTTTTGTTATATGGATGGTCTATGTCATATCATATCATATCATATCATATCATATGTATGAATGTGTGATTAATTTGTCATTTAATAACAAATAATTCAACATTTATTTATTACCATTTATGTCATTGAAAAAGCAAGATAACATGTTCTCCAAGTAATACAAATACGTGTGTGGTCCAAAACTTTTTTTTTTTTTTTTTTTTTTTTTTTTTGTTTTTTTTTTGAAACAAAGTGGTTCAAAATGGGGTTAATACGCACTTTTTTTTTTTTTTTTTTTTTTTTGAAACAAGTGGTTCAAAAGGTAATACGCACATAAATTCTAAAGATAATAATATTAAAGACTATTGCTATATGAGTATAATTCCAATTATTATGATTTTGAGAAAATCATATCTTAAATGTCTAAGTTCATATTAAAATCTCATATTTTCAATTTAAGTAGTACGTTCAACTTTTATTAATTTCAAAAAGAAAAAACAGAGGAACCTTTTGTTTAATAAATGGAAAGCCTAATCAAGACAAGGAGTACCAGAAACAGTTTCTCTAAAGAATTATTTGAGAAAATAAATAAATAAATAAAGTGGTCCATGCAGGCATATGAACACTTTCTTTTTACAATTTTATGTACTTTACAGGCACAAGGAATCTTGGATATACCAGAATTTGTAATGGTCATGTATGTATTAATTTCAATGCCCTTAATTAATTTGTATTTAGTTTGTGTTTTCTTTGTTTATACCATAATTAATGATTAATTAATCTTAATCAATTCAAAACCCAAATCTAAAAAGAACAAGAAGAAAGTGAATTCAAGAAGATGGTGATTTTTGGTCTATGAGGTTATGCTCTAAATTACAATATAATTAAAAAGAAAAAGAGAAAATTATAATGTCTTGGACTCAAAAATATTTTTTTAATTGTGCATGTTTGTATTATTTATTTGGCTTATTAGTTTATGATTACTTGCTTAACTCACTAATAGGCTATTATTTTTTTTTAAATTTAGATGTAACTTCAAATAATTAAAAAATAAAATTGGGATTTAAGTACTATATCAATCCTGATCACTCATTATACTTGTAAACATTAACAATGAATTTTAAATTATTAATAAATTCATCCTTGCACGGTCCAAATACTAAATTACAAAAAAAAAAAAAAAAAAAAAAAAACAAACCAAAATTGCAATGACATCATATATTAATAAAGGAGATATGTTTTATATATATATTAATAATGATATAACCTTCTATACTTGTTTATAAGCTGTAAGAGACTTCAAATGTAATACCTTTCACTTTTCTCAGTATTTATGAGAAGCTTGAAAAAGATTGTTGGAGGCTAAAATATTAATTGTTTTTAAATTAAATGTAAAAAAAAAAAAAAAAAAAAAAAAACAAATTGCAATGACATCATATATAATAAGAGATAGTTTTTATATATATATAATAATGATATAACCTTTATACTTGTATAGCGAAGAGACTCAAATGTAATACCTTTCACTTTTCTCATATTTATGAGAAGTGAAAAGATTGTTTGGAGCGCTAAAATATTAATTGTTTTAATTTAAATGTAATAACTTAAATTTGGTCATTGTTATTACAGTACCGTACACGCTTTACTCTCTCTGAAAATGAAATAAAAAAATTTGGTTGCCCAAAAAACAAGAAAGCAGAAATTCTGATTTATGACAAAAGAGCTTGACTTGAACATGAATTTCGCGTGATAGAAGAACATAAAAATGAGAACATTTTGTTTGTTTGTAGGAATTGCATATGATAACCTGATTTTTGGGTAAAGCATTTACAAAAAGCCAAACATAAAGTCTAAAGATGATCTAATACAAGAGTAGTTTCTGTAGTCGCCATTATTGTTTGAGCAATGCAGTTGTTGTATTGCTGGACACTTCACACAGTTGGTTTATACATAAGTCATTTACTCATTAGACTTGTCTTAATATTTAGTTTCCTTATCATGATTCTTCAACACTGAGGTAATGACAAAAACATGAAATATATATATATATATAGATGTAACGTTGGGCTTCGGACATTGTTAAGCCAACCAGCCTTTGGCATAATCATTAATTTTTAATTTTATAAACTGTAATAAAATATAATATAATGTGATAACATTACATTTGTAGTGCAACTATGTGTATAATGTAGATAAATGAAATTTATTCCGTTATATTATGTTATATTTCAGAGGTTTTTAATATAAATAGGTATTGATTATAATTAACATTTCAGAATTCAATACCTAAAAAATATATAAAAAAAATTATAATAAAAACATTAAATAATAAAAACAAATAATTCTAATATAATTTTTTTTACAATTAAAGAAAACAAAAGATACATGAACTAAATGGGCCCTAACATGTTGTTCAGCCTTTCAATTCAATCTTCAGCTGCAAACATTTAAAAGGTTGAACCACAATGCCCAAAATCTAACTAAACAGACAAGATCATCAAAAAGAGCTTTAGCTTTAGGGCCAAGACACACAAAGGTATTTAGAAATCAAGAGAAGAGAATAGAATAGAAGCAATGAATTAAAATTTAATATTTCTAAATGTCACAAAGTAAAAAATTTTGCTCTGAAGACCATAATTTTTTTGCGTACATAGCATCCAAACAAAAACTAAAAGATGCCAAGCCAAAAAATCATATGACTCGAACCAATTAGAAATTTGATCCGCCAGTTATCTTGCTCAATTCAGTTAGAAAGGTCTCAACTTCCCAACCCCAGTTACCCAATTTGCCCATGACATTAACAAGTAAGCCAACCTCTTCATCCCCAACGTAATACTAGGATTCACATCCTACAATACACATTATATTTACAACCAATGGTGATCGTAGAAACTATATAACGCACGCAATCAAATGTTATGAAACTCCTCCCAAAACTCTTCTTAGCTCAGATTTCTGTTCTGATGTAAGCCTTGATGGGTACCTGACATCAATCTTGATTCTCAAATTACCTTTCTTCCCAGGTTCTTTTGAAATTGGCATTCCTTCATTTGCGACCACTACCTCAGCACCAGGTTTCACAATATCTGTTAATGGGATCATGAGATTCCTTCCGTCGAGGGTGGTCAGATCAAGAGTCTTACCCGTGAGAGCCTCCAGCAGTGTTATCTCCTCATTCACCACTAGATCATTGCCATCTCTCTTGTAAATAGCATGTGGTTTCTCATCCACAACAAAAATAAGATCTGCAGGAATAATCCCAGGCTCCTGGTTACCCTTCTCAGGGAATGTGATCTTTGTCCCTTTCTTCCAACCGGGTTTTAGCTCAATGGTCACTATTTCTTCAACAGTCCTAACCTTACTGCAAGAGAATTGATGATGTTTCAAGTTAATGTCAAAAAGCAAAGGCAAATACATACGTTCAATTTCAGAATTATACTGAAACAAAGTTTGTTTATTTGTCTCAAGAGAACACCCCAGTGATTAAGCCTTGGGATTTCCATGCAGGGACCCTGGATTAGAATACCAAGTGGGACAGCGAGAGTTTATGGGAAAGAGAAGAACTATCCCTAATCATGTAGCTCATTTGAAATTCTGAAGTACCCAAAAAAGAAGCTTATTTATTTATTCTGCTGGCAAAATTCGTTCACAAACTTAAAAAGGCTTTATTCCCCTATATTTGGTACACTATATCCTCCTAAACACTTGGAAGCTGTGTGCTTCCCTTCATGTTTTGTTATTCAGAAACAGTGAGAACAGTTAGTCCAATGGCAGTAGGCATGCAAAAAACATTCAAGTACACGATGAAATTGAAAAGAAATAAAGATGCCAGTATCAAATAAAACATTTTGTTTGCATAATTGTAATACTTGTCTGCTCTAGAATCCAAAGAAAAGGCAGACAAGAAAAGCAACAGTTTGTTTGTGGTCGATATTTGACACATCCTACCATGAAAGGAACCAAAAATCCCATTCAAGAAAAATTCCCCCTCTGTTCACCTTACAGGTTTAATTAATCGTCATTCTTTAGAAGATGGCGCTGCTTGTAACTAGAGGTCATAAACTTCTATCTTGTTTCCACTTGCAATATCTCCAGTTTGTTCTGTGTCATAATATCCTAAAGGCCAAAGAATGCATGAGTAACAAAATTATGTTCCATAATTTTTTTACTTAAAATATCAGCAGTAAGATCCATGGCTGACAAATATTATCAGTCTGCAGCAAAGACGCTTGAGACATTTTTGGATGGTTATACAAATGAACAAAATAAGTAATGAGGAAAAAAATTTTATGCAAGACCCAAGTAACACCTGCAAACTGATGTAGACATACACATGGGAAAGGTATTTCATTCTAAGGCTCATCAGATTATAAAATTCTTCTTAACTGCATTTGAAAATTGCTCTACCATCTTTATACTAGTGGAACAAGGTAGCTCTAAGACTGCACAGACACAACTCAAACTGGCCAATAGAAGAGTAAAACTTCACCTAGAACCCCAAGTAGTAACAATAATGGCATATGTCCCACCTTACACCTATCCTATGTCCATTCACTTTCCAGTTCAACAAATTGAAGAGAGTTGAGAGTAGAGAAGCCATAACTGACAGAGAAATGTGCGGTATTCCCAGATGAATAACAGCCATAGCACAATCCAAAGCCAAACAGGGTAAAACAACAGAGCTAACTGTTGTCAGCCCACATTTTTCTTCCTAGTACTCACTGAGAATTTCTGATATAGCAATTAAAAAAGATTTAACTTGTTGATTAAGAGAATAGTATTTGTACAATAATGGAGAAAAAAAAAAAAAAAAAAAAAAACAACAGAAGCTAACTGTTTCAGCCCACATTTCTTCTAGTACTTCACTGAATATTTTCTGATATATAGCAGATTTAAAAAAGATTTAAGCTTGTTGATTAAGAGGAAAATAGTATTTTGTATCAAGAATGCCAGAGCAGAAAAAATAAAAAAACATAATTGCTTCCACCCATATCTTCACAAATCTTCCGATAAGTTCGTCTAATCTACCGTTTCTCTCCACCATAGGGTAAACTTCGAAAAATGTTAACCCTTTTATTTTCCTCAAATCTCGATGTCCTATCACTTTACTGAAAAAAAAAAAAAAAAAAAAGTATTGCTTCCACCCATATCTTCACAAATCTCCGAAAGTTCTCTACTACTCTTCATCTCACCATAGGAAACTTCAAAATGTTAACCTTTTATTTTCCTCAAATCTCGAGTCCTATCACTTTACTGGTTCATAAAAAGAGCTCTGCTTCCCATATTGTAACAAATACATTGATCTTGGCATCAGATTGACTGACTTTGCATATCAATTCTCAAGCATCCCAACCAATAAAAACAGCTTGCGAATAACCATCAAAGAAACTAGAATTTTCATAAATAAATTGACGAATGCAAATGTGATTTGTGCAGAGAACATGAAACTTTCTCTTGTATCTCTACCCTCCAAAAGTTTATAGCAGCAAAATTATCCTAAAATAACTCCTACCTAGTCTCGTCCTCTTCCCAAAATGTAATTTGGAATCATAGAGGGATCTCAAAAAATTTTAAACCATCTTCATCTCCCAGTCCCGGAGATTGCTTCAAAAAATGGTGGAAACAATGTTTCATTAATATCAACATGCAAAAAGTCATTAACCCAAACATCCTATTAACAATAATGATTATGCTAAAAAAGTACTATACATCTTATCATCTACTTGAAAGAATGGCAGCAAAATAGCATCTCACTTCTGCCAAACATGCCTCCATGATCCCAAACCATCAGGATTTCTATTAGACCTGGAAACCAACTCTTAAGGTCTATTCCATATTTTTCTCATAACATCCTCCAATAATTCTCCCCTATATCATAAATCTCAATAACAATTTGAAAGCAATTCATTGAAAATCGCAAGAGTCTTGATTCCTAACCCACTGGCACAATGTTCAGAAAATTATTAGCTCAATAGCCAGAAATAACCGCAGGACAATATAGGAAGGCAATTTGTGCAACTCTTTTGTAAGATATAAATACAGTGCCATCCAGAGAACTAATGTGCAAGCATTCAGTGACGTAAAAGGCATCAGCAAAGACATAAATTACCTAAACTATGAATTTGAACCAAATGAATGACCATCTACTGGAGTGATTGATTTTGATCTTGTGCACAATAACTACAATATAGCAGGCTGCCATCTAGGATGATGTCTAGAAATCATATGGCATTTGCTAATATTACAATAGAACAGAATGTCTCAAGACACATAGCACATGGATCATTAAAAATATCAGGAACTTAAGAACCCAAAAATAGATTACTTTTGTAGGAGAACAAAGCCTATTGTTGGCAAGATGGATCCATTACTAGTTTACTATTTGGACTATTTCATGAACCATTACACAACAGGCTCATGGAGTATAAGATGATCCTTTCCATGACAAATGCTCATCACATGCAACTTACACCTAATTTGAATAAGTGAGGCTCACTTTTGCATATGTAGACAGTTGCATGATCTTTAATCTTTAAAAAGACCAAGCAATGGGAGTGATATAGCACTAAATTAAGTGGCCAATTCATGTTAAATTTTTCAACTAAGATCTCTCTCCCCCCCCCCCCCCCTCTTGTGCATATGTAGACAGTTGCATATCTTTAATCTTATAAAAAAAGACCAAGCAAGGGAGTCTGCACATAAGCACTAAATTAAGTGGCCAATTCATCTTATTAATTTTTTCTATTACACTTCAAGATCTTCATCTCCCACACCCCCCCCGTATCACCCCACCCCCCTGTCATGTTACCTCCACTCCCCGCCCAATAAAAAAAAAAAAAAAAAAAAAAAAAATATGAGAAAAATACTACCGCAAGTTTTCTCCATTCTCTCTTACTTAATGCAAGTAGGTCCTGGACAGATTCCTACAAACCGTAATCCAAATTTGCTCCGCCAAATAAAGAAACACTCCTCACCAAGCGAAATCTCTACTTTAGCTCTCCACATTCATAAGACATGATGCATATAAGCACATTTCACTTGGACTTCACAAAGTATGCAAGCCCCAGTCACAAGAATACTAGCTTATTTCTTTGGAAAAGACACAAAAACAAGAACACGAGATTACAAAGCCCCTCCACAGAAAACCGAAATTCTATAAACTAAACATAAACTAAACCAACAATATACAACAATCAAGAAAAAAAAAAAAAAAAAAAAAAAAAAGGAGGAAAAATACTACCGCAAGTTCCATCCTAGCTTAATGCAAGTAGGTCTGGACATCTACAACAATCCAAATTGCTCCGCAAATAATAAAATCCTAGTCTAGCGAGAATCTCTATTGCTTCCACATTCATAAGACATGATGCAAAAGACATTCACTTGGACTCAAGTATGAAGCCCAGTACAAGAGATACTAGCTGTATTCTTTGGAAAAGACACAAAAAAAGAACAGAGATTACAAGCCCCTCACAGAACAATCTATAAACCTAACATATAGCTAACCAGCAATATACACCAATCAAGGAGTTGGGCTTAAAAGACAACCTCAAAATCAAACATACTTTTAGAGGTCTGATACGAGGAGATGTTGTACCCTCCCCACCCCCAAACAATAGTATTTGAGCTGATCCAAAGATGTTACTCTAAGATAGCGAGGGGCACATTTATTCTTATCGAGCATAAGTCAATTGTGTTAGTAAATGATCCCATTCTCATGATGTCCAGATGATAAAGAAGCTGTTAGCCTCATATTCATCATCTGTTGCATTGCGAAAGAATTCACAGATTAAATTTAATGATTCCTCCATTCCTAGAAGTTTAGTTCATATGATTAAGTCAATCTAGTAAAGGGTAAAAAAAAAAAAACCTTGTAAATTCAAATATATTACGTCTGATAGATTCATGGTGAGCAATATCAATCAAATTCTAAATTAATACTCAAAAAATAGCAAAACTAACCAAAACAAAAGCTTCCAACTCAAGAAATGGCAATAATTAACACGTACCCAGAAGAATCATAGATATTTCTCGAAATCCGCATCCTCCTTTTAGCACCTTTGTACAGATCCTCCAAACTACAAGGCAACGGACATTCAACTGCAGCTGCTTTTTTTGCCTCTCCTCCATTACCATAATGATAAGCGTGACTCTTAGAATAGCCCCTACCATGATTATTCCCTCCTCCTCCTCCTCCACCGCCGCCGCCGCCGCCACTCTCCGATCCAAACAACTCCTCGTATATATCCTCTGCGTCCCTGGGCTTGAATCTAAAGGACGGATTAGGATGCTGTCTCTGGTGATAATAATTCCTCGAAGAAGATGCTGACGACGTCGAAGCCGAAGCTGGAGGCGGCGGGAACTGACCGGATTTCAAAGCCTCTTCGCCATACAAATCGTAGATCTGCCGCTTCTGTGGGTCGCTTAGGACGTCGTAAGCTTCCGAAATCCGCTTGAATTTGGCCTCGGCTTCATTTCTCTTGGCGGAGGGGTTTTTATCTGGATGCCATATCATGGCAAGTCGCTTGTAAGCCTTTTTCAAATCATCATCACTGGCGTTCCTATTCACTTTCAGTATATTGTAGTAATCAATGCCCATATTTTCCCGTTTGTTACTTATCGGAGGCAGGAGATTAGAGACAGTAGGATGGGAAAGAAAGGACAAAAGAGAGTGCAGCGGAGGATTAGACCGTTGTGAGAGATGTATAAGTGGTGGTACCGTACTGGTGTGGTGGTGGCTATGGTGGAGGCAGTTAAGGAGGGAAGGAGCAGAAAGACGTGTACTAAGAGGGATATCATGTGGGTCCCGGCATAGCACTAGGTGTTACAAAATCCATATTATTTATTGTAGGGAAGGTGATTTTAATTTTGGGTACGATCTAAATGTGACTGATTGTGGCCTGGCCCACTGATCTACTGTTTTGGATGTTGATTTTTATTTTTATTTTTCTTTCAAAATTTATGTTTGTATATTTAGTTTTAAATTTATTTCTCAAAAAAGAAGTTTTAAATTTAAAATTTTAATCTTAACCTTATTATAAAATTTTTAAAATTTTAGGATTAAGGGCTAGATCAAGGTGATCTAATAGAATTAGACATTCTTTTTAAATACTCGAGAGAAAATGTTTTACCTCTCATTTATAAACATATTCTATCCGAATCCAAATTAATCGAATTAGTGTGCTTTGGATTCGGATTAATCTTTTGATTATTTTATCTTAATTAATTCACTCTCCAACAATATTATTCAATTAGTCCTTAGACCATTTATTTCTAGAAGGGTTCAATTATGTGCTTGTAGTCAATAGGATTGAGTTGGAACTTTCAGGAAATTGAAGAATGGTAGTATTATGCAGCCGTAAGATTTGACTAGGTATTGAGACAAAAAGTTTCCAGAAACTTTTGTCAAGAAATCACTTTATAGACTCAAATGGTGAGCACTAGTCCAATAATACATAAGCAAAAGAAGTCAAAACATAAATTATTTGTCTGTTTCCCTTTCACGTAGTGGGAAATGGGGACTGGAAACATTTAATAGAAGTGAATGATATTTCACAAATGAACTGGAAATTGATCTCTCATTTCATATAGATGCAATTCAAAAACCACATTGAAGACTTTCTGTAATAAATTTCCACTGCAGAATATACAATTGGAATTGATATTGCCGCGGTGGCAATTGCATACTATCTGAATTTTCACAACTGGGTAATGCCCTTTTAGATAAGTGCAAAACTAGAAAATTTTTGACACTAGGCTCAAATTTCTCATCACAAACAAACAATTCCAATCTGCATCCAGTCAGAAAAGCACATGAAAGAAAAATCATCTAATGCCGCCTATGTAATGACAAACTATACAAAGCAACGCGACGCTAGTTTGAACCTGTGATTTGCGTCGCCGCCACAATGGCTGGGCTGCAGCTAACTATTGTGACTCAATCTCTGATGCATGCTTCATGCAGCCTATAGCCAACTGAGTCTGTGCATTTGAACCCAAGAATATTCAGTATGTGTCCTAAAATTTGCATTTTGTGAAACCCACAAGCCAGACTCGTCTGTGGAATATAATTGATAAAGGACAGAAACATTCAGCGAGCACAAGCAAAAACAAGATCATGAACCTTTTAACTTAGACAGCATAAGATTGGCCGGTAAGCCCATCGTGGAGCTGCAATGAACCATCTTTCATCAGGTTAAGACTCAAGCTCTTGAATCTCTCCCTTGAATACTGTCGAGATGCCTTTCTCCAGTCAGTTCCAGCTTTCATCATTGCAACAAATTCCTCATAACTTATGTATCCGTCCTGAAGAATAAAAATAAAAAATACAATCAATGACTGTAGAAAATTATTGACAGAGAGTGCATGTATAACATTAGTTGAAGGCAGTAGAGAATATTTCTACTTCAGATTCTTGACCAGTTTTAAATTTCCTAATATGCAACATCTTGATAACCTTTTTCAGTCAATTTATCACAAAGAAATTGTATTCCAATTCCAAAAATCCACTTTGAATGTGATGCTACTTAAAAAGAAATTTGTAGAGAGATGGCTTAAAGAAACCTTGTCAGTGTCAACTTCACGCATGATGTCATTCAGCACATCATTATCAGTTTCACCAGATTCATCTGCTAAGGCCTCTCGCAGCTCATCCAGTTCTATATATCCACTACCATCCTTATCAAAAAACATAAAAGCCCTGCGGAAATGCTCATCATTCTCCATCTTCTGCAAGTGAATGGTTACAGCCACAAATTCTCCGTAATCCAGTACTCCATTCCCATCAACATCAGCCTAAACCAAAAATAAAATGCAGAGTCCACCTATAAGAGTTAAGATTAAACCTATACTGCAATTAGCAATTCCTGAAATCTATGATGCTTTGTACAATTTGTGAAAAAGTTAAGATGTCATATGACTTGTGCAACCAAAAACAAACATCAATTTACCAATATACATTGTCAGATATGTATACATGTATTTACACACATACAAGTGCAAAATGCAAGCATGGATCTAATCCACCAGAACTCATCTTTTTTTCATGGTGCACAGTATGCAATACTTGATCAATGCTAAAGGTGGTAAATTGGCAATGCTGCTATGCCACACAGAGCCAAGAATACAAGTAATTACTGGATTTCATCAACTTGTAAACTATCATCAGTGACACATCACTGCAGGCTCCTCCAGGCATGAAAGGAAGTAGGATTTCAATTGACTAATGAGGAGAGAGGGGGAGAGTAGAGAGAGTATTCTTATTATTAAAATCAGCAAAAAGAAATATTGATAAAAAACTTAAGAATACATTTCACTAAATAAGCATATAATTGATAATTTGATAGGCTATCACACATATGGATAAATATGGAAGGTTTTTCTATCTAAAACACATTTTCCAGATCAATCTGACATAGCATGGGAAGTATTTAATCATTGAATAATCCAAACTGCAAGGTGCAGTTCACTACTTAAAGGAAGTATCCAGCATCAGAATATAATTACAAAAGTAGCAATAATGGTATCAGAAGTCATGATATGAGATATAATCCAATGCAAAATCAAAATAGTGATTAATAAACTTGGACGTAGAATAAAAAGGTTAGATATAAGAGTTTACCACTTCCATCAACATTTTTATCTCTGGCTCAGCCAGTTGTGAACCAACCTTCCGAAGACCAGCCCGTAGTTCCTCATACGTTACTTTACCATCATTGTCAGTATCCATCAATGAAAACATATCCCGGATTACTTCAACCTCTTCAACAGATAAGTGTTCCGCAATTACCTATAGCATTTAATTGAACAAAGTTTATGGTCCTTAAAAGTTTACAATCACACAGACAGTAATAATTGATCAGAACTTGATTTGATTATAGCACATAAACAAAGAGATACTTTACCCGCAGTGCTTTCTTCTTAAATCTATTCATCAATGAAAACTGCTTGAGCCTTGTTCTCACAATATCTCCCAATGGCACATTTGGAGCTTTCTTTGCATTTTGTAACCAGGAATGTTCTGTCAAGAAACAAAATGAAAAGCACAAGTTGGTACACTCTTTTACAAAACACAAGCCATATTGCAGGTTTTCTTATGAATACTGGACGTGTATTATAACTTGAACAAATGGCCCCCTAAGTTCTGGTTAGACTGAGGGCACTAAACAAATGGAATATCTGAGCAGTGGTCAGCAAAAAGACCAGTCTGCTTATGCTAAAAGTGTCTCCTCAACAATAGACATAGGCATATAGTAACTGTCATATAATTTGAGAAATTAAGGACATAATTATGCTCACCTAATTACCTTACAATATTTCCTTTTGTGTTACCTATTTGTTATTGATGTTGAAACTGATTTTTTTTCCTCAAAAAACAAATTGTTTTAAGTCTTGCAAATGGCAATTTGGAAGTACTTTTTTTCGCTGTTTAAAAAATTTTCACAGTAGAAACATGTCAAATATAGTTCAATGTAATTAATCAACAAATTCAAGGTGGTACTTATTTTAATAGCAAGTACAGTAACAATCTCCAACTGACCCTTCAGAGTAAATTGCTTTCGGATGGCCTAACATACAGGAGGAGCTCATCAAATAAGAAATGCTAGGTTACTTTTTTCCGGGTTTTAGTTTGTTGGTTGGGTCATGCCTTAATCTCTGGTGAATAATGTCCAGTCAATATAAAAGTAGAAGCAACTTAGACTAAAAGGCCAAAAAGCAGTTCTAGCGACATATGCATTTAAAGATAGCACAAAGTGACATAGAACCATTTGAGAATGTTGGAAGTGTAAGAGATAAGGCTTGGTGTCTTCACAAGTAGATATTTACAATTTTCCTCCCAACAATACATATCCTCCCTGAACTAATTTCCTCTTTCTGCACCAGCATATAACACAAACTGGACAGGAAGGGATAAAATCCAGGGTTCATAGTCTTTAGAATAGCTGTATCTCTCTGTGGAAATTATTTATACATGAGAAAGCCACCACCACCGGAACAATGGTCATATTCATGTTTTGCCAATACACACTCCGACTAAATATTGAAGACAAACACGAATTCTCATTGAAAAGTTGAAAATTCTCCTCTTTAATCCCAAAAGCAAAGTTATAAGAATGTTCTATTTTTCAGAATACTAGATAAGTGATTGCAGTTAATTAAGATAGACAAGCAAGTGAAGCTATCTGAAACCAGCAAAGTTTCAGTGTCACATGAAATGTTTTATTTTTGCCCCAGTAAAATAAATATAATCTGCAAGGTGGATGAGAAGCGGAAGCCTTATAATATATTTCTTTCGACAGTTGATTCCCCACCATAATCCTAACAACTAGTTGAGTCTGAGGTCATCGCAATTTGCAACCCATCAATTCTTTTAACAATTCCTTGCCAATAAAGGGACAGCCACGAATATTGAGAAACTCACGTAACTATGCAACGCAGTACCACAGCAAAATCCAATCTCAAGAACTGTAAAGGGACTTACCAAGCACTTGCTGGGCAGTCAAGCGCTTTTTGGGATCTGGTTCCAACATCTGCCGGACAAGACTCTTAGCACTGTCTGAAATCTGAGGCCAAGGTTCCCTCTTAAAATCAATCACTCCCCTCAAAATTGCTAGAGCAACACCCTGCTCAGTCTCTGCCATAATCAGTCAAAAGCAAAACAACAGCTTTATAATCCGACCAGAATAGTTTTATCACCGATATCATATTACCAATACTAGCATGTCAATAGCATACCTGCCCAAAATGGAGGAACCCCACATAACAAGATATAAAGTATCACTCCAGCACTCCAGACATCAACCTCCGGTCCATAATTCCGCCTTAACACCTCCGGCGCCATGTAATATGGACTCCCAACGATCTCTGTAAACTTCTCCCCTGTCACAAACTTCCATACCTCATAAACTGAACCAGAATCAAGTGGAAATTTTTTTTTCCCAGGAGACGAGAGAACAAACATATGAAAAGACTCAAACTTGGGGTTAAAGCTCAAATTTAGAAAAAAAAAAATCTCATCAGAACAGGTGAACACTATTTTTCACCTCTCAAACTCAAACTTTAACAAATAATCAATATAAAAAAAAATCAAAATTACCCACTTCTAACGAGTCAAAGTGCCAACCGTTAAGCAAAGTCCCATAAGAATAATAAAAAATAAAAAAAAATCCCAAACTCAAGTTCAAGAACAAAATACAGCTAAAACCCAGAATCAAACAAAAACCAGTCGACAGTGGTAACTCAAAACTCAGACTCAGCCAAACCTGGAAAATAATAAATCCAAAATTTAAGAAAATAACTAAATAAATAAAAATACTATTTCTTAAAAAAATAAAAAATCCAGATACAAACCTGGCTTGAAAAACACTGAGAGGCCAAAATCAATAGCCTTAAGAACAGAATTCTCCTTCTTATTAGCAAACAAGAAATTCTCGGGTTTCAAGTCTCTATGCATAACTCCATTTTCATGGCACATCCTAACTACCTCAGCTATTGTTCTGGCAACATTGGCCGCCGCCCTCTCACTATAATGCCCTCTGGCCACTATCCTATCAAAAAGCTCCCCGCCCTCACACAACTCCATAACCAAATGCACGTTTTCATGGTCCTCGTACGTCGCCTTCAGCTTCACTATGTTGGCGTGGTCCGGTAAGCTGGACATAATCGCCACTTCCCTTCTTACGTCTTCTATATCCACAGCTGTCCGCAATTTTCGCTTTGAAATCGACTTGCATGCCAAGGCTTCTTTAGTTTCTCGGTCAGTACACAAATACGTGATACCAAATTCTCCTCGGCCAAGTTCTCGACCCAATATGTACTTATCTCCGATCCGAGGCCGGTGGCTTAGTGGGATCACGTCCTTCAACACTCGGATCGGAGCGGGAGATCGGATTGAATCCTCAGAATATGGATTTGGCTTTTTCTCTTTCGACTTCTTCTCTTTCGACTTCTTCTTGCGTCTGTGATTTGTTCGCTGCTTTTTAGAATCCCGGTTGGTTTCTGGTCTTACACAGGCGTTGCAGTTTCCCATACTGTATGTTATATATTTTCCTTATATGGATGTGAGAGAGAAAAGAAATGAGACCAGCTGGTTGTGCCGGAGAGCGGCAGAGAAGGAGGAGGAGAAGGTGGAGGTCCGACGAGAGAGGATTTGGTTTGGGTAAGAGAACGAGGAGGTGGCCAGGAGGTAGAAGAAAACGCGGGGTTCAGTTGAGAAAAAGAGGGCTTTTTGAAAAATTAATGTTCCTGTTATCTTTCTATGGTTAATCGAGTGATTGATTAATATATTAATTAACGTAATAATTATCTATTTGGTAATTTAATTACTCCATACTACATTTTATGATTGAGCTGCAAGGATTGACCTTTGCAGTTGTGAGTGAATTTTTCAGTGTGCGACAGGACAGAGGAGCTTAAGGTGATCTTTCATGTCAACAATATGCACTAGACTAATTATAATTTACAAATTATAATCATTTATGCTAATTGATAAATTTCTGGAGAAATTAATAAAAAACAATTTTGTTTATTGATACGATAATATTTGACTATTTATTAAAAAAATAAAATAAAAATAATTTTTAAAAAATTTTTATTTTAATTATTTTGATCTATAAATATGTACATAGATCGAATTATTAATAGATTATTATGCAGAATCAATTTATTAATTTGAAAAATAAATTCACATTTTTCTTATTTTGTGTGAAAATTTTACTAAGAATGGAATTATAATAAACGTTTTTATTGATTTAATTTATAATTTCAATAGTTATTTTATTTTATTTTTTAAAAAATTAATTTTATTTTTATAATTACACAAAATTGGTTTTGGTTTTGTTTGGACGTTGCTCCTACTAATCCGTATCTAGTCCCAACCACCCGGATAATGTTTTTCACAGCAGCTTCTTCCACGAGGCAATTGCTCAAATGATTTACGGGGGACCCACGAGCTCATAAAGAAAAGAATGTTCTGCTTTCAGGGAATGAATCAGTCTGAGCCGCTGATCCTAGTAATTTTTAAAGAAAGAGTAGAGTTACATCAACGGCTGAGATCTTCCTGGTATGGAGTCGTTGTAGTTGGTCACCGGTTGAGGGAATACGGTAGCCTTGACTTGAGGTCTGGACGCCAACACTAACAACAAGTAACAAAATTTGCTTTTAATTCAGTGTCAAGTTTGGACTTTGGACCGTCTGTTTTTGGTGTCTAGTTATATTTATTTAATTTTCATTCATTATATTTAAATATGAAGGTGAAAAATAACTGTAAAAGAATAAAATTTAAAAAGAAAATAAATGTTATTATTGAAAATTAAATTATTTTTCTCATTATTACAAATAGAGGAGTTTAAGTAAAATATTAAGAACTATTTAATCTTTTTTATGTTTAAAATTAGTTTAAAACTCAAATTAATAAAGATTAATTAATAATTAATCAAATCTAGCTTTAAAAATATCATATTAAGTAAAAAATTAAGCTACCAAACGAATTTGTAGGTATAATCATCGGGTAATTAATCAAGGACAGTGGCAGATTTCAGACGGAGACTCAGTCAAGACAAAGGAACACAAAAAGTCCTATGAAAGCAACAATGGACGTATTCTTAAAAAAAAAAAAAAATCCATGGAAAAAATATCAAGATTCCACCTTCAAAAAGTCAACAAAAATGATGAGCTCCTTTGCTAAAAAGCCACCTACCTACCATAAAATATTATGGTAGGTTAGGCTTTCTTTGTTAACTCTTTCTTTAAATTAATAATCTGTCACGGTTTAATTTAAAAGTATATATACATATATATATATATATAATTCAGTTTCAATTTCGAAAAAAAAAAAAATCCAAGCAAATTGGATTAATTCGATTTAATTTCAAAAACAATTTTTCAGTTTGATTTTCTTTATCGAATTTAAATATTTTATATATAAATTTGAATAAAATTAAACCAAATGCTCACCGTTAAAAAAAATTCATGTTTCACTTTTTAAACAAAATGAAAATACTTTTGCTTGTGTTTGAAACTAGATTAAAAGCATGTGCATGTGTTTTAATTAGTGCAAAATAGTAATCAAAATTACTTATGTTTTTTTTTTTTTTTTTTTAAAAGCATGTGCATGTGTTCTGTTATTAGTGCAGAATGTAATCAAATTCACTTCATGTTTTTTTTTTTTTTTTTTTTGGTAATTAGGGTTTCTTATTGCAAACGCTTTCCATCATTAAAGCCAAAACATAAATGAAGATGATCCTGATTTTTTTTTTTTTTTTTTGGTAATTAGGGTTTTCTTATTGCAAACGCTTTCCATGAATTAGCCAACATAAATTGAAGATGATCTATTACACACATTACTCTAATTTGATTGCTATAATTGTAATGATGCATAAGCAATGATCGTAACAATTATTATATAAATAGCAATAACTTGATCTAGTTTTCAAGTTTTAATTTTGTGACAAGCAATTGATGCTATTCTCATGATTAGATAAGCTATATGCTATCAACTACCATAACTATCTTTTTGTTTTTCAATTTCCATTAATTATTTTTTAATAGAATTAGGATGTATAAACTATTTTCAGGCCGTAGAGCAAAAAATTTATAAATTAAAAAAAAAATGTTATTTTTAAAAAATAGTTAATAATAATTAGAGGAATCCTATAATAAAATTTTCAAACATGCGCTATAAGTACATGACTGTCTAGCTAAAATATAATGGCAATGCTTTCGAGTTTATTTACTTTCAAATACCATTTTTTCAACATTGTGACACTTTCTTGAAAGTTATGAGAATAATTGAATATTAACTATACATTGGACAATGTCAATGCACCAAAGGAACAAAAAGAAGAGTGAAAAAGAAAAAAAGAAAAAGAGAATGAGAGCAAAAATCATATTTAGTTTCTTTGCATTTTTAATGATTAATATGAAAAAATAAAACCCTTTTTTAATTAATTACATTCATTTTTTAAGAAATTACCAATTTATCATTAATAAACATTTTCTTTTTTTCTTTTTTTTTTTTTGTTAAATTGACAATGGAGTTAAGAATATTAATGGTACCATGTTGTGCATTTTCTACATGGAATTGACAAATATAAAAGGACTTGTTATATCGGATGATTTAGAATAAATATTAATTAAAATTTGTATTTTGTTGTCACGTAACCTACGGCACAACCCATTCTCCATGTGCTTTGCCCTCTTGTCTCTTGCTTTTAAATTGACATGCTCTTTATGGCATTTGTTTTGCTCAATGGATTTGTTTTCATATTTTTTACCGTTAAAAACATTTTACTAAAAATCATTCTTTTTTTTTTTTAGAAAGAGACTCCAAACGAAAACCAGAAAGCAATGATGGGAGGACTCCTTGAAGGTAGGGAAACTTTATAACCTGGCATTGATAAGTTTACATGACCACCATTATTATGTTTGATGATAAAGCATGTGCTCCTCCGCCCCCCACCCCACGCCAACTCCATAAAGCACGATTCTAAACTTTTGCCTTTTTCATCTGCCTTTTCCTTTTTCTATTTCCATTTTATATGTGCCAAAATTCCATATATATGCTGATATTCAGGCATGGAATTAGGTCAAGCTTGATTGACTTGTCTCGACTTAATTCACCTCTTTATTTATAAATTAAATTAGCGAAAGTATGAAAATAAAAATATTTTTGATTATACATTAAGAAAAAATGATAATAAAAAATATTTTTTATTTTTTATTTTCATTAATTTAATTTATAAATATAGTTATTGACTCAATTTAGATAATTATAATCTCGTTTAACGTTAAAGATGATGTCCTGAGGCTAAAACTTTAAAGAAAATGTATTTAAACAAATTATATTTTAATCTCTTAAAATTCAGAAATTACATTTTCCTCCCAACTCTATTTTCTAATTCTACATTAATAATAATATGCGATGCAATGATGCTGAGACAAAAAGAAACTCTCTAGAATCCAGTAAAAGTCATTAATTACAAAATTAGACTTATATAAACTCGGTTCATAAGTTCACCCATGAACTAAACTAATCATAATAGATAAATTTTTTAATATTATTTTTATTTTATCCTTTTTTAATAATTGGTAAGAAATACTCTCGTTTTAATTGAAATTTTTCATCGGTTTGATTCATTAGTAGGCTCACTCGGAGATGGAGTCTGGGTAACTTGGCAAGTCAATCCCACATCACCATAACAAGCAACCACTCTACGGCATGTCGTCCACCAACATAAAAATCAGAGGCAAATATTTGTTAGAAACGACATCATCATAGTTTATATAAATATATATATGTATGACAACGACATTCATCCAATAGTTATATAAATTATATATATGTATATATATAATATATAATATATTTTTTTTTTTTTTTTGCGCGATTCCATTCGCGATGAGAAAATTGGGTTTTTATGTCCGCCATTTACATAATGGTTGGCCTCAAATATTGGGCCAGTTTAGTCCTGCCTGATTCGGCTGATGCGAATTCCAAGCGAGTACCAGATACATAATTGCGAGTACAGATTCAGAAGAGTCCGAACATAGAGGAGACAAAAGAATCGGTCCCATGAACATCCACGGGATACTTTACCGTATCAAAAAATTTTTTTTTGCGCGATTCCTTCGCATGAGAAATTGGGTTTTATGTCCCATTTTACATAATGGTTGGGCCTCATATTGGGCCAGTTTAGTTCCTGCCTGATCGGCCTGATTGCGATTCCAAGCGAGTACAGATAATAATTGCGAGTACAGATTACAGAAGAGTCGAACATAGAGGAGACAAAAGAATCGGTCCCTGAAATCACGGGATACTTTCACCGTATCAAAATCAGCTTGACCAACAAGAAACATTTGAGCATTTCACAGCAACTTTGTAATGCTACGCTGCTGCTTATCCACCATAACCCATGTATAACTCCATTGACTTACCGTTAGATCATGCAATTCTAATTAACTCAGATTAATGAAAAAAAATCATTAATGAGATTTTTATAATGTAGAAGTTTCTACATTCGAATGGAAAACTGAAAAGCTTGGATGATGACTTAGATATATACATCACATACATTGACTGAATCCAAAGGTTGAAAATAGAAGTAAACTAAATTTTAAATGTGAAAGGGAAATATGCATTGAGATTGAAATTGATCTTCTAGATATTATTATAAAACAGTCTAAAATTTATGTTTAGTTATTTTTAAATTTTTACAATTAAAATTCATAAATTTTATTTTAAAATAAAAGTTGCTTATCTATCGTTCATATTAATTTTTTCACTACTAAGATTAACAAAAATTAAGAATCTATTTAGATGATGAAGTGACTCTGCTTCATATTTTATTGAGGTAAATGTCTTTTCAAATTATGATAAAAAAATTCAATAATTTTTTTTAAATATTAGTTAATAAAATAAAATAAAAGAATAGGGTAAAAAAAACATTAAAAAAAAAAAAAAACTAGTGTTCAAGGTTGAACCTCCCCTCCCCTACTTGCTTGGAAAAAACTCACGAGTTGACGGCAGAGAGAGGAAAGCCGCCTCCTCTCGTTTCTTTCTTCCATTCCGCCTCCCCTCCGGAAAAGACCCTGCTTTTCTCTCTAAGCTCGTCTAGAAGCTCACACGTCGGTTCAGGTACTCCAAAACATCATCCAAATACACATGTTTGTTTGTGCATATCAGTGCCATTGTTTACTGGCTGTCAGCTGTTTTCTAGCTTCTTGTTGTAATAACCATTTGTTTGTTATTTGGTTGTTGAGTTTTTATCTTTTCTAATTTTCTTTTATTTTGGTCTATATGGGTGATTGAGAATATGGGTTATTGTAATTTGCTTGTCCTTCATCGGATGTGTAAGTTTGAAGCGGTTTATTAATGCCCCTCGGCGTTAATGTACGGATAGATGTATTTTTAGGGGTAAATTTATGTTCTTTTGTTGGATTCATTTGTTTTAAACGCAGCAGAGCAGGGTGGTGCGGATGTGTAACAGAGTAAATTTGGTGATTAATTGAAAGTTCTGTGGAGTATTTGCATTTGGATGTAAATTGGCAAGAATGGTTTAGAGGCAAGCAGTTTGATACTAGATTGAAGGAGTCTGTACTGTTTGTGTTATCTTAAGTTAATTGCTTGTTGGTGTGGTTTTGTTAGTGATTTGAAGTTACTTCATCGTGTCATGCTATGATTGCATAGGTTTTGGCCCTTAGAAGCTGGAGATATGATTTCTAATTAATGGGTGGGTGATCCCATTTAACAGTTTTGGTTGTTGAAGTTTCACTGTGCAATGTAATTTCTTTTTTCTTTATGTGGATTGGTTGGATAGATGTCAACAACATATTGATTGTCGAAGGAGACTCAAGAATAGAAAAAGCTCAGGGTTTGAGGCAGCAGAAACACGTGCTACAAACATATTAACATATTATTTACAACATTTATCACTCTAGTGAGCACCATCTTGGCTCTTTTAGTTTGCTTTTGAATTTGATGGAGTAAAGAAGCAGCTGCCTTTATGTTATGCTGCATCTTTGATTTTCGATTTTGGAAGAACGTTCCTTGTTCTCCCCATTTTAGTTTATCGGCTATTGCATTCTCTCTCTCTTTCTTTGAGAGGTTGTGGGACAGGCAGGGCGTATGCATTATCGCCCCTGCAGGAATGCACAGCTTCTACTATCACCATTTTATCAATGCAATATGCTTTGTTGAGACTTCTATATATCATTGAACATGCACTATCCACTCCCTCCTGTTGTCTGTGTATTTATTGTAACTACAAACCGTAACTTGCTTCCTGTTTGATTGTAAACGTGTCTGTCTTGGGAACATTTTTAGTATCTGAATTGCTTTTTGAGTATTAAGAGCTGACATTGTGATTCGGAAGGACTGCTTCTGAATAGTCCCTTTCAAGTATTGTCTATGCTCTACAAGTGATGGAAACATTCACTTTACATGTTTCTAGCAAATGATTAGGCATTTTTTTTAAACTTTCAAATTCCTTTCACTTAATTGTGTTATGATCTTACAGGCCATACCTGGTAGCCTATTTAAGTTTCTCGCTTGGCATATGAGCTCCCATAATTGTAATCTGCCTTTTTTGCTATAACTGGATCATACTTTAATTTGATAGCTACTTTTGTTGGGTTTCTTTGTTTCCCAATCCCAATTAATTTTATTTATTAGTTTGTGATATGGTGTCACGTGTATTCATTTCGAAACCTTGTGAGCATCTACGTGCTGTTTTGAGAGTTTCACATCAATGATCCTTTTCATTATCTATTTTCTGAAATAGAATTTTATAGGTGGTATTCTTGTCTTTTTTATTTTTTTTAACAACGATCATTTTGTTTCATTGGCTATTTGGCTGGTTGGTGGTTCTAAACATTTCTCATGCTGCGGCCACTATGGAAATACAACTTTTGCAGATATTAAGCAGGATATCCTTGTGTTACTGAATCAAGCACATGAGCAAACAAATTATGCAATTTATTTCCTGACCTGTTCAGAATAGTATGAAGTTGGTATTTTGGTAATGACTTTCACAGAATCATTCTTGTTGCAGGTGTTTCTGTGATTGCAGATCATGTTACGAGCAAAGCAGCTCAGTAATCTTTCCAGTAATGCGAGGTCGTTTTTTCTTAATGGAACAAGATGTAGTGCAACTGATGGTAGTTCATGCACTTGCTCTGAAGATGAAACCTGCCTTCCAAGAAGGCATCAAACAAGAAACACTGTTCTACCCCAGAATGCATCCACCATAGTACCGAAAACTTCAGCAAGGGTGGAAACATCTGTTTTGCGAGATGCCGGAAAATTGTTGGGCCGTCACAAAGTTGAGAGTGTTGAGCACCCAACTTTGCCACAAGTTGCATCTTCTCCTAGTTCTTTTGGGAGCTCAGTTTCTGTTAGTTATGCCAGTGGCATTGATGCTGTTGAGAAGGATGCTACACACTCCTCACCTCCGATTTCAGACCAGTTCTTGAATGCAGGTATTGCAGCAGTTAGTTTTCTATCTGATTTAGTAAACTACAAACTTCCTATGTCTGATGGAAGTGGAATAAACTCACCCAAAAACTGCATGATTGACCCCACCAGGGCAAATTCTGCTATAAAATCATCAAATGTGAAAACCATCAGGAGAGAGAACTTTACTAAAGTTTATCGAAAGCCATCTGTAGAGCCAACAGTAGTGTCCAATACCAGTAACTATAACAGTTCAAAGGATAAAGGCGAAAAATCAGGTTTTACCAGAGGTTTCAAACATGTTTCAAATAGTGCCGCTGGTAATTCAGCAAAATCTCATAGCATAGTTTCAGATACATGTGATAAAAGGAGGACTATACCTCAAAGGCCAAAAGGTTCAGCAAACCGGTTCATTGCAAATTTTAATTCCAACGCACAGAATTCTGATGCTAAGATTAGAGAACACTTTGCTGAAGATTACAGAAAATTGTCGAGAGATGCTAAAATGTCACCTGTAATTGCTCCCAGCCCCAGACAGATTGCAAGCAGTGGGCACATCATGGAAAATGTTTCTCAGATACTGAAACAACTAAGGTGGGGCCCTGCAGCAGAGGAGGCTCTTGGAAATCTTAATTATTTAATGGATGCTTATCAGGCAAATCAAGTTTTAAAGCAGCTTCAAGACCATACAGTTGCTTTTGGCTTTTTCCATTGGTTGAAACGGCAACATGGGTTCAAGCATGATGACCATACTTATACAACCATGGTTGGCATTCTTGGCCGTGCAAAGCAGTTTGGTGCAATTAACAAATTGCTTAATCAGATGATCAAGGATGGATGCCACCCTAATGTTGTAACTTATAACCGTCTTATTCACAGTTATGGCCGTGCAAACTACCTAAATGAAGCAGTTGATGTTTTTAATGAAATGCAGAAGGTAGGGTGTGAACCTGACCGTGTTACATATTGTACACTCATTGATATTCATGCAAAAGCTGGGTTTCTTGATTTTGCTATGGAGATGTATCAAAGAATGCAAGCAGCTGGCCTTTCTCCTGACACATTCACTTATAGTGTTATAATAAACTGCCTTGGAAAAGCTGGCCATTTAGCTGCTGCTCACAAGCTATTTTGCGAGATGGTTGAAAAAGGATGTACTCCCAATTTAGTCACTTATAATATCATGATTGCATTGCAAGCCAAGTCAAGAAATTACGAGACTGCGTTAAAGCTTTACCGTGAGATGCAGAATGCAGGATTTGAACCTGATAAAGTAACTTATAGTATAGTCATGGAAGTGCTTGGACACTGTGGTTATCTTGATGAAGCGGAAGCAGTGTTTTCTGAGATGAAAAGAAAGAATTGGGTGCCTGATGAACCTGTCTATGGCCTTCTAGTGGACTTATGGGGAAAGGCTGGAAATGTCGAAAAGGCTTGGGAATGGTATCAGACCATGCTCCACACTGGCCTGCGCCCAAATGTGCCCACTTGTAATTCTCTTCTTAGTGCATTCCTCAGGGTGAACAGGCTGGCGGATGCTTATAACTTGCTGCAGAGCATGTTGAACTTGGGTCTAAGCCCTTCTTTACAGACTTACACATTGCTTCTCAGTTGTTGTACAGAGGCACACTCACCATGTGACATGGGGATTTATTGTGAGCTCATGGCAGTCACGGGCCACCCTGCACATATGTTCCTGTTGTCTTTGCCATCAGCTGGACCTGATGGTCAAAACGTGCGGGATCATGCTAGTAGGTTTTTTGATCTGATGCATAGTGAAGATAGAGAGAGCAAAAGGGGACTTGTAGATGCGGTGGTTGATTTCCTTCACAAATCAGGGCTCAAGGAGGAGGCTGGGTCGGTTTGGGAGGTAGCTGCACAGAGGAATGTATATCCAGATGCTATCAAAGAGAAAAGTTCATGCTATTGGCTTATTAACCTACATGTTATGTCTGACGGAACAGCTGTGACTGCACTATCAAGGACACTTGCTTGGTTTCGCCGCCAGATGCTAGTCTCAGGGATTAGTCCCAGTCGTATTGATATAGTGACTGGATGGGGCAGGCGGAGCAGGGTGACAGGATCTTCCTTAGTACGGCAGGCAGTACAAGAATTGCTGCATATTTTTAGCTTTCCATTTTTCACTGAAAATGGCAATTCTGGGTGCTTTGTTGGTTGTGGGGAGCCTCTTAACCGCTGGTTGCTCCAATCTTATGTGGAGCGGATGCATTTACTGTAAGTAGCTGTGTTTTTGTTTTAGTCATGTTGCTTACACAATTTTGTTGCGGCGAGTAGAATAGACATTGCAGTGTCATGTGCATAATTATGTATTGTGTTTCAACTTAAATCTAACTCCTTGCTGACTTTCGGTGTCAGTAGTATTACATTCTACCATAGCTTTCGGCTTTTACTCCTGTCTAGTGCAAGTTCAATAATCCAGCTCCCTCTCCCTCACTCCAGTATTGGATCAGTTTGAATTGTGTATCATTTGGAGTTAATTACTATGAGATTTCTCATAGCAATGAATATATTAAAGCAGCTGCCTATAAACTTCCATGTGTATATTGTAATATGTACTTACGGGCTAAAATAGTTGTTTACTGTGTATATATTTGTTTTTTTTTGGTAGTTTTTCATGGATTCATAATGTATTTGCTGCAGAATGCTAATTAGTAATTATAGTTGTATGGTGTTTGAATTGTGTTTCCCTACTTAAGGCATTTAAATGGTGTTTGAACTTGCTTATTGAATTTATTTAACAAACGAGCAGAATTTAAGCTCAGTTCGAGTCTATAAAAAAGCTTTTTTAAAACTAGTCATTATAAATTTAGAGAAGTTTAAGTTTAGTTGTTCAAATTAAATAGAGTTCAAGCTGAACATAATTCAAATTAATTTGGTATTTTTGTAGTCTAAATGAACTGAGTCTGCAAACGAGTCGAGTTTTGTTGAACTTAAACTTAGAAAAAGTAGTTTTAAATTTGCTCGCCTCGAACTTGGAAAATTGAGATTTAACTTAATTTTTAATAAAAAAACATTATAGCTTGTTAAAAGTATGTAAGTAGTGTAGGCAAAATCATCATTGAGACATGTATGCAATTTCAAGATCTGTAGCATTTGCTTAGGCAAAATCATTACATCCTTAATATTTATGAGAATTGATTTTGTCCTCATAATTCCCTGTTGAGATCTTGCACTCTCTCACTCAAATCATGTTTTTATTCATTTTTCTTTTTTGACGTACATAAAATTTTCTCATATGCCATAATTACCAAAAAGGTTAATTATATATATATTTTTCATCATTTAAGTACAAATACTCATCCCCCTCCCTTCCTTTTAGTATACAAAAAATATAAAAAACATTAATAAATAATTTTATTAATTGATTAATTTATAATTAAAAAGTGATGTTGCTAAATGACAAGGGCAAGAATAAACTGAGGAGCAAACCAATGGTTAAGAGGTCTTTAACTTTTTCAATACAATAAGAAAACAACAACTTAATCATGAAGAGACAAATACAAAAACAATATATTCATTTCTCACTAAGCAATATATTTATAAACTAACAATTTCACAAAAAAAAAAAAAAAAAAAAAAAAAAAAAACGGGCAAGATAAACTGAGGGAGCAAACCAACTGGTTTAAGACAGGTTCTTTAAACTTTTTCAATAACAATAGAAAAACAACAAACTAATCATGAAGAGAACAAATACAAAAACATATATTCAGTCTCTCACTAAGCAACTATATTTATAAACTAACAATTTCACAAAAAAAAAAAAAAAAAAAAAAAAAAAAAAACTCTTTTAACTTGTATTGTATAATTCAAACCATATGACATATACATACACCATGAAAAGAAGTAAATCTTGGTAAATTATATTTATTTTGTGAGTCTGTTGTTTTTAATTATTGAATTATTTAAATTAATTACCACTTAAAAAAAAACCACTCATTTGCATTATATATTAATATATAAATTGCAAATTACAAATCACAGAACATTTTGAGGGTGTTTGATCCCACATGAGCGTGTATTTATATAAAAACAAAATAATAAATAATAACAATAATAATTAAAAAAAAATAAACTTGATCAATCAAAGGTTATAGGGTCATTAACCAGTAATCACATCCAATAATATAAATATCACCGTCTTAATTTTTCATCTCTCATCAAGCGTAGCTTCTCTTCTTCCATGGGTAGGTACCTGTCTGTCACTCACCCGCTCTGTCTAACTCTTCCACTATCCTCTTAGATTTCATCGCTTATTCTATCTTCTCCGGCCATCGTCACTGTTACCGCTATCGTCACCGGAAGGTCCTTTGAAATCCCTACTTTGCCCCTACATTTCCTCCTCCTCCTCTCAAAAAACCCTCAAGTAAGTGTTAAGTCTCTTCCTATAACCAAATACATTTTGTTTTATAAACAGAGGCAATTATATTCATGTTAATAATCAGATTATTGTAACAAACCCTATAATTGATGGGGCATAAGAAGCGTACCCCTACTTCTCGGTCCAAACAACTCCCGTCGGCTACGACGGTGCCCTCCGATGAAGCCGAGACTTCTCCTAATCCGGTTAATCTTCCTCTTGCGAAGATCGAACCCTCCATTTCTCCTGAATCGGATGGTTCGACTTACTCGGGAATCAAGCTCGAATGCGAGCGGGCCTTGACTGCTCTTCGCCGAGGTCATCATACCAAAGCTCTCCGCCTCATGAAGGAGTCATGTGCTAAGCACGGAGATAACTCGCCGCACTCGGCTTTAATCCACCGTGTCCAAGGCACGGTCTGTGTTAAGGTGGCTTCGATAATCGATGACCCCAACCGTAAACAGCGGCATTTGAAGAACGCGATTGACTCTGCTCGAAGAGCTGCGGAATTGTCGCCGAACTCGATTGAGTTCGCGCATTTCTATGCTAATTTATTGTACGAGGCGGCAAATGATGGGAAAGAGTATGAGGAGGTTATGAGAGAGTGTGAGCGTGCGTTGGAGATTCTGAATCCGGTTGATCCTGCTAAGGAGAGCTTGCAAGATGAGAGCCAGCAGAAGATAACGACTGCGGAAGCGAGGATTGCTCACGTGCAGAATGAGTTGAGGAGCTTGAAACAGAAATCGAGCATTGCTTCAATTTCGACTTGGATGAAGAACTTGGGGACCGGGGAAGAAATTAGATTGATACCTATACGGAGAGCCGCCGAGGATCCTATGGAGGTTAGGTTAATGCAAGCTAGAAGGCCCAATGAGATTAAGAAGGCTACAAAGACACCTGAAGAGAGACGGAAAGAGATTGAAGTTAGGGTCGCTGCTGCCAGACTATTGCAGCAGAAATCTGAGAGCAATTCAGGACAAAATGAAGGAGAAAGGAGTGACAAGGGAATGGAAGCACCATCAGGGAGTGATAAGAGAGGAGAGAGGAGAAAGTATGGGAATAATGTGAGGAAGAGTGGGTCTAATAAGGAGAGGAAGGATTGGGTGCAGTCATATTGGAATTCAATGAGTATTGAAATGAAGAGGGATTTATTAAAACTTAACGTTAGTGATTTCAAGAGCTACTTTGGGTCATCAAAGGATGGTTTGGCTAGTGAGGTCTTAAATGAGTTATTGACGTTTGCAGAGGAGAATAAGACATGGAGGTTTTGGATGTGTTGTCGATGCCATGAGAAGTTTGCAGATTCTGAGAGCCATATACATCATGTTGTGCAAGAGCATATGGGGAATCTTATGCCTAAAATGCAGGCAGTTTTGCCTCAGAGTGTTGACAATGAGTGGATTGAGATGATTCTTAATTGTTCCTGGAAACCATTTGATATTTCTTCAGCAGTCAAGATGCTTGGAAGTCGAGGGAAATGCCAAGATGCAGACCTTGTTGAGGATTTTTACTCTGGAAATCATAATGAGGAGTGTGATGATTGCTTCAAAGATGCATGGGATTCTTCTCCAGAGAAGGAAAATTTGAGGGATAGCTATGATGATTGTACCACAGGGAGCAATAATGCTGATAGAGTTTCCAGTATTGAGTGTAAAGAATGTGATGGAAACCAGGGTTCTATGGCATATCCTATTGATAGCTGGCCATTATCAGAGGATTTGGAACGGGGAAAGCTCCTCAAAAAAATTCATGCTGTATTTGAGGCACTTATTAAACATAAATGTCTTGCTGCAAGCCATCTAAACAAGGTCATACAACTTACAATGGATGAGTTACAGACTCTTGCTTCTGGTTCCCAACTTCTGAACCATGGTGTGGACCAGACACCCTTGTGCATTTGCTTCTTGGGAGCATCCCAGCTTGGAAAAATCCTCAAATTCTTGCAGGAACTATCTCATTCTTGTGGTTTAGGAAGATACTCTGAGAAAAGTAGTATAGATGATGTAAATGCTGCTCAAGGTCCCGACATGAAAGAGAAAATTGTTCTTAATGGTGATGCATCATATCTCTACCTCAATGAATTTCTGTTGCAATCTGAATGTTCTCCTGGAACATGTACTCATGATGGTAAGGCCACAGCAACTTCTACTAATATTGGCTATGGAAATGGGGTTCTACCTGACGTTGATGCTTTGCTCTCATGGATATTTGCGGGCCCCTCAAGTGGGGAGCAATTGCAATCATGGGTACGTACAAAAGAAGAGAAAGTGCACCAAGGAATGGAAATTCTCCAAACCCTTGAGAAGGAGTTTTACCACCTGCAGAACCTTTGCGAGAGAAAAGGTGAGCATTTAAGCTATGAAGAAACATTGCAAGCTCTGGAAGATCTCTGTCTTGAAGAAACTAAGAAGAGGGACTCTGACACTCGTGATCGCAGCTGTTATGAATCTGCACTTAGGAAGAGGAGGGAAGATCTCGTTAACAATGAAAATGATGCTCTGTTCAGTAGCAGTAGGATTGAGTTAGATGTCATATCAAACGTATTAAAAGAAGCAGAAGATCTGAATGGCAATCAATTTGGATATGAAGATACTTATGGAGGTATGAATTCTCAATTATGTGACTTGGAATCCGGGGAAGACAATGACTGGAGAACTAAGGATTATGCGCATCAAATGGACACTTGCATTCAAGTTGCTATCCAGAGACAGAAACACCAGATATCATTAGAGGTCAGTGTGTTTGGTCTACTAGCTCTTGTATATATAATAAATGTTAATAACGATTCTTGTCCCTTTAATTGGTTGTTTGGCCATGCAGCTCATGAAAATTGATGCCCGAATCATGCGAAATGTATCTGGGATGCAGCAGTTGGAACTCAAACTTGAGCCTATTTCTGCCCATGATTATCGGTCGATATTGTTACCATTAGTGAAATCATACATGAGGGTTTGTATTGGACAAGTCATGACTTTGCATGGCGTTTCTCAACTTTTCTGGTTATATATACTTATATGTATATTGGCAATATCTCTTTTACAGGCACACTTGGAGGATTTAGCTGAGAAGGATGCCACAGAGAAGTCTGATGCAGCAAGAGAAGCATTTTTAGCAGAACTTGCACTTGATTCTAAGAAGGGTACTCGAGGAGGAACTGATAATCTGAGAAACACACAGGAGAAATCGAAGGAGAAGAAAAAGAACAGAGAGTACAGGAAACCCAAGGATTCAAAGGTTTCAATTTCATTAATTTGCTTATGGGCATATTTTATATGTAACTTCACTGTGGAAATTTTATACTTCACTCATAACTGATGTTGCCTGAATGATGTCTGTACATTTCAGGCTACTTTTGGTAATGAGCAGCACTTGCTTCATGATGAGACTGCTGAACAAAGGTATTTCTCTAACTTGATTTCACTTTGCACTTCTATGTTTGCTTTTCTTCAATGAGTGCTTCCACTCTGTTTTGCACCTACGTACAATTAATGCAAATAGTGAGTAAAACCTAAGCTATTGTTTTTGATTCGTTTCTTGCTGCAGTTCCTTTCCAGTTGCATCTGATGGTGACCTCCCAGATTCTGATACTCTTCTTTCATTTAATGATGATGACTTGAAACAACTTGATGAAGAAGTTAGACGTAAAATTGAGCTTGAAGCAGAGGAAAGAAAACTAGAAGAAACTCTGGAGTATCAAAGAAGAATTGAGAATGAGGCTAAACTGAAACACCTTGCTGAACAACAGTATAAAAAGTCTAATCGAACATTTCCAGAAAATGTGGCCTGTATACTGCATGAGAATTACTCAGAACCTGGTGCTGATGATATACATGAGCCATCGGTAAGCATTAGTTTTTGATTCTGTCCTGTTTTGGTGTTATTAATTTTTTAGTTCAATTACATTGTCAGATCTTATCCCGTTACTACTTTTATGCTATCTGTAGAAGGCTTTATTTGAATATTGAAGAGAACCTTACGCGCTTGCACTTTCAGGAACAGTTGACTCAGAAGAATGGGTTTGCCAACAATGTAGAAGTCATGCCTATGGCAAATGGTGCTGCAGAGACGGTAAAATATTCTGCACTATCTAGTGCGCAAATGATTAGTGGTGCACATAATACACAAGTAAATCAAGGTTAGCATCATTGAATAAGGTCTCTGGATGAGGCTATGGTGGCTGTAATTGTTGGAAAATTTTCATCGTCTTTGTTTGGCAGGGCTATCTAATGGAGTAATTTCAGAGGATGGCCTCTTACCTTCTGACCGGCGAATAGGAAGGAGAAGTAGGCGGCAGAAGAGTTCTACTAGATCTTTTGATGGAAAATATCCAGCTTTTTCATCAGAAAAGAATAATGTTGAAGGTGGAAATAGTAAGTATTTCTACTATGTATTTAATTTTTGTTTGCATTCTACTGTGGACATACTACATCATGAATGGAAAAGCAAATGTGGGTGGACCTGATTTGTTAATGATTGTTTGAATTTGGAATGACATGTTTATAATATGAACTATGTAGCATGTTAATGTTAGTTTGTATGTAAATTAGTAGAGTTGCTTTTTATCTTCCTCTTCCCTTTCCATGCTACTGCCTTAACTGGTTGACATTGAAGATTTAATCTGTTTATATTTAGCTTTGTCATTTTATTGTTCACTTTAGTTTATTAAAAAGGTTAAAAATAGTTCAGACATGGTTGTAATCAGAGGGCAGCTGATGTTGAAATTTTAATCTGGACAATAATGCCTTGGAGTTGAGAATATAGTACTGGAAACTGCCACTAATTAGTGACCACTTGACTCCTTTTCTGTTTAAAGAATTATTGATAATGTCAACTGTGACATGTGCCACAGTAAACATAGAATCAGGATTCTTGTATAAGATATTGTTTGCAGCATTTTCTATGTTATCTTCATGCATGGCTTTGGTCTTTCATCCATATTCTGTAAGATTGTTCAGACATTGAATATAGGCCTTTATTCCTGTATTTCTCTGGGCAAAATAATTGTTTCAAGCCACCTATTGTCATAGTTGGTTCTTAGTTCTTTAAGTTCTTACTACATGCATGAAACTTGTATCACATATACTGATGTGCGAAATGAGTTATTGAAGATTCTAGTGTGTAGGAGTGCATCATTAATAGTGTTTCAATAATTGTTCTGTTCCTTAATTTTTTATGAATGTCGAATTTAGTGCAATATGTAATGTTAATATTAATTATTTTGCTTTATAAAATTTGTCCACATATACAAGATCCCTATTTTAACTATATATCTAAAGACATATTTTCCAGTCCTTTGCTGTGTCCTTTTGCATTTCTATTGTCAAGTGCTCTTGTTGCCACTTATTGATGGCTACAGAGAATCAGCAAAATATTCTTATGCTCAATTACTATGAAGTTGAAACTGATTTTATCATGGATCTGTCCATGTGGAACCAGTTACTCTTAGTATGGGGGACAGTGGAACGAAGACATTGAGACAATTACAGGCAGAGGAGGATGATGAGGAAAGGTTCCAAGCTGACCTTAAAAAAGCTGTACGCCAAAGCCTTGGTAAAAGATTTTTTCACCATTTATTTAGTATTGTTATACCTCTGATTTTTTCTATGTTAAACCAGATACCAGTTGATGGTCTGTGAGGGACAAGACTACTCACAGACTAACTATGTGGAGACTGATGCCTTGTGCCGTTAAATTTAAATACTGCTTTTCAGTATTATCATCGGCACATTCTAAAATCATGTTATGCCACCACATTGTGGAAGCTTGCGAAGCTCCAAATTGCATTGCTGTTATATCATCTGTTTTTGCAGGATGGAATGTTCTTGTAGGACCATGGGTTCCCAAACCAGTTTATGATATTAATTTTCAGCAACCTGGTCAATTAAGTCAAGTCTGCCTTGCTTGTTTTGGCACAGTAAATTGAACTATTTATTTATTTATCTATTTTCACCATGGGAACTTTGATATGGTCGAATTATGGGATTAGCTCTTTGGCCTATAATATCTTCTATTTTATTTAAGCAGAAAGAGGCATACTGCCATGGGACTTTGCAGAGTGAATGTTGCTTTGCAAGTCTTTGATACGGATGCACATGTCATTGCTAGATGAACATGTCATTGCAAGAAGAAAGGCTGACAAATGCTTCTTTTCTTTATAGTGATGATCCACATGCATTCATCTACTTGTCAATAGGGTTGGACATTTGGTCATGCGGTTTACCTTTTACTGAATTTGCATTAACCGATTTACATATTTACCAATGGAATTTTACTGTATACCAACCGATTTACTGAATTGATCGATTTACCATACTAGGGCTGGCTTTTTTTTTAAAAAAAAAAAAAAATCAACACCATTTTGAATAAATCGGTAAATTGGGAATTCTGAATTTTTTGGGTACCTTACTGAACCATGTACTGAATTTTATCCAAACAAGTTACTTTACCGTTTGTTATTTACCATTTTACTGAACTGTTTCTATCGAATGTCTTCGGTTCAGCTCGGTAAATCGGTTTTTACCATATTTTTTCCACCCCTAATTGTCAACATTCAGGACAATTTGCTTGAAAAGAGAATGGTTTAGTCGCAGTTATTATGCGATCCTCCAATTTTCTTGGGTTACTGCTTGTCACCTAACTAATTTATTAATGGTCAGGCTAATCGCTCATCTACTTGTGACTCAAAGAAGGAATATACTCGAAGTTCCAGAATTGTTATTCATTAAACAAACTCAGAGATAGTTTGTTGGAGTACCATTTGCAATGATGTAATTATGATTTTGGACAATTTTACTTTTATATGTATTGGTACTATGCTAGTCAGGTTGACATTGCCAAGTTAAGTGAGATAGACATTATGAAAGTTGAAGTGAAATAAATAGGTTTGCCCTGTTAGATGCATTCACAATGTAATGCACACATGATTCACATTTTTCACTATCATCATATGGCTCAATCTCAAACAATTGCTCATGTTAAGCTGCATTATCATTAATGTTGCCTTGCTTTCCCTTTAACCAATACTTTAGCTTGGGCAAAAGTCTGGTTTGAGTGGCATACATTTATCAGCATCTTAAATGTCTGTTGTTTCTTTCTGTTGATCCTTGAGTTGAAAATATTTGCAACATTATAGCCTTGTTATTTCTGTTGTTTTTCCAGACACATTTGAAGCACGTCAGAAGATGCCCTTGATTTCAAGCATGAGGATACCACTAAATACACCTTTGGAAGCTAACAACGTTGATGTTTCACCAAATGAAGTTGCATCTGAAAATGTGGAAGGAACTGATATGGTTGGTACTGGCTTGCAGAATGATATAGGTGAATATAATTGTTTTCTGAATGTCATCATACAGGTATGATACATGCAATAGAGTCTTTATTATTATGATGTTTATTTAATTTATGCTTTCTCATTCATGTTCTGTACCCTCTTTTGTTTTCCTTTTCTTCTATAAGCTCAGTCTTTATGGCATTTAAGACGGTTTCGAGAGGAGTTCTTGCAGAGGTCAACATCAGAACATGTTCATGTTGGGGAACCATGTGTTGTCTGTGCATTGTATGATATTTTCACTGCTTTAAGTATTGCATCAACAGATATGCGAAGAGAACCTGTTGCTCCCACATCTCTGAGGATAGCCCTAAGCAATTTGTATCCAGATAGTAATTTCTTCCAGGAGGTATTTTTCAAGAACTGTGTTTGTACCCCTTGTGGTTGTAGATAAGTTGTAAAAATCTCTGTGATTGTTTTTTTATTTGCTCACAAGTTAAGAATTTGTATTTGCAGGCTCAGATGAATGATGCATCTGAAGTATTAGCAGTAATATTTGATTGCCTTCATCGAGCATTTACTTCTGGTTCAAGTGTTTCTGATTCTGAATCGGTGGAAAGCAATTGCCTGGGGTCTTGGGATTGTGCTAATAATGCCTGTATAGTGCATTCTCTTTTTGGAATGGACATATTTGAACGAATGAATTGCTATAGTTGTGGTTTGGAGTCAAGACATCTGAAGTACACTTCTTTTTTTCATAATATAAATGCCAGTGCCCTCCGAACAATGAAGGTTTGAATTTGTGGATCGATTTGCTTTTTCCAATGACTTATTATTTAAGCTTTTTAGTTTTGAGTGTTATAAAACATGCTAGTAATTTGATCTCTCTTCATGTTCTCATCATTCAGGCCATGTGTGCTGAAAGCTCTTTTGATGAACTTTTAAACCTAGTAGAGATGAATCATCAATTAGCTTGTGATCCTGAAAGTGGAGGTTGTGGGAAGCTTAACTATATCCATCATATACTGTCAACTCCACCTCATGTTTTTACTACAGGTGATGTGATTTTTCTTAGCAGCAACTATTCTGTACTTGATAAGTTGTGCACTCCTGTAGATACTCAACAATAGATATTTTTGTTCTGCAGTTCTAGGGTGGCAAAATACATGTGAAAGTGCTGATGATATAGCAGCAACATTGGCAGCTCTTAGCACTGAGATAGATATCAGTGTTCTTTACCGTGGTCTAGATCCAAAAAGCACACACACCTTGGTTTCAGTGGTATGTATTGTTGAATGACCATCAATTTTATTATTTTAATGGACTAAAAGGTTTATCAGGTCATATATCAATTGGATAAGTTTTTTTCATTTGGTCGTGTTAATAACCCTATAAGGAAGTTGGGTTTTGTGAGAAAGACATTAGATATTTGTGGAGTGAAGCGAGAACTAGTCTCAAAAGTCACTGAAAGGCAGTAGCTTTGACAGAGACTTTAAGGAGAGGAAGATATCAAAATCAAACACAAAGTGAAAAAAGTGAGAAAACCATGAAATGATCATAAAGGTTATGATAAATGATGAATCAAAACTTATCAGTAGCTTTTGATTACTGCATGAGAATGATGAAACAAAAGTTATCAATCTTATCCTCAGGAAGCATGAAGTGGAGAGAGTTCATGAAAAAAGACTTTTCTTTTCTATTGGGGCTAGTTGGGGGAGAATGTTACCTAGGGAACTTATATAAAAGGGGTAACCTTTATATAGAACCTTTCTTACCTGAATAGATTCTGACCCCCCTTATTATGCATGTACTGATTCCTTACTCCTGTAACATGATTTGCTGCATTAGCTTCATTCCTTGTTTTACTCTTGCAACTTTTAGGTTTGCTATTATGGGCAACATTATCATTGCTTCGCCTATAGTCAGGACCATGAATGGTGGATCATGTATGATGATAGAACTGTCAAGGTATAAATTTGCCCCTACTTAAAACATCATGTGTTTTTTTTTTTTTTTTTTACTTTTTGTGCGTGCTTCTGTTGTTATAATTTGTGTCATATTTTTCTAGGTTGTTGGTAACTGGGCTGATGTTCTATCCATGTGTGAAAGAGGGCACTTGCAACCTCAGGTACTATTTTTTGAAGCTGTAAACTAATAGTTGGTGGAATTGACAAATTATATGCTGCCCAAAAGAGCACTGAGTTCAACACATCTTGACAAGATTGCTGCTTGTGGTGAGGTGGTATTTGTAGTGATGCATTGCAGCTTTACACCGATGCAGTTCATATGGTTAAAAAAATATATATATATACAGCTTGGATTTTGATGAACCTTTTAAGTTTTGATACAAAATGAGAGTTGTGATATAAAACAAGAGTGTTGTCATAAAGCGAGGAGGTTTTGTAGGAAAGAGATGGTTGGTCTTCTAAGGGAAAAATAAGGTGTCAAGGACAATTTTTGTTCGGCTTGAAGAAGTCAGTAATAGAAGAGACAGGAGTGCAAATTTTGGCACTCTTTGCATCTGAATACTAATGTCGGGGTAGTCAGGATTTGAGTCCAAGGACTTATTCTGTTTTTCTCGTGGAACTAACTTTCCAAAAAGGCAGGCGGGATTGGTTGAGAAAATGACTAGTAATATTCCTGTTTGCCTGCCTCTGAATGCTATGAAAGAACTTCTGAATATGCTTTTTGTTAAGGTGGCAAATAACATATGGTTGTTGCGAGGAGCGAGCGTTATACTAATTAATAGCAGTTGTAAGTGGGGAATTTAGTTAAATTAGATTCAATTTTTCCAGAATTCTTTCCCCTTCCAGAAGAGGTTTTGTATAGATCAAAATTGCCCCCGCCTTTGGGCTTTCAACTCATCATATGCGGAGCTAGTTATTGTCATTGCATGTGGTCATCTTATAACGCTGATGAGGAATCAATCAAATAGTAAAGCAAATTTATATTGCTCTTTCTTCTTATTTAGTTAAGCTGCTTTCCTTTTTTTTTTTTTTTTTTTTTTTTCTTTCTTCTTATTTAGTTAACTGCTTCCTTTTTTTTTTTTTTTTTTTTTTTATCGAACTGGATAAAATATAGATTTTTCTTCTTCTTCTTTCTTCATCTTTTTTTTTTTTTTTTTTTTTTTTTATCGAACTGGATAATAAAATAGTTCATTTTTCTTCTTCTTCTTCTTCATCTGTGGTGCTGGGAATGCGATTTTGTACATATGGAACTTAAAACATAGACAATGAATCTTCCTCGATGTTCTTTGTAAGAAATCTTCTTCAATATTCAATGTGTTCATAAGGACCCAAATTTTACTGCATCTTTTTATTTGAAATGATATTTAAATATTATATTTACATGTAAATATAATTTTTTATGTAAATAATGAATTTTATTAGTTATTCAAAATTCTTCACATCTGAACTTCATTTTTAATTTTTTTTAAGAGTGGTGTAGAGGAGTGTGAGGTTTCGACATTTAGCTCTTACAAGACTTGTATAATATACTGTGTAATTCGAAGACAACCTTTAATGATTATTAATAAAATATGTCTGCAAATGATCTCTTAGTCTAACAGCAAGGAGTTCAAATTGCTTTAACTGCTGTCGGTTCAAATTAGATATTGTATCCATCCATATAATGCATCTAACAACTTAGATATTGATTCAAGAATTTTTTTTTTTTTTTTTTGCTCTCAGAAAATAACGGCCTTTTCTACTGCTAAAATTTAAAATTTAAAATTGGAAAAAAGCAGTACAGATTTCAGTCTGGATATGCTCATGGTATTTAGGAGGGCCAACAATCTATGGCACAGGTAATAATCATGGCCTAAAAATCTGGCTATATTTAAAACATGTATTAGAAAAGAAAACAAAAGAAAAGAAAAGAAATCTAAGTGCGAAAGCAGAGGAGGATTGACAAAGATAGCCCCCCTAAAAATAGGACTCTGCTAAACTATCAACATTCAAAATCTTCCTTCTTCTTCATCATTTTCCTCTTTTTTTTTTTTTTTCTCTTTTTGTCCTTTCTCAATATCATCACCATTCCCCACTGAAATAAGAACATTAATATTCATGTTGTAATACAAATATGACCCTGCGCTGCCTGCAAACACCGTAGAAGAAAGTGTTCATCTGATCTGAGTGTTCTGCTATATATCGAGCCAATATTCGAGATAGGTTTCCGGTACATCATGGTTGCTTGGCTACTATCTCTTCATGTTCATATAGAAATGTATAGGCAACATCCGATAGACTAAATGGTCTAGCTTCTTCAATAATGGATGTTCGATTGGAGCACGTAGAGGCGATGGACTCTCCAACTGGACTTAAATGTGGGCAAAATAGCCGAAAATTGGCCGGAGAGGATACTGATTGTATCGAAAATTATGACTGAACGCCACGTGGCAGCATTCTTTTGAAATGTACTTTATTTGGTAAGACTAAACTTGAAAATTATAAGTCTATAATTTTTAAAATAAAATTAAAGAGATTCAAAATAATAATTTGATTAAAAAATGTTAAATTATGCCATTGTTTTATTTAATTTTTAAAATCCAAAAATTTTTATATTCAAAAATTAAGACGTTATAGTATTGATCTCAATTCGAAATTCTTTAAATTTCCTTTTTTTTTTCTTTTACTTGTTAAATAATATTTCTGAGAATTAACATCTAGTGAATCATTATTTTAATTTCATAAAATTTAAAGACTTTTTATTGTATAAAATATTAAGATTAAATCATTTCATCCATCATAATGGAAGAAAACTTTTATTTTCTTCATTTTGGAGATTATAGATATATTAATAACATCTCTATTGGCATATAATGTTTTTCAGAAATTTTCATTCTTTTGAATAGTGTTCTTAAAAGCAAATCATATTTTTTAATTTAAGAGTAGCTTTTAATTTATTATCACGATATATAATTTTGCAGAGTGAATATAACAGTACTTTAAAATCAATATTATGCTAAATCATCTAAGTTATATGTATTACAAAGAATGGTATATATATTAGAGTGCATAATCTTTTTATAGCATTTGTTATTTTACTAATCATTTGATTTTTTTTGAGAAGTACTAATCATTTGATTAGATTTACTAATAGAAGAACAGTGATAAACACTAATTAAGTTAATCTATTTTTGTGGTATTCAAAACTTTAAATTCTAACACGTATTATTATGTGAATAGACAGAGAATTTAAGATCAGCAAATGTAGAATTTCATAAATACTAATCTTATAATGCCAAAAATAAATTTGTAAATTTGTTGCACTAACTTGGACTAATTACTAGTAATTTTTTTTAAGGTAAGGGCAAATAGGTGTTAATGGCTTGCACTAATGGTATCGCATAACATATGAAGAGGTAATATAGCAAAAAGGTCCCAAGAATCTGGCAACAAAACCTGCAATAGAAAAGAAAAGAAATTTGGGAAGCCACGTTTTAGCAAAGATATGGGTTAAGTGTAAAAGCAGAGGATTGACCATATATAGCCCCTAAAGATAGGACTCTGCTAAACTATCAACATTTGTCCCTAACGGTCGTAAAAGAAATTATAAAACTTGAAAGAAACAGCACCCCCCTTCAAATTCGCTCTCTCTCTTCAATATTGCAATCTGCTCTTTTACTAAGTCTTCATATCCAGCAAATCCGCTCATATCAGACCTGTTCAGCATCCAAAATGTTTACCCATTTCTGTTTCAACAACATCACCATTATCATCTTCCTTCTTCTTCATCATTTTCCTATCTCTTTCCCTTCATCTTCCATTTTCTTTCCTTCTCTTTTCCTTCTTCATCAACATCATCACATCACTGAAATTATAAATTTGTTATTTTCCTTCTTTAATTTATGCTGGTCCTGCAAGAAATTTAGATAAAAAGAAAAAAGAAACAAAGAAAAACATTATTGATGCTACAAATATGACCCTTAAGGGTGGCACTAGCCAAGCCTGCGCTGCCTGCAAATACCAAAGAAGAAAGTGTTCATCTGAGTGTCCTTTAGCACCATACTTCCCTCCTGACCAACCAAAGATGTTTCAAAATGCTCATAAATTATTTGGTGTAAGCAACATTCTTAAAATAATCAAAGATCTTGATGCTCCTCAAAAGGCAGAAGCAATGCGTTCTATTATCTATCAAGCCAATATTCGAGATAGGTTTCCGGTTCATGGTTGCTGGGGTATTATCTGTCAGCTACATTTCCAGATTAGACAGGCGGAAGAAGAGCTTCACGCGGTTCATGCTCAGCTAGAAATGTATAGGCAACATCACCAACATCAGATTTCTTCTTTAACTGATGATGTCCCTTCACAATTAGAATTAGGCATGGCTCCTCCTACTAATGCCCTTTCCCTATTCAGTCATAACACTCCTCAGCCTTACAACACTGTCAACGTTTTGCCTGTTTCACAGCAGCACTCATATTCTAATAGCAGCAATGTGAGTTACAGCTCTGGTTACTTAGATTCCAAGGATCATTTAGGGAATTCTATGTGGGTTCAACATGCGTATGGTGGTGCTACTACTACAAATAATGATAATAATAATAGTAGCAATTCAATGGCACTTCAGTCTCAATTGGTTGCCTCACAACCATTAGCTATTCAACAAGAAGTTGTTCAAGATTATGATGAAATTCATCCATTTTTTGACACTATTGATGACATTGATTCTAAAGAGGCCTACAACTCGAGGTAAAATTTATTAATTTAGTATTGCTCATATGCATATTTGATAACTGATAATAGTTATTGCTATTTATATCTATAGTTCAACTTTAAATTGGTTTCTTCTAAAATAATGTCATAAATTTTGTATTTCAGCTCAGAAGAATCATTAAAGGACACGACAGAGTCAATTGAGCATGTTGCTGACAATGAATTGAAGAATGCTGCTGCATGCTTCAGTCTTACTAGTGTCAATTGATTCCACTTTGATAGTGTCAATTTGTCAGTAAGCTGGAGCAGAGTATTATGATTTTTTTTTTCCTTCCCCTTAATCTACATCACAGAGTACATTCCACAATTTTGAGCTTTTATTTTTCTTTTTCTTTTCAAATCCCTTTTGTAGAACTTTTAAGTCTTAACTTAGAATCAATCATTCACTTTATAATGTTTTCTTGTTTTCAATAACTGTAATCTTTTGCCTGGATGTTGATCATATTTTTGTGGAGCAATATACATTATGGAGGTGAATCTCCAGTTTACTCTTCAAAGTTTATATAAGTCAGGTCATCCGTATGTTATTGATTTTTTTTTTTTTCCTTCCCCTTCAATTCTACCATCACATGGATGTACTATTCCACAATTTTTGCAGAGCTTTTGTTATTTTTCATTTTTCTTTTCAATATCCCTTTGTAGAACTTTTTAAGTTCTTTATACTTAGAATCAATTCATTCGTGCTCTACTTTATAATGTTTCTTGTTTTCAGATATACTGTAATCTTTTGGCTCTGGATGTTGATCATTATTTTTGTGGAGCCAATTATTACATTATGGAGGTTGGAATCTTCCTAGGGTATTACTCTCTTTCAAAGTTATTATATATATATAAATATATAATGATATAGCTGTTGCGCCTGTTTTATATTCAATAATATGTCTAATTCATAGTAAGTCTTATTTAATCACTATATTGCTATATCCATTCTCAATTGTGTGACGAAAAACAGTAATTAACTCGATGTCTTGCTTTTTCCTAAGCGTGCTTTGTCACTTATAGTTGTATGGATGAAGAGTTAGTTCGTCCGTAGTTTGACTGGATTCAACATCATTCTGTTATTACTTCTAATAAATGAAAACTTTTCAGCAACATTATTCCTCTGTGCTATAGTAGGTGTTATGTAAGTAATTTGTAATATTATGTTCCATTGCGAGAAGTATGGATGCTCAGAAGAAACTAGTGGAGTTGTGGCGCATCCAATTAATACATCCTATTCTAGCACTAGTCCAGCAATTTTGGTTATTTATATTTTTCATGTATATAATGACTCCTGATGTTTTTATATATTTTTGAACTTCCAGACATTTATGAATTAAATTTCTTATTGAGCATATTCTTATTTTATCAAAAAGTGCTCACTGTTTAGCACAAATCCTATATATAGTTTTCCTGTTTATTATTCATTATGCTATTCAAGAATCTAATAATCAATTTGCATATCATTCAATGTACGAAACAGTAATTACCGATGCTTGCTTCCTAACATCTTTGCACTTAGTGTAGGATGAAGAGTTAGTTCTCCGTATTTGACAGGTTCAACTCATATGTTATTACTCTAAAAAAGAAAACTTTAGAACATATTCCTCTGTTGCCATAGAGGTGTATGTGAGATGTATTTGTCAAATATCCATCGAAGTATGGAGTGCAGAAGAAACAGTGGAGTTGCGCATCAAAATTACTCCTATCAACACTAGTCCAGCAATTTTGGTATATTATTATTTTCATGTATATAATGACTCCTGATGTTTTTTAATATTTTTGCAACTTCCAGACATTTATGAATAAATATTCTTATTTGAGCAATATCTTATTTTCAAAAGTGCTCACTGTTTTAGCACTAATCCAGAAGAATAAGAACTATTATCCTTAGCTACCATGATTTGATTGATGAACAGCTCAGAATTCATAGCTGCCTTTGGAATGAGCTTCATAGTGATGGAATCATCATGAAGCGGAAAGGTTTATCAATACAGGTGAGTCGTATGGAACATTGTGACAAATTGGTTGAGATTGAAGATCAAATGCATCGACAATTTAATGTTTCAGAAAGAAGGGCTTTGATTGAATGCGTTAACTTGCAGAGTTCCATAAACAAATGTTCACTGATAAAGAAATAGCCAAAGGTTATTTTGGTTGATTAATCTTTCATCAAAAAGAAAAAAAAAAAAAAGGTTTATTAGGAATGCAGCAGTAGCATCAGCTGGGAACAAGATCAGAGAATGCTGAATAAGATGACTTGCTTTGTTCACTTTAAGGTCTGTCTATTCTAGAGGTGGTATGTCTAGCTGAGGAGGCTATATAAGGTCCTGTAGTCATATGACCTCAAAAAGATGGATGAAATGAGTACAGGTTTTAATTTTATATATCTTATTGTAGGTTTTAATAGTTGACGTTATTTGGGCATCTGATATGGATGACACTACTAGCAGAACATGAAAAAGCAAATTGCACTTGATTGTTTGTAAAGCATTAATAGAAGTGTCAAATTTTCATTAAGTACAATCATAGATAAAGAAAGACGTTGAGGACAAATTAAATGGCACAACTGAATTCTTCATAAGATTTGTATGCAAATTCTCTCTTTTCATTTCAATTGATTAAGCAGTGAATATACAAGCTTATCTTTCTACATTTAGTAATCTGAAGAAAAGAAATTATTGACTCACTTTGAGCAAGGTCATATAAGCCTGGTGTTGTATGAGCCACAAGATATGCATTTATGATAATGCCAATGGAAAGGAGCTGCTCCTTTCTTCTCACAATCATTGCATAGTATATCCTGCAATCCCGTTCATGGGTGATCTAACTAAATATATATTTAACAATATCATGCAAGAAAAATAAGGACAAGAACATCATTAACCTGAGTTTTGCTGGAATATTCATCTGGCATTTTCTCTTCAGCCAGCAGTGCGTCCAACATCTTAAAATAAACCTGGAAGGCAATTTCACATAAATTCCAATACAAAATACTAAAGAAAATCCTTCCAAAGACATGGCAACTTCATGCACTAGATAAAAGTGGCTACTAGATTAGATTCATGAATAAAAGAATGAAATACCATTTGATCATACCATAAACTAATAACTGAACTTTTGAGATGGAAACGACAAAGGAAATGTAACTATGATATCTGCTAACTGACCTGCATGTCCCCAAGTGACTTGCTACAGATTGGACATATATAGTGGGTACGTGTGTAGTCCTGGAAGCGGCATTGCAAGCAACATTAAAAATGTCAAAACATATGTAAACTATCCACGAAAAAAATTGGACAGTGCTTGGAGCTGAATACCTGAAAACATGTTGAGTGCATCACATGACCACATGGAAGGGCTTTTACTGGATTGCTGGATGTGAAAATGTATTCATGGCAAATTGGGCAGTTTTCTTCCAAAGATTTCTCCCTGCATGGATGCACTAAAAGCGACCGTGACATGCAGGCATTGCAATTCATGCAATGGAAGTAGCCAATGCCCAATCCCTTCCCTACTCGACAGAGGTTACAAAAAGGGCAGTGGTAGATCTCCCTGTTAAAGATCTTCTACGTCAAAAACTCTCAAGAGTTTAAATTAAATGTAGAGGAGCTAAATCATTGTAACAACTTTTCACAACGAAAACTGAAGAAAAGTACATCCAATTTGGTGATTTTCAAAAGTAGGCTGATTTGCCTAAATGAGAGATAATCTCAGATTATACCTAACGTGTGAGAGGAACATTAAGATCATGTGCAGATCATAATGCTGGACAATTTTTACCCATGTATATATTGTGGATATAATTATAATCATTTATTATCATGAATCATGACACCGTGCTATTTACAAAAATATTCATTGAAAAGTTAAAATTATGATAATGAATATTATACGATTGTGGTAGATTCCAAATTGTAGCATATCAGTCATGTTCACGGTATAAACAGAGATTTTAGAATCCTAAGCAGGCTGATAAGCAGTCAACCAAGTGAGTATTGAATAATGAATGATAATCTTTAAATGCCTATATTTTTATAATGATTTTTGACAGGAAAAGCATTATTAAGAGTGAACAGAAGCCTCAAAAGACATTTATTTGTTGGGGATCAAATAAAAGAGCAATCTTAGTGACAAAATTATGAAACTTCTGTTCAGCACGTCTTAATGGAAATAAAAATGGGTAAAAGCTGCATAACCTGTCATCATCAAACACTTTGCAGATCTTGCAATAGTATCTTGCCATGGATAAATTGTTACATGAGACAGTTGAGCAAGTCTGCCCAATTGGCTGAATGGTTAAGCATTTCATGCACATCATCTTTGTAATAGCTCTCCTGCACAAGTAATAGAGGGAATGGAGGTTGAGAAAAAAACAAGAAAAGGAAAAAATGAGAAAGTAAGAAGAAAATTGAGCAAGTTTGAAAAAGAGAAAATTATTGATACCTGTCTGTTGAATGGTCAGCATCCTCATCATGGCAACGTATGCATGTATAAAGCTTGTTGCAACAGGGAGTGACGAGTTTACTATTCCTTTTGTAGTGTTTGCAACCCAAGGTTACCTTGAGAGGATCACGGTAAGATGGATGCTGCCCTGGAACTTCTTCTCCTTTACTTGAGATGATTGCTTCTGAATTGGATCTCCGTTGTTGAGCAATCCAACGACTGAAAAAGCATGGAGGCTACTTTTTAATTCCTTCAGTACACAGTAACACTTAGGATGATGACAAGAAAGCAAATGATTATATGGTTTCTGCTAGCTGCATGTTGAACCATATTATAAACGTTGACTTACAAATATAAATAGACTTGGCCATGATTATGAAACCATGGCTACCTTAACTGACTGTGAGTCAATGAAAACAAATAGCATGATCATAAGCTTTAGTATATGAGAGAGTTAGATTTCCTAGCTTGAATCAATTTGTTGGTTTCTTTGGGGTCCTCACTAGCATAATTTGGTCCAACTTCAACCTAGGGTACTAGCCTTTTGACTTATTCATCCATCCAATCAGATATTATCTTCTTAGATCAGAGAAGCTATAGGATTACAGTGATCCAATATGAATAACAGTCAATTAGATCGTCTTTCTCTTTTTAAGGGGGAAATGACAATTTAAAAGGTTAGTGATAATGAAAAGCAATCACCAACCTCATTAGCAGGTTCTGCATGATATACGATTTCTCCTGAGGATCTAGGGATGAGTCCCCAGACACCCTTCTTATTGCAGCCTCCAGATCAGCTTGAGTCATGGTCAAATGGTGCTCTTGATACATGGACGTTGAATTTGATTGAAAAGTTTCACTTGGTTTGTCTATCTCAACTCTGATATTTGCCCCTTGATTGCATCTCTTGTTTTCACTTTCACTGACAAGTTTTTCACATTCTGAACATTCATTATCTTCATCTCTATCGAAAGCCTTAGCTTCAACATCCAAATTGCACTTCCCCAAAATGTCAACATTAGCACCAAAACAATCTTTTTGCTCGATGCCCTTTTCACAGAGGATGCCGCCTTGTTTTCCATGAGCGTCTTTGGACAGATATCTTGAGACAATCTCCAATGGATCTGTAGGCCACAAAGAATTTGACTTCTCTTTCATATGGGGTGTATCATACCCTTCCCACCATTCTCCTAGCCATTCATCAAACATCGTGTTCTTCGTCACCCTATGCAACAAGGACATTATGGCTTGCTGTTCTGCTGGTGTTAAAGAGCCAATCAGCCAGGGTATAATATCTTGTAATGTTTCTGCTCTGGCTTTCCCTAGCATGAGTCCGATGATCTTTTCTTGCTCCTGGATGGAAAAGCATTCTCTAAATAAGGGCCAAAGTTCAATTTCTTCATGATGAATATGGTCAGAAAGTAGTTTATGCATTGATTTGCATGTATGATGGAGTTTCATGCACAGCTGATTGTATTTCGCCATTCTTTGATCCTGCATGCTGGAATCAGCACTAAGAACTGTAACATGCATTTTAGACATCTTCTCTAAAATGAGGGAAATCTCACTGAAAAGCTTAACTTCAAGCTTGTGATCAATAGTATAGGAGTTACTGATATTTTGGACTTCTCCTTTTGCTTCCAAAGCAGGAAAGGCAACTTCATCCTCAGTGTTGCTATGAAATTGATATCGAAGCCAAATAAGATGGAATTGCTGGTTGAACTCTGTAAGAAACCTGATGTTTTCAATCAGTTGAGCTGAACCAGAGACAAGGTATTCCAAATCTTTCTTGAGAGCCTTGTGGAAGAAAAAGATGAAGTCCATTGGTTTTCGTTCATCAATAGTGGAAGTTGCAGAACTCTCTCCACCAGGTAATTCAGGAAAAGGTTGCAATAACCTTTTTGTTCCAGGAAAAAATATATGCAAATTTATTTCACTTGCATAGAACGTCTCATGTGCCTCAGCTTTGTGGAATACTGAAGAAGAAGCTGGTAAAAGCATCTTGCCCTTGTTAGCAGAGACTGGTTCTGTTTTACTAGATATAGATCCTCCACAAGGTTGCTTGTTTGAGTGTAAGGATGAACGTACATCTTCCTTAATTTGCTCATATAAAAATGAGCGTCTACTCTTGAATATTTTCTGCAAATTCTTTGCAAAATTTTCAGTGGAGGTTTTACCTGAATAACCAGTGTGGAACCACTCAAGTAAGAGGGACGCAAAATATTTATTGGATAAATTGTCACCCAGCTGGTTTATACTGTGAAAAGTGGACCTGGATACACTCTCAGATAAATGAGCTGCAAACCAAGGAATTACACACTTTAGCAGTCCTAGTGGCATCAGATGAAGGACCATATACAAAAGCCGCAGCTGGGTATCATTGCTATAGTTCTTGCTGATAAAGGGAAAGACCTGGTAAAAACTGAAATATGTCAAATGAAAATGTTGCAAGCATTCTGTGATAGCTGTTTTCTGGTTGATACCCGCTCCTTATTGGTTAATAATCCAATCCTACTGATTTTATAAGCCAAAAAATTATTATAAAAAAAAAAAAAAAAAATCTCTTACTGCAAAGTACCAAGATATTGTATCACTCTCTTTAGCATCCTGTGGCATCAGTTAAGTGATAAAGGTACCATTATACAAAAGCCTGTCAGCTGGTGAGTTGAATCAATTGTCTATAGTTCTTTGTGGACTGATAAGATGGGCATGAAAGTATCCTTGGTGTTTAAAAACTGTAATTATGTCAAATGGGTGAAAATGCTTTGCAAGCATTCTGCTTTGAAAGCTGTAATAATTTCTAGAGTATGATACGGCCGGCTCCTTATTTGTGAATTAATATACCCAATACTACTACTGTGACTCTATATAAGCCAAAAAATTATTTATTTATAAAAAATAAAAAAAAAATGGAAAATTATTACTCTTACCTCTATTCTCTGTTAAAACTGTTATAACATGTTTGCTATATATCTTTATCATCTAATGTATACACAGATTCTGGTGTGCAGATGCATTCTTCTATCAAACTTGGACTCAATAGCTATAACAATCATTTGCGGGTGAAAAAAAATTATTTTAAAAAAAAAAAAAAAAAATCTCTTACCTCTATCTCGTGAAATGAAAAATGTTTGCTAATATCTATCACAAAGGATTCCAGTTCCCGGCAGAGCATCTCTACAAACTGGGACAAAGCTAAATCATTGCCGAAGTTGCATTGTAGCAACTGATGTAGACTTTCTATACGACTTTCAATGGGGAATTGTTCACTGAAGCACATAGACAGATGACTGTTGGCAAGTTCATTTAACATAGGATAGAAGAATTTCTTCAATGCATTACTGTTCACCGGAAAGTATAGCATCAGAAAACATGAAAATTAAACAAAAACAGAAGATTCCTAACAAAAGGGATAAACTGGTCTAGGAAAAAGGAAAAAAAATAAAAGAGAGAAACATGTTCTACTAGGAAGTTTGTTGTTACAGTTGTGTGTCAAGTACAAGTAAGTGCTTCAGCAGCCATAGAAATTACCAGTAGAAGATTATGACATCAGCAAGAAACTTCAGCCGGACTAATATTAAATCTATATCTAAAGAACTTCTTGAGTTTCTTCTTTGATATGCATCTTCCAGTGTTTCTTTCAAATCTTTCTGGATGGCGAGGTGCCAAAGATGGAGATATTCGACCACATTGTTTCCAACATTGTTTTGAGAACAATACATCTTCATACATCCATCAGGATCGTTTCTAATATTGTTAAAAGCTCCAGAAGGGGATTGTTCATTCTTATGAAGCCAAGAAATTACCACCTGCAAACATCTTTAACATGATTAACAATGAGAAAGTTGATTCAGATTTACAATTTAGGTCAGGATATACCTCGTGCAATGATTTTTCCTGGGGTACGATTTCCTTAATACAATGTATAACATCCACTCTTTTTTCTGGACTAAGGAAGGAGATCATCCATGGCAACAATTCCTCCAGCAGGATTACAGGAATGCTGCAAAAGAACTGCCACACTAACGAAGCCTGTTTTTTTGGAGAGAACTGCTGCATAAGCAAAGGAAAAACCTGCATCCACACAATGATCAGAACACATTTTGCATAAAAAAACAGAAATTAGAATCATTAACAACAAGACTTGTAGTTCTAAAATACATTTAGACAGGAATATTTCGAAGAGCAGCAGTTAGATTTTTATTTTATATATCCAGATCATACAATTTATTTGAAACTTATAAGGTTCACCTTTTATCCCCCTGTCATAGGACAAACAATCACATGTTCCTGTCGGTCAAATATTCCACTTTAACAGTAATATAATGACCATACATTCATTTTAAAGGAGAAAGACAAGGACAGGGGAGAGGTTGCCAGAAGAGAATGATTCTTGAAGGGTATGGATGATTAGCTTCCAAAATTTAATTAGCCTCAACAAAACATTATGCATCACCATCATCCATTAAAATTTCGTGATTCTGATGCTTTGTCAAAATTTACAGCTATTTTTCTTTTCTTTCCTTTTGAACTTTGTTTGCAATGAGTCAAAATCCTGCACCAGTTCCAGTGTGATGTTGATCCACATGCAAAGGGAATAATAGAATAAAATATAGGAACATATTTGATAAATGGGCACTTCTAACATTTCCGAGGGACAATGCCTGAAACAATCAACAATTGTGAGTTGTAATGGTATGATTTTTAGTTTCTGTCATCAACATATGAAGTCATTAGGCTACTAATTGAGTGTCTGCATCTTAGTTCATGAAGTCAAGGGTTCAAATCTTGACGCCTATTTCCTCTTTAATTCCGATATACCAAAAAGAAAAATCAACATATAATATTGGCAGTCCTAATATAGGGTAATGGATTAAGCTGTGACAATAATCAGAAAGAGATAGCCAGAATTTATAGGCCAGATTGAAAGGCAACATATGGTAGTTCAAAAATTATTATCAACAGAAAGTAAATGCCTACCTGCTGTTCTTCTTTAAGCATATGCTGGCAAATGGATGAGTGCATGGTGCCAATGCATAATATAAGTTCCTGAAATTGCTCAGAACCATCTTTATCTTCCTCCATCAATGTATCCAAGCAATGAAAAATAGAGTCAAACAAGTCGTCGATGCTGTTATGTTCAAGCGAATATTTATATACAACATTTTTAATATGAGCATCTAATGCTAGAAAGATAACCTGCCACATGAAAATGCTCTATTATGAAACCTGAAATCATAACATGGACTAAAAGCTTAAGACATTGTTTTTTTCATTCTGCTAATCCATTTATCAAGTAAAAAACAAGATGATCTGCATCATTTGAAAGCATAAGTTTTTCTTTTTTCTACGCTTTGCAGTATCATAAATTTGATATTGATTTGCTAAACGTAAGAAACCAAATTCAGAAGTTGATATTGATGTAAATGATTTTGAAGTTTAGAACTCATTTACAAATGACAGAATTTGGTTTAATGATGTTGAATTCCATAAAATTATATTCAGGAGAGTAAAATGAAAATTTCCCTTCATCCCAAAACATGGAATTCCACAAACATTTCACGGAAGTCATGTATACCAAATATGGCCTTAATCTCTCACTAAAACTATATCAGTTAGTGTAAGTAAACTAAGATTCTACTGTTCATTGACCATAGAAAGAAACTCTTTTGCACTTGCTTATCTGTTAAATTTAATTAAAGCATAAATATCGAGTCCTTTCAATAATTAATCTCTTCCTAATAAGAGAAATAAAAACCTTCTGTTTTTTTTTTTTTTTTTTTCTGTTGTGCCGTCTCCTCAACAACCAAACATTCAATAGAAATTTAAAAAGAAAGATATCCGGTTTGCTAACCTCATCTTCTATGGCAGAATGATATTTATGCGCAAGTTTTAGGAAATCGAATCTTTTGCGGAGCTCAGTTATCAGTTCACGTCTATTAGACGCATTTTCAGATGCAGTAACCGCCAAGCGATGCAGGTTGGAGAGCTCTTCGTGATGTGCCTTGTGGAAATAGACAAGCAAAAGTATAGGAGCATCTGTGAGCAACACATCCGAAAAGAGTTCTCCCTCCACCGTCATTGTCAAAGATGCTGGTCCTGTGGCTACTACTTCCTCTTTGTCCGGCGGGCATTTTGGAGTGTCTCCGGCGCCCATATAATTTTGTAGCACGCACCATGAACGGCGGGAGAAGGCAAATTTTTTGCACCGAGTAGAAGGGGATGAATATAATGGTCGGATACATGTGTATGATTTGGGATTTGCTGTGCCTCCTCTTGAGAAGCTCTAAATTTTAAAAATACAAATGTGTTTTATATTCTTTATGCCACCGTAGATGACAGAGATGTTATACCAAACGGCTATGGCGCTATGCGTTGGTTTTTAGACGTTGACAATTGAATCCCAAGCGCTTTTTTTTCCAATTTACCGGGAAACGAAAATCAAATTTGCTGGACTGTTGGGAGTTTAACTATGGATAATTCTATTGCCAGGCCCAATAAGTGGTTTTAACCAGTATTTTTTATTTTTTTATACTTCTCCGTACTTTATCTGTTTTAACTGTGCACAATAATAATCAATTTCGCAAAACATATAGAATATATTGTGAAATATCAAATACATGACTTAAGTTTACCACTGAGCTACCCTCGTTCAGATTTAACAACAGTTATTTAATCGATTGAATTAAGTTCGGTTTATATTAATAAGAAATAAGTTTTAATTTTAACTTAATTGGATCCCTGCATAATCTATTAGTTTGTCACTAAACTTTTTACTCGGGTGGATGAAACTTGAAATTGATTTCCTATAATTTTGTTGACCTCCAAAAGACGAGGAAGTGCAACTCACACAAGTGATAAGTGTGTGGATTTAGTTTTGTTTAGGAAGTTGTTAAATAATTGTAATTTTTGACTAGATTATAAACGCGATTATATTAAAGAGAATGTCAAAAGACATGCCGTCCGTACTTTGTCGTTGCCAATGCTTGGATCAACTCCGGGAACAATAAACTCATTCGTCCGCTAGTTATTTTATCGCAAGCTCTATTGTCGCTTTATGTGCACGTGTGCATCTCGTGTCCAGCGTGTGCTCTGCCTGTGGCTCCACGTGTTCTGCGATTGCCATGCATCGTCCTTGTATGCTCGAAGGGATGACTTATATGGATTCGAATTTTTAATATTCATATCGCCATATTAAATTTATAACATTTGTGTTTGACACGCATAGGAATGGACGGCTTAGATTTTATTTAAAAAATAGTAGAAAATAATTGACTTTTAAATTATAATTAAATTAATATATGAGAATTTTTATTTAGATAAATTAATAATAAAGTTTTAATATATAATTTTATTAGTATTTAATCCTTCCATTAGAAAATATAAAAAATCAAATTGTTAAAAAAATTATAACTTAAGTATTAATTTGATTTAAGAATTAATATATCAATCAAATTGATTGTGAAAAATATTAATTTAAACGAAAGTATAGAAATGTTTATAAAAATCAAGGTGTATTTTGAGTTATAAGTTAATTACATTATAGTTAATTTTTAGATACAAAGACTCTTACGTGCAAGTTTGACTACTTTATAGACGAATTTTGAACTTTTCCTTTAAAAAAGTTTAATAAAAAACACAAATTTAATTTTAGCTATTGCTTCGAAGTTAATAGATAATGGTAATAAAAGGTTATCTTATGTTCAAAAGAGCCAAGTAAAAGAAATCAGGCTGGGTCTTAAAATGGGATTCGGGCTTTTATTGTGTTGGGTTTAGTTCTTTCTATACGGGCTTTTAATTGTAAAATTGGGCTCTAAAGTTTCTTCTTACAAGGACGGAAAGACCAAAAAAAAAAATCTTCTGCGGCTACGTGGCAGCACATCACATCGATAATCGACATTTCAAACACAAAACGACAAAATTTATGATTGCCAGAGGGTTAAGTTCCTGACAATTGTCCCTCTGTCTTTCAATATTTTATCTAAATTTATTTAAAATAATACCAAATAAATTATTTTAACGAGTAAAACAATTATTTTCTCAATAATATATTATAAATACTTTGTGCTAAAATTAGAAATTCAATGAAGACTACTTCATTTATCTTTCCCAAAAAAAAAAAAAAAAAAAATCACATCGCATAATCGACATTCAAACACAAAACGACAAAATTTAATGATTGCAGAGGTTTAAGTTCCTGACAATTGTTTCCCTCTGTTCTGTCAATAGTTTTATCGTAGAGTTTTATTTAACAATAATACGCAAAATAAATTTATTTTAACGAGTAAAACAATTATTTTCTTCAAATAATATTATTAATTAAATACTTTGTGCTAAAATATTTAGAAATTCAATGGAAGATACTTCATTTATCTTCCCACAAAAAATAAAAAATAAAGAAAAAAAAAAAAAAAAAAAAATAGAGAATTTCATTTAAATGATTATTCTCAGTGTATTTATTCTTAGCTTTTTTTTTTTTATTTTGTATTTACTATTATTAGCTGGAGATATTTTTAGACTAATTTATACACATTGAAAATAAATTATATTATTTTTAGTTAATCCTAATTCGAAACCATTCATGATTCGTGGAAGGATAGCAAGACACAAATCCTTACAACTCCTGTTTGTCCTTTTTCTTCTTTCTTTTTTAAGACTCTTTAAATATTTTATCCAAATGATCAATGTATCTGGCCTCCTTTCGATGCTGAATACAATTCAAAGGATGCTTTTTTTTTTTTTTTTCTTGTTGTCATTTGAAGTAATATAAACATGGATTTAGATTATAATCATTTAAAATATTGCTTTAATATAGTTGTAACTTAAAACACGATTTGAAACCGTGGATTTTGGATTTGATGGGATTGGGATGAAATATGAATGTCTGAGCTAGATTATTATCGAAGCATTCTTTTAGTAAAAAAAAAAAAAATCAACTGTATGCTTATTTGAACACCATATCCGGATAAATTATATTAATTTCATAATATTATATAGTTTTAAGTTTTAATTTTTAATCATTAAATTTTGATATTTGTTTTACTCACCAGAATATTGTTGTTGAAAAAAATAACATGGTAATAAAAATTAACTATTTTATTAACAAATTCATATTTTTTTCTAAATATATTAATTTAGAATCCACCTATTAATTTATTTGACAAATAATGAAACATTTAAAAAAAAATTTCACCTATTATTTATATTTTTTTTTCATTTTCTTTTTTATATTTCTTTCTAATCATTATTTTATTTTTGTGATATATGTTGTTTTTTATTATCATATTTATGTTTCAATTACCCGATTCCGGTAAGTGAACCTCATTGAAACAAAAAAATAAAATTAAGTAATTAAAAAATAATAAATTAAAATTAGTGACCTAAATAAAACTAAGTATAAAATTATATGACCATTAAAACATTTACGATTATTGTTCCAAACATGATATAAGTTATTTTGAATAGAGGAAAACATTTACGATATTGATAAATTTATATATAACCTTATAAATGTATATTTTTTTAATTTATTAATTATTGATAGCAATTATCACCAGTCCCTGTTTATCATCAGACACCACTATCGGCCACCGGCCACTACTAAACATCAATGCCAGTCACCGACGACCCTCGTGATTTAACATTTTTTATATTTTCTCATAGTATTTAACAATGAAATTTTTTAAATACAAAATTATATTATTATAAATATTTTTATGATCATATTAGTTAAATATTTTACTTTTAACTAATTTTTAATATTGTAACCAAAATGTCATTTTAAAATATTTATGGAAGAAAATATTTTGCTTATTTTCTTTTAAATAAATTATTTTCTGAAAATCAACTGATATCATTGAAACAATAAGCGATATGCAGCCAATGAGAAACAAAAACAAGATATGATATGCGACCGGTAAGAAACAAAAACAACTGATCTTGTCTAATTTAACGGGGTTATTACAAGGCAGAAAGATCCAATACTTATTATCAAAGCCACATTAACATTATCTATTGTCACAGTAATTTTCCAATAATTATTAAATTAAATAACTTAATCAATTAAATATTTTTCCCAAACTGTTGGAGTTAAATTTCAAATTACGACACTCCCTACCGATTACAATTTTTATTAGCAAATCCTTTTCCTTGCGAGTTGTGTGTCTCTCAGAGAAATTCTGTCAAATCCCCATTTTCAAAGAAAAAGATAACTTATATGAATTAATAACACCACTGAAACCAATTTGCGAAAGCAATGGATAGAGAGATGCTCAGGACGAAATGGGTTGCCACAGTTGCAAGCATCTGGATACAGAGCAGTTGCGGTGCATCCTACACCTTCGGTATCTACTCTTCCATTCTCAAATCCAGTCAAGGCTACGACCAATCAACGCTCGACACCGTTTCTGTCTTCAAGGATATCGGCGCCAACTTCGGCATCCTTTCTGGCCTCCTTTATTCCGCTGTCACTCTCGATCCTTACAGTCGCCATCTGGGAGTCTTCAGCGGGCCATGGGTTGTTCATGCGGCTGGCGCGATTCAATGCTTCCTTGGCTATTTTGTGATGTGGGCTTCCGTCGTCGGTTTGATTCCCCGGTTACCGGTGCCGGTTATGTGTTTATTCATGTGGTTGGCGGCTCACGCGCAGACGTTCTTTAACACGGCGAACGTCGTGAGCGGTGTCCATAATTTCGGCGACTATGGTGGGACTATTGTTGGCATCATGAAGGTAAGCCGGTGGATTATACTGTTTCATTTAGATTTCATGCTTGACATTTTAATTTAGTTTTTTCTGTTCCATTATAAGTGGCTGCTGGGCAATTTTATACACTCATCTACCAAGTTGTTTCTTTCCTTAGAAGACGCAATGTCATGGTTGGGATATTTATCATTTGATACGCATGTTATTTGTTGTAGTCTTCTTAGACTGGACGATCTACCATATATGGAAAACTCTTAACAACAGGCTACAGCAACTCTGAGAAAATTCCCAATATATGAAAGCCATTTATTGGGAAATATGCTAATCCAATAATTAGGAATTCAGGTATACACACATCAAATCATTATCTAAATCTAATAGGATAAAATCAATTTTTTGGGGACACAAGGAGAATAACGAGAAAAGAATTAAAATTTCTTGTTCTGTTTTCTATCTTTTTCACTTCAATTCTTTTTCGTATTAAACAGTAGGTCAAATGAATTGGGTGGTTTATGGCTCTTAAACATAAAAATGGATATAACGTCTTTCTCGATTTATGTTACTTACCTTTAACTAAGTTAACATTGTGGATATTGGTCTAAAGCTCTAATTTTGCATATTGCAATGAGTAATTACATGAGCACAATTCTGATAATGTTTTGCTAGTCATGGATCTTGAAATGATTATGGTTTAATATAACATTTGCAGATTAATTGGTATGACTGGTGTAAATGGATATATAGAATTGTCAAGAGAATGCCTTTTTACATTTTCAGGGATTTCTTGGTTTGAGCGGAGCAATGCTTATCCAATTCTATGAGACAGTATGTGAGGGTCATCCCAGCACTTACATTCTACTACTTGCACTGACACCAACAATAATCACTCTTTTGCTTATGAATTTGGTAAGAAACTATGACACAAACACAAAAGATGACAAGAAACGCTTGAATGCTTTCTCTGCTGTTGCAATGATCATTGCTGCTTATCTCACAGTCAATATATTGTTAAGGGACATCTTCACTATGCCATTATGGGCACGCATAATTATGTTTGAACTCTTGCTGCTTCTTCTTGCCTCACCCCTTGGAGTTGCTATCAGAGCTTTGAGAGAAAGCTCTGATAGATATGCACAAGCACTATTAGAAGAGAGGGGTTACAAACCAAAACCAGCAACTTCCTCCGATATTTCTACATCAGAAGATCCTATAGATTATCATGCACTGCCTAGTGGTGAGAGTCAGCCAAAAGCTGCTTCTAGTGACAGCAGTTTATCAGATGAAGACAACTTAAATCTCTTGCAAGCATTGCGGACTGGAAACTTCTGGTTATTATTTATTGCAATGATTTGTGGAATGGGATCTGGGCTTGCAACAATAAATAACATCAGTCAAGTAGGAGAATCTCTTGGTTACTCGACAATTGAAAGAAATTCTTTAGTTTCATTATGGAGTATATGGAATTTTCTTGGCCGGTTTGGAGCTGGTTTTGTATCTGATATTTTCTTGCACAGAGGTGGCTTTGCTAGGCCATTATTTATGGCTATTACTTTAGCAACTTTAGCAACTGGCCATATAGTTATTGCGTCCGGTTTTCCTAAAAATTTATATCTAGGTTCAGTTCTCGTGGGAATTTCATATGGTTCACAATGGTCATTGATGCCCACTATTACTTCTGAGATATTTGGTGTAGGGCATATGGGTACTATATTCAACACCATTGCCCTAGCAAGTCCTCTCGGATCATATATTTTCTCTGTAAGGGTCATTGGGTATATTTATGATAAGGCAGCAACTGGTGAAGATAACACATGTTTTGGAACTCGCTGTTTCATGTTGTCTTTTCTTATAATGGCAGCTGTTGCTTTCTTTGGCGTTCTTGTTGCTCTTGCATTGTTCTTAAGGACAAGGAGGTTTTATCAGGTGGTTGTGCTTAAACGGTTAAGGCATTCTTAAATGCCATTTTTATGTAAATGAGTGAGTTTGTATAAATCCATCATCCATGTATAAGATGCTCTGCTTTTTTTTTTTTTTCCCTTCGTGTTGAATGGCTTGTTTATGTTTATCTTTCACAATCTCATAATATCATTGTAGCTACTGTTGTACCCTTTTTGATGTTCTTGATGAGAGGAATTGCATAAGCTGTAATTGTTTTTAACAATTTTCTTGATTATCCAATGACGTCAATTTACTGAGTTGGGCATAATGTATTCTTTTGGTGTCTAGACCCATTTCCACTCTAAACGACATTGCCTCTTAGAAATTTACCTATTTTCGGCTATGGAAAACGACAAAAGCGATTTAGACATTCGATAATGGATAACCCGATAGCTCGATTCAGTTGTAGAGGGGTTGTACATGGAGAGATTGGAGTTTAACACGAAATGGTTCTCTACTGTTGCCAGCATATGGATACAGTGCACCAGCGGCTCACTCTACACCTTCTCTATCTACTCTCCGGCAATCAAATCCACGCAAGGCTATGATCAATCAACATTGGACACTGTTTCTGTTTTCAAAGATATTGGAGCTAACTGCGGTATCCTTTCCGGCGTTCTTTACACCAAAGCCACGACCCATCAACACGAGCCCACTTCGACGATTACTATTGGGCCATGGGTGGTTCTCCTGGTTGGCGCAATTCAGTGTTTCGCGGGATATTTTTTCATGTGGGCCTCCGTTACCGGACTGATTCCACCACCGCCGGTTGCTGTGATGTGTTTATTCATGTTTGTGGCGGCGCATGCCCAGAGTTTCTTTAACACTGCTAACGTTGTCACTTCTGTACGCAATTTCCCCACCTATAGTGGCACTGCCGTTGGCATAATGAAGGTTTCGGTCTCCCTTTAGTTGTTTTTGTTCTAATTTTATTTTATTTTTTTCATCAATTCAATTTGATATCAATTGCATGGATTAATGAGAATTTTATCAATTGCATGGATTAATGAGAATTTGATCGATTCTTTTTTTGAAAGTTCCATCTTTTTTTTCCCGCTTTACTTGCTAGGGATTTCTTGGTTTGAGTGGAGCAATGTTAATACAAGTTTATCAAACAGTATTCAACAACAAACCTAATTCATACCTCTTGCTGCTAGCCCTGTTGCCCAGCATCAATCCGATGATACTGATGTGGTTTGTTATAATTCATAATGTGAGTGAAGAAGATGAAAAGAAGTACCTTGACATTTTCTCATTGATTGCATTGGTTCTTGCTGCTTACCTTATGATCATTATAATACTGGAACATATGTTCAGTTTCCAATTTCCAGTGCGTGTCATTGCATTTGTCCTGCTCATGGTATTGCTTGTTTCGCCTATTTTTGTTGCAATCAGAGCCCAGGAAAGGAATTCTGATATTGTTTCTGAGAGGAATCAATTCTTGGATGAGTCTAAGGTACTTGCAAGACATTATCCTACTGGGTATCAGAGTTTGCCTAGTGGCAGTGGATGTGATAGCAGTGTCAATGAAAAGAATTCTTTGGATAATGTGGAAGGCCTGAATCTCTTCAAAGCTGTGCAAACAGTTGATTTCTGGATTTTATTTCTTGCTATGGCTTGTGGTATGGGTTCAGGACTTGCCACAGTGAATAATATGAGTCAAGTTGGAGGATCTCTTGGTTATGGAGGCTTTGAGACTAATACCTTAGTTTCTTTGTGGAGCATTTGGAATTTTCTCGGCCGATTTGGAGCTGGTTATATATCTGATTATTTCTTACTCACTAGAGGTTGGGCAAGGCCATCATTCATGGTCATCACTCTTGCAGGCATGACCATTGGTCATGTGGTGATTGCTTCTGGTTTGCCTGGTGCTCTCTATGCTGGTTCAGTTTTGGTTGGTGTTTGTTATGGTTCTCAATGGTCACTGATGCCAACAATTGCTTCAGAGATATTTGGGGTAGCACATATGGGCACCATATTCAACACCATTACGATTGCTAGCCCTGTTGGATCTTACATATTCTCTGTAAAAGTGGTTGGCTACATCTACGACAGAGAAGCATCAGGAGAAGGGAGCTCATGTTCTGGAACCCATTGTTTCATGTTATCTTTTCTGATCATGGCATCAGCTACATTTCTGGGGTCTCTTGCTGCTTTAGGATTGTTCTTTCGGACAAAAAGTTTCTATGATCGGATTGTACTCGGAAGATTACGATGTTCCACGAGAGAGTAAATTATAAAGATCATAAGAGATTTTTACTATATAGTAAGACTGGTATTTCTCTCCCGTTCATTAACTGCTGCTCTTCACCGTGATATACGAAATATGTTTATGTAGCAACTAATCTGCTTGAAGGCCAAAGAATGGTGCTGATGAAGCTTCTATTTGTTTTTTTTTTTTTTTCTTTGAAATAAAAAAAGGGCATGTTTGTATTTTTCTTGGTAGATGTACAATATAGTGCTTGTAAATATATATTTTTTATACAATAGCAGCTTTGTTGGTGAAAAAATAGTACTCTTGTTTTTTCTTTAAACTACTTTTACTTATTGAAATAATGAGCAAATTCCAGCCAAATAATTTTATGCAGTTCAAAAAACCATTTTATTAATTAAAGAATTTAACAATAATCAACGAGCGTCAAGACGAGTGATTCGACATCTTTATCTTTTAAACGGAGATAAAAGTTTCATCTTCGTGTTTAATATTAAATATTTGCTGGAAGTCATTTATTCTAAAACGAAAATAAAAATGATATCATATGAAGTTATCAATGAATCCCGCCTTTTTTTTTTTTTTTTTAATTAAAGAATTTAAAACAATAATCACGAGCGTCAAGACGAGTGATTCGACATCTTTATCTTTTAAACGGAGATAAAAGTTCATCTTCGTTGTTTAATATTAAATATTTGCGTGGATAAGTCATTTATTCATAAAACGAAAAATAAAAATGATATATATGAAGTTATCAAATGAATCCCGCCCTTTTTTTTTTTTTTCCTTTTTTTTTTTTTTTTTGAATAAGATATATTTTATAAGTTAGTTTCCCTTCTTTGTAACTGATTCAAATTATTCCTAATTTAATTAAATTATATTCACATATTAATTTTAGATTTTAAAATTTTCAGTCTGTTCTTGGAGGGGAAAAGAAGAAAAAAAAACTATGTCAGGTCATCAATCATAAGATTATAAATTAAAAGTTACTTTGGAATCGAAATTTTATGTTGAAAAATTTATGATTCAGCTATTTCAATCTACCAGGTTTACCAAAAGGAAAACTACGCCAAACTGATTTAGATAAAAAAAATCCAACCGAATTGAATAGTGTGATTCGATTTGTGGTTGGAACCAAAATTTACTCGCCCCTAAGCTTTAGGATGTTTTTCAAGGTAAAAAAAAAAAAAATATTGGGCCGTAACTCGAGCCCAAAAGTATACAATTCGAGTTAGCATCAGCCCGCCCCAAGTTTAACCCGATTTAAAATGGGAAATTGGTGCAAAATTAAGGAATAGTAGCTCAATCGGTAAAATTGATCCAATTGTAACGATAAAGAAACGAAGCGAGGAAGGGTTTTTGTTCTGCAAAGCTCTTTCTGGCTCTGATTGATTTCGCAAAATCCACATTCAATCATATCGAAGAAGAAGTAAAATCATTATCAGTTATTATCTTAGAAATATAAAATTTGAGGAGATAGATTGATAGATAGGTAGAGAAGGAAAGAGTTTTTTTTTCAGTTTTTGAATTTACATCATGAAGACGACGAAAGGAGGCAAAGTTATGAACCCTACAGACGCCTATCGTAAGGAGCTTCGCAAGAAGGAATTAAAACGGGTAATTTCATTTATGTTTTTAATTTTATCTTATTTTATCTCTTTTTTTTTTTTTTTTTTTTTTTATCTCTTTTTTTTTTTTTTTTTTTTGAGGTTTCTTTATCGAATAGTTTTCCTTTTTTTTTTTTATACTGATCATGTTAATGAGAAATCAAGTCAAAATTTTAATTTCTGGATTTTGCTTTATTTTCAAAAATAAATTTTAATTTCTATTAGACTTTTTTTTTTTTTTTTTTTTTTTGGGTTTCTTTATCGAATAGTTCCTTTTTTTTTTTTTATACTGAGCAGGTAATGAGAAATTAAGTCAAAATTTTAATTTCTGGATTTGCTTTTTTCAAAAATAAATTTTAATTCTATTAGACTCTACAAAGTTTGGAAACTTGGAATTTTGATGTATTTTAATTTGGTGAACTATCTGATTTTCCAACTTAGAGGCCGAAGTTTTTTGGATTTGGATTTGGACGTTTAGGGCTTGGCCTAATAGTTATTAGTTAAGTTTAAGTGTAGTTGATTGTTGTACTTATATCTACTTCACTCAAATTGTGATTTTCATAAATAATATTGCTTTCTGTGATTTCATGAAGTGATTTTATGTTATTTGGATAACTGATGCATTTGTTGATGAATCCACTAACTTCTAACTTTTTCTCGTGCAATTTAATTTGACAGAACAAAAAAGAAAGAAAGAAGGTTAGGGAGGTGGGCATTTTGAAGAAGGATCCTGAGGTGCTAAGGGAGCAAATAGAGAAGTTGGAAATGATGAGTAAGTCATAATATACTTGAATAATTCTCTCCCTCTTTTCCCTTCGACTGTAGATATTATGAAGCATAGCCAAGGATAGAGAGAAGACTTAATTTATAATGTTGGATGCTTGACTGTTCTAAAATAACTGTACACACCAGACAATATGTTTGTAATGCCACTTTCATGGCCATCAACTTCTTCTTTTATTCTTTCTAACACTTAATAATTCTGTAGCTTTTTAATTACCATTAACCGAATATTAATCAGCTTTCATCATTATGATTTTTGAGGCAGTGTGTTCATTTTGTTTTGAGAACTTTAAGTGTGTCTCTTACTATCTTTGAAAACTAGAATTCTAAGCCTGTGGAAGATTGCAGGCTTGTATCCTTGTAGTTCCTGCATAATAATTGTCAATAGCTCTCGGGATGCAGCCAGACATTAACTATTTTAATTTGTGAAAGAACTGAGGAAGCAAATTTGAGGATAGAAGTGTAAATTTAATCTCTCTGTATGTGATCACTCGTGTGTGCATGTTTATGCATCTGTAAGTGGGCGCATGTTGTGTTGTGAAGGGGGCACGTGGATAATGTTTAGGATATCTGTTAGCTATAAACGTCCTTGTCTAGAAAAGATCACTTTGGGTTATCTTGAAACCAGTTTAGCTCATGGCTATAGCAAAATTCTAGTAAAAATAAATACAGAAAAACAAGAACTGCTTATTCATTCCTCAGCTTTTTTTTAATGATGCTGCAATAATTTTTCTCTGATATTTATCCTATATTTTTCTATGACTGCTCTTGCTGTTCTTCTCATTTTTCCACATGCAATTTAGAAATGAAACTTGGTATGCTAGCCTTTTCACTTTCAAACTTAGTTTTGTGTCTGATTCATCGGTGCAGAGGCTGATGGTGCATTGGATAAAGCAAGAAAACACAAAAAGAGACAACTGGAGGATACACTTAACCTTGTTTTGAAAAAAAGAAAGGTAGTATTTACAATGCATGTGTTCAGCTTCTTCTTTCATTTTCATCTCCTTGCTTATCTTAAAATTATGATTGTGGTTAGATATCTGGATCAAGTTGGAAATGTTTAATAAATGCAGAAAAGCATAGATCTGTGGCTAATTGATGATTTTAGTTGGATTATGAACTTTCTTTAACAAGGTAGTTACTGATAGGGAACAAAAAAAACTTGATCAATGCGATATACTTGTAAATGGGAAGAAATAACATTCAGATAACATTTTCCGTCAAAACTGATGGTTCACAGTTCTAGAACAACTAGGTCCAAATTGATTGCATAAAGAATTAAATAGAAAAAAGTAGATAGGGAAGTGGAAGAAGAAGAAATGTCTGTTATGTGACATGATAATCATTTTTCTTTTGTGTCCTGGACAGGAGTATGAAGATAAAATGAAGGAGAAGGGTGAGACCCCAGTAATGTTCAGGTAAATTGGTCACTCTTTTATTGTTCCCTTTTGTCTGTGAGCAATCCAGTATTTTTTAACACTTTATTTGATTGACAAACTGTAGTATACATTTACGTGCAGTCATTTGGGTCCACCTCGAAGAAGAACATCTGCAGAAGAAGAAGAGAGAGTCAAGCACCCTAAACCTGAAGTATATATGACTAACTTTAATACCTCTTTAGTCCTGTTTTCCTTTCTTATGATCTTACATTTACAAAATTTGGGGTTGCAACTTGCAGGACTCTGTCTATTATCACCCTACACTGAATCCTACTGGGGCCCCACCACCGGGAAAGCCTCCTATGTATAAGTCATCCATAGGTATTTTTTTTCCCCTCTCAATTTTCAAGTTAAATATGCTGTTGCTTTATGTGCTTTGTCTCTTTCCCTCTCCCTGTTGACTTCTCTGTTGACTTTGGCTTGCAGGCCCCCGGATTCCTTTATCTGCTGCTGGCTCATCAAGCGCTGCTGCATCATCCTCAATGGCCGAGGCAGAGGATGATGCTTTAGCAGTGCCTCCACCCCCACCTCCCCCACCTCCTCCTTTGCCAGATGGCACTCAATTGGGTGGTGGGGATAACTCTGTTATACCTGCTTCCTTGCCTCTACCTCCTCCTCCTCCAATGCCTCCAAAGCCTCCTGTACCAGGCATGGGGACATCACTGCCACCACCACCTCTGCCCCCACCTCCTCCAGGCCCCCCGCCAAAAGACCAAGTTGCAAGTCACACCTTACTTTCCCCACCACCTCTTCAACAAACTCAGCCACCACCACCTGGCACTAATGGAAGTGAAAGGGAGAGAAATTCATCTATATTGTCAGATGAATCATCCACCAAAGAAGCAATTCAGGCAAGTGTCTTTCACCTCCTCTAGAAATGCTTTATCTTAGGGGCAACATAATTTTGATGAAGAAATTAGACTCAGTTAGGAGCTAAGGATAGAAACATTGGGTTTTGGGAAGTTTGTGGATGACGAAAAGTATTAACTGTTTGTTTGGTTGTCCACCATTTGGGTTTTTTCTTTTTAAAAAGAAGTTTTTACTTGTCTAAATTTCAAAATCTAAAATGTTTTACTGGTATTTGTCAACTCAAATAATTGGTCTAGTTTGATTTTGTCAATTCAAGTCTAACTAAAAATAAGCTAGGTGTTTAGTTATTGAAGAAGTTACCAGAGTAGAACTGAACCAGCTTCAATGCTGAGATTTTTAATTTCTTAACGTTTTCTAAATTTTGGATAAAAAGGTTAACATCATTTCTTTATTCAGGTAACTTCTGTGCTCCCTCCACCACCACCTCCTCCAGGAATGCCACCAACATCGGCAAGGAATCAATCTGATGGTGCATCATCTGAAGCTGATAGCAAAAATCAAACAGTATCTAGTGATAACACTAAAATGGTTCCCCCACCGCCACCGCCTCCATTGCAACATCCTCCAGTGCCTGGGCCATCCTTGATCCCCACATTACAGGCTGATGTATTACCACTGGGGATGTCGCGTTTGCCCCCTCCCCCACCCCCACCAAATATGCATGCACCAGTGGCTGCTTCAGGACTCCCTGGTCAAGTGGCTCCTCCTGGAGTGATGGTTCCACTAATGCCAAGACCACCATATGGTCCTCCCCCTGGACCTCCCCCAATGATGATGCCACCACTTCCTCCTGGTCCTCCTCCTACCTTTCAAGAAGATGCTGCAGCAAGGATAACTGTTCCGCAGAAGCCATCTTATGTCAAATCTGCAGCATCTACTGTTGTTAAGAGGCCACTAGCACAGCACACTCCAGAACTTACAGCTATGGTAAGTTTAATCCTCTGATTCTTTATCTATTTCATCCTCGTCTCTTTAATAAATCAAAGAAAAATGTTAAAAAATAACTACAATTGCATAATTGTTTCCCTGTTTACACCATTTTCACAATTGTTCGATAGATATATTGGGACATGATCATGATAATTTATTGTTAGGGGGTGCATTTTCTCTGGGCAATGACAGGTCGCCCATTTTTATCCTACTATTCTGTGGTAACTATGCATTCCAAAAGTGCACAATTGGTTAGACATTATCAATGTGTTAACCCTGAGGTGACTTCTCTTGAGGTTTCAAGCAAAAAGTTTCAAGATATATTGGAACATAGAAAATTTGGGTCATTTGCAGACAAGATCAGACAATAGATTGTTGAACACAACTTGCCAGAATTCATGAAATAGTATTGGAACTAATCAATTAACATATGAAGAGGATAAAATACCCACTAGACAAAAGCTTGTCTCAAGAAGGCTTGTAGAGGAAAGGACAGCAAGAAAAATGGGATCACGATGTAGTGCAAGGAATGTCCCAGTAAATTCTCTGCCCGATTTTAGAACATATGAAGAGGATAAAATACCCACTCGCTGATGTGTTAATATAGTGTCCTATTAGGATTGGCTGGAAAATGGTAGATTAACATGTAGCAACACATTAATTGATCTTTGCATTAAAGGTTTTCTCTTTGTATTTTCATTATGAGGAAACACCTTCATTTTTGTTGAACCCTACTTATGTTGCATAATTTTTTGAAACTTGTGTCCTAATTTTGGTCTAATTCAGGTTCCTGCCTCAGTTCGTGTAAGGAGAGAGACTGCAGTCACAAAACCGAAACCAAAGTCAACAATTCCAACAACAGCAACACCCATCAGGCCAGCAGCTTGTACCATTGTGAAGCCAGAGTCCACTAACTTGTCATCAGCGTCGAAGGCTACGAGCATTGATGACTCATATATGGCCTTTTTGGAGGACATGAAAGCACTTGGTGCCCTTGATGCTTAATTTCAGTATTACAGGCTAGAGGGGAAGTATAAAAGAAGCCAAGGGGAATCTAGTGTACAGGTTAATGTACCGGATCAGGGAGTTGACTAGAAATATTTATTATTTCTGGTAGCCTGCTGCCTTGGTTCTATCTTCATAGTGGCTTTAGGAACTTCCATTATTGCCGGTACTTCATTTTTGTGTTGCTAAAACATCTCAATTAAGTGAGGTGGGCATAACTGGTGGTAAGTTTTCTCAGTCGACCGTAGATATTTTAACCTGGAGCAAGGTGGGAACTGCATTACAATACATTTAAATTCAACTTTGCTTTCTCCTCGATTCTCAATTTGTACTTTTCCCCCTCTTTCACGGGCTGAATTAAATTACTGTATACTTCTGATTTATAACCTGCCAATGATGTATTTCTATTCTATGTTGCATATTCAGAGACAAACTTCTAATTTTTTAAAGCTTCCTAAGAGTATGATACCATTTTGTGGAACAGACCAGAAAATACACCAAGGAAGAAGTCTCAGAAAGTTTTCTTAGCAGGAAAGAAGTTTTTGGTACCTCGAGATAATTGTCACAAGTAGGAAAGTGAGATCATGCCATTTGTCATATTGCACTAATCATAGGAGACCTCACAATAAAATATTATCTTTTATTATTATTATTTTTGTTCTTTAATAGTAGTCATTGTAATTGCATAGAATAATAGTTTTTTTTTTGTTTATCAGCATTATTCATCATAGTGGACCATTTTGTCTGTGTGCACCAGCAATGGCCATGTGCATGCTAGCACGTTGTAACATAATCAAAATTGAATTCCAGTAAACAATTATTTAGTTCTTCTAATTTAATTATAATTATAATTTCACTCTTTTTAATTAATAAAATATATTAATTAGTCTTGGAAATGTAATCACATTAAATTAATTGATTTGGTTAATCCTTTATATTTATTTTTGTATATTAAGGCATATTTCAGTGGTGAGTGTATATATATCTAGGTTCAAATCTTTCCTTAAATCTTTCTTTCCCTAATTAACATATTTACCGAATAACAGATTTAAAATTATAATTATGATTAAGAGAGTAAATAAATATGTACCTAATTTTATATAATCTGCGTTTATATTTTTATATTTATCTACAAAATATATATTGTTAATAAATTGATTTAAAATCATAATATTAAAAAATATTGTTTTTGTATCTTTAAATAAATCGGAAATGACTAAATTTACAAAAGCCAAAAAAAAAAATTATTGAATTTTGTAAGATTTGATTTACTTGTAAAGGCAGTGAAAGAAGCAGTCAAAAAAGAAAGAATAAATAAATAAATAAAAGCCTTTGCTTTCTCTCTTTCAAAGGACCCGCCGGCCCGGCATTCTCACCGGATTAACTGTTCTTGTTTTTGCTGTTGATTTAGACCTTAAGCAATTTGATTCTTTAGCTTTATCTGGTAGATAAGTCTTGTTTTGACACAAAAAAAAGTATCTTTCAAGAAAGAAATTTCTGGGCAGTTGTTGTCCCTGTTATAATCTACACAATCTAGACTGTACAGCTACACGTTCTCACTAAAATAATGTGAGTAGACATTTGACCCATTCATTACTCTATTTTTATTATTTCATAGCAGATAAGGATGCGACGGTTAGATACCTTTTGTTTTATTCAGAAGCTCTTCAAATTATAGATTGGCAACTTTCATATCACCATATCTCTCTCTTTTTTTCTTGTTTTCATGTCATTATAAATTTGGAAAGCTCTTTTCTGATTCTGTACGTGGTAAAGTCAAAGGGGTTCTATTCTTGTTTTCCAGTGTGAATATGACCATACTTTTTGGCTTGCTTTGTGGTGTGGGGTTTTGGGTATAAATGAACTGATCCAGAAAGGGCAATAGCAATTTGTGCACAAGACACATTGAACCAACCGAGATTTATCCAACTTGGTTGTGTAGGCAATGCAAGTGGATTTCTTCTCAACTACCCATCATATTTATTTATTTATGTATGTGGAGTCAACCATGTAAAGTTATCCAATCGATGGCTTAATCCTTGATTGAAAGTTAATTGTGCTTTTTAATCCTTGCAGCTGAAATAGAAAAATATCAAAACTCAAAAGCTTGTGATAGGGAGAGGGGTTTTGCAAAGAGAGAGAATCATTGTGGAATTAAAAAGGATTTACATGTAGAAAGAGAAAGGAAAGGATATAAAAAGAATTTCCTTCTGGAAGCTGACTTTAGAGAGCTTGATATATAGAAAGAGCTTATTGATGGGCCACCAGTAGAGAGACGATGAATTTATTAAAATATTAGAGCAGTTGGTAGAGGATAGAACTTTCAAACCTCAGACAGGTTTTCTTCTGCTTAAAATGATCCTGGCATAGACAAAAAGGAGGCTTTTGTAGGTGTTGCTTGGTATGATGGGAGAAATGCTTGCCATTGTCTTGCTGTTCTTTAACTTGGTGTTGCTTCCTGATCCTTCCTTTCCCCATCCATTATGCACTGATTCAAGTTTGTACTGATTCTTTTTATACTGTTTTGATTTCAACTTTTTTGGGTTTGTGGTTACAAAACTTTACTGGCCCTATGTTATTGTGCACATGAATCTTAATTCTCTTTCTCTGTTTGAATTTATTGATGTAGGAGAACCCCTTTCATTGAACACCACTCTGAAATTTTGTCCCTACAAGGGGAGCACCTGCTGCAATTCCACGGAAGATACACAATTGCAGAAGCAATTTCAAGCAATGAACATCTCGGATCCTGGCTGTTCTTCTCACATCAAATCTATCCTTTGTGCTGTAAGAATTTTGTTTTCCTTATTGTCAAGTAAAAGTTATGTCTGAGACATTGAATTTTTGAATTTGACCCAGGTTCAGCGTTTGATGGCTTGAATATAATTATTGCTTATCCGTTGATCAAAACATCATTACAAATGTATTAGAAAATCTAAAGAAAATTGCTGTTACAACCAAATCCAGATAGGTCCTACAGAATTATTTCATCATGAAGTTTAGAAATATATGGTTTTTTTCAGGTTAAACATAATCAGCATAGTTTCTTTATTCAGTCTTTAGCCGTTAAATAATGCATTTTAAATATGTTAATGATCTCTAAACAACTGGACCATTGTGAAAGAATTTTCTGACTGTTGATATCTTTGTTGACATGGTTTACAGAGATGTGATCCATTTTCAGCGGAGTTATTTACAATCAACTCTGTGCAACGGCCAGTTCCTGTTCTCTGTAATTCTACTGTTTCAGGAAATTCATCCCAGTCTGGCCAAGCAGTGAATAACTTCTGCTCTCAAGTATGGGATGCGTGTGAAACTGTATCTGTATCAAATTCACCTTTTGCCCCTTCACTAAAAGGCCAAGCCGGTTTACCTGTCAATTCCAGCGTCACAAAATTGACTGATCTCTGGCAGTCAAAAACTGATTTCTGCTCAGCATTTGGCGGAGCGTCTACTGATGGATCAGTATGTTTTGATGGTGAACCTGTTACTCTCAATAACACTGTATCATCTAGTCCACCACATGGGTTGTGCCTTGAGAAAATTGGAAATGGATCTTACCTTAATATGGTTGCCCATCCAGATGGGTCTAATCGTGCATTCTTCTCTAGCCAACCAGGCAAGATTTGGTTGGCAACTATTCCTGAAGAAGGATCTGGAGGAACAATGGAAATTGATGAATCAAGTCCTTTTATAGATCTAACGGATGAAGTTTATTTTAGTAGTGCATTTGGAATGATGGGCATGGCATTTCATCCAAATTTTGCACAAAATGGTCGATTCTTTGCTTCATTTAATTGTGACAAGGTTAGATGGCCAGGATGTGTTGGAAGATGTTCATGTAATTCAGATGTGAATTGTGATCCTTCGAAGCTAACTCCTGACAATGGCGCACAGCCCTGCCAATATCATAGTGTTATTGCAGAATATACTGCAAACAGTTCAACAGTTGAAGCTTCTTTGGTACAAATCTCTGTACAAATAGAATTTTGTGGTGTTATTTTAATGCAATCATTCCATCTGACATTTGATTTTTTCCAGGCAACATCTGCCAAACCATTGGAAGTTAGCAGGATATTCACTATGGGTCTTCCATTCACATCGCAACATGGAGGACAGATTCTCTTTGGACCGACAGATGGTTATTTATACCTTATGATGGGAGATGGAGGTGGACCTGGTAATGCAGGTGATCCTTACAATTTTTCCCAAAACAAGAAATCATTACTTGGAAAGATCATGCGACTGGATGTTGATAATATACCAAGTGAGTGTATGCAAAGCATTGTTTATAATGAACTTTTTATTGATTTGTGTTAACAATCTGCTACATTGCAGCTTCTGTTTTCTTTTCATTCATTTTTACCTGAGAAATAAATTGAGAGGCATGGTTCAGAACTCATAAGTACCATTTTTGCAGGTGCTGAAGAAATTAATAACCTTGGTCTATGGGGAAACTACTCAATCCCTAAAGATAATCCATCTAGCGAAGACAGTGATTTGCTGCCAGAAATATGGGCTTTAGGCTTAAGAAATCCCTGGCGCTGCAGCTTTGATTCAGAAAGGCCATCCTACTTTATGTGTGCAGATGTTGGAGAGGTACGTGATGTGTTTCTCTTCCCATAGTCTCTGATAGAAAAAAAAATGCAAGTTTATAATTCAATTTCTTGAATTCTTGTGGCAAGATTTACTTGAAATTTGTGCTCCTGGACTTTTGCTTAAGCAGTAAAGGGTCAAGTAGTTGGGATATAGTAGGTGAAGTCTAATCAACAGCTTGCACAGCCACTGCAAAAGTAATTACATTCATTAGTTTAAAAAAAATTATGCTTTTGTCATAAATGTCTCATCTTGTTTTTAACTAACATTTCACCAGCATATGGGAATTAATGAAGTCTACTGAACTATTAGGGAAATGGAAGTGTTAGAAACAAGGACCTTCAAAAATGGCAAAGAATTCTTTGTTTATTTTCTGTAATGATTTAGCTTATGCTTAATTAAGCCTCTTGTTGTATTTTTTGGAGTCTCTGAGTTGGACAATATCACATGCACATATCTTTGAGAGGCTTACGTCGGACAAGTTATGTGAAATTGACTTCTGAACTTCGAAGTGTTGGACATTTTTATTTATTATTTGTTCTGCAGGATTTATATGAAGAGGTGGATATCATCACCAAGGGGGGAAACTATGGCTGGCGCGTTTATGAGGGACCCTATCTTTATGACCCTCCATCATCGCCTGGTGGAAATACATCTTTGAATTCCATAGACCCAATTTTTCCAGTTATGGGATACAACCACTCTGAAGTAAACAAGAATGAAGGATCAGCATCAATTACTGGGGGTTACTTCTATCGCTCGAAGACTGATCCATGCATGTATGGAAGGTGTGTAAGCTATGTGCCTTTTGCTACGATGTTTTAGAGACCATATGTGTAGTTATTGATCGTTGTACACAAAAACGACTAGTTAGGTGGCCCTGTAAAAGAATTACGTTTTTCATTTCAATCTGCCTATTAAGTCCTGAAAGCAACTTCAGACATTTATGTGTACTTTGCTGATTGGTTCTATATGTTCAGGTACTTATATGCAGATTTGTATGCGGGTGCACTGTGGGCAGCTGCTGAAACCCCTGAAAACAGTGGTAACTTTACCAAGAGCAAAATTCCTTTCACTTGTGCTAAGGACTCTCCAATCCAGTGCATATCTGTACCAGGAAGTGCTCTTCCAGCTTTGGGCTACATTTTCTCATTCGGGGAAGATAACCACAAGGATATTTTTATTCTAGCCAGCAGCGGTGTTTACAGAGTTGTTCGTCCAAGTCGATGCAATTATGCTTGCTCGAAGGAAGAAAATGTCACTGTTATTCCAAGCCCAAGTCCTACCATGTCACCGCCTTCACATGCAGGCCAGTTACATTGCCCATATAGCAGAATACTGGTCTTATTATCTTCTCTGCTCCTGCTTTTGATGGGTGTTATCTAGTTTCCAGCATGTCACTAACAGCTGTATGTACTATCAACAGTCAACACCCTTCTTCCAGTTTTTTGTACAATAGACTTTTCTCCGTTCTGTTTCTCTGAATTGTTCTTTTGCAACTATTAAAGAGTAGGTTGATACTACCAATTTTTCTGTTGAGACTCACGTGAATTATTCAGTTGATAGAATGTGCAGTTGTCAGCTATTCTGCAATTCAATTACAAATACATGTTTTATGTTGAATTACACGAACGGAAATTATTTCAAAAGATTTACTTTTTTTTTTTTTAATATTAATGCGGATTTACTTATGACTTATGAGCAAAGCGAAATAAAAATAAACTATCATATTTTAGTTTGGAAGTATAGTTTAGTTATTAATATTGTTGTAATAAATAAAGGATCCATGCTTTTGAGGTTCCATGTTCAGTTTCAGTTGCATGAGTTAGGTATTGGGTCTAACTTCCATATATCTCTTTCACATGTTTTGTTAATAATATTTTTAATGCCCATTCAAAATTTAAATAATGTCTCTAATTTTTTTTTATTGAACTTCATATAAAGACAGTATTTTTAAAATTACATTCGTTAATACAGTTTGAACAATCAATTTTATCTAACACTTTCTTTAAATATACCTCTATTTGGATATCATTTCTAGTAAATAATTGAATGAAAAAATTATTGATAATAAAATAAATTAAGTAGGAGCAAAGTAAGTAGTTTTGTTTTGATATTTATTGATGAATGTTTTGGAAAAATAATTCTGATTTTATGATTGTATTTTCACTTGTTTTCTTACAAAATTTTTAATATTTTTTATTTTTTAATGTTATTACTAAAAAGTAAAAAAAAAAAATCCGGTTCAATTGTTACCCAATCATTAATCGGATTGGACATCAAATCCGATTGTCGAAGTACTGTTCAAGTAAGGTATCATTGAGCATTGTGTGTCTTTCTAAATTTAAATCATACAGCTAATATACTTTTGAGAACCCTTCAAGCTAACATCTTATGGATACTCTTTGTTTGGTAATTTCCAATTTGGCATTTTGGAGTTGAAGAAAATAGAAAATAGTTCCATTTCCTATAAATAAATAAAAATAAAATAGTTTACTTAAATATATTCCTTTAATGTATTTCATTTTTTTCCTCATAAAATCGATTTTTTCTTCGATGCATGGCTGATTTAATAGAACGATGAACTACTCGGCAGAGAAGAATAACACTTTCCTTTAACATTTATCAAATTATAATAATTTATATAATGAAAAGAACTCAAACTGAAAATTTGGGACTCTCCATGTATCCTACAAAAAGCGAAAAGACCAAAAAATCATAAAATATATGAGAACAGAGAAATTTATTTAAAGATAAAAAAATTATAAATTTTAATGGAAATTAATAAAAAATAGATAAAACACGAGACATCATAAAAAAATAATGATTTAAGTTATATCCAATAACATATAATCAATTGTAAGATTATATAGAGAATATATTTAATTAAAATTATATTTTTATCAAATTCATTATAAATTTCTTTTCGTTCATCCTAAAATTATGTAATGCCAATATTGGAAAAAAATAAATAAAGTTACACACTCATAACCCAAATATTAAGCTTAAAAAGTTCAATAATAACTTTCAGAACATTGAAGTGAAATGATAAATTAATAAAATTATTTAGGAGATTTTTAAGAAAAAAGCATATTTATATATTATAGAAAGTAATTTTTATTAAAAAGAAGAAGAAGAAGAAGAAAAACTTCAATGATAGTTCCCAATCACCCAAGTTCCTAAGCAAAGGATTCCAAAAAAATCCCACAACAACAAAGCAAAAGCAAGTCATTATCCGTCAACCCTAAAAACACAAACTTTCCATAGAAGAACAGAGCATGGCATGTTAAAATTCAACAAAAAGCAAAAGAAAATCAAAATCAAAATCAAAAATCAACTCTTTGGTTAAAATCCCAAATTAAGAACCAGAAATTGACCCCCAATAACCTCTATCCGGTGGTTAAAAGTAAATAAATCCAAGTCCTACCCATATTCCCAGGCATTGTCCCTCTTTTCTTCTTCTCTTTCCTTCCCTTTCCCCCGTTTTTTCCCCCTCTGGTCTCCTGTTTTCCACTTAACCAAACAAAATCCTATACATACAGAAATACACACATGTATTTGTGTATATTTTGTTTATGTGTGTAAATGAAAATTAAATGATGGGTTGGACTTTTGGTCCTCTATCTTCTCCTTCTTTCTCTTTTATTTCTCACTCTAAATATAATTTATTGATTTTCTTTCCTTTGATTGATTTCTCTCTTCAATGCAAACCCTTGATCCTCTACATGTAATCCTACATTAACTAACCTAAACCCTTTCGATCTCTCCAAACATGTCCCGTGAACAACCCTCTTCATCTCCGATCCCTCTAAACGACTCGCCTAAACCTCAGCACGACACGGCCACTGTTTCTGACGACGCCCCCAACGAGGAACCTCCAGCTCCGCCACCTCCACCACCGCCTACTAACAGAAGCAATCGGCCTTCTCGCGCTTGCACTATCCGCGCTGCCGAGAGGCTTCAGGCTGCCCAACAGCAGGCTGCGATCGACCGGAAGCAGAAACCAAAGAAAGAACAGCAGCAACAACATCGATGTGATGAGTCGCCGCAGCAGAAAGAGCAATGTAGCACCAGTAGTAAGATCATTACGCCGTTGGTTGGGCCACCCGAGCCGGCTCAGTTACCGAGGTGGAGCCTTCGCTCCATGTGGGAATTAGCTTCCATACTCAATTTCTTGCATGTGAGCTTTTTTTGAACATTTATTGAAGTTGTGAATTTTGTTCTTTTCAATTTTTTGCTTTCTTGGTGTCTTGGGGCTTATTTTTTTGCGTTGCAGGTATTTAGGCCTCTATTGAATATACAGATTGAGTTCTCAGCTGAGGAGTTTGAGACAGCTTTGATTACACCCAATGACACTTTGGGAGATATACATATACCTTTATTAAAGGTTGGTGCTTTATTTTGATATTCAAAGTTTTCATTTTTCAGTTTATACTTAATTGAAATTCTTGTCTGTGGTTCACAATTAGTTCAGTTCACATTTTAGCAATGTGTACTTCTGAGAAGCTTAAGTTAACCAAACTCAAGTGATGCTAGTTGTTTTCTGATTTAAGTAAGTCTCCCCAAAATGTTTTACCTTAGATGCAGACGAAGTGAATTAGCTGATTGTATATGGGGACTAGGGATTACAGTTTTGATGAGTGGAGAACTGGCTAATGGTGCAATGCTGGTATCATGCAAAGTGATTTAGAGGATGCAATTATGGATATCCCTTTATTTTATTATCTACCAGTGTTGCTAATGTTGACACACAAAGTACTTCAGTACTTTGAAAGCTGTTGTAGTTATCGATTTTATTGAGGTAACCTTCATATCATATGAGAATTGGACATGGTGTTGCTAGAGTTGCGGCACCAAATTTCGTAAAGGAAAAATGTGCAAAGATGAGGATACTTTTGGTAATTGAATGCTTTGTTTTACATGTCAAATTCAGTATCAAATGCTGATATATTTTGTCTTTTGGATTATGAAATTTTGGGTTTAGTTTGGATTACCCTGCTGAAATATTTAGGCAGTTGGATGTTGCTGACAACATGGAGAGAGAAATTGGAGTCTGGAGGGTGTACGCCCTTGGTACCATATTTTCTTCCCTTTTGGTGGTTTCTATAACACATTTAAGACAGCTCATAGCATTTTAATGCAGGCTGATTCGAAACTACTTCACATAGGAAGCTTGTTGCCTCTACTACTGACCCTGAGATACAAGTTTTGTTGGTTGCTGCACTGTTTTGAATCTGCCGATATTTGGTATCAAAGCCTTGTGATGTGATATTATGAAATAGCCAATTTTGTTTTGTCTTTGATTTGTGGTTCATGTTATTATTGCACAGTTCTGATGACCAGGTCACAACTGTATGTCTACCGGGTACTTGCCAATCATGATAGTTAGGTGGTTGCATGACTAGATATGTGGTGAAGAAATTATTATTCTTTCAGAGCCCATTGCTAAGAAGGATTTACATAGCTAACCTGATTTAATTGAATAAAACTTCGCTAATCCAATATTGCTGATTATGATAAAAGTGTTGGTGACATATGCATATCTAGATTTTGTTGATCTCCCAGGTTCGATATTAAAGGTATCGACTCAGTAGGCTATCATAATTTTATGTAAACAACTAAACAAGTATGGTTGGATTTATGATATTTAGGAGGGACATGACTACAATAATTACTTTGGAAATGTAAATGGCAATAGTGACTTGAGATTATTAGTGAAGGAATGTCTTGTAACTCGATACAGATTATGAGTTGTTTTAAGTTGACATGATGGGATGTCATGAACTTGTAAAATTCTTATCCTAATGTTCATTTTGCTCGGTACTTGAAGAAGCAATGAACTTCCCATTTGATTAGAGTTTGTTTGGGGATACATAGGATCCTCTCTACTGCATGTGCATGATGAATCTTCATAATTCATATGTTGTACAGCAGTGCATCTGATTTTAATTTGGGTCTTATGGCTTTCCCCAACATCTTGAATATATACATATAAAGAATAATGTGCTCCAGAAGTTTGAACATTATGTTGAGATAGTTTGCCTGAGAAAAGGGTAAGAAGCCTGGAAGAAGAAGTACATGCAAGTCTGGTTTCTAAACTTTGTTTATTATAGCCAATGATTTTGTTCCCTTCACTGGATATCCTTCTCCAACTACGTAGCTAAAAAAATTTCTAAATTGCAGTATCAATTGAGTTGAACTGAGAATTTATTGACTAGGCTTTAATAGCTGGGGCTGACTTTTAGTACACTTGGCAGCAATTTGTTGCTAATTTTGATTTCTTGTGATCCTTAGAAACATCCTTAATTTTCATTTTCTGTGCTTACATCGCAGACTTTGATTCTTTATGCATGAAAGTAGCTGCTAATCAACAAAGTTCTTTTTCTTTTGATTCATTCTTTTTACAGGCAATCCCTCCTATTACCCGAATGGCCCTTACACGGGATACATGGGTTACTGTTCTGTGCAGAAAATTAAGAGACTGGTGGCACTGGGTAACTCAATCATTGTACTTCTTTTAACAAATGTTTAATACTAGGTCTTGCAAACTTGTACTGATCCCTTGTGCAACTTCTCACTACTAAGATATGTTTGGTATTTGTTGCAGGTTGCAGATGGAGAACTTCCCATAGTTGCTTCACATGGGTGAGTTGTTTTGAACCTATCAAGGCTCTTAATTGTGGTTCTTTATATGTTGCTAATGCATGTAACTTTAATTTCTTAGGGTTGAGATTGAAGTGTATAAAACTCTTGATCCTGGGATTCGCGTGGTGATCTTGAAAGCTTTATGTGACATCCGTGTTGAGGTACTACTATAATTCTATGATTATCGATTTCAAATAATTAATTGTTGCATATATATATATATATATATATTATATATATATATATATATATATAATGCATACATTTTACATATCTGTATATAAGACATAATCTCTGTATATAATATACATAATCAAATGGAGCCTAAATTCCAAGACCTGGTTCCAGATTGTTATGACTTTGAGCAGATAAATGATCTCATTTGTTGATTTGATCTTATGTTGATATATATATAATGCATACATTTTACATATCTGTATATAAGAACATATCTCTGTATATATATACATATCAAATGGAGCCTAAATTCAAGACCTGGTTCCAGATTTGTTATGACTTGAGCAGATAAATGAATCTCATTTGTTGATTGATCTTATGTTGTTTACTGAGTATGAATTCTTAGTAGTTCTGTCTTGCTGTCCCTTCAAATAATTCTTGATTGGGGTATATTTTGTAGTTCTTTCACATGATTGTGTCATCTCAGTGTTCTTTCACATGATTGTGTCATCTCAGTGTTCTCGCAAATAAGCTGTCATTTTTAAGTTGGCACTTGTATTGTTATAATATGCTGCAGTTGTTTTTTGCAGCTTCTAGCAATTATTTCCTAATTTCAGTGTCAGTTTATCTGATATCCATTCTTCTAGTTCTGTAAATTTTGCATTCCTAAACATAGTTCCTTTCAGTGATTTCAATTAAGATTGAATTTTTTTTTCTAGTTTTAGTAATATTTCCAATGTCCTCTGTGGATTTTCTTATTAAGTTCACATCTATATTCTGAATATATCATGCCAATCCAAATTTGAGTAACTAACCTGTGGTATTTCGCCTGGGTCTATGCGGCAATTTCATTAGCTTATTTCATACCTCCATTAGTATATTACCAAAGGAATTGAATTTGAGTGATATTTGCAGCAAGAAGATGTTCGAAATTATATTGACAACTCCCTTAAACATGGAATTCAACTTTCAGTATTTCGTAAAGAGCGTGTTGGGGGCGATTCACAAGCAATTAATTACTGGTAATATTGATATGCTTCTCAATAAAGCATACAATTTTGACTGCTATTAGTTCTTTTTAAACTTTCAAATGACGTAAAAGATCAACTGCATGTATTTCTAAGTGAAACTCGAAATCTTCCTTTGGTGTAACATTTTTGTCGTTCTGTAGTATAAGTTCTATAATCTATGTTTTGTTGTTGGTGCAGGTATGAAGATGATCCAATAATTGGTCATCGGTTATACCGAGAAATAAGAAAAACTGAAGTTAAGAAATCAAAGGCAAAAGGTTCCCATGTCCTTTCCAATACAACATACCAGTGGGAAACAGTTGCAACAAATTTCGAAGAATTTCAAGATGTTTCTGTAAGTTATCTAAATTGGCTTATTGTATGAATGCCTTCTTTAAATTTCAATGAAAGGTTGTACATAGTTCTATTCTTTGGTGCTGCTTCCATGTTTTTCCCTCTTTTTGTTCTTATTTTGTATTCTAATCCACGAAATCAAAATGATTTACTGGTTTAGAAGTAAAAATTAGTTTTCTTTTTTCCAGAAAATTGTTTCTTTATTTCTTCTTTCTTTTATCAGAAAGATCATCTTTCTCAATTGCTTTGCTTTTTATATTACAAAATTAATGTGTGGATCATGATTTGATTTGAAGTGGGCTTTGAGTATATCCATTTTTTCATTAAAAGAGACCATGTCTGTTATGTTGTTCTTAGATGGCAGGATGGATTTCTTTTGATGTTTATTTATGCATGAAAGTACAAATGCAGATTTGTGATTATGCATTAATTACAGTGGTTATATACCTGTCTGTCATCTGCTGCACTTTTAATATTCTATGATGGAATTTCTGATGAAAAGGGGCAAAAGATATCTTGATGTTAAGAATGTTAGGTGCTGATTTCCTGGTGAAGTGATCAGTACTCCAAGAATGAAGGATTCTAATCCAAATAAACATGATTTTAGATTGTGTCAGGTTTTATAATTTTGCGCTTCAGAGAAGTATGCTTTTTTTTTTTCTCCTTCCTAGAGGAATTAGTTTATAATGGAAGTGGAGCTTAGATAAGCTTTATTGAACTTGCAGTCTGTTGAGTGGTGTTCTGCCAGCAGGTTTCGTTAACCTTGAGTAAGTAAATGAAGTAATTTATTGCCAATTTTCCATCAAATTAGAAGTTCAATTTGAGATCAAAAAGGTTGTCTGTATACGTGAGCTACTTGCATTTGTAAATTGAATGTTAATTGTAAGCAATTTTAGCTGCAAACTGAATTTGCAAAAGTATATCCAGATTTCTGTACAAGTCTGTGTGAAAAAATGCCAAGGCGAAAGTACGGTACCTAAGATCTGGAATTGTTTGAATACTCTGTCGGTGGAAATGTTTTCTTCAAGGCCATATTTTTCTTTTCTGATTTCTTTCTAACAATTTTTATTTCTATCAAATAATTGTTTGCTTTTCAATCCATTCCTGATTCTTCCCTGTTATGTATACTTGCTGTTGCAAATGGTTCTTTTATAGATGCAAGTATTTTGGACAATTTTCTCTGCCTGGTCCCTGGTGATGATTCAAGGAAATGGTTCTGTCTTTGGCTTAATGAGATTTAGCAGAATCTTAAATATGTTTGCTGCTGGATATGAGATTCCAAGATTTTGTAACTGTTTAGTGCACTACTGCTGCAGGAGAAGCTTTTTACGAGCAAAAATAGAACAGAGGCTTCATTAGGGAAGAAGCTAAAGAATGACATGCTTCCTGAGATTGAGAAGGTTCACAAGGTATTGAAAATTGCTTGTTGACTAATATTTTACTTTAATGTTGTAAATCAAGAAAGAGAAGGTGTTTCTTTCTTGATTGAAGTTATTTTCTTGACTGTATACAGTGAAATGTTGCTTTCCTTTCCTGTAATGAAATAATCTTGTTTGCTTTTCCTTGTCTGCTTAGAGGAAAGAAAGGTTGCTGAAAAAGCAACATAGGCAGGCTCTACTTCTTGATAACTTTCTGAGTGTAGATGGGCTTGGACCTGGACGTTCCCTTCGTGACAGGAAACCTGTAACGTACACTTTTGGTAAGATAAAGAACAGTTATTAAACACAGAAGCAAGAGTTAGGGCTTCATTTTCAGATAGTGGTGTGTGTTGATTACCACATCATGGCAAGGAAATGTTTTTTCTGCAATGATGATTATTTGAAATCTAATCATCTGGGTGAAATGATTTTGCAGATGATTATGACCGGTCAATCAATGAGGCTATTAAAATAACAAAGTATGAAGTTTGTTAGGAGTACTCCTTTTTCCTCTCCTTTTTTTTTTTTCCTGAGAGGAACTTGTCTTTATTTCTGGATCAACGTGTTTAGTTAACTTATGTTAGATCTTTCTTATTGCTACCTTTATTGACAGGCGGAAACCACCATCTCCTGAGCCTATTCATAGAAGAGAAGGCATTGTCAAACCTGAAGCTTCAACAAATGGTAAATGGAATGACCCTTCAAATTCTTCTCAACATGGTACTTTCAATTTGACAAGCCCCGATTCACCTGGTTATGATGATTTTGAAGAAGACCATAAAAATGAATTATTGGATCGAAGGTAGGATAAGTCTCACAACTTCTTGCTTTGCCTTTAACTTGCTCTTAAACTGACCATTGCATAATTGTTTGCAGCAACAGGAGAAGACAGAGGCCTCAACGGTATTCAGCCAAAGATTTTGTTGAAGCAGTTTCGGATAATGAAGCTGATTTTGACAGTGATGATGACATAGTTGGAGAAGCTGTATATGATGAGGAATACTTGAGGAAACGTAAACAGAGGAGAAAGCTTTCTAGCAGCTCTGAAGGGGATGAGGAATATCGATGGGAAGAAGAAAATGGTGAAGATGAAGAAGAAGAAGAGGAAGAGGATTCCTTAAGTATCAGCGAAGCTAGTGATGAGCCCCAAAAATTTAAGAAATTACCAGGACGTACTCGGAGGGAAACTAAACTAAGGTCTGTTGATGAGATCCAGTCAGGTTTAAGACGCAGTAAAAGGGCCACTAGAAACCGGATTAATTACCGGCAGTATGAGCTGTCAGAATCAGAAACAGAATCGACGAAACATGAGAAATCAAATGGATCAGATGAACGCTCAGATGCTAGTGAGAATGCAGAGTATTCAGCTGCAAGTCAAGATTCTGATGATGATGATGAACAAGATATGAAAGTTGATCGGCCTATTGAAGGCTATGCCGAGACAGCAGAGAAAGAGAAAAATCAGCCACCGGAGAAATCAAATAGTCCTGGTCAGGATGAAGTTGAGGGTGTAAAAAAGCGGCGTTTCCTTGATCTAAATGAACTTGCTCCAGGCTCTGGTTTTGATGATGGTCCAAACACAATAATGAAAGATGAAGATAGAGATGAATTTTAAGCATCCCTCTCTGCTGGAAAACAAGGTTTGTCGGTTTCTCTCGGGGAAGCTCAATGTATGATATCCAAAAAAAAAAAAAGAAATTATAAATTTTGTCATAAGCCTGTGGAGGATTTATGGTCACAGTTCTTCCACGGGGTAAGTTAAGCAACAACCTGATGCAATTCATCATTCAGGATTTGCAGCAGGGAGCAACTTGGTGCTGAGAGATATGTAGATTAGGTAGTCATTTTTTAGTATGTCTACATTCATAGAAAATCTACAACAGGTGAATGAGAATTCGTTGTGAGTTCTTTATGTTATCCAATTATTGTACAATAACCTTAACTGATATTGTAACTGAGAAATTTGGCTTTTAGACGTTCAAGCCCTGTAGTTTATTAATCGTTCATGGCAACAACAGCAATCTGCCTCTTGACCATTTGGATTGGTTACGTCTGCTGATAAATTTGATTGGATCAGAAACAATTTTACGCAATGTCATAGATCATATTTTGTATGGGTAATTAAAGTTTCGTTTATCAGTTCAATATTTTTTCTACTGTAATAGTAATGTATCATTCTGGGATTGTAAAGCTGAGATTTTGATGCAACCCACCTACGCATTCTTATTATCCTGGAGACAGGTATATGAAACTCATTCTGCTGTTTGTATTATCTAATATGAATATGCAAACATATTAATGGGTATAAAAGGATTTTTGAAACTTGTACATGATAATAATCACTTAAATCTTGTACCCAGAAAATTATGTTGGCAAAATATTTAAATACAAGAATGTAGTTCTAATTCACAATGGTTTTCAGCTTCTCCATTTTCTCTTGCCTGATGAACAGCTACTTTGATAGGGTACCCTGCTATTGTCTCATTATCTGCAACTTGTTCCTTGTCTGTTTTCAGAGCTTGTGCTTCTTTTGTTTCCTCGAGTGCTTGAATCAAGTTCAAAAGACACTTGTCAGCATTATCCAGTGGAGACTTAGGCATGAGGTTCTCTGCAACATCAGCAGGTGTGATCTTTATCTCCTTCATTAACCCTCCAATGATTTCGAACATAGGATGTGCTTCCAGTTTCAAGTAATTCTTGGCGAGCACCTTGAATGCTTCAAAACTGCAATAAGAAAGCTGAATGTGCTTATCCATTCTTCCTCTTCTTATCAAAGCTGGATCAAGCTTCTCCACATAATTTGTTGTGAACACAATTAGCCTTTCTCCTCCACAGGCTGACCACAACCCATCAATGAAATTCAACAATCCTGAAAGTGTAACCTTGCTACTCGCCTCCTCTTTTAGCTCTTTTCGAGGAATTTCTTTCTCTAACTTGTCTTTCTCATCATCTAAACACTTATCTGCCGCTTTCTTCTTCCTCTGGCCAGTAAGATCAAGTGAGCAATCAATATCCTCAATAACAATGATGGATTTACTAGTCGTTTCGATCAAAAGCTTTCTTAACTCAGTATTATCCTTAACTGCAGTAAGCTCCAGATCATAAACATCATAATTCAACAAATTAGCCATTGCAGCAATCATAGTAGACTTGCCAGTTCCAGGAGGACCATAAAGAAGATACCCTCTTTTCCAAGCCTTACCAATTCTTGAATAGAAATCTTTACTCTTAGTAAAAGTAACAAGATCTTCAATAATCTCCTGCTTCTTTTCAGGCTCTAAAGCCATTGTGTCAAAAGTTGCAGGATGTTCAAAAACTATATGACTCCACATAGTCTGCTTATAACTAGGCCATTTATAGCCAGGACTATTAGTATAAAGCTTTCTTTGCCTATTTCTAACCCTAATTTCCTTCCCTTCCCTCACCACATATGGCAAATAAGCCCCAGTTATAATCTCCCTATGATTTTTATGAAAGGTAAGCTTATAATACCTTTTTTCTTGCTGAGGATACATGGATTGGCTAGGAGATAAAACTTTGCTGGATACCCACCAAACCCTAATTCCCTGAAATTCATCAGTAACCCTCTCATATTCATCCATACTAAGTATTAAGTTGCTGCAATCTCTACCCATTTCAGCTTTTAGTCTTTTAGCACACTTTGAAGAATTTACACTAAGATAAGCCTCAACAGCAGAATAGGCTTCACTTCTCCTTAAACGCTCACCAGTATATTCATGGATTGAAATCTTTATGTAAGGATAGAAGAAACTCATCATTCTTTGGCTATACTTTTCCATGTACCTCCTAATCTCATATGGGCAATATTGGCGAAATATAGCCCAAAGAAACATGAAACTGGCAATTGTTGATCCCATTGTCGCCCACATCTCACTCATTGTTGGAGGTGGTGCTACTATCATCCTTTCTTGAATCTTGAGTTCTTGATCTTTTAACACAGTGCCTTTTTTCTTTCTCTCTTGTTCTTGTTTTTCTTTTGTTTTATAATAATTTCAAGAATTCAAGAATCTTGATGGGTTTTGGTTGCATTGGCTAATATAAAGCAGAGAGAGAGAGAGAGTAGGTAAAGAAAGTAAAATATAATAATAGTAATAGCTAGTATTTGCTAAAAACAGTAGGTATTTAAAAATTTAATGAATTGGTTTTTTGAGGTACATGTCAAATTCAACTGGGTAGGCGATTTGTTTTTCATTTGATTAGTGGGATTGTGGTCTTAAAAAGTACAAATAGAGTCAAGAATACTCGCTACTGAGCAAGAAGCCACTCATTTATTATTATTATTAGTCACTGATTTGTGTTTTGCTGTTTTGTATTTCCAATACCCACAAAAACAGTATGGTACTTCCCTCTAAAAGTACTCAGAAAGTTTTCTGCTATTAAAAATTGGACATTATTGGACAGTTGTCTTGCAAGTGAAGTGAGAATGAGAAAAATAACATAATAAACTAAAAAACAAAAACACTAGTGGGACTCATGGAGGAAAGAAAGGACACTCTGTTAGAAATCATCATTCATTGAATTGACGGTTATGATCATCTTTTAAATTTTAATTTCAGTATAAATTTTAAAATTTTAGTTCAGATTTAATGAATCAGTTTAAAATTTTAATTTTAATTCCGATTTTAAAATCTTCGAGAAGCAAATTATATTCATGTACATGAAATAATTGACCTTACAAGTTCATTGCATGATATTGAAAGAACTATGATAATTGACAAGAACATTCATAAGGTCATCTCTTGACATAACTCACAAGAATTGATTGTACCTTACACATTATCCATTGAGTTGCAAATTGCAATACCAACTTTTTATTTTTATTTTCATTTTTATTTTATTTTTTGAAAAGCAAATTTCATAACTACTCATTCGTTCTTGCTTCACTACCTACAATCATATTAATTGTCCTTTCAGGATCACTAAGGATACAATCCAAGTGTTTTTTTTTTTTTTTTTTTTTTTCAACTTTTATTTTATTTTCATTTTTATTTTATTTTTTGACAAAAGCAAATTTCATAACTCTTCATTCGTTCTTGCTTTCCCTACCTACAATCATATTAATTGTCCTTTCAGGAATCACTAAGGATACAATCCAAGTTTTTTTTTTTTTTTTTTTTTTAATTTTAAAAGATTGAAGTGACTTAAAAATTGGATTTTACTAATATAAAAAAAAAATCTCCCTTTTTTAAAAAAAATTATAAAATTTGTTTTTCCACAAAAAGTGACCATTTCTATGCACAGAAGAAAGTACAGAAAAAGGTAGAACAAAATAGAAGAAAGTGAAATGTAAAGAAGAAAGAAAAAGACTTGTCATTTAATTCTTTTTCTTACCATATTAAATGTAGAGGGGTGTTTACCATACAAAGCAAAAGTAGGAAATAGGGGGGAAAAGGTTAATTATCAGAAAATTCAACTGAATCAATTTTATTTTTTCACACCAAAAATTCTTTAAAGAGGAAAAGAATATTAGCATTTCAATTTCTGATAATCTCATGAATTATGAAATAATTTATTATTAAATTATTAATATAAAGATATTTTTATTTTTATTTTTATTTTATTATTAAAATACAATGCTTTTCACATATAAATATGAATTAAATAGGTTAAATTATACCATAATTATTGCAATTCTTTGAGAGCCTATGTTATGTACTCTAGGCATTATTTGATTGAGGAGGGAAAAGATTCTCAAGCCCCACCTGCCCACAAATGACAAAGTTTGTCAATGGCATTTTCTCTTCAAATTACAATTTTTTTTTTTCTCTTTTACAAAAAGAAGAAAAGTTACAAACCAAGTCATCTTAAATATTCATTAATTAGGCTATGATCAAACCTAAAACCTTTTTTAGGTATTTGATAATATTTTCGCAAAAGGCAAAGAAAAAGTTAATTCTCAGAAAAAAATAAATGTTAATTAGGTAAAAATAGGACTGATAAATTTTTCATAAACTGTCTGGAAAATAATTGGTTTGAAGTTATTTAATAAATAGAATTTGATTTTTGAACTAAAATTAAGACAAACCCATTGAATATTCATATAAACAACCTTTGACATAAGCAATGGTGGATATGAAATTGGTGAAATTTAGTAAATGTGTAAAGGAAAGGGGAGCCTATCAAATAATTTGAGCAGAAAATAGATAAAGTGACAACAGAAGCAATCTGCAAGTAAAACAAAAAACATGGTATGGTAAGGTTAAAGAGATTGGTGGCAGAGGTTGGAAGAAAAGTCAGCATCAAAGAATGAGTGGCCACTGCAAAGCAAAGCAAAGGACTAGTTGGTCACTTTCATCTGTTAAAAGAAGACAAAATTGTCCAGTCATTTCACCACGTGGCTTACTACTACTTATTATTTGTTGTCTTTCCTATATTATTGCTAATTTCACTTTTCTTCTCACTTTCCATTTCACGCCTATCTGTGTTTTTTTTTTTTCTTCTCATGCATGAAAATGTCATGGAGAATGAAAGAAGGTTTAGTATAGATGAGCCAACTAATAAAAGAGTGAATCAACATTCAATGAAGGGTTTACTTTTGATGACCCAACTAATAATAAAATAATAGTAAAGAGGGAATTGCATTCATGGCTGGCGTCCCATAAAAAGGATAAACAAATACAACCCACTGGATTATGTAAAGTCGCTTTTGGTTTTTATTTATTTATTTATTTATTTATTTCAATTACAGCCCTTGATTCTGTTTAGCAGATTATTAATTAATTTATTAATTAATTAATTTTTAATGACAGGACAAAGTACTTTTTATTTGAGCTGCCCACCTCCATTCCAAATAATATTATTTGCATCTTATCATTATCCATAAAGAGTAGTTTAAATAAATATAGAAGACATTTTTAAATTCTATGAAAAATAAATGCCACAAACAAACTCTAAAACGAGACTAATCTCTATCTTGAAAAGGAAGGTACATAAGTTTTTTGACTCCCAACCAATATAAGATTCTAATACCAGAAAGCCAACCTGAAAATTTAATCAATCAGGCTTAATCTAATGGCTCAGCCTCCTGGGTGCATTTACCATGCACTGAGTAATTCTAAATTAGGGAGACCGCAAAAGAAAAACCTATCAACTATAATTCTTTGTCAAATTAATTAAATTTCGATTAAATATTATTTGCTTACTGATGATTCCAGAAAGATAACAATGCAAGAAAACCCTATTCTATTCTATGTACAGGATGAGAAAAAAGGTATAAGAAATATCTTCTTGAGACTTTATGTTTGTTGAGAGCAAAACCAAACTCGACCCTCTAATGAAACTATAACCATCCGATCTTCTGAGCATATCTATGGATGCCAGATATTTTGTATATTTTTTCTTGGCAAACCGGCTTGTAAAATAAGTATAACCATCTATTTTCGGAGCATATCTATGGACGCAGATTCTTGACATCTTCTTCTATGGCAAACCAGCTCGGTATTATATTTGACAAATGAGGAGAAAGATCCTTATAGACATTCTTGATAGTGCCTTCAGCAACTCGAGTCACAACTGAAATATCTGCAACTATAAAACATTAATCTTTTCTATAAAAAGATGATTAGCAGGACTAGTAACTTCTCACCTTTGAGAGGCTTCTTATCGTCCGTAAGTTGAGTAATAATATAAATAACCGCTGCTGCCACTGATATTGGGCTCCTCCTGCGCAAAGAAAACACAGTTTTTTTTTTTTTTTAAGTCAAAATATTGAAAAATGGTAATGCAAGATCTTTTATGTCGTATTAAAATTCAATTTCGCATACTCGACATCAATAAAAAACTTTTGATAATTACATAAAAAACAAGAGAATCCAACAATAGTGAATGTATTTTCTTCTGATATTTTTCCTTGCTGACTTCATTTCAGGGAAAAATAAAGGTATTCAGTGAGCACTTCTGTGTCATGATCAAATGAATTAGGAGATCTATTTTGAAAATGAAGAGAATGTGCCAATGACAAAAAGATACAAAATTGACTCATGAGCACAGGTTTTATTTCTGCATGAAAAATTTGACTAACATATTTGATCTGTTGATGAAAAAATAAAAATAAAAATAAAAAGAAGAAGAAGAAGAAGAAGAAGAAGAAGAGAGTTAATGGTTCTACTTCCATTATAAAAGTACCAATTCAATTGAAGCTGCACAAGTAAATGAAAACATTTAATGAAGTGCTTATGCATAGCAAAAGGAAATGATAGCCCAGTGCTACTAAGCCTGCTAACCAAACAAGAAGTTCTGCACTGTTCATCATTAATGGAATGATGTGCCCAGGCACACTTATAAACAGTAAAAACTATTTAGGATATAACTTTCTTATTTCTTCAACAGAAAACAGAGCAAAACACATGAAATCTATACCAAACCTCAATAACATTTTAATCTCTGCCAAGAAAGCCGGAACTAACCTTATGTCAAGTCCTTCAGATTTCTGGACAGCTTCTTGGGCTGCCTTAACTGCTTGATTGGTCATTCCAAGGTTGGAGCAAAAACGTCTCTGTAAAGTGAAGATTTGAGTCAAGTACAGTACAGGAAAGCAAGCTTTTGATATTAAAGTAAAGAAAAACAGACTCACCAGATAGTCTGCAGCATGTATAGTTCCCATTTCCACAGAATGCCCCATCTCTACTTCCAGATGTTTAACAATGAACTCTTTTGCTCGACCAATTTCCTTCTTTGTTGGTCCATTGACAACAGAACAGATTTCTATAACCATTTCAAAATGAGTATCTATCAGATGCATAGAGGAAGATAACCCAAGTCTAACTGCTATGAGTGGACCAATAAAAATTGTTGCATACCTTTCACAGTCCGTGGCTTGTTCTCTTGTCGACAAGCAATATAGAGACAAGCAGCCAAAATTGCATCTTGATTTCGCCCTTTCAGAGGTTTCTGATCTTCTACCTTCTTATATATTTCATTAGCCCGATCCTTAAGATAAAAAAGGAAAAAAAAAAAAAAAGATAAAAACCTATAGCAAAATAGTAGAGAAAGACTGCTTGATGCAATTAAAATCCAGCACCAAGAATTTTCCTAACATGCAAAGTATAATTGAATTTGATAAAATAATTAAAAAGAATTGTAATCTATCATCAAATCTTACTCATAACATAGTAATGAAACAATCATAGGTCATTTAACAGATAAAATGAGATTTATCATTTAAATCAGAATCATCATGCCTTATGCTAGTTCCATTTAGTATTTCATGACAAACCGAACGGAATGCCTTTGTCAATTAACAATGCAATTTTATTTGTCACATTGAACATGATATGCATTGCAATAAAATACCATGCAAGAGAAGAGTTTGGTTGCTAATTCCACTACCCAATTTTGCCAGCTACAGTAAGAGGAGTTTGCATCAAGTACTTGCTGCTTTAAGCTCCATTTCCCCGTAACAATGATCATGTTTCTTATGTCACTCAAAATCATTAAATTGAGAATATAGAGGCATCTTTGCTCAAAAAATAAAAAGCAATAAAAGAATAGAGAGGCATCTAGACCTAACATAATATGCGTTCTTCATCCAAGAATTGATTCTCAAACCATCTAACTACCTATCTCTTTTTGGTTAATACAACAAGTGTTCCTAGCCCATTGGATTAAGTTCGATCTTATCTGAATCACGTCAGACCCATATGGGAAAAGCGCTCCTAATGGGGATTTTCTCTAGTTACAAAGATGAAACACTTGACTTTTTATTTAAAGGACCTCCACCCAGACCAATCCCCATTGGTATCTAACAACCTATTTTGATATAATGTTCAGTTCGTCAATTTAGACCAAATTGATCCCTGTAACAGAAAATGACATCATAATGTTCCTTTCTTGGCCATCATCTTTATCCTAATAATACTCTTAGGGAAAAGACTACTGCTTCAATCAATGTTCTACATTTTCCTTGTCCAATTTGACATTCAGTCCAAACCAACTGCCCACTAATTTTAAGACATTGCTTTTCAATAAAATTACACATTTGAACTAGCAAGATCATGTTGAATAATAGTAAATACAAAAATTTTTATAAGAGGGAAAAAGGTAGAAAACCAACTGGATATGGAGATAACTTTCACTAACTGACGCACCTTTATGATCGTAACCAGTCCCAACCTGAAACAGGCATTGTCCATTGATTGAGTGAGTTAAAAAACGCAATTGCTTTTCAAATCGTACACAAAATAGCTATCATCTCAAAATTTTCCTTCTATGATCAGAAAAAGAATGCCGCGTGATTTGCACAAATGAAAAATTGAAAACCGCTCAAGAAAAGTCTATAATCTCGGATCAAATGTAATTTAATTCAATCATCATTAAGCACTAAAGTGGTTTTTATGTGTAATCTCTAGCAATTAAATCAAATAATTCAAATATGTTGCCACCGCAATTTCTATTGCCAAATTAAATTAAGTAGTAAGTGTATTTCAATAAAGTTACCATTTTTATCACTGCAAACCATATCTGGGGATCAAACAAAGGCAAAATTTATACAAATTAAATTAAGTAGTAATTTGATATTTCAATAAAAGTTACCATTTTTATCACTGCCAAACCATATTCTGGGATCAAACAAAGGCAAAATTATATATATTATATATATATATATATATATATAAAATATATATATATATATGGATATATATATGGAAGTACTGAGACAGATATGATACATGCCTATCCGCCATGGCAGCAATGGACTTAAAAGCCTGAATCAAACCGCGATCAGGATTAGCGCCACGGCTCTGCCATTTGCCTAGAGAACCAGAGAGAAGATCACCAGAGGAGCCATTGGTTTTAGTAATTACGGTGGTAAGACTGCTGTCAGCAAGGAGAGGATTGAGAGGACCACCGACACGATTAGGGTCGTGATCGGAGGACTCATTGGCAAAAGTACGCCACTCGGAGGTTTCGTCAACGGAGTGGGCTTCGAGAACTAAACCACACTCGGAGCAAATGGTATCGCCGGCGGAGTGGTCGAACACTACCTCTGTTAGTCGCTTACAGTCAGGGCAGTAAGAATCCTCCATGTTCGGTGATCTTCCCTTTCTATTGATTCTGCTAAGCGAGTTAAGGGTCCAGAGTGTCTAGTTCTAACAAATTTTGGTTTTTATTCGGTCGTACGTTTTGCTTTTATAAGGTTTTTTTGAGCGTGTAGTTACATGCCGGCTCAGGCCTTGAACATTGCAATAAAAATTTGCATACATATATAAGGTTAGTTTAGTAATTCTGTTAATTTTATTTTATTTTTTTTCCTTCTAAGATATATGTAGATAAACAATATATATTTAAATTAAAAAAAAATTGGGTATCAAAGTCATTGTACAAGTCAAATGGTTTCATCTCGAGAGTCCTATTAATGGCTTTCAAGCTTGCAAAATAGTTTATGACTAAAAGACCAACAGAGTGTTCATTGAAATGAGCAATGAACTCAATATCCATAAAAATGAAAATGAGTAATGACCTTAATATCCGTAAAAATGAAAATTTACGTTCAATCACCAGCGAGCGGAATCTATGCACTCTGCAGCTCAAAGGGGTTAAAAGGGATTAAACCTTTAAAAAAAGGGTGTTTTACACCAATACTTCACTGTACTATCTAATAAACCAGAGCAAAACATTATCGCTAGGCTCTCCCTTAAGACTGCAAGATAAATTACAAAAGAAAAAAGAAAAAAAAGAAGAAGAAGAAATTAATACAGCCTAGATTTGTGGGGGAAAGGTTCTTGCGTGTATAATTCACTTGCATTTTTCACCATCTTCAAAGTTCCAACGTCAGGGCTAAATGACAACCAAAAAAAAAAAAAAAAAAAAAAGGGCTAAATGACAACCAAAAAAAAAAAAAAAAAAAAAAAAAAAAAAAAAAAAAGAGAGGGAGAGAGGAAAACTAATGAAAGAATTTGAACTGCAATTTGTTCTGCCTAGAAAAATAACTAAGCCAACTTCTTCACAGAATATACAATATTTGTTGCTATCACTGCAAAACTTCTTCCTGTGAACTTTTCTTTTCTCGACTTTTCTCCAGAATAACAATCCAAGACTCTGATCATTGTCGCATTGCACACATTCGCTCGAGTCACCAAGTGTTATCGTGACCATAATTCCATGTCCCAGCACTTAGACTTTTCCCCAACAGGCGTTGAGATTTGTTATCTCATGTTGCAGCATTGGGGCTTTCCCAGCTTTCGTAATTTATCCCAAAGGCAGATCATTTGTCTCGGAGATTGGTAATGTGCAGTGAAATAGCCATCGATGCATCCAAACTGGCAGAACTTTAAGCTGTGCGAGTAATCCACAGGTTTTGAGCTGTTGAACTGCTCCACCCACATGCCCATGCTCACGTCTTCCATTTTGAACAGCTGCAGAGAGTGCAGAGCTAAAATTAGTTGAACTGTTCTCCCACTCTCATCTTGTTTTTTTTTTTTTTTTTTTTTTTTTTTTTTTTTTATTTTTTTTAAAGTGGTTTAGGAGTTTTTAGGAATTAACTTACTCTTAACTTATGTCTCTTCAAACTCAGGAAAACAACGAACTGCGCATGTTCAGAGGAAAAATATAGCTGGGCCATTATTGCATAGTGGTGGATAATACTTATTCTGGCCACACCTGAAACCACCACAAAATCAATGAATAAATGGAAAGACAGGCTTTTTAATTTTTTTTTTTTTTTTTTTTTTTTTTTTTTTAAGTGGTTTAGGAGTTTCTAGGAATTACTTACTCTTAACTTATGTCTCTCAAACTCGGAAACAACGAACTGCGCAATGTCAGAGGACAAAATATAGCCTGGGCCATTTGCATAGGGTGGATAATCTTCTTCTGGCCACTCCTGAAACCACCACAAATCAATGAATAAATGGAAAGACAGGTTTTTAAGTCCTCAATCAATAAAGTGCATATGTATATAGTAGCTCTATCAGATCAGTATCATTTAAACCCAGAATAAAATGTATTTAATGCTCCTTTTCCTCTTTCTTGAAGAATGCAAACCCATAGATCTATTTGCTGGAACTTGATCCTAATACATACAGCATGATGAGATGTTACACAACCATTATCACAAAGCACTGTTGCAGTTTCACATAAAATCTAAGGGAAATGTACCAGTGGCCTCCCACATGAAGTTTGAATGCACCATGTTGAATTATGGGTTTGGAAAGGACCTACTGATTGGTAGCTATCCAATGAGATTAAAGGATAAAACAATTAATAGGGTTACCCATACCTCATATGTCACTGCCCATTTACCATATCGAAGTGGCTTGTGATAGTAATTTATGTTTCCAATATACAAGCTCCTACCCTCAGGAACTTTCCTTGCTTCATCAATGACTGCATCCACTCTAACAAATGTGTCATCATCACCTTTCATAATATACTTCGCTTGCACAGTGCGTACCTGTGAAAATAACAGTCATTTTATACAAAATAAACATAAGAATGAATTGGTAAAATTTTAATAAATCTGAAAAATTCATTACTCACTCCGTATTCACAAATGGCAACAGTTTTTAACACCACAAGGTCATAATTGTCCATGTAAGGCACAATAACAATGTCACCAAAAAATTCTGCCTCTTTCTTCAACTCCAAATTCACTTCTTTCCTGGCATGCTGTCCAACATAAATTAAAATAATTAATTACTTTCAATTCTATTAAGGAAGAAAAAAAAAAAAAAAATCAAAACTGCAATTGCTAATTAATTCTTTGCTTACCAATGCTACAAAGAAACGAGCTACCACATTAGATGATTTAATAAGCCTATGCTGCATCCAAGACTTCCTCACAGCCATCCTCTCAGCAAAATGATTGCCTGCAGAGAGCACACCAATAAAAAGTTCTGCCGCAACCTCAGGAAGAGGTGGTGCTCTCCATCTGTGTGACATCTCTAAATGTTGCTGAGGAGCAAAACTAGGGTGTGTGGTGGGCAACGAAGCAGCAAATACAGAGTGAACGTCAATGTCTCCATTCACCGTCAGCCCCGTGGCATCCTCAAGAGTATAACCCTGTCGGCATTACCAAATAATATTACAAAATGTGCAACCACATTGATGTTGAGATTGATTCAATGGTACGATATTACTTACAGTGCGATAGGGAAAAGAGGTGACATGCCTCCCATCAACATTAACATGATAACCCTCTAAACCCGCACTGAGTGTTAGAACAAACAGCTTTTCCTCTACAAAAGGATATGGCCAGTCAACAGAAACCTTTTTAGTTCGACCTATCAGCCGGCTTAACCACCAAGTGGCCTTTGACTCCTCTGAGCGATTGTCATCATCACGGATCCACTTCTCACACTTCACTTGACCATCAACTGCAGCCAATTTAAACAATTACTCACTCGGGTAGAAACAAAATAGAAAGGAGAAAAGTCAATCATCCCAAAAAAAAAAAAATCCGAATAAAATAAAATTTCTCATCGTTTCTATAAAATTTCAAGAGACATCTGGAAAATAGGGGAACAAACTAAAATCCACAAAATCCTAAATATTTAATGTGGAAGTTCTATGCAGCTGTCAAGAAGATGGAAGGACTTTTTTTTTCTTGTTTTGAGCGATCGTGTTGGGGGAGGGAGGTCAAAGTTTAGCTGTATATAACTTAATGGCTTTCCTCCCAGTGTCTTCACATAGATTATGGGCCAACAAGTCAATACAGCTTAACTTACAATTCCTTGTAAATAAAATTTAAGGGGGAAAAAGCACATGAAAAAAAGATTTGCTTGACAGAATATAACACAACTATCCAAGACTTCCCTTCCATTTAGGAGGCTTTTTTCAAAGAAGTGTCATCTTTCTAATGGTCATATTTCTCCACTCATTTTGATGAGTAAAAGATAAATTTGAAATTGCCTTGCCTAGACTGCAGAAAAGTTTATTTCAAAATTTCTATATCGACAACACACCACAACCTTCACATAACCTAGCCACGCCATTAGCTACATAATTCCAATGTTCAAATTCAAATGCACATGTCTAACATTTCAGAGTCCTACAAAGGAACAAAATCTCTTACCCACCATAAATCATTAAAACTAGGCCCGCTAAATTTAGCAGTGTATGACTAAATAGGATCAAAATATGCTAGAATGAGCTAAAATTCCGACGACCAACCTCTCGCCGCAACAACCAAAACAGAAGAGCTAGATTATCTTCTCCATATTATTACAAAGAAAAGCATTTCAAACTTCAACTCTCACTTATCTTCTGATGCATCATTTTAACTTTCATGCAGCAAAAGACATCAAAGAATTAGATTTACATGATTACAAGTTCAAGTTATGTTAACCCCACAACAATACATCTCCCAAGCCCACTTCTGACACGGCATCAAACTCAGCAGTCAAGATTACAGCCCAATTCTAACGAACCAACAAGCCGCATTTGCTTGTTATTCCCCTACAACGAATTCATTTCTACAGACCAACCATGAAAAGACCAATGCATAAACCCTCAAAAAAACATCTCTAATGCCCTTGAGGGCTACGAAGTAAGAACTCACTAGCACTCAAAATGCACTATTCAAAAACTCTAAAGCCGGTCATAACAAACAAACAAACAAAAATCACTTGTCCATAAAAAATGATCAGCCAAAAGAACACTTAATTAGACATTAACTCACCTGTTTCCTCATCAGCCTTAGACTTCCAACCCTCACAACGCAAGGCAGTCCCCCACTGCATCCTATAACAAGTATTCTGCTCAATCACCGGCTTCCCACTCCAATCTCCTCTCAACCTCGGATTGAAATGCAGAATCCTTGGCGGGTCCTCGCCTTCCACTGTCTTCAAACCCTGCAACTCCATCATAAACTGCGACACCATCAACGGCTCTTCCCCCTCTTTCAACAGCGCTATCTTTGGGTTTTTCTCTGCGTGGGCCCCCCTCGGCTTCCCCACCACCGTCACGTGTGAACCCAATGTCAGCCCACACGGCAACTCTACTACCTTCCCTCGCTTCAAAAACTCCGAACCAGAGAGCGTAGCCGAATGAGGACATGATTCGGATAGGTTCTCGGGCTTGTTAACTTTTGAAACCTGAAGCCTACCGGACTCTATCCCTTCCCAAAGCCTCCTCCCCACCTCCCAAGCAGTCTTAGCACTCTTATGGAGCTCCACCGACCCATCTTTTTTAGTGGGATCAAATGTTTTCGGGTCAAAATTCAAACTTGACAAAATATTAACGGGAGGTCTCTTGTAACTTCCAACCCTGGTTTGGGACTGAGTTGGTTGGCCCGAGTTGTGAGAAACCCATAGAAGAGGCCGAGTTGGAGCATCTTTATCCTGCAAATCCTCTTCGCTTTGAAGCAGAGAAGGGCGAGTCAGGGTTTCTTGAGAGACAGCACTAAAACCAGTATTGAACACAAAGGGGATTTCTAGAGTTACAAGGAGTATATACAAAACACCTACACCAATCAGGATTTGAATCGATCTTTGCCTGCTTAAGGACACAAACACGTCAAATTTATCCAATCTGGTATCCGATTTACCCCTTTTCATATTTGGAACTTTAAACAATAGCAAAGAAATAAAAACAAGAAACCTAATATCTGATAGAAAGAGAGAAACTAAAATCTGGGTAAGAAAAATTCAAGAAAAAAAAAAAGGGGTAAGAGAAGGGTATTATAGAGCTCTAGCTACAGAATCAGAATGAATTAGGTGATCAACATTCAGGAGAAGAAACGCGTAGAGAAGAGAGAGGATTTGAAATGAAAGAAAACGGGAAAGAGGGTTTTTTATATATTATATTTTTTAATAATCATGGGGGCTTTTTGAACAAGTCGGTCATTTTGAACTTTCTCCATGAATATGAATATGGGGGAGAGTAACAGAGAAAAAGAGGAGAATTTTCCTTTTCCCTTTATTTTTTTTTTTTTTTCAAATTGAAAATCATTTGGTGGCTTAACAGAATAGCAAGAAATAGAAAATTCAAAAAAAAAAAAAATGTTAATTTGGGAGCCAGGTTAGATATAAAACACGGATTATGTAATTAAAAAATTACTCTCAATTAATAATAAGTTTTTTTGGAATTTTATAAAAAAAATTTTAATACATAGTACATATTTTGAAATATGTTGGTGTGTATAATTATTATTTATTACCAAGACTATATTAATAGGACCCTACATGCTGTCAGAAGTGGTTGTGGTCTTTATGGCAATAGATTAGGAAATTCATCTTTATTTTTGAGTGAAATTAGGGATTTTGTTCAGATAAGGAGGAATGGATAATATATATCTAACCAATAATTAGTTATATTTATTGCAATTTTTTTTGAATTAAATCATATATTCTGTTCTTTATTAAATTTTTTAAATATATTTATAGATATGTTAGAAAAAAGGTTATTTAGTGTTTTAATTTTTTTTTCTAGTAAAATCACTTCTTCTAAATATTTTACTATTACTGAATATATTTGTGTACTAATACTTAAAAATCAGTATACAAATAATTTAATAATAACAGTAAGAAAGGGTAAAATAAATAATAACAGCAAAATAGTGGTAGCTTAACTTTTGTTTTGTATTGAACACTTATAGAGGAGAGAGAGAGAGAGAGAATCCATTTCAAAAATTAGAAAACAAACAAACAAAGAAATGAGAGGTAGAAAGAAATAGAATCTTTTATTTATTTATTTATTTATTTATTTGAAGTATTTGGAAAGTGGGACTGCGTTTTAATGGAATGTGAAAGTGTGATGCCCACAGAGATTAGGTGTCGCTCTAACCATACACTTAAAGGACAGCCACTTCTTTTACGCATTACACTTGGCTTTTTTTGAAAAATAATTTCTTTTATTTATTTATTGTCACTTTCTAAGTTTATTTCCGATTTTAAATTTCTAACTCACCTTCACTGCTAAGAAAAGACTTTTCTTTTTCAAGCATCGACTTTTCCAAAAAAAAGTTTATATTTTATATTCACTTCTAGTTGTTTTCACACCTCCTCCCCCACATCCCGACGATTTTAAATTTCTAACATCACACTTCACTGTAAAGAAAAAGACTTTCTTTTTCAAGCATCGACTTATATCCAAAAAAAAAAAGTATTATATATATATATAATAATAATAAATATATATAATATTAATAACGGAATTTTTGGTTCAGACTAAATATTTGATATTGCCGAAAGCTGATAGATGATTTCCAAACATCCGGTAATATAATTATAAATATTTAGTGTAAAAATTTTTATCAAGCAAGTTTGAATATATAATACGGGATTTGGTTCAGCTTATTTATATTGCCGAAGCTGATAGATGTTTCACATCACGGTTATATTATAAATATTTAGTAAATTTTTAATCAGCAGTTGATACTGATAGTTTAAGTTGGCATTATTTTTTCAACACCGGCAAAAATAGTTTTAGCAACTCTGGCATGGCATGATAATATTATGCTTGAGTTCGATTCATTTAAAAGTAGATGAATTTGAGTTTACATTCCAAATTTATCAAATCAAAACAATAAAATTTACCAATTTTGTTTGGTCGATAAAATTGGCTCATGATTCGTGTTTAATAAAATTGATTCATAAACCGACTTATGAGTTAATTAGTTGACTTCAAACGCGACTTATTTATTAAATGAATTTGACAGCTTAGCTTGATTTGTTCTGAATAAAACAGACTCATAAGGCGATTTGCAAGCTAGTTAGTTCAGTTTGAGCTCAACTCATCCATTAAAGTAGTTCGATAATTTGGTTTAATAAGCTCATAGAACGACTTTAAGTGAATTTTTAATTCAGCCGATTTTTGAATAACTCACAAATAAGTCAGTAGATTTACAATTTTATATAGAATAAATCAGTTTAACTATGAGATGTTCAGGGATAAGTCAAAGCAGTGAAATCCAATAGCAGTCAAATTAACTTTGAGTTTGAAAAAAAAAAAAAAAAAATTCAAATTCAAATAAGTTGGCTACCTTATCTTAGTCAAATTCTGTTAACTGAATAGACAGAAACTGAAAAGATTTATAATTTATCATCTTAATTTTGATAGTTAAGCTGTCAATTAGGGTTTACAAATAATTAACCAATTCATGTGATCCGACAGTAATAGAAAGATGTTGATGCTGATTGAAAAATAGAATGGATCCTTTCTAGGAATACAATTCGTACAATTTGCTGGATAATTTTTTGGTAATAACTAATATTTTTATGTTGTTTTCCTTGTCAATAATGAAGAAAATGTCTTTTATAGGACCCATTGAATTGAATTTGAGCCTTGTATTATGTGTTTGAGTGAAAAATAATAATAAGGGCAAAGAGGGCTTTTTAAAGAAAAATATTAGATATTCTTATAGATACAGTTGATCAAATTAAACATCAACTTCCCAGAAAAAGGCATAAATAATTAAATAACAAGCAATATACTAAAAATTGTATTCTTATTTGGCCTATTATTTTCTCCTTTTTTTTTTTTTTCCTTTTCCACATTATTTTTCAATTGATAAAAAATATTTAATAATTATAATTATAATTATAATTGAAGAAAATGTTTTCAATTCTGATATTTTTTCCCTCATTTTTTTTTTCTCCATCCTTATTGCTTGTGTTCCTTTTGAGCTAATTATATTAGTCCAACCATTAAGATAAGTAATCATTAAGCCAACTAAAAATTCTAAAGTAGTCTAATTAGTTGATACCAATTTTGTATTTTTTATACAAAAAAATATGACTAAATGACTAAATACATAAATTTCATTTTTGTACAAAAAAAAAAAAAAAAAAAAACAAAAAAGATTTTTAAGGTACTCTCAATTTTTACTTTGACTATACTAATATTAAATTTATAAAATCATCCCGTTAAAATAAAAAAAAAAAAAAAAAAGATTTTTAAGTACTCTCAATTTTTACTTTGATATACTAATATTTAAATTTATAAAATCATCCCGTTAAAATCATTTTATTGAATGTTTTAAATTAAAAAATTCATTTGATTAAATACTTATTGCTTATTGGGTAGTTGAATATGTAAAAATTATTACTTTTTACAGACAAAAATTAAAAACCTTTTTACATTGTTGCAACTCATGTGTAATATTATTAAAGTTTATAAATCCTGTAAAATTTATAGTGCTATAAAATTTTTTAAAAATTATAAAAATAAAATTTATGCTTAAAGATATACTAAATCTTGTATTGGTGTTGTGAATGTGATCTAAAGCTTGAAGATAAGTGGAAAAAGGTAAACACAACTAAATTTGTACTATTCTTCCACAAAATACACACTTATAGAAAGCAAAATTATGATATTATTATGCTTATGGAGGCAAATAAGATCATTTATGCATGTGGCTGATCTGTTCTTATTATCTTAAATGAGTAGTCACAACTCCTAGTTAGTTCACAGCTAAGATTGGTCTTGGTTCCAAAAACTACATTTTTTTTTTTTTTGTTTAACTATTCAGACTGATCTGACTAAACTTGATTTACGTTAGGCAGATCTATAAATGAGGTAAAATGTTCCCTTCCGAATGTTTAAAGAGATTTTATATCCAAAATTTGAATTCTAAATTTCTAATTAAGGGAGAAGAAATCTCTGTCATCCAATCTCATCTATCGGGTCTAAAAATAACAATTTAATATAATGTAAACTGTCAATAGCTTGCTTTAGTTGAAAAGATAGTGTTACTTTATCACTTAAAGTGGAGTTTTAATGCATTTTCCACCAAAACATTGTCACTAACTAGTGTATATAGATTTCACTGTTTCCAAGTTCAACTTCAAAAGATCTTTTAATATTAGGCATGGTAGTGGGTTGGAGTGCAAAATTAAAAAATGAGATGTGAAGTGTAAAGTGAGCAAATTAATAGTTACTAGTCTTTTAATAAAATTCCAACTTAAAAGCTTTATACGCAAGATTATATAGTTCTCTATCATTTTTTTTTTTTTCATTAGGAACACAAGAAAACACTGAGAGAAAAAATTACCTTTTAAGCACAGAACTATATACTGTTGAAAGGCAAATATTTGATAGTAATAACTAATAGGAATTAAAATCAGTATTACATATCCACGAGGAGTGACTTAAGATATAAATATTACCTCTCTTCGAATCCGCTCTATCACAAAAGTTATCATCAATTTAGTGAATATTATTAAAAAAGGAGAGCCACCCCAATTGTGTAGTCCATAGTGTTATTCCGGTCCATTGAGCCTCCTATATTTCAAAAAAAAAATATACTCGGAAAATCAAGAATTTAATAAGTGAAAAACACTCGCGGAGAGAGACAAACACAAACTCCAAAATAAAAATGATTTCATACTTAAAGGGTGTTAGAACGCTCGCAGTAATATTAAAAAAAATAAAAATAAAAATATCCAAAATCAAAAGTTATTACTAGTATTACTATGGATTTTTTATAGGTCCAACCATCAAAATGCTATTTACATTTGACAATGCTATGGATATACTTTTATAAATTTAGGTGTTTCGTTAATTATTATTTTAACACAAGTATCAATCAAATAACATTAAATTGAGAAAGAATAAAATTGATTCAATAGTTATTAATATACAAAGCTATGGAACACCATTTCAAAATTTTTTCTTTTAACGTTATTACTACAGAGGTGATCATTCTTGATTAAACTATTTTTTATCTGTTGAGGAATTATTAATTGTCATTAATTTCTTAATCAAATCTTATAGAAGTAGACATTTGGAATATAATTATATACCAAGAAAGTATATTTGGCAGGATATACCTGTCGCTTACCCTGGAAAGCGAAAATTTTTAAAATCACCGGACACATTCACACAACTTGGATTAGCTGTGTGCCACATGTTAAAAGAGCTACACAGAAAACATATAATTAGAAATTTCAGTATTCTTATTCTTTTTTTATATAATATAGAGTTGGCTTTTGCCAAAAGCTAGTATGGCTCTTGACCTGTTCCATGACCAGCTTAATTATTGACATATGGACAGTACATTATAGGACTATTTTGGGGATTGTATCTTTTGAAAGGATTGTCGTTTTGGATTTTTTTTTTTCCCAATTGTAAAAGAAATTATATATTATTTTTAATATCATATATAATCATGATAGATTATGTTTCCTCGGTGATTGGTAATTAAATGACTCTTGATATGTTCTTTGCTAATTTGTTCCCTACGAATGAGCTAAAATACCTAATTTCACTGTACATAAACTAACACTATAACTACTTTTTAGTACTGTATTTTTTTACTGTGAGTTCTCCATACTCTGATCTGAATATATTGAGGTAATTAAAATCGTTTCAATAATAATAACTCTAAATTTTAAACTTCTGGTCTTACAAATAAATTTACTTATAGGTGTAATCCAGTGTCACTAATTCAATCGCTTCTAGTAAAAAAAATTACGGCTCAAGGACAATTACACTTTCCGGTTATAAGAAGAAAAAAAAAAAGATTAGTTGTGTCATCTTACATTAATGATTCTAAAACCTTCTTCTAAATCATGACAAACTAAGTTTCAACTTGTAGATTCTGATCAGCTTCTAGTTTTTACATCCACGTAAGTCATGCATGCTTATATTATGGTTGCAACTCACAATTAGTACATGCACTCAAAAATGGGTTGCCTATATCATTATTTCTTAAATTATTTACATTATCAAACTTGTGAATTGTAAGAAATTAAGTACAAGCATAAGTCATTTTCTTGTCACACAAACAATTAATCTTGTTATTTTACTTAGATTAACACTAAATTGAAATAAAAGGTTCACCCGATTCGAACCTGACTCAAATGCTCTTGAAACCAAAAGCATGTAATTATGGTTATATAATGCTCATGCAAAATTTAATTTAATTAATTAGAGCAAGCTTCATGCTTTTCTTGCCTACACACTTGCTATTATGCCTTTAGACTTGTATTCTTCCTGCATTCACATTTGACATCGAGCTCTATATATATCTTTTAATAGCATTTCACATTTTCTTCTTGTGAGATATTAATTTCATATTTGTTTTTTAACACACAATTTGCATAAACTGCAGGTGAGATCATGGGGAGACCTCCTTGTTTTGACGAATTGAATGTGAGAAGGGGTCTTTGGACAGCAGAGGAAGATGCAAAACTACTTGCTTATGTCTCTAAGCATGGGACAGGAAACTGGTCTGCCCTTCCCAAGAAAGCAGGTTATATAATTATATTAATTTATTATTATTGTTGATATCATCAATTGGATTAGCAATCGCGATTTCCATTTCTCATTTTGTTAAAATTTTGGATTCCATTTGTTTTCGAAAAATAATTTGCCTAAAGAATATTTCTCAGATTTTTTGATATATGAGATGCTCAAGAAAATCAGTTAATAGAAAATATCTTACTGGTTCATGGAAAATTAAGTAATTTTTAAGAAAAATATCATGGAACTAGGTGCTTGATTCGTTTGAAGCCTGTATGGCGCCTAGACTCTGCTTATAAATTATAATTTAGATCCGTCATGTATCCTCGGTTTTAGCATAATATTCAATTATAAAGGCTCAACTTGCCATATACATAGGGGGTCTAGCACATTCGAGTCTAGGCTCAAGGCTTTTGACATTCCAAACAATGTAGAATTGCCTATATTGAAACTTTCAAATAAGGAGGGATGCGCAATTTAGGACTTTGGCCCTATAGTTCCTATAGAGCTCCTTCCATGTGGAGACACCATCTCTTCTTACTAAAATATGATGCCCGTAATCTAGCTCATTTTAAAGCTCGGTCTTACGTATTCGCACTGGAGGTAGCGGAGAGCATTACGTCAAGTCTCCCCCTAGTATGTCCTTCGATCATCTACCATCCAACATACTATTCTCGTATCTCATGGCAATATAATTGTCCTTAGGTTTATACGTGGTGTTCCACAAGTATCATTTTTTAAAAGAGGAAAACATTTTTGATAGAAAAACTTATTATAGACTTACAAATACATCAAAAACATTTTTTTAACTCCCTGCAATAGTAATTCACCTTGCACTTCATGTTTTTGCAATTATATGATCAATATTACTTTTCTTAAATTTTCATATCAAAACTTGCATATATATGATATATAAATGAACCTACATATTTTACAGGACTTAGGAGATGTGGGAAGAGTTGTAGACTTAGGTGGACCAATTACCTGAGGCCTGATCTGAAGCATGACACCTTCACACCCCATGAAGAAGAGCTTATCGTCAGGCTTCATGCAGCCATAGGCAGCAGGTGGTCAATCATAGCCCAACAGCTTCCAGGAAGAACAGATAATGATATAAAAAACTATTGGAATACCAAACTAAGAAAGAAGCTTTCTGAAATGGGAATTGATCCTGTTACTCATAAACCCTTCTCTCAGATCATTGCTGACTATGGAAACATTGGTTGCCTTCCAAGATATGGAAACAGAATTAGCTCTTTAACTAGAGACCTCAAAAATGCTTTCATCTCCAAACCAGCTGAAGGTTTAACAATTTCAAACCCTAATAATTATAATACCCATCATTTGGTGCCTCCTAAAATGGAATCAATTCAAGAATGTTTCTTGAACAATGGTGCTAGTTGCAACCAATCATTAGATCTTCTTGATCAGCTTCAAGCCATTAAGCTAGTAACAGAAGCTACCAATTTTCTTAGAGATCAAGGCTCATTATCGTCTTCAGCATCTTCGTCTTGTTCTAATTCTTCTTCTTCAACTTGCTCTACTGCTGGTCAAGAAAAATCTGCACTAAGCTTTAGTTGGCGTGATTTTCTTCTTGATGATGCTTTTATTTCAAACGATAATCATAACTATCAAGTACAGGAACAAGAAAATTTTATGGAGCTTTCGTCTAAGGGCGATTTTACGGGTCAAATACGAAAGATGGATATGGCGATTCCCACTCCCGGTACTGGCCATCAAGACCCTTCTTCTTGTTCTGATGCTTCCTTTCTTGAAGCAATGTTAGATCAAGAAAATGAGGATTTCTTGGATTTTCCTAACCTATTAGAGGAATAATTCTCTTACTCATTATACAGTTACTTCTAAGTGGAGCTGAATTTCATGAATTTGTAATAGTTTCTTTTTTTTTTTTTTAATGTTAAGCTTGTCTTTCTTGTTATACCTTCTAATTGTTTCTTATTTGATTTCCAGTGGAGATTGGGAGCTCATTTTTATAATTTTTAATACACGTATTAAAAATTTTATCTGAAATAACGAGACAGTTTTCTTTTAACTCACTTAATTAATGAAAATTTTTTTAAAATTTGTCATATTAGTGAGAATTTCTTTTTATTTAAGAAAATATAATTTACTTGTTAAAAAAAAATATAATCTACTAAAGATACTTATAAATATTAAGAACAACATTTCTAAATGCAGTAACATCTTTGTGATTGTTTAAGTAAGTCTCAGTATGCAGTTGATTTGAAAAAATTACTAACTATAATTATGCGAAAATAAAATATTTAAATAAGTAAACTGCAATTTAATTTAGATTGAATTTGAACCTTATTTTCAAAATTAAGTTTGCTTATTGTTACTTTTAAACTAGTTTTAGAAATTGTGATTTGAATAAAATTTTTTAAAAAAAATCAGTTCTTTACAATCCATAATTTGTCAAGTCTTGAATATTACTCTTTTAAGGGTGCTCGAACCCAATGTCAAAAGGGCACTGGTAACCCAGTGGCCAGTTCAGTCCGGTCTGGTTCAACCTGTTTTGGGCCGCGTTGAGAAACAAATATAAAAGCTGAAGCCCGAGCATGGGTTTCAAACTTACCCCATGAAGTAACGACAAGCCGTTTTGTTGATGATATATTAACGTTTCAGGCTCAAGAAACAAAGAAAATCAGCGATAGATAATGGCAGCCTCTGGCATGCTCTACACAGACACAGAATCTTAAGAAGGAAAACGGAAAATGGTGGCGATTTCGCTTTACAGAGGGAACCTGCACAGAGTTCCAGACGTACCTCGTCGATGGCTAATGCCAGCGCGTCAAATCTCCCTCAAAGACTTCAAATCCCTCTTGGATCGCCGCTCCAAGGCCCTCTCTCGTCTCCGACCCTCTACCAACGCCGTCGCCACCACTTCAAATCACAACCCTAAACCTAACCCTGATCCTAACACAAAGGAGAACGGGATTCCTATTACGCCTGAGTTGAAAGTCGACAAGGTGAATAATAATGAAGAGGAAGGCACTTCCAATGGTTTAGTTTCTGAGGAGGTCAAGGATCAGGTAGGTTTGGAGTATGGTGAATGCTCTGTTAGACCTGCTGATGTTTCTAATTCGTTGCTTCCTCCTGAGAAGCCTGAGGTAGCTGAGAAAAGCGATGAGGCAGTTACTGGCGATGGGAATTTACGGCCCCGAAAAGAGGATTTGTCAGTTAATCCTAATACGGAGACGGAGGTATATATAATTGGAAATTTTAATATTTACATTACCTGCTGAATCGAATTTCATGTTTTCTTGTTGGTTGCTAGACATTATTCACCATGTAAAACCACATGTAAGCATTTTTTATGGTTTAGTGATAGTTCTTTTATGTGTCAAATGATAACCAGAGGTCGAAAGCCCCTATAATAGAATGAATTAGTGAACATTTGTTTAATTTATAGTGGTAATGCTAATGAAAAGGTGTTCTTGCAACTTGAGATTTCAAAAAAAAAAAAAAAATCTTGAATGATGAATTTGTGATCCTTCATGTCCAGATGTGCAAAACGGATGTGATAAATCATGATAAAGAGAATAGGAAAAAGGAAGTTGAGGAGAAGTTACTAGTTTTGAATGAGAAGAAGCATAGTCTGGTGCAAGTGCTAAAGCAGGTAAGGTTTTGTGTGAAACAAAATTATTTTTTATTATGTGAATCGCTTATTTCTGCAATTTTTGGACTAACATTTTGCCACTTGTTTTTATTTTAAGATTTGAAGAACTTAGAATATTTTTTGGTGGCCATTGACAGATCTTGAATGTTGAGGAGGAATTAAAGAGACGAAATAGCGTGCAAGGAATGGCAATTCGCCCATCTGTTCCTCTTCAAGTGGATGTTACAAATGATTCTGGGTCATTGAGTAGGCATGCTACTCCTAGGATGGGCTCAGAGGCAAATCTTGGTGGTGACATGGAAGGGGCAGAAACTGAGGATGTGTCAAAACCTAGTAATCAATCTCGCCATATCCATCGAATGAGCAGTACATCTCCATCATCAGAGTCTCCTCTAAGAAAGCCTCCCTACATTCAGCATAATGTGGTAATGCACTACAGTTCATACCATTGATATTCTTTTAGATGTTTGTCTAATCTGAGTTAGCTTTTGATTTTGTTGATAGTTCTGTTATTTGGCCTTTGGTGAATTTGATTAAAGGGCTTTCTAAATTAAACGTTTAATAGAATGTCAACACTCTGCTCTATGCATCCTAATCTCTTGTCTTAGTTTAGGCCTAGTTGAGAGCAGCCAGTATCACTGGTGGGAATGATGATGAAAAAAAATGTGGCTTCAGTTGACAGATTGAGATTTGATCATTTTGGCGATGTCTCCCCTTTAGACTATGATAAACGTAGGTAGGAGATGCATGCTTTGTGCATAAAATATATATACAATTGCATGTTCATGGCTATAACCCGACTTGAAACAGAGGGAAAACAAGTAGAGAAATATTATTATTGTGGCTGACTCCACTTATTTAGGGTTAATACATACACGAGTTGTGTATCCGTGTTCATAATGTAATTTGTACAATTTTACACGCAGACAACAATGGTACCATGTAATGAACGGCAATAACTTTTGGGTATGTGTTTTGTGATAGAATTCTAGGTTCGTACCTTTTGCAGTATTGTTCTTAGCTACTACCTCTTCATGGGCCAGGTGTAGGTTTGAAAAATGCCAAATTTGTCAAAGGTATGGCATGCAGTTTTCTTCATAAATTGAAGTCAGCTGCTTGGCATGTGAACTTGTCCAGGCTCAACATAAATTTGTATGACAATGGCTTGAGTTTCCTGGTAGCGTGTTGGTACCCAGCCTGCTTAGTCAATTGGCACTTCAAGTTGAGTGTTTGGAAGTTAGAAGTGTTTAAAAAATCAGAATCAAGCTAAATATATATAACAGTTATGTCCAGTTAAATCTATCATCTGCTTTATCATACACAGGCATACATGCCTATCCTATCACACATGCTCTGAGAGTTGCATCCAGATATATGATCTTAGAACGATGTTTTGCTATGAGAATTCAAGAAGCATATAATTTTGATATTTCTTTCATCATATTGATGGAACGCCTACTATTTATATTTGGCTATTGCAATCCATGGCATTTTTGCAGGTTCCACATCCCTCAAGGCCAAGTTTGGGGGCCACCAGCAGTCCATCGCGCTTCGCTCTGACTGGGCACCAAGGCCCTCCTGCAAGTGTTCCCACGGTGTCTGTATCAGGAACAAATTATGTTGCATCTTCACCTTCCCCTGCAGCTTCTGGTGGCACTTCAGCTTTTAGAGATGCCCGGCAGCCAAGTCCATGGAATTAGAAGTTGGGTGATGGCATGATTCGAAGTAAATCTATTCTTTTGTTGTTTGGCTTTGTTGCTGAACTTCAGTCTTATTGTAGACCAGTAAGCATATTGAATGCTGAAGCCTTTAAAGTTTCCACTAAAGCGGAGTCTTTCCATGGTTTAGCCAGTCCACCAAGTTGAAGATCTCAAGCAGTGTCACATTTTTGCTTTCTCAGATCATTGTAAGTAGAGCACCATCTATTCTTTGCTAATCACATAACGCTGATGGAATTTGTAAATTGGAAGAACTAGGATTAGTCTGCAGAATGTTGAAAACTGAATTATAGGGACTGAATCAAGTACAGTACTGAGATTGTACACAGTAAAAGACTCTGAAGAGCAATAACTATTTTTAAAAAGATAATGTGTTTACTGCATGTGCCTGATCTTTCGTAGTGTTATTTAGACTAGATATGTGGGTTGGTATATTTTGGATCTGTTACAAAATTTCTTACAAGTACCTCAATTTTCAGTAGCAATTGAATTGGGGTATTGAAATGCAGAGCCCCATGTAACCTAGCTAGTATTCCTTTTTCTTTTCTTTTTATTTCTTCTTATTATTAATTTTTCATTCTCTTGTTTGGAGGATCCTTGTCCGCTGAAACTGTAGATTGGCTTTCTTTTAGTAGGTGGTCTTGAGATCATTGAGTTGGAAACTAACCTAGAACTGTGCATTACAGGACTACTTGAGCATTCACTGGCTGGGACCAGAGTTTCAGCAGTCCACTTGACTTGAGAGCAGAGAGAGCTATGCACTCACTTTTGTCACCAACTCATAAATTCCTGTTGATAGAGTAATTGCTATCGCAAAAGGAGTTAACATTCTTTTACTAGTTCTGTCCATCGGATCCAACTCTATAGGCCTCAAATTTGAGCATATGATATCTTTAGCATAAACTCTATAATACCTAAAACAGTATACATTACAATTTACAAACAATCCCATCATTTTTGCAAATGGTGGACTCGTCTACAAATTGTCATTTTGACGCTGTCTCTAGGCTGATATTATTATTAGGCAATGACTATGAAATTCGCATGTTAAAGGGAAAAAAAAAAATTCCTTCTTTCCAATTTATATATTCCTTATTTTCATTGGATTGGTATCAAGTGAAACATACTTTCAAGAGATCAAACCAACTGTAAAAATATGAATTTGCATGTATTATTTGACACCTAACTCAATTCAAACTCAAATTCATTAGAGATATGCATGAATATTAAGTATACTATTTATTTACTCACATTAGGAGGAATTTATACACCTAGCTATAATGTAATAACAAAAAATCTAAAATCTTTGTGAGGTCAGTCACTACCGTTAATTGTCTAAATGACTAGGGAATTTCAGCAAATCTTAACATTGGACTTGAAGTCCTCAAAAGTAAAGTGAGATACTTGTACATAGGCCTAGAGGATGATGCTATTCTATGGCAATTGGCATGACCTTTGTTAGGTAAGTTAATGCCAAAGGGGAATAGAGGCACTTTTTAAAATTTCAGCCAAGGGACTCGTTGCGTTTATCCAAACATTGACGGGAAAATATCAAGGACGATGTATATTATTATGTAAAATGAATGATAAATACCTATCATTGCCCTTTGGCATCGATAATGATACCCACATATTATGTAAAAGGGTTCAAATGACGATGTATACTATTTGCCTATACCCTTAAAATCACTGAAACAAGAATAATTTTATTGTTATTACATAAAACTCGAGGGTTTTCAGATGTAAATTTATGCATTTGGGGATTGAAATTACGTAATCTACTCTGCTATGATGTAACAGTGAAAACAACCATGCATAAGGTAAACATCCCTTTAGGTGCATTGCATGTGCAATTGTGACAATGATGATGATGATGATGATGATTAAAAGCATGTATATAAACATATATATGTATGTATATAAAATTCCAAAATCACACGTGTTTATAACCCAAAGGAAGAACAGGAAGGAGTTAGTCCTATTCTAAAAAGCATATTATCATATTGGAACACATGGAATGGAAGTTGAATCCAAGCTAGGCATACATTAAAGAGGCTTTCTAGTGATTAATTCATTTGCTTAGCTAACATTACATTTTTTTGCTAAACAAACAGTTGGGCATCTTCTATCATCTAAGACCCAGACTTTTTTAAATCTCTAGTAATTAATGACAACTGAGGAAGGTTTGGGCAGTGGTGTTCTATTGTTCTTTTGCCACTAGGAAGATATTTTTTTAGCTCGGTTATCTCGATTTGATTCAATTAAATTAAAATATTTTGATTCAGTTCAATTTAATTATTGTAATTTTAATGTTCAATTATTTCAGTTAGACCTAAGATGACTCATAACTCAAGTTTAACTGAAATCTTAACCTTTTAAGTCAATTGTTTTTTTAACTAATCAACTTCATTTGTTCATAAACAAGTGTTTGGCTAATATGTATTCTCATTGGTAAAGTAGTACCATTTTTATAATGAAAGCTTTGTTGTATATTTTAATTTTGGCGAGATACATAAATTAATTTTCAAATTTTATTACTCTTAATTTTGTAATACTTTTAATTTTTATTTTGACTCGTCGAACATTTCAATTTATAAAATTACATCTAATAAATATTTTAACTTGCAAAATTATTTTATTAAATACTTTAATTTTATAAAATTAAATCAATTAAACACCAATTAGATTGTTAAATAATGTGTAAAATATTGTTCTAAAAGTTATACTAATCACACATTAAATCTATACTTTACATATAAAATTAACTCATAACTCTCAAAAATTATTATTATTAGTGTGAAAAAATATACAATATTACTAAAATTCATAATTTCAAAAAATAAAATAATTTTTTCTCAAAGTTAAAGATAGCATAAAAAAATTAAAATATTAGTTTAGGAATGATTTTGTCCTTTGGATTTTCATTTTAGCAAGCATGAGACAAGTCCAAAAATGCAATTGTGTGAAATCACCTCGAGCTAGCAACCCTTCTCCCTCTAATTATGTTAGCAATTACCCTCAAAGCATAGCTCATAACAATGATAATCATTGACTAAAAAATGAAATGATCTAATTCTAAATATTAATTGAGAAAAAAATGAATTTATAATATATTCAAATTTATAAATAATTCCAATATTCGAAATTTGTAGCATCTTTGCCATTTTCTTTTGTGTGTTTTTTTTCCCTATTTTTTTTTTTTAAAAAGAAGCATATTTGGCAAAATGGACTATGGCCAATTGGTGGGGTCCTAAAGAGGATAAGTTGCGCCTAGGGCGCAGTGCGCACACCATCCTCAACCTCCATCTCTCGAAGTGAAGTAGAAATAGATCACTCACTGACTCACTCTCTGCAACATAAAGCTCCCTGTTTCTTTCTTTCTCTCCATACCAAATGTTTTTCTGTTAATCATTTCTTAAATAACCCATTCCCTACACTTAAAGACTCGCTCGCCTACTGACTTCAAAAGCTCTACAAAAGCCGGAAACACGCTTCTCTTTTTTCTTCTTAACTCAAACCACTCCAATTCGGATTCCAAGTTCTTACACTTGCCTTTCTTGTATGAACCCGAATCCGTGGGAAGAACATGGATCCCCCGTTAATAAATGAGACCTCTTTCTCTGCAGCTAACCCATCTTCCTACTCTTTGACTGAGATTTGGCCGTTTTCCACAATTAATGAAGAGACAAACGGTATTGGTGGTGGATTGGGGCTCCGGCTGCGGAATTTGGGTGGGGGATTCGGGGAGCGAGATGGGTCGGCTGAGGAATCAACGATAACGGTGCAGAGCGTGGGTGGAACCAGTGGGAATGGAAGGAAGAGAAGGGATTTGAGCTCAGAGGATGAGTCTTCCAAAATGGTTTCTACTTCCAGCAGTGGGAATGAATTGGTTCGTTCTTTACAAAATATTACTAAAATTTGTTGTTTTTGGCTTGTTTCTTTTGTTGCTTCCTTCTGTTTAGTTGTTGAGAAATTGAGAAAAAAGGATTTTGTTTTTTATTATTCTTTTTGAGATTTGTGGGCTTTGTTGCTTTGTATTTGGATAGAGGGATGGTTTGAACTTTGAGTGGTTGTCATTCTAGCTCCAAGTGATAGTTATTCAAAATTTTGCTGAGCAAGTGAAGATCTTTCAGCTTATTTGTGTTGTTTTAAATGGGTTTAAAATAAAATTCAGATTTATATTTATTTGCTATATTCTCTGGCAATTCGAACAATTATTCTGTTTACTGTGTTTATCACCTTTATTCTATATGGTTTATTGAAATCCGTTAGCTTTCACTTTTTTTTTTTTTTTTTTTTTTTAATTATTCTGTTTACGTGTTTATACTTTATTCTATATGGTTTATTGAATCGTAGTTTCAACTTTTTTTTTTTTTTTTTTTTTTTTTTTTTGATTGAATATTTGTTTGTAATTAATAATACTATATGGTGTGAAATTTCGACCTTTGTAGAATTAATACATGAGAAGCTAGCAAGTATAGTACTTTTGGAATTGAAACTGAAGTATGCTAAGACTGTTTTTTTCATATATATAATTTTACTGAAATTTGTCCATTTTTTTTAGAGAGAAAAAAAAGAGATGGCTAGTTTTGTACGGTGATTCGTCTTGTATTTTGTGACAGAATGACTCAAATGGCAAGAGGATGAAATTATCAGAATATCGAAATGAGGACAGGAACTCAAAAGCTGAAGTAGAACCAAGTTCAGTTGCAAATAAGAAACCAGCTGAGCAAAGTAAAACATCTGAGCCACCTAAACAAGACTATATTCATGTAAGGGCACGAAGGGGTCAAGCTACTGACAGCCACAGTCTAGCTGAGAGAGTAATTCACTTGAACCTCTTGAATTTGCAATTTTTAATTGTTTCTTGATACCCAAAACAATGGACTTAATGTGATTAATAAGATCTAGATTCAGGTATACACTGAATTCTATATTTTATGTTACAGCAATGTATTAATTCATTAGTAAACCTTATGCTTCACAGGCTAGGAGAGAAAAGATAAGCGAGAGGATGAAGATACTCCAAGATTTGGTACCTGGGTGTAATAAGGTGCTTGTTGTTGTCTTCTTGGCTTTATCTTCAGTCATTTTTCCACATGATGTAAATTCTGTTCTGCTTTATAATGGTCATGCTCCTTATTCCAATACTGGGATTTTTCCATAATAGACATTTGCTAAGTTCCTAGTTCAGTTTTGATTGACTTGAAGTGTTTTCTTCGTGCAATCAGGTTATTGGTAAAGCACTTGTTCTTGATGAAATAATTAATTACATCCAGTCATTACAGCGTCAAGTCGAGGTAGTATCCCCATTTCCATGTCTATTATCACTTCATATGACAAGTAAATCCTTACTTTCTGCTGAAGCTGAACCTAGAACTGTGATAGCTTAAACTTTTTTCTTTTTTCTTTTCTGCAGTTCCTGTCCATGAAGCTAGAAGCAGTTAATTCAGGAATGAACATGAACCCCACAATTGAGGGCTTCCATCCAAAAGATGTAAGTCAACTATATTGGTTCATTACCTGAAATTTTCTTCATTAAAGAAACTATTTACATTTTTACTCTGACATATTTTTAAAAAAATCATTGGCATCTCTGATTCCCAGTATAATGATGGTTGCTAAGAAATTAGGAGACTCGCTGATCTGGTCAAAATGTATTCAGTTTTTATGTACTTTGATCAAATTGTTTTGGCCACTAATAAAACAATATAAAAAATGTCCAAGAATCTTCAGTCAAGATTATTGTTATTGAGCATTGATGGCCCTACATTGCTCCTGCTGTTGGAGTTCCAACATGTATGAGCATGCTTTACATATGAAGAAATCCTGCATCTTCCATGCTGTGTTTATTTATATATTTTTTCCTGAGCAAAGATATTATTTGGGTAAGTGTATTCAATAATCAATACACACATACTGATGGATAAATGGCAAACCAAACATAAAAAGTAAGCATGTATTCAGGTACCACTTACTCCTAAGCAGGATTTTATATTTGGCTTGATCAGAAGTACTCAAACGAGTGGACCCCCTAACTGCATAAGGTGTATTATGCAATTTCTTTAATGTTTTTTGAACCTTTGTTAGCATAAGTTGCAGGGCTTTTCAAATACACCATCGATGTTATATTATTTGTTCTCCCTTGAAGAGAGAATCCCGACAACATTGGTTTGGAACTCTGTAACCTGTTTGATAAGATAATTCGGTTTGTGATTTTCCAACATGGTCATTTCTTCGTGCAGGTTGGCACACCACAATTTGATGTCGCAGGAATGATATTTGGACCTCAAGCAGCAAGAGATTATGCTCAAGCATCACAATCAGAATGGCTGCATATGCAGATTGGTGGAAATTTTGAAAGGACTACATAATCAAGCTGCAAGATTCATTCCTCTGGTTATTTACTGAGGGGCAAATTTGTTATTAGCTTCTTCATCCAGTGCATAAAATGTGTTTCCCATAAGCATGTCTCTTATTGAAGTTTTAATCTTATATCATTTGTAGAAAGTGCATCTAATCTTTATTTATTGTATCTTCTGATAGTTTACTAAACAAAGTCTCGTAGAGATAACTTGTTGAATGGAAAAATACTTGAAATTTGCAATGAAAAAATTCTGAGGTGTTATTAGACCTTTTTTTTTTTAAATAAGTGTTATTAGAGGCTAATATTACCATGGAAATTAAAAACCAAAATAAATAAATTGCAATTTCAGTACTTCAGTAACTGAAATAACGTGTTATTTTTATATCCACCTAGAAGGGGCAACTGTGAAGAACCGGTATAGCATAATGTAAAAAATACCTATGATAAAGAGAGCACAGAGTGAAAATAGCAAAAGCATGCAAAAGATTTTCAAGGATGTGTTTGCTGACCTCATAACCTGATAATAACTGCCATTGAAACATTGCACATTAAACAACTCAAAATAACATAGTAGTATGCCCAACAACTGCTGAAAATCATACCAAGTGACAGCGAACGAAATCCATTTATTCCAAACCAATATTTAGTTGTGTACAACATGTCAGGTATTCAGGTTTGATCATTCTCAAGAAAAAGAAGTCATTGTTGGTTACACTTAACATATACAAATCACAAGAACAGCAAACCCATTAGGCTTTAAGCTCTATTCCTCAGACAACTAATTATAGCCTCTAATTAACAGCATAGGAGAATCTTTATCGCATTTTGATGCTCCCAGCACACTGGTCTATATGGATAAAGAAATAAATTTTCTGCTCATAATTGTATTGAATGTACCAAAACCTTAGCATTTGAATGCTTTCAGAACATATGATCCTCCTCCTCAGGTTACAAGTGAACTAAATTGCAATTAATTTAGGATTTCATCGAGAAAGATTAAGGTGTGACTTCACAGTCCATTGTCAAATCTGCATTTTGCAAAATATTATCATAATCAAGCAACCAGGAAGAATCGAAATTTATCTATAGAAAAATAAAACAGAAATTAGTAAACCTTTCCAAGGCAGATTTGCTAATGGGAATAAAGCCAGATGGAGTTACAAGAGCATCCACCAATACGTCTTGCAAAGTTACTGGTATAATTCCATCATCCATGATTTGTAGAGAGTAAGATAGTGCCACTGTAGACCAGAGCAAATTGTCTTAAACAGAAAAACATAAACTAATTTGAGCTATAAAGGATTGTTGTCTGTTCATATCAAAAGAGATCAAAAGAAATGCATACCCAAGAGGGGTTGCTTCCAATTCCTCTCCCTTGCAAGTTCTTGGTACTTCCTCAAAAAGGTGTCATAATACCTTTCAGATTTTCATTACATATGTCGAAAAGAAGACACACAAATTAAAGAAAAGTACAATTCAGTGTGAATACAAACTTTATATCATGGATATGGTCGATAATCAGGGCATGAAAAAAATTTTAGGGGCTATCAAAAGAACAGCAAAGCGCTAGATTTGCACAGACTATAAACAGTACTAGCTAACCTAAAAGTCATGAATTGGATTGTGAGATTATTTTAGAGCAATAAAAATATAAAGGCCTTGCAACCTTGTTGTACCCCTTGCTGCCTCTTTCTAGGATTTATGGTTGAGACTTCAAGCATTTAGTTATGGGTTGGAAGGAACCTAGCCTCTTGACAAAGGCCAGGTGTTAAGAGTTACAAAACTAAAAAAAGCATGGAGTCTATGTTTGTCAGCGGTAAATGTGTACTACCACCTGGCAGTTTAGATTACTTGACCAAGTAAAGAAAAGTTAAGGCTACGTGCAAGAAACTCACCCTCCACCACGCCCCAAGCGTCTTCCAGATCTGTCAAACGCAAGTCCTGGGAACATAACAAGGATGAGCATTATCTTATCACAGTTTCATTTTCCAAACATATTCAACTATACACACAAAGCAGGGACAACACATAAAAGTTTTACCAGGCAGGATGAACAAATCAACTGGATCATTTGCCTGCATCACTGCATCACTACAGATCTTTAATTTCTATTAATAATATAGAAAAAAAATGAAAAATCTAAATAAAATATTAGGTAAGCATTACCTTCCTAGTTCTAGAGACAATGCATATAACGAGTATGATAATTAAACCAGCATTGAGATGTATAGAAAATAAAGGCAGTAAGATGCAACAACAAAAGACTCTTGCATTTAGACAGATGCATAACACAAATCTGATTATTGTTTTAGCAAAAGAAGCAAAAACTTTGTCTCCTGATGTTTTGGAAGCTGGCACTAAGTTTCTTAAGCTTGAGCAAATTCTGCACATGGCTATGTCAATTAGTACCATAACAAGCAAATTTTAGAACAAATTGATATGTTATTATGGAAATTTCAGATTCTTGATTTTCTCATTTCTAAAGTGACATAACAAAACAGCCTGCCATTGTTTTTGACCACCCAAACTCTTAATGAATAAGAGCACCACCATCGAGAATCATCTATAAATGATGGAGAAAGTGCACCACTATTTAGTGCAGCCAACCCATTGAATAATTTTCTCAAATAAAGGAAGCCAATTGATTGGCACAAAACCTTCCTGCATATAGTAAGCTTCTTAAGGAGGATATGTTTAAGAACTAGCTACATTTCAAAACCAAATTCACTATCACACAATTCAATATAAAATAATATATATATATATATATAACATTTCAAACCAAATTCACTATCACACAATTCAATATAAAATATATAATATATATATATATATATATATATATATATATAGATGACAGATCTTTTATATGCTTACTTTCCAGCAACCAACCAAACAAAAAAATTCCTCTGGACAATCAAGGTTTTTGACTACTATACTACGACATGAAAAAAAGGAAGGATTTTGTCTATTGTACTAACCATCTTCTCTTAAATTTCCAACACCATCTGCTGGAGCTGGTTCTAAAATATTCATGGAGTTTGCAATTAGATCATCCATGCTTGAGATGTTGAGCATTCGCATATGACTATTCTTGTCCTCCACCCTTGGAACATAAAGCTTTTTTGCAGTCTGAGCACAGCCATCTATATTTCAATTTTTAAAAAACTAAACATATAAGTAAACATATAAGTTACTCAACAATGGTAACATAAAAAAACCGAGCTTTATTCTAATCAAGGTTATACTCAATTATGGCCATTTCTTTTGTTGGATACTAAAGCAATGGCCATAATATATTGATAAAAAAAGGGTAAATAACTATTTAGTCCCTTACTTTTAGTCAGGATAATAACTCCGTCTTTCTTATTAGATAAATATATTGATCAGTTTCTGAAGCTTACATCTGTGTTATTTTTGCTGTTAAGAGAGGCACTAAATAGTAATTCAATAATATTGAAGAACTAAATAGTATCATTCTATTTAAATGTCAAAGACTAAATAGCTAAATATTTCAGTGCACTTGCCCCTTTAGATGTTGTATTTACCAAATAATAACCAAATCTGAGGGATTAGTAGTTATTTACCCCTAAAAAAATTTCGAATGACACGAGGGAAATGATTCCCTTGACATGCACAAAATTAATTGAAAGCATAATTAAGTAAAGAATTTAAAAGCTTAACCTTTGGCCAGATTCTGTAGAATTTCCGATAACAGTTTGGACGTATCAACCTCGCGTAAAGCACTGCAACTTATATAAGCGCATAATCTCTGGCTAGACTTGAACCATGAAGCTTCTAAGACATTACTCTGGATGGCGTTGTCTATCGAAGAAAACCCAAATCAGATTTAATTAATGACCGTCAGATTGATTACTGGATTCTTAAAAAGTTACCTTCTTGGGATCGGAGGGACAGATCCATGGACTTGAGGGCCTTTCGGACTTTTGATCGGAGGATCCGTTTCTGGTGAAACATTTCATTGAGATTGGTTGTTTCGTCTTGGTCGGTGCTCATCGAGACAGTTGGGAGGTGAACGGCTGCAGGTGGCTGGAGGCGGACCGGGAGGGGAGGGTGGAGTAGTGGTGTTGGTGTTCCTATCAGTATTGCTGCTAGTGAAGCTGGCTGAACCATTAGCGCTGCCTTGACCCGTGTTGTCAGCGCATGTGTACACATTATTGCAATTTTAGCCCTCTTGCGTTTTTATTTATGCATAATTGCCACCAAATGTCTATTTTGTAGGTGTTCTTCCAAAATCAACTAAGTTCTTTTTTTTTTTTTTTTCTTTTTTTTTACAATTACGTGTCTCTCGGCTCGGCTTAAAAACTAGTCAAGACACCAATTCTTTTTATACACAAAGCTGATTATATTTTAAATCTTTCATAACCATTACGTTTATCGTGCAATCACTAGCATGGAATATGAGCTAAATTATTTTGGATACAATTAATTAAGTTCAGTTAACCATAATTAGTGAAAAATAACTCCTCTTTTTTTAGGGTAAAAAGTAAAAAGTAAAAAGTACTCAGTGAATGGGTAGGTGAATCTGAAATTGTATGTTTGGTTTACCCAATAATTTATCCGGAATTTTAATTACAAAAAGTAAAGGTAAACAAACATAAATATAATAAAAAATAGGGACCAGGAATGTAAATCATTAAATAATGTTACCCTGCAACGAAAATGACCTCAGAAGCTTCACATCCAAACTCTCTCTCTCTCTCTCTCTCCCTCTCTCCCCAAAAGCTTAACCCTAACCCCGAAATCTCACTGCCATGACCTGAGCTCAAAGCCCAATCCCTCTAAAGCTCCATTATTGATCGAATTAATTAAGGGAAAAAAATAAAAGGACAGAAGCGCAAACGATGCCGTCTCACGGCGATCTGGACCGACAGATCGAGCACCTGATGCAGTGCAAGCCACTACCGGAAGGAGAAGTGAAGACACTATGCGAGCAAGCAAGAGCGGTCTTGGTGGAGGAATGGAATGTTCAGCCCGTGAAATGCCCCGTTACTGTCTGCGGCGATATTCACGGCCAGTTCCACGATCTTGTCGAGCTCTTTCGCATCGGTGGAAAAGCCCCCAACACCAACTACCTTTTCATGGGCGATTATGTTGGTCAGTCTCTAATTCTATACCTCAATTAGCTATAGAATTTGTGTTTTACATTTTCTTGAGCTGGAGCTGAGATTCAATTTTTGTGGAGTTTGTGGATTACAAAGAAAAAATAGTTAATAACCATTTCTGTTGGTTGGTAAACGATGGAAGGCTGAATCCATTTTATTGTGGATTTTAAATCTGAACATTTGGTAAGCTCTTGTAGAGTTTCAAAGTTCCTTTTTTCTTTTTTCTTTTTTTTCTTTTTTTTGCACTTCGTTATTAAATCCCAGTTCACAGATGTTAGAGTATGGTAGGGAACCCACTAATTTGATAGCTAATGTGGCTTGTTTTGAGCAATGAGAATATGATTTAGGTGGCTGCAGCTAGCATATAGCCATATAGCACCAGCACCGCTTAATGGCTATATTGAAGCCTCATTCCACATTTTTAATGATAAATAAAACTAAGAATTGGTGAGCGGTTCCCCCCACTCCTTTTTTTTTTTTTGCAAAAACTGCTATGGATAAACATATCTGATATTAGAATGATAGAAGTGAAATCTCCAATATCGACAAATGTATAATCAGTTCCCTTTATAGTTCTCCAGAAGCATTTGCCTATTTTCAAAAACCTTCAAGTTCCTTTATCTTTTGACTACTTTATATGGAGTAATAGCTTATTTTCTAATATGAGCGTGCACAGGTGAAGTGTTTATTACATTCCTCAAAGCCATTGCAGCTAAACTTCTCTGTCTCTACCTGTGATCATGTTTTCATACTTTGCATATGAAATTTGTTACTGTATTTACTCAGTTTCTTTGTTTTACTATTTTGTAGATCGAGGATATTATTCTGTGGAAACTGTGACTCTTTTAGTGGCACTAAAAGTTCGATATAGGGACAGGATTACAATTCTTAGAGGAAATCATGAGAGTCGTCAAATAACTCAAGTGTAAGAACTCTATTCATTTTAATTTTAAGCTTGCATACCCAGAACTGTGCGCTTGCATGTTTTCTAGTTTTAAGCTTTGTTAAATTAAAGTTGATGATTTTTCATTTTTTTCCGAATTTTTTTTAATTCATTTGTTTAAAATGTGCAAGGGTAGTGAGCCCTGAGTAGCTTCACCCATTCATTTTTTTTTCATAAATATGAGCCATTTTATCAAATTCTTGTGCATATGGCAATGCCAGCCAGAGTGATGCATTGTACTGGTGCCTTTGTAGTTTAATTATTTGGTTATTTTGTCCACAGTTCCTATTGCTAATTTTTTGTTTTCTTTTCAGGTATGGCTTTTATGATGAATGCTTAAGAAAATATGGAAATGCCAACGTCTGGAAATATTTCACTGATCTCTTTGACTATCTACCACTGACAGCCCTAATTGAGAGTCAGGTCAGAATTCTAAAACACTGCCTTGCGTTCCCTAATTATCCCTCTGATCATAACTTCTATCTTTGCGATCTCATGTGATAATTGTCTTTTGCTACCTTGTAGGTCTTCTGCTTACACGGTGGACTCTCTCCATCTTTAGATACATTAGATAATATCCGATCGTTGGATCGTAGACAGGAGGTATTTCTACAGTTATAATGTTAACTTTCTAGCAGTTTTTTTAACATTTCTTGAGCCAGTTTTAATTGTTTACAGAATTTATTATTTGATAAGTTTTCATTGTTATATTTCTGTATCAAGCTGGTTTCCATGATATAATAACTTTGAGAAGGTTAAGAGCCAAAATTGTTTGCACTTGCTATAATTTCTGCATAACCTTTATCTGTTTTTTGGGAGCCACAGTGTTATGCTTCCTATTAGAAGTAAAACAAGCATGCATTTTACCACTGAGATGATTTACGAACATATCCTTTCTTCATCCTTCCCACATTTGAATAATGTTGTTCATCATTTATTATTGCTGGGGATTCTGAAATGTGCTAGTATAGAGAGCATCAGGAGCAAAACCAGATATTTTCATTAAAGGGGGCAAAGTTTTGGACAAGTAAATTAAGGGAGCAAATGGCTAAAGCAATAGCAAAAAAACTATAGGACCTAGGTTCGAACCAGGACCCTGCAAAGTCTATTGCCCCCCTTCTCTTACAAATGACTTCACCACTGACTGGCATGAAGCAAGAGAAATTAAAGTGAGGTCGTAGGAAATTTTTTGATTAAAATAGAGAGAACTAAAATGTGCTGGTGGTACTGCTTAGTGAATGATTAACTAAAGTCAATCTCTGTAGGTTGATATAACTCTGTTATTTTTGGTGTTCCACAGTACAGATGACTAACTGCTATGATTTCTTTATTTGCATTTTCCAATGATTTTTCCTTTCTAATTTTCTGCTTGTGATTTCATGGACGATTAGGTTCCTCATGAAGGTCCAATGTGTGATCTCCTATGGTCTGATCCAGATGACCGATGTGGGTGGGGAATTTCTCCTCGTGGAGCTGGATACACTTTTGGACAAGATATCTCTCAACAGTTCAACCACACCAATGGGCTCACTCTCATTTCTAGAGCTCACCAGCTTGTTATGGAAGGATACAATTGGGCCCAGGTTTGTGGATTTAGGTGAAAATGGAATTATTTTCAAATTCTGGAGTTCTTAGATATTTTTCTTTAAATACAACCCACTTTAAATTTTTGTAGGACAAGAATGTGGTAACAGTTTTTAGTGCACCAAATTACTGTTATCGATGTGGGAATATGGCTGCAATACTTGAGATAGGAGAAAATATGGAGCAGAATTTCCTTCAATTTGATCCGGCGCCTCGTCAGATTGAACCTGACACAACACGCAGAACTCCTGACTATTTTTTGTAATTGTTATGGCATGCCCTCAGTTGGCAATTTTTCTAATTCTCTGTGGTGGTTTTGTAGAGGGGTCTTACAGAATAGAGGATTTTTGGTGTTTACTTGATAAAGGGACAAACCAAAACATTGTCACTGTCATTCTTTTTGCTGGAATTGTTCTATTGCTTTTGCATTCATGTGATTTTATAGGTTTATTTTGTAGGTGGTTTTTGTCTTGTATTTTAGAAAGTGAAAAGGAAACGGCAATAACAAGGTATTCTTTGCCTTATGAATTTGGGTTTGTGGATGAAACAAATGTATGAGAGTGCACATTCAATTTGTATTATCAATGTCGATAAAGGGTGTCCTCATTTATAGCTTCTTTAGTTTCAAGCTTGCTGCTGTTTCATTTTGTATTTTTTTTTTTTTTTTTTTTTTTCAAAATTTTTTTTTTTTTTTTTTTCTTTTCAAAAGAAATAAAAAGAAAGTCATTCTAGTTACCTCTCGTCAAGGGACAGTGGATCAAAATTCATGAAAGTCGTTCTCTTGAGTGTAAAAGATGGACATTACAAACACAAGTGTTAGATTTCATCTTACAACAATAACAATTAAGCCTTGGTCTTAAAACTATATCTGCTCTGATCAATATCAATACAAAGCAAAGCCGAAGTTGTAATGTATGTTACCTAAAAATTTCAAATTCACTTAAAATTATAAGTCTAAGTTTTAAAATTTAAAATTTTGCACTAAATACATTTGAATTATTAATTAGGTTCTAAAATGATCAACTCCAACGTTAAAAATTTAACGCTTAAATTTTCAATACCTCATTTTTATATGCTACCTTAGTGAACCTTGATTCCAATCTTCTATATTAAGTTATTAATTAGGTTGTTAAATGTTTGATATACTTGAGAGTTTTAACAAATTAAGCAGTAACAACCTATTGTATTGCCTGCTTTCAGTTTAAAGACCAATTCGATTTTTAGAGACTTAAATTTAAAAGCTTGGTTAATCCCAAACTCTCCTTTTTTTTCTGTCTTGGCACAAACCACAAGTGCATGAGTCAGAAACATAATTCATGCAAAAGAGCATACCAGTTCAAGAAAATCTTTTTAATTAACTGATCAAGAAAAAGAAGAAGAATAAAAATTTAACAAAAAAATTAAAAAAAGAAACAAAAAGGTACACTGCAGGACAATCACTCTGGTAAATAATACAATTATAGTTAAAAGCTATCTAGTATTCTTGGACGGCTACAAGCAAAACTTTGAGAGTTTGCTTATTAACCATGAAGACTCCTTGCCCCTCCTTCCCTACCTTCTCTGACATCACCAATTATCTCCTGTATCTCCTATATATATATATATATATATAATAACAACTCATTTATGCAAAACTGAGTAAATGATGATCTTTATAGCACTGGTATGGCTGCTGGTTCTTTTGTTCTACTCTCTGCCCCATCTTCATACATTGGTTTGCACTAGATGTTATTCTGTAATTGCAACTGCTGGAGTCCTGGAGACATCAATGACTGCCCTATCTTAGTTACTGCTTTGTAGCCTGTTCATCAAGTCAAAATCAAAAATTTCAGTTAATCCATCTCTAAAGTATGTTTCTAAAGACATTAATAGGAATGCTCTTACCTCAACTGTAGAAGGTAGTAAAAGCCAAGAGGTCCATGAAGCTTCAAAGCCAGAAATTCAGTTTCTACCAGCATTTGCAATAGCTGTATATACATCCTAACAAGGAAACAAAAAACTGGCAAAAAGAAGCAGAAATATATTACAAATAGATGTTAACGGGTTCTTAATTGTAGAAGCATTTTGATTTTTAGAGAAAAAAGAAGTTCAAACATTTATGGAAATAAATTACCATGAAAATGTTTTAAGATAATAATTGTGCATTATGATCATCATCGTCTAAAGGCATTGAGATGAAGTGACGAAGCTTCTGAATATTATCACATATCTCTGTCAATAGTTTTTCTCTTTCACTATCATTCTGAATTGTTTGACCAGCAACAACATGCTTTGAGAATTCACCATCTGCTTCAAGAGCCTTCACCCGCTCATGAAGATGTAACAATTCGTCCATTAATTTTCCATCTGGTACTGTCATTTCAGAATACAACTCATCAAATTATGATTTATAAGACAAATAAATATAGAGATAAGACTTTGAGCTAGCAATCTATGATCAAGCATCTGTCTTGAAATGCAGAAGATCAGGATTTCAAAGTGTAGCATTTACCTGTCTCTTCGTCTAGGCAAGCAACGTTGTATGAGCTGGATAGTGGGGAAGGAGCCGCATCATCTGAGAAAATCTGATTTTTCTTATCAAGATTTTTAAACCGACCAAGAGTACATGATCTGCCCCCATGAAAATCTTTGCGTGATTGGTCTAGGATCTCCCCTCCATTCTCATCCCACAAAGAGGAAGACTGGCTGTTATGAAGCATGTTTTCTCCATTAATGTGCCTGTCAATGGAGTTACTATAGGCTATGCCGCCATATTGGGATCTGTCAGTATAGGATGAGAAAGAATGTGAACTCATGTCATGATAATCCTCGTCAACCTCATCTCCAGATCCTTCAAAACCTTCTTCCCTTAAAAGGCCATATCTTTCTCTATATTCATCAAGTTCTGCCTCTAAAACCTTAATATCTTCTTCTCTCTTTGCAAGTAAATCATTTGTAGCTTGTAGAGCTTCTTGATCATACTCTGCCTGTTCTTCCATCATTCTTTGATACTGTAAGGCTTCCATCTGAACTGCTGCCTTCTCTGCCTGCAATCTAGTGATCATGGCCATTGCATTATTGGCTGCAACTGCAGAAGCACTTCTCTCTTCATCTAATTCCATGTATAAAGCCATTAGTGACTTGCGATCCAATCGAACCTGTCCCTTCAAATGATGCAAAATCAAGTCACCTTCAGGTTCATTTGGTGCATTCCCTCCTTCCGTCGACTCTGAAGCAAATTCTGTTTTTTCAAGTGGTGATTTTCTGGGTATCCTATTAGCAAACCTAGGACTGGCAGTAGCTGAATCTGTTAGAGGAATTCCAAAAAACTTGTTCCCTCTAGCAAAAATTGGAGTTCTATCTTCATTCATATCATCAGCTTCTGGCAGCAATGGCAAGGTAGCAGCTTTTACATCTTCCCTAGCTATACGCGCAAAAAAAAACAAAAAAAAAAAAAAAAAAAAAAAAAAAAAAAAAAAAAAAAAAAAGCTAATTACGCGCAAAACAAAAACAAAAAAAAAAAAAAAAAAAAAAAAAAAAAAAAAAAAAAAAAAAAAAAAATAAAAAAAAAAAAAAAAAAAAAAAAAAAAAAAAAAAAAAAAAAAAAAAAAAAAAAATCCACCAAGAACAGTTAGATGCAAAAGTTTCAAGAATTTAATCCAGAGCTTGTTTCCAATTAGCAATTAGTAGTTAGCCAGCCAGTTAGCGAACTGAAGGCTAAATTCTAATGGCTAGAAATGTCAGTTTAAATGTTGGTCATTACCACCTAGCCTTTGAAAGGCCAAATGCTAACAATTAAAAACAAATATTCTTGGATTTGTAAATGTTACTCCAATCATTTTTTTTTTTTTGTCTTGTTTAACCAAAAAGCACTAAACTAGCAGTTCAGAGCTCAAAAGCTGCTTCCAAACCACTTATTCAAAAAGGAGGGAGTAAGGGGCAAGTGAAATTGAGAACTCACATTGCTTACCAAGATGTGAAGCATTTGGACCATCCTCATCTTCATGAAGCTCAGATTCATTATCAGAAAATTTGAGTTCATTATATCTCATATGAGATAATTCTATATTACGATGCTCATCATTTCTCAAATTTGTAAATCTTGGGGAAGGAGTAGGAGCTTGTGAAACCATGCTTGATCCTTTACCCTTGAAATAGGGCTTAATCCTCAATGGCTCTCCACAACAAGAACATCTAAAGAGGGTCTTTTCAGGCTGCTGCAAGGGATCATCTTTTCTTCCACATGGCGATATCAAATGAGGATCTTGTTCATTATCAACAAATAATTCAATGTCTTTATGCAAAATCCCGACAAGAGACTTATATGTATGGCAATCAGATGATTTCTCTGTTGCAAATGAGAGAAGACAACTTTCACACATTTTATTTATATCAGAAAGCTTCTTGTGGTTGTGGCAATACGCCAAACATGATAGGTCCTTCTTGTGAGGTTCACATACAGAATCATTGTAATAAAAATCAGCAGCTTTATGAACCAAAATGTGATCAATTCTTGTGCAGAGCAAACAAGGGATTTTCAATTCAAAGAATCTAGCAAATTCATTGGCAAAAAATGCAAGAAACCCATCAATGAAAAGCACAATTATCAACACCCATTCGAGTGCAGCATAAATCAAGAATAACGGGAACTGTCCCATTTCTTGTTCAACAAAATTTTTAAATGATCTTTTGGCCATTCTATTTTTTTTCTTTTTTCTTTTTCAATAACCCAAACAATTAATCTTTTGGCCTTTTTCCTCTGACTTTTTTGTTGGCTATACTTGGATGGATGATGTATAAAGATCTTAAAAATGAGAAGATAAAAAAGGCTAAAAAGGCTTTGAATTCAACAAATTAGAAGATCATGACCCTGGCCAAGATCATGATCTTGCTCTCTTGGAATGTGTGTGAGAGAGAGGAGGAGGAGGAAGAGCAAGGGAGAGAAACTCAAAGATTATTTACAGTTTTAGGCTTCAAAATTTGGGTGGTCATTTTCTTTTGGCTATTATTGGAGTAGATGTTATGGGTGAATTTGAGGTTTCTCATGCAGACCATGTACCTGAAATAACGGCCTATCAAGCACTTTTCAAGAAAATAACCATTAAAGTCTAAAGACCAAGACCACTAATAGTAATTAATGCATTGCATGATGCCATTGTGGACTAACTTTACACCCACAACCTACAACTTTATTTTGATTTCATTTATAACCCTATACATTATTTAGAATTTTTTTAAAGGGATATACATTATTTAGATTTAGATTTTAGATTTTAGATTTTTGGGAATTACTAATTTTGCCAATTAGTTTTAATCAATTGAATATTTTTGCTGGATTACCTTCGAGAAAAACCATTAAAAATTTAAATAAGGGTAAATTGCAACTTCCTGTTTAAATTTGAAAAACATCTTTGTATTTTGCTTTGGTCCTTTTAAAAAATAACATTTGATTCACTTGTGAAAATATAAGAAAATGTGTATGTTGTCCAATCTCATGGAGGTTATAGTAATTTACCCTAAAAAATTTTTGCAAATTCTGTTGTATCTTCAAATTTCAATTTGAAAAGAAAAAATTGCACCCAACAGAATGCTTCAATATGAATCAGGTCAGTTCCACTGGGCTAATATTTCTTAATGTTAGACAAGGCACTGTGATTGAAAATCCTGAATAAGAACGAACAGTAAGGTTACTCTTTTGTCCTCTTGTAATTTTAAAAATCTTTATAGGAGTTGTTGCATAAAGTAATTCCTGAGCATCAATAATGTTGTATCGATTAGCTTGTGGACAGAGCATTTGTAGACATGTAGGGTGATATGCATCCTTGGACCTGAAAAAAATTCCATTAATTACGTGAGAAAAGACTAGATAAAATATCATTTCAAATCACCAGAATAAAATATAACCACAAAAGGTTGCTTCTCTCCTGTTGTATGAGGACTGTACAGACATGATTGCTCTCTTCCATAGAGATGCAACCAAAAAAAACAAGGCATTTTTGTAAAAAAAAAAACAAAAAAAAAACAAAAAAAAAACAAAAAAAAAAAAAACAAAAAAAAAAACAAAAAAGCACCCAATCGCTCGGCAATGCATCTAAAAAAAAAAACAAAAAAAAAACAAAAAAAAAAACAAAAAAGACCAATCGCCTCGGCAATGCATGCTAAAGCCAATCTGAGAACGCAGCAATCAATGAAGTGACTATCCTATGCATTACATTCAAAAGTGAACAGACATTTTCTTCTTTTTCTTGTTTAAAAGTTCCATGGTACTTCTCATGAAAATGCATAGTTTAAAAAATTTCAAGAACAAAATAATGGTTGACGGGACGGAAAATGTTGACAAACTGAGAGGTGCAACAATGCAAAAAATCGTCAGTGATACCAGGAAAACCAGTGCGGTTTCAAGAACATAGTAATTGAAAGGATTGCTTACCTGCAACAAGCAAGTAGGAATTTGTATAAGCCCCTGCAAAAGAAGATCAACCTTTTCCAGAATGCTAGGTGGAACAGGTGTGATTATGTAGAGCAAACCTTTAAATGTATCAATTCCTCTCACAATTCCTGAGTCAATGTTTGCAGTAAGTAAGACAAGAACACTATGAGTTTAAGTAAGAGCATTATCATTCAACCTATCAGATAGCACAGATAAATGGATTAGCATCATGAATCAATATGTTCACATTAAGCATATTATGACAAATAATATAAAGAGATTGGAGGCAGCAATTTAATATATAATTCATTACAACCATGAAAAAATGGAAGAGAGAATATTTTGAATACAATAGACTGCTGTAATCCATGCAACCAAGTCCATTTCCAGTGGATTTCTCTCATTTATATACAGTCTGACAATATAAATGAGTAAGTTCTCTAGTTTTTGCAAGTTGTCTCATTGGCATGATGTTCTTCAACAGCCCTATCCTGAAACCCTAAAACCCATAATTGGGTGTTCATAATGATGGATGAGAATTTCCTGAGCTTAATTTTGAAGGAGATAGTCCATATTGGGGAACAATATATGGAAAGAATAGATGTTTACATAGCTAATTTGAAATTACATGTCAATAAATTACGCTTATAGTGACCACTACGACAGATTTCCAAGAAATATCAATAACAAGCAACTTTGGAAGTGTATATATCAAAACCTAATAAAATGCCTAGGTGATATCTGGAAAAATGAAAAACATAGTGTACTGAACTTCTGATATGAGTCCGTGCCAGCCTCTATCAATTTGATATTGGACATTTATCAACCAGGTCAAATGACGCCAGCATCACCTCTACACTGATCCCAATTTTGCTTAAACGCCAGTTACTTCTATCCGCAAAATCCAAATATTATAAACAACATTATTAATGATAAAAACGAAAGCAACAAAGGAGAGAAAAAGATGCTATTAATGAAATCAATGATAGTGAAATTTCCAGCCAAAAATGAGCTGCCATCCCCAACACCAACAGAACAGTGACTGAGACCTAAGTCATAAACTAGTTGAGGTTGGCTATATGAATCCTCTGTTACCATGACCAATGCATCAAATTAAATTTCTCTCCAAAATTGTTATTGACGTACATACAGTAAAAGCTAAAAAGTAAATAATCAAAAGATGTGGTGGCAACTCTGCAAAAGTTGAAGAGACCTACCAAGACCAACACACCAAGGTAAATTTTCGAACTGTTCAGAACTAACTGCCAAACCAACAATGCTTGCATTCAAACTGTAGAAGATTTCAGTATCAGGAACCTGGCATAAAATATTTTAACTTTTAATAAAGAAGCCTGGATACTTGAACATTGATACAATGAGTAAAAGTAATATTGCAATAAAATTTTGTACCCCATATTCACTCCAAATATTCTAACAATATAAGATTGGACAGGGAGTGATACATCACACATTGGTGGGGCATAAGCTGAGACATCAGCATAATAGTTCATTTAATACCCTGGACCAACCTGGCAATGAAGATGTCTGATCCTGATACTTTGTATTGGAACTTGATAAGGAGGGTGAGAGGCTAGAGCACCCGCAAGTTCCTTGATTGTTGTGATATTCAAACTACTTGAAAAGCACTGTCTAAAATAAGCCATAATTCGTAAATCTCTCAAAAGGCGTGCATCCTTTTGCACTAGTGTCCTGACAAATAATTAAAATAATAATTAGCTAAAAAAGAAATACACTGAAGTAACATAATCCACCAAAAAGCAACATTTAACAGTAGTACGAAATGAATTTCATTAATGTTGGAATCACACACAATTTTCTATTCAATTTTAGACGAAAGAATAGATCATAGAAAATTATCTAGACTACTTGAGCAGCCTGATCCACAAACTCTTCAAGCAGTCAAACATGCTGTAAATTTCGGTATAACTTTTGTGGTAAAATACTTTTAAGCTTCATTAAAATCAGTTCCTGGATATTAAAGGGGAACACCATATTCCAAATAGCAACAAAGTCCAGCAAAGTTTTAAGCAGCACTTGATAAATCACAAATATTCAAAATGCTAATGGAAGCAAAAGGCAATTACATGTCAGTAGAAGCTAGTGAAGGTGCACACAAATAAAATAATTTGTGTTAAACTTACGATCTGCTAAAGGAGTCTTGACGAATTGAACTGATCTCAATTAGATTAACCTCACCAGGGTCATCATCATCTAACCAGAATGCTCCAGCTGGTAGATTCTTTCTTTCAGAAGACGTGTTTATCTTAACTACATGGGTAGGAGCAATAAATTTCACCATATCCACCAATATATCATAACCAACACCTGGAACATAGAAAATGCTAACACACTAGCACCCTTAATACTGAACTGAAGGAAATTCGTGCCTATGTAACACTTGTGTTACAGAGTAACACAAGAAGTAAGACATGGAAATTGAAAAAAAAAAGCAACATGAAAAAAATATGTACTAAAGCTCACCTTTTACCCAGCCAGGTGTATTCACAACAAGAGGCAATTCGGCCTTTGTAGGGCATTCACCATTATTAAATGCACAGTACTCCTTCCGATAGTAGTCATACAGCATTGATATGTATTTCAGGTACATGGCTGGATCTCTTTTTGAAGAAACATCTCCAAAGAAAAAGCATCTACAAAAATAAAGGACCAAACAGTCACCAATCGCAATATGTTTCATGAATAAGATCTGGTCCAGGTATTAAAAAAAACATCCTACTCAATTTTTAACAGAAGGAAAATTTAGAGTCAACTGCATTGCATCAATTCCGCTTTTTTAGTAAAACTTCAGAAAATTAATAGAAATGCCAAAATCAGAAAAAAAAGATTTGGATTCTCTTAACAACAAATCATTTTAATCCATGGATGCGCATAACAAAAAGACAACAGAACTTAGATCCTAAATGCAAGATCTCCAGTTCTCCATACAACATAAGAGAACTTATAACTTGAAGGAAGATTTGGAAAGCTCATACCTTTCAGGTGTCTTTAGACATGGAATGGTCAAATCTGATTTTAATAACAGAAATAAAAAGGAAAATCCTTGATTAGCAACATAGAGGATAAAAAGAAAAGGAAAAAAGACCTTTTTTTTTTTTTTTTGGAACAGAGATTTGTATAAAGTTTCAAACTTTAATTAATGGATCATAGAGCGAGAAAGATCAGGAAAAAAAAATACCTAAGGTTAGTTTGTCAACCACCGTGAGGGATAAAAAGCCAGGAGTAGTAAACTCAGCCTGCCCAACATCTGTATCCAAATAGCCTACCTTTCTATATCTGCAAATTGTGCAATTCCAACAACTTCATATCATTTACTTAAGGGGGAAAACCTCCCGTAGTTACAGTGAAAGCAATTTAAAACCAAAAGTACACACAGAATAAGTACACGTATCACGTATGAATTTCAAATCGTGGAAACCAAAATTTTAACAAGTAGCACATCAAAACACCAAAGTCAACTCAAGAAATTCATTTAGATGCTGGAGCAACTGTAATTCACATTACAGAAGGCATAATAACCTTCGAGCCAAGTCCATCTTTCTTCCATGAAAGCAAAAACAAAGAAATACAAAGCAGCTTTAATGTACAGATGAACCAAATAGTTGTAAACAGTCAAATTCAATGCAAAACCACGAAGCAAACACCTTAAATACAACAACGCATAACCTTTTAACATTTTAACAGTAATGACAGCAGAGTCAGACTTCCCAACCCAAATTCCAGAATAAGAATATGCTTCAAATACGAACCGAGCAAAAGGGGAAAAAAAAATCGAAAATACTCGCCTCTGGAGTAGATTGTTGAGGAGATAACGAGAAAAGATGGTCTTGCCACAGTTCTTAGCGCCACAGATTAAGGCGACAGGAGGAGGTGAAGTGGTGGAATCATATGCGATGGTGTCTGCGGCCTCAGACCATTCCTCTGGTATGTGTATGCTCGGTGATGGGTCTTCTATTTCTGATATGGAAGCCATAGCCGTCACTTTGTCTCCTGCATACACTTTGGAATTCACCGCTGCTATTTTAGAGACTGAATATATCAATGATTGTATCTGCGTATTTGTATTGATACTGACCTGATTCGCCTGAAGGAGGATGATCACGCTGATTTAGTGACCAGCTTGAACTGTAAATTGGCATTCGGCGCCAATTGGGTGGACCGGGTTCGGAATTCGCATAATTTGGAATCCGCTTGTTTCGGACTGATTCGGAATAATTCGTTTCTATTTGGATTTTTAGGGTTTTGTCAATTCAAAAAACATTGGATAGATTTTGGAATCTTCTTTGTAATTTTTTAACCATTTAAAATATTCATATTTATAGTGGCACCAAATTATTTTTTTTATTTATTTCAGTTTCATCCGATTATACCTTGTTGATTGTATTTCTTTTATTTCAATAGGCGTGCTTCACACGATTTTTTAATTTTTTTATTTTCGAGAGAGAATAAATTTGAAAAGAGAAAACAATTATAAAAACATGATCGATTCAAGAGCAAATAATAGAAGCCATTATTTTTAAAGCTATAAAAGCTATGAAATTTATAAATTATAATAAGAAATAACATCAAAAGTCATTGTGTTTAGGATTGGTAGGAGGTGGGTACCCGCAAAACAAAAAACTATCCGAATCCGTTATTAATTTAAGTACCTAAATCTGTCTCGAATCCCTTAATAAATAAACAAATAATATTCAAACTCGTCCTAAATCCGTTTAGAAATACCCACAACTGCCTAAATCCATTTAAATACCCGTTTAATCACAAATTTATTCAAGCCATGAAACTCAAACCCGCATGAAACCCGAATCCGAACCTAAAGTGCAAAAAAAAAAAAAAACATAAAAAATACGTTAAAATTCAATTTCAAAACAGTAAAACAACTTAATATGTAATATTCAAAATAATAAAACAAATTAACCTGTAATATTCTCGATCAATCAAAATATTAAAATAGAACAAAAGAATTGAAATTCAAACAAATATCTCAATTCTCAATCAAAGAATTTGACAATCAAACATCTATTAAAATTCAATATCCATAATATCAACCACAAACTAAAAACTAATTAAAATATAATAATACTAAATTATAACAAATTATCATAGAATGAGAACTAAATGAATATAAAACATAATAAAAAGTATGTCAATAAAAAAAATTACTGAAGTAAAAAGTAAAAAATAACACTACAACAAAAACATATTTGCAGAAGGCATAGACATATTTGTCTCATTTTTGCTACCATCTTCACAATCTATACTCTCAAAATGTTGACATTATATCCTACAAAATAAAATCTATGTTTAGATACAATATATTTAAAATATATAACATATTTAAAATAGAAAAAGAAAACCAACAACAATGTAATGTAAAACTAAAAGAAAAGGCAATTTAGAATATCAAATCAACCGAAAGAAAAAGCCATTGTGTAGTATAAGAGAACATCCGAGAGTCATAAAAGGGATAAATTAGAAAGTAATTTTTAATTGATTTTCAATATTATAATCAAATAAATCATTTAAAAAATATTTTTTAAAAATAAATTATTTTCTAAAAACAAATGGAGACTTAATTAAATTAATATAAAGATTAACATTTATTTTAACATTTTGAAATGAGTAGTGGGTTTGACAACCACGAAAATGACTGATATAGAAAGTAATAGACTGTTGGAATATATAAGAAACATTTTCAATAATTTCACTCAAAGCCATAAAAGCATGACTAGAAATAAATTATAATCTACAATTTGCAGAGAAGTGGAATACACTTCATATTGCTAAATCTTGTCACACACAAGAAATGACAAAAACAAACACTTTCAACCACCGCAATCATCTTCTCATTTGGACTAGCGAGTTGTGTAATTAAAAGTAAAATAATTATATATTATTTTAATTTTCAGTCATAAATCATATGAATTAGTTTTTAGAGGTTAATATAGCGTTTTATAAAAAATTAATTCATGTAACATTTAACTTTTAGTGTTTTATAAAAAATTATTCAAATAACTAATTGAAATACCCCGAATTTTTATTTTCAAAGATTTTTCATTTAAATTTAATAAACTGACAGCTTGGAAATGAGTTTAATTAATTAAATGCAAATTAATAATTAAATTAATTCATGTAACATTTAACTTTTAGTGTTTTATAAAAAATATTCAAATAACTAATTGAAATAACACCCGAATTTTATTTTCAAAGATTTTTCATTTAAATTAAAAAACTGACAAGCTTTGGAAATGAGTTTAATTAATTAAAATGCAAATAATTAATTCGTACCACTGATAAACCGAATTCAAAAATCAACTGAAAAAATCAAAAAAAAAATCAAATGGAAAATGAGATTTGGGCTGAATCGAACCGAATCAGCCCGAAACCTTCTAGAATCCTTTTCATCCTTTTATCTCAACGCATACTTCACCCTTCACCCCTTAGCATTTCTGGCACCTCCACTCCACCGACACCTGCCACCTGCCTCCTCCTCCTTCTCTTCTTCTTTCTTTCTTTCTTTTCTGTTTCTTTTTCTTTCCTGCGGCCGCGGACTCCACTGCCGCAGAAGCAGATCGTGCCTCCATCAGCTCGATCGGTACTCCGCGCCGCGCCACAGCCATTTCTCCTTCTCGCTCGATCGCTGCTCCTCGCGGACCCCGGCCACAGCTCTGCCACCAGATCGCGCAAGCGCCAACTACTGCAGCTCAACTTCTCCTGCGTCGATTCTCAGTGGTCCGCCGCTTCCAGTGCGCTGTAGCTCCGATCCGGCACGCGTAAATCCCGATCTAAGCGAAATCCAACAAGAGAAAAAAGTATATTTGCGATACTTATAAAGTTTCGGGACTGTGAAGACAAAGCGCTGGAAAGCGCACAATAAGAAAGGCATCCTTTTTAAGGACAAAACAAAAAACTGTGAAGAATAGTGTTAGAATAACTAGTATCATCCGCCTGCAATTCATGCATCACGGCTAAATTTATCATGCATTATTTTGTTGAATTGCCATATTATGATGCACTATTTGTTGATATAAAAAAATTAATTTTTGATTACTTGTGCTATGAATGTACTTGTGCCTTGTTTGTGTGGAATTGGGATGACGTGGACCACCATGGGTTTGTGAGACGGGCTGTGATAGGATCCGAATATTCAGATATGATATGGAAATTTGACCGTTCGGGCGGGGAAAATGGGGAGATCGGCGCCCCCGTGTGCAACCTGATGATATGGATTATATGGAAAAACACAGGATGGCCTCTTGTTGTTGCGCAACCCCGGAATAATCTAGATTTGACTTGTAAGCCCGGCAGGCGTGTGCCATCCTGTTGCTGAGCACTTTGATGATCTAGATTGGATGGAGACCACCGATTCGTCCTGTTGCGTAAATAGAAAAGATAAAGAGAGAATGGGAGAAAAACAATGAGAGGGAGCTGGTCAGTCTGAGGAATAGTAGGACCAGTTGGGCCGTATGGGGATCGCTCCCTGCTGTGCACATGTATTGAGAGGGCGAGCCTGTGTGAGGGACGGCTCGTCTGGGGTTTTAGCGTGGTGCCACTGGACTAAATTTCCCACGCTGATGATGATTAAATGAAGGTTGATAATAATTGTGATTGCTATTGTATTTGTCATTTGGTGTGAAACACTGCATGATCATAAAATTAATCGGGTGATCAAATAAAATATTTTCAGCATTTGTTAATGAATGTGTGGGGTGAGAGGGTTATCTAACCCTACTTCATTGATTTGGCGCTCACCCGCCTCCTATTTTTCAGGGTAATAGAAGAAAGAAAAATCATATGGAGTGAATTATTAGAAGAGATTGTCTAGATGATAAACGAAAAATGATGTAAATGTACAGGCTAGAGTCACGCAAATTGTTATTAAGTGGGGTTTGTAAATGAACTTTATTAGTGATGCAATAATTGAAATTAAATTATTGGGCCTCGTATCCACACTTATGAATAAGAACGAGGCTTCATAATATAGGCTTACTAGGGCTTCGGGGCCTTAAGCCCACCCCAGGTCCTAGTGCCGGAGTCCCGGTCCATGAAATGTGTCGTGACAAAGTGTTATTCAGGAGCAATAAAAAAAGTTGGGGGGGGCCTAGGAATCAATTGCGGAATTGCGGAACATAGGAAATTAAATAGAGAGCTCCTATGTTGGGATCGGCCGTAACCAACAAAGGAGGTGTAGTCTGGATTGAATTCCATTTGAGTGTCGGTGGACGCATCGTGCACGAGGATGGAAGGAAATCTATATGAAACTTAGGACGGGAACTACAGGTATATAAATAATAGTATATTATAGAAAGGTCTGGGTAACTGGCGTTTATAAAAATAAATATTGAGTTTTGCTAAATTCCCTCCGTTTATTTTGAAGCAGAAGATCAGTTGGAAATTGGTGTAATGGCCTGATCACCCAATACACCATGATTCGACAAGAGACACTGCTTCGAAAATTATTTGAAATGATTTAGAAAAGAATTCGAAGTTTTAAAGATAATATGAAAGTGAATTTATTTGAACTATGATTTGAGAATAATGTTTTCTTATTTGCTTCTTGGAAATGGTTTTGAAGTTGCAATTAATTGTTTGGTTTTATTAGTTTGCATGATTAATTTGTTTTGGTTTATTGTTTTGTCGGCATGTCAAAAAATAATAATATAAATATAAATATAAATATAAACATAAATAAGAAATCACGAATGAAAATAACTTTTGGAAAAATTTAAGGTGTGGACCAGTCTATTTGGGAGACTAGTAATAGCGAAAGGAATAGTACTGATGGGGATTAGAATGTTCTTGTTAGTTTAAGGGGATCATTTAGAGATGAATTATGTAACAGTAGATTGGAACTAGATGATTTAAGGATTGTCCTCGTGGAGATTGACAATTCATTTTTGTGAAATACCAAAGGGTTTTATAAATTACAATGGGGATTGATTTTCAAACTTGATGCAAATATTTTTATACTGCGATTGATATTGGTCTTGAAATGAAATAAAAGTAAATGCAAATTTTTATTACAAGAATTTCAAAGTTATGTGTGACTGACATGCCGATATTTTCTTTTAAAAGTGGAATAGGAAAATTATTTTGAAAGTTTTTAAATAGCCAGTTACCCATAGGATGGTCAACCTAGACTGTAGTTGTAAATAGCCAGTTACCCATAGGATGGTCAACCTAGACTGTAGTTGTCAATTCAGTAGGCAAATTTTTTTTTTAAATAAACGATTAATTTAACAATTCATATCGATGGAATAA